GCTGGTGCTGGTGCTGGTGCTGGTGCTGGTGCTGGTGCTGGTGCTGGTGCTGGTGCTGGTGCTGGTGCTGGTGCTGGTGCTGGTGCTGGTGCTAGTGCTGCTGTTGCTGCTGTGGCGGGGGCTGGTGCTGTCCTTGAGGTCAGTAATGCACTCCTCCTCTTTTGTATTCAAGGCTGGGATGGAAAAGATGAACACGGGGATCGGATGAAGCATAACACAATCGACTGGATATGCCGAGGCACTGATGGGATGGCCTGGGATGTTCACAGGCCGGGGGGTTGACTGCGTTCTGTCGGTTGTATGTGATTTGTTGTTGGTGAGTCGGCATCGTGAGAGGTGAGGAGGGGACAGGGCCGACGGAAACGACGAGAGCACAAGGGGAGAGGAGTCGATGGGACTTTATGAGGCGTTGATGGTTCTGATGGAACTTAGAGGATATCCTGAGGAATTGGCGGAAGGTTGTTCAACTGCGTGTTGGTGTTCAATGGCTTGTCGCCGTCGAATCCGAGCAGGAGTGGACAGAGTCACTGGAACCAATAGAGAGCAAAGGCACTCGAGAAACCAAAAGTACTGCAAGGGGATGGGGAATAAGGTACTTACAGTGTCTCGATTTGAATCTGGCAAAGAGAAAGAGAGAAAGAGAATGTGTGAAAGAGAAAGATTCCAAAATTATATGCAAACAGGCCCCGCCCTACCTACCCTTTCGCTTCACTTTCACCTCACTAGCACCTTAACACTCTTAACACAGGTCAGTCTCCAATAGTCAGTGTGTGCCTTCTCCATCTCAAGAGATGCCAAGGAAAGCCCATTGCATTCTATCAGAAGATTTGTTCCAGGAATCTCAGAGGGATCAATGAGGTGCTTGCGCACGTTGGAGCATCCGGGACCTGTAAGTGAATGCATCCAGCAGAGAGAGACACAGAGACCTTTGTACTGCTCATTGCGCACCAGAAGCACTCAACGGCTGGGTTGAGGCCATATGACCGCTAGTTTGAACTGACTCGTATTGTAGATCTTATTCCGTGGGAGCTCATACTCCGTACTTCTCCCCAACTGGAAGCCATCAGATCCATCTCCAGTATCCGTTGGCCAACGTCCAACGAAACGAAAAAGCCGATAAAGCAAAAATCGCACAAGATCAAGGTCAAGCGCGCTCATAGGAACGGACCTACCATCGTTCAGTCATTCAAGCCTACACAAGAGCAGGGAGCCAGGAATAACGACAGCAGGGTCAATGAAGAAGCACCAACACTTACCCGCAAGGCCCGGGAAAACCTACCCATCCAGACAGAATTCGCCTAACGATATCTGCGATTGCGTTCCAGGCTTGGAGCAGGATAAGCCACCTGCTACGGCCTTCGCGTGGCTATCCTTGCTTGCGGCGTTCAGATTCTATCTCCATACAGAAGTTGCAGGTAAGGGGAGGCGGGCAGAGACGGTGGTTTAACGAAGCAATTGATGGGCGAGGGGATGAGAGGACTCCACGCCAATTACGAGAGTCCAGAAACCAGTATATGGCAAAAGGTTGTGTATTGGGCCAGAAGGAAGAGAGCTGAAATTCAGCTAGGCCATCAACAACAAGGGGTGAGGTGAGGCAGGTACGGTGCTACAGAGCATTGTGGACTCTTTCCAGAGTCCCAGCACGCTCGCATTTTGTGGTGAAATCTAGGTTCGGCAAATACGGCTTGGTTTCACCCCCTGCGCCACCGCCCAGCGGGACGCCATTGTGGTCCAATATGGCCCGACAGGATCCACATCCCCTCTCGCATGGAACTACCACTGAATCGAACTCATCAGCCCAACTACCGATCAAAAAGCAACGCCTTAGCAGAGGAAGCGGAAGTGTGGTCGTGGACTGACAAAAGGGGTAGGCGCAAGTCGCTTTTTCTCGAATCACCCGGATGTGGAAGGCAATCGAGAAGGGACTTCATATGTCAATCCAGCAAGTCGAGGCAAAATAACCCTATTAAATAGCCGAGATGATCCCTCGTACGCTGGGCAGGGCAAAGACGGACCTGATGGATATCGTTAAAATCCTGGCGACTTTGACGAAGCGGTCCTTTATCGCTACTTGGAACACCTAGGGTTCTTCCCAAGTGGACAGATACCGGCAAAGTCATTAGCGTCATTACGATTATGGTTTCTTTTCCAGTTAGAATTGATATCGCAGCAGTCTTCCGTGCGGCTTTCATGCAGAATCTGCTATTGAACCAATAACGCTTGGGCAATTGTACGGATTCTTCTATTTACTTGCAGCCTGTCACAGGGGACTAATCGTTTGGATACATACCTGAACCTGTCCCGCGGATCGGCCTGTAACACTAACGAGGACACTGCTTGATCGCCTTCCCGAGGACAGAGATCAACGGTTTTTAGGAGAATTGTCAACATCCGCACTGCACTCTAAAGTTCCAACTGTGTCAAAGGAGAGGCGGCAGGAGACAACGGCATCTGAAGATATAGAGATTATCAACCTTTTTTTTAGGATCTGATGTTTTACTGTATGTTCCAAAGAAATCAGATGCCCAATGTCATTGCAGCAACAGTACTGTTGAGATCCAGACTTTCAGCCTCTCTGTAAAGCGGTATCACCACATAATCGCCTCGAATCCATATGTTTATACTCGGATTTATAGAACTAGCAACGTCTCAACGATTGCATGGAGCTGCTATGCATAAGCGTTCTCTCTGGGAGCAAGGCCAGTCCTTTACGCGCGAATACCACTATGGACAGAAGATACCCCCCAAATCCTGCCATTGCATTGTAATCATATGAAGACAATCATCCGCGATGCCTGGTGCAGCCCTCATTGCTTCAATTGTCGGGATTCCACCTTCATCCGGAGGTTATGGTGCAGGGAATATAGGCAAAGACAGTTTAAACCTGTTAAAGATCCTCCTAGAGATCTCCATTGATTGCTGCTAAAGGAGGTCCAGTCGCCGAGACCTCAAACAGCATTCTCGCTGTCACGAATCTCTGCCATAGATGCCTTACAGTCCCTGCGTAAATCAGACGAGTGTTGTAGTTTAGGCAGGATAGGTGCTGCGTACAGAGGTTGTCAGGAGACAAGGCTGTGGCGTGGAAGACTAGCGGGATATGTTGCCCTATACTTACTTCTTGTGAGAGCAGAAGACTAGATATCCTAAGAGCCTCCTCCCACATTGTTCACAGTGCCTTCTGCCTTTTTGAGCCCTGATTCGTTATCTATAGAGGCAGCAGATGGCCAAATCGGCACATAGCTATTCAGCCCATCAGTATCCATTGCGTGGCGTCGGTCCTGATAGTCGAAAAACTGCAGGACGATCTCGGTATTGGTATTCAGGGCCCCCCGCTCACAGTGTTACTTGTGCATCCAGGATTATCTGCGGCTTGACTAAGGCAACAGATCGATAGACCATCCCCTGCAACTATTTAGAAGTTGCTGGCTTGACAGAACAAAACAATTCGTGAGAGATGAGGTGAAAGGGATCCACAGCGGTTAGTATGGTGAAGAAACTTTTAGCATAAGACAAAGGCCGGCCTTTGGCCTTTAACCCAATGTGAAGGAGAGTGCGAGATTGAAATAGGTCTGTTGACGAGGAGGTGGGTGGTGAGGACCGCGAGGTGCTTGCATATGCACGAAGTTGCGGGATGGTGGCCACCGGCGACAATCGGCGGGGCTCTTTAAATTTGTGATCAAATCCAACCCCAAAGCTACGTTTCTTTGGGCGTCTGATGCAACCCGGCGAGCTCCGTGATGCTTTGCGCCACGGGAGAGCCTAGTAAGCCTGATGGTCTCCCATAGGCTAGCCCATCCCCCCTGGTCCCAAACTTAAATGATAGGTTATATTTTAAAGCCGCCAAATTCTGGCACATTTCAATCACACACTTTGCCTTACTTCTGGTTGTGTAGTGTAGAGGTTAGCACAGCGGATTCTGACCTCCAGAGCATTCCGCTAACCCCGGTTCGGTAAGTTTCTGAGGATCTGATATGTGTGGACCAATGTGGGGCTAATCTGGACCAATCAAGATTCCGGGCACGACCTTAATGGGCTTTTTTGTATCCATTAGTGATGGATTTAATGTTTTTTTGCTGTTGAGAACAAACGAGAGAAGTATTTTGGAGTTTGGAAGTGCAATTGTGTGGCATTTCAGGGTCCTGTGGAGTATGTGCTGAGGTGGGCCATCAAGATATTAGACGACCAATCACATAGTGGAACCTCGCAGCCTAAGCCCAAAATAAACTTAAGCACCAAACTAGACTACCACGTGACTGCTTGCACCCACCTTCTAATTTTTACCTGGACGTCCTTTGTATTATGTGCAAGCCTTTCCATTCCAAGCTGGACTTGGTGTCCGACATGATCCCATCATGTCTGTAGGTGTCGGTGAAGAACGGTCACGGAAGCGGAGGAAGGTGGAAGCCGGTATCCTCTCGCGTACAAGTGCCATCAACAGCTCAGATCATCTTCACCAACTCCTTCAATTCCCGCCGTCCTTGTCGCCAGAGGACATAAAAGCAGGTACGCTATGAGTGACAAGTATGTGAGGGGTCCGGTTCGTTAACAGACATAGCGGTCGACCGATTCACAGAATTTCTCTCCAACCTTAGCAACGAAGACTCTCCCGACCGGGCTCGCCAGTTGAGGGCGTTGAAGAAGTACTGTGAGGAGCAATCCTCAGCTTCACATGAGCAAGTTGACTTCCCCGATCTTTTGTCGGCGTGGTCCAATGCCAGTCAGACCAACGCTGAAGCCGCCCTCGCCGCCATTCCTCGTTCTCTCACGCAATTTCTCAAGACGATCTCCACCCATGTCGACTTCCGCGACTTCGGGATCTCCCTGTGCCACAGCCTGCTCAAACGAGACCAGTTGCGAATGATCGATCGAGCCTTGTCGTCACCAAGGTCTAAGGAACATCTCATCACACCATGTCTCCAGCTCTTGACAGAGATCGTCAGTTTTGACGGTGGTGCCCTTGCAAGCAATGTCTTCAGCCGACGCGACTACCTTTACCGGCGCCTTGATGGCATTCTGAGCCAGACGCCGGCGGCAGTGGCGCAGGGCGCCTCGTTCGCCACATACCAGGCGGCTCTGGACCTCGTTCTGGCAAATCTGAAGTACCTTGACCCTTCTTCCAAGTCCGAGTTCATTACACATGGCAAAACGATCTTCTTGGCAATTCGCCATTTGTCTACCTTGCCCGCGGAGTCCGTCATCAATACCTTGAAGAGCTTAGAGAGGTCAATTATCCGCGACGGGACTCTCAGCAGGCAAGTCAAGGTTCGAACTTTCAACTCTGGTGTCCTGTCGGTGCTCGCCAAGTTGTACGACTACACGACCGGAGAATCCGGTGGCCCTTCAGTGGAAGTGCGGGATGCTCTTCAACAGCTGCTGTTGCAAGTTTGCACGACCCCAAAGGGAGTGTTACTTGCCCAGTCAGGATGGTATCCTTCCGGCACAAACCCCGAGATTCTTGGAGAAGACGAGAACATGATCAATCTGGGTCTGGACTCTCCTTTCTACTTTGACGACTATTCCGAGAAGGTGCCAGTCAAAAATGGGGCAATCTCGACCTTCATCCAAACCCTAAGACCCGAAAGCGATGTCCTGCAAGCTGATCTTATCGTGGCGATATTCAACGCTGCCGCTGAACTTGTGGCCGACTATTTCACTAAAAAACAGAAATTCCTCGTTCCACCGGGAGATGACCCGAGATGGCGTGGGCAGTTCGCATTCTTGTTCTCTGTGGTTCAGCTACCTGTGCCCCCGAACTGTGGGTGGGATGAAAAGCTGCCATTGACTCCACCCCCTTTGTCGGTCGTTATAGAAAGCATCCTCCCACGCCCACTCGAACGAGGTACGATCGGAAAGTGCCTGCGAATGAACGAAGATATCATGACCATCTCTGCGACGCGACTGTTGACGGTGGCTTTCCAAAAGCTTGAGTCGGTTCTGAAAGTCTTTGACAAGGCACCGTCCGAGTCCCATTTATGGCAGCAAGCATCCCGCAAATTGATCAGTCTTTTTGTCGAGCGTATCCCGCCTCTTTCGGATATTATTACCACACTTCAGACGCTGCAAGACGAAAACGAGCAAGTCCGCGCATTAGTTCTCGAATCCATAGCTGCGTACCACAACGTCCTACCTTCGATAACCGCGGGTTCGAAATTTGATTTTGGGGTGCCTTTGGGCAAAAGGCTCCAGTCTTTGGAATCTGATGCTCTGGATTCAGTAACAAGGGACTTGGTACAGGCCCAAATAGAGCACCTTATGCAAATTGCATACATCTCACCTGGAACAAAATGGTTTCATAAAGCGGCATCAGAAGAAGTGTCACTGGTTGTGCAACTGCTCAGACGTTGTGCGCGAGACTCCGACAAACCTGTTACGAAAGGAACGCTTCCTATTCTCAGACGAGTGTTGACTGACAAGGGAGTATTGAACATCGATGTCCGATCTACTGATGCCTTGTTGTTGAGCCTTTCTGCCACAAAGAAATGGCAGCCAGAGCTAGTTACGTTTCAGTTCCTGGACAACTGCATGTCGCGTACTGTTCAACGACCGGTCAAGTATCTGGATCAACTCGAGCAAGCCCAGCAACTTTTGTCGGACTCGAAACCCTTGAGTCTGCTTGCGTGCTGCGTGGCAGAGCAATGGGTACATCTGTTGAAAAAGGAAGACAAGAAGGGCATCAAGAATGTTGCGGAATGGATCGCCAGGCTTTTCTCGGCCCTTGACTCTGCAGGCGAGAATTATCGCGTCATGATGCACTTGAAGGAGGAGATATTGAAGCAATGTGATGGGCATGAGAAGGCCAAAGAAGCGCTGGAAAAGGCATTTGAGAAACAGCGGAGGAGACATGTTGTTCTACCAGACGAAGACCTTGGTGAAGCGGGCACAGAACAGCCTGAGACTCCCAAAGACGGTGCACCTGGCCGAGAGCAAAGTCAGCACGCCGGCATGGATTTCGCGGAAGACTTCCCACCGCCGCCCGCTATCCCAGCATCTCTCGCCGGCCTCGATCGCTGGGTGAAACCCGACTTCGAATCCGAAATCCAAAACGGCCGCCTCGCCAATCTGATCCGCTGTCTCATCTCCCCCGAGCCCGAAGTCCGACTTCAGGCGTTCCAGACTCTCCAACACGTCATCCACGCTGTCCAACAGTCTACCTACGAGGAGAAGACCCAGCTCTACCTCCTCTTAGGCGAGCTGTGCGAGACGATTAGAAGCAATGGCTTCTCCAAGTCGGCGTCCCCAGCAACAGCCCCGGCACCTTCTATCGTGGCAGAACTAGCGATCCACTTCCTCCCCATCGTCGCCGACCCGTCGTCCCCATTCTACCGCAAGACCAACACCTTCCTCCTGCGCGCACCCCACTGGTCCGCGTCACACGTCCTGCCCTACTGGCTCAAGGAGACGTTCCTCACCGAACCCGAGATCGACGACCCAGACATCCCCGCGCACTTTCAGCAGGGCAGCAGCGGCGCCGGCGGAGGAAACGTCAATGCTCAGGCGCTGGAAATCGAGCATTTCCTCGACCTGCTCCTCCACTCCCTCCGGACCGAGGCGGACATGGACCTGTTCCGTCGCGCCCAGGTGTTTACGAGGCTCTTCTCGCACTACCTTGCGCCCATCTGCACCAAGTCCGTGCGGAAGAAGATCCTGCGCGTCGTCGAGCTCGCCACGCGCATCACGGGCGGGAGCGAGACGCTCATCACCCGGGCCGGGGTCAGGGAGTGGCTGTCCGTCGCAAAGACGCTGAGGGGCCATAGCGGGCACGGGACCGCCGGGTTTGGGAAGGTCGACGACGAGATGGCCAGGTTGGTGGAGGCGGTGGAGGCGCGCGTGGCGCGGACTGGTGATGCCGAGAGCGTCGCGCGGTGGGAGGCCGAGAGGAGGTTGTTCACAGAGGTCGACCGCCGTGCGAACCCGCAGGGCAAGGTGGGCGGTAGGGAGACGCGGGATCTTGTGAGCCAGGGTGAGGGCGAGGCCAGAGCCAGTGATGGGGGTAGTGAGGATGAAAGTGAGAGCGAGAGCGAGAGCGAGAACCAAAGTGACAGTGACAGTGACAGTGACAGTGACAGCGAGACCGAGACTGAAACCGAGGATAAGGATTGAACATGGGGGATCAGAGATTGAAGACCAAGACAGATTCAGTGGGAGGTCATTGACTAAACATCCAACCCGTCAGGAATCAGCACGTCCGTTGTATACAATCCTCTTCTATTCTCCCCCGAGGCCGGACATACAACCAAGAAGAATAAACATAAGATTTGATATACACTGATGGAAAATATGTGCCATTCGACTCACACTCTCTGTGTTCTTTGTCTTGTTTTCTCTTCCGTCTCCAGTCGTATCTCTTTCGATCATCCCAACTTTGTGGGATTTTTCGGGTCTTTCCTGGACTTGCTTGTGTGTGTCTCTCTCTCTCTTCTAGTGTCGACTACTCTAATCTATAGTCCTGATTCTGGACGGAAACCCCGGCCCTCATCTCCCATCTTTTCACTCAATAACTTGACCATTCCAGGCGAGTAGTATCAGTAATCATCCCTAGTCGTTAACACAGTTTAACGCCCCGGGCTGATTGGGGTTGTCGATCTAACCCAACGCTGAGCTTCTCCATCCAGGCGAAGGATTGATGACGGCTGCGGAAGTGCAGAAAAATCCACTGGTCGCAAGGATCACCGTCGTCTTCACTTCCCGTGCATCGCTCTGCGGCCGTATATTGCGAGGTGACTGTTCAAAAGCTCATCAAGTCTGCCCAATCGTCAGTACTAGGCTTTCGCTCAAAGTCACCAAGCCGCAAACATGATACTCACCTCTTCCAAAGAGCGCTCTCTTGCTCCAATCCATCGCCAACAACATCCTCGTCCGGAAACTGACGCTTTGTGCAAAATAAATGCTCCTCCACAGGTAGACGGCCATCAACCCGCCGCTGAAATTCAGCCCGCCGAAATCAAAAATGGCGGCGTTTCCAATGTAAGCCAGCGAACCCATGTGGTGATACTCAAAGGCCTTGTAGACGGCTTCGTCGAGGTCGCCAAAGTCGACCTCGTTGGCCTTGAAGCCGGGGATGGCGGCAGCAATCTTGTTGAATTTCCGACCAAGATACTGGCCTTGTTGGTTCGCACGTTGAGCCGTGGCGGGAAGAGAGGTCAGTTTGGAATCAATCTGGACGAGCAGTTCGTGCAGTTCGCCAAAATCTAACGTGCCAGACTTATCCTTGTCATATTCCTGAAACAGCTTGTCGAGGCGTTTGAGATGGCCGGCTGCTTGGGGGAATCGCTTGCGCACCTTTTGCGCAACGTTCCGCCAATCCTGGAAGGTGATGTGCATTTTCTCTGGATCTTTACCCTGTTCGAATGCCATGCCACGAAGGAAAGTGGTGAGGTGGTCCGCGACATTGTTTTGGACCGTTGCGCAGTCTCCAATGGCGTAGACCTCTCCCAGTGGTGCTCCTTGGAGCCGCAGATGTGAATCGGTCTCGAGGGCGTGTCGGTTGTTCTGGAACTCGCCTAGCTTTTGGGCGACCTTGCGGCTCAATTCAGTCTGCGCGACACCGGTTGACCACAAACAAAATCCCATGGGCAGCTCCTTTGTAACCGGCTTCCCGTCCTCCATCTGTGAGAAGATGATTCGATCGGGTTTGACCTCCCTGACTCGTGAGTTCGTCAGGACTTCGACGTGATCATGTTCGAATCGCTTCTCGGCATAGACCGAGAGGGCTTCGTCATAAGTATTGAGGATGTGACCTCGCGACTGGATGACGTGCACTGACACTTCGTTCCGTAAGATCCTGGGGAATGATTTCAGGAGGTCTTCGTTCAGCATGTCGTACAGTTCTGCGGCAAACTCAACACCTGTCGGGCCACCGCCACTGATGACAAAGGAGAGCAGTCTCCGTCTTTCTTGGTCAGAGGTGGTAGGCAGACAGGCAAGTTCGAGGTTGCGCAAAACCTTGTTCTTGATGAGGCGCGCGTCTTCTATGGTCTTGAGGAAGTTACAGTGTTCCAAGCCTTTGACGCCATGGGGATTGGTGGTGGAGCCAACCCCGATAATCAACTTGTCGTAGGGAAGATAGAAATGTTGCCTGTTACCGTCGGCATCCACCTGGGCTACCTCAACCAGCTTCTCTGTGAACTCAATGTCGACAGCTTCAGCCCTTAAGAAATGGCCTCTCAACCGATTGACAATCCTGCGAACGGGTTCGACCAGGGATCGCAGCTCAAGGGTGCCCACAGTGGCAGAAGGCAGCATGGGTGTAAACAGGAAGTAATTGTCCGGGGAGACGACAGTGACGTGGTAATCGCCCGGGTGTAGTTCTTTCAACATGGCGACACTCCCCCAGCCAGTCCCAAGAACGACCAATTTTGGCTTGTCCTTTTGCTCTCGCATGTGGTCACAATCCTCGTCATCCACCAACACCTCTGCGATGGGCAAATTCTTGGGGCCTCCTCTTCTGGGTGACAGTGCAGCTTCCGACACAGCGATGTCGCCAGTTGGATCGGGTTCCTCGCGGTATGTGGAGGCATCGTAGAGAAAGAAAGCGAGGACCAATGTACCGGAGAAGACGATGAAGATGCCGGTCCATGCGAAGATGCGGTAGCAGAACCTGACAAAGGGTCCCTTGTTGTTAGGCAGCTCTTTGGTGGAAATGTATCGCACTGTCCCTACAGGGGCAGGATAGATGAGACGAGAGGGGAGCTTCGACAGCCCAATGCGCGGATTTCTAGCAGGTAATTGCGCTATTCGAAGTGTCGATAGGGACCTTGAGGATTGCAGACATGCTCTCAACGTCTGAGTAGATTTCAGTCGAGGAGAGATATGGAGATTAGGAACAGGGCGCAGGCGGAGCTGTAGGTGTCGCTGGCCGCTGCGGGCCAATCGAGGAAGGGCCTCCATTGTCGAGGAGAGAGAGGAGGATGGCAGTTTACCTCATGGTGAGGACTGAGGCAGATATCCAGAAAGGAGCGGGTTGCGGTCGTGGTGACTGCGCGAAGAAAGAAACGAAGGGCTATTGTCTACTCAGAAACAAGAAAGCAAGATAGCAAGAAGCAAGCAGAAGCGGGAAGGGGGGGAAAAAGAAATGGGCGGAAGATAGGATATGATGCTATACGTGGATATGACGGAATGACGGCGAGCTTATGGGGGGCAACGGGAGGCGGCGAGCGGAGACTGGCACGATTCCAGTTAATTAGCGAGTGGGAAAAAGATTGAGCTGCGTACTGACACTCTCAACCTGCTTGTTATGCCCTACAGCGCCCATCCATCTCGCGCAGTCGGTGCTTGGGCATCGCGATCGGAAGAGCGGCAGAACATCCAGGTCCAACCCTTGCCTTCTCATCATCATCCGTCACGCTGGTATCGCTTATCAAATCTCTCAGCTCCCTTTTCCTCTTTTCTCTTTTTACTCGATTCGATCCAGTCTCGCCCAAGCTTTGATTGGATCGATGCCCGCTTCTTCGCAACGAGATTCCCTGATTGTTGCTCTACCCGGGTATATCAATCTACCTGCATTCCCCCCCCCCCCCCCTTTTCAAACGCCCGTCTTGGTTCCTCAAAGTCGAAAGTTTTGTTGGGGTATCATGTAGCAACGCAGTGACCATCTCGTCCTCTGTCCCATCCATCGTATCATCAGGCCTCAAGTCGCCTTTTCAATCTCCAGAGAAATGCCGTTCAAGTGTCGTCATTCATAAATGCTGCCTCATCCCTCAAAATCGCCGTCAGGATTATCCTCTACCGACGACGACACACTCGCTGATCGTCGTGTATGTCCAATCTTGGAGGTTCGCCCGCGCGGCCTCTTCGGCGTCCCCCCAACTGATCCAGAGACACTCTTGCGCTTGCGACCGCGTTGCGCAGTTGTAGGTTGGTCCGGGGCGACGTCCATCATGGCGTTGATTGCGGCCTCCTCCTCTGCAATCTTCACTTCGTCGTCCACCGCCACGAGATCAACAAACTCGCGACATCTTGCAATCATCGCACTCGTGCTGCCGAGCGACTCGAGAACTGCGTTGGACTTGTGCCAGAATTTCTCTCCAGTGATTCCATGCACCTTCACCGGCTCCCTTCCTGCCTCCTTGGTTTGCTTGTTCTGTTGCATCGCCATCTTGACATCTCGCGATATCCCGTACTGTCTCTTCAAAAAGTTCCTCACCTCGGAGATCAAAGTGATCGCACAAGCAGCCGTCGTCACTGATTTTAGCGTGGCCGGATCCACGTCCATGGCAGGAGGCGCTGGCTCCGTAGCAGCCAGATCGCTATCTTCATTCCCTGTATGCTTGACCGGGGCTGGTCCGAGGTGCGTCTCGATCGCCTGTGCAGTCTCGCCACCGTTTCTGCTAAACGCCAGCTCCAGCTGTAGCACAGTATGCAGTAGCTCATCCATCTTCTTATACTCAAAGAACGCCAGGTTCTGGGTCACAAACAGGACAAACAACAGATGTTCGGGCGGTTCGTTCTCAGCCACACTCAACTTGGAGTATTCAGTGTTGAGTTTCGAAACCAGGTTGCTGATGAATTTCTTCACGTACTTTGAGCCACTGGTGCTGATGATCGCAAAAGCCGGTGCAAGTTTGGCGGTGTATCCCGGAACAACCCCTCCTTGCGGATCCTTGAACACTTCATGCTGATACCGGAATGCGGCGAATACGGCATTAATATACTCTCTTTCACAGACGGATTCGTGCTGTTGATGCAGGTTCTCATGGGCAATCCGGGCGACCCGAGCAACCTGGGAATCTGTGCTGGTCTCTAGTGCCACAAACGCCGACGTGCTTTGTTTCGGGTGCGTCATGCCTTGGTGGTCGATGCTGGCCAGTGTTTGAGCTGCTAATAACGCTTGGGTACCAGTCTGGGACATGGCAATGCGGAGGAGATGGTCGACCAGATCGTTGGTGATGGTTGAAATAGCACTGTCATCCTCGCGTGTCTTGCTGTCGCCGCCGATGTTTTTTAAGGCCTGAATCTCCCCATCGCCCTCCCCTTTCTTCGCGTCCTCTTTGACCGCAGCCCGCTTCCCGTACAGTTCTTGAAATACCTCAAGCACTGTGATCTGCATTCTCTCAACGTCACTTTTGTTCAAGCCACTGAAAGACGTTCCATCCAGGACCTCGAAGAATGTCTCCCGAACACACCGTTTGTTGAACTGGCCCGGCCATGCTTGACAGACTAGGCCGAGACTCTCCAGTGCCCTTACTCGGGTCTCAGTACCATAGCTTTTGAGGGTATTTTCCCAAATGCAGTCGGCAATAAAACCTGCGACCGAGCCACCCTTGTATGCAGGAAAGGTTTTTCGAAATTCCCCGCCAAATCGCTCCAGATCAATATGTTTCCCCACGGCGCCGAGGAGCCGCAAACACGTGTTCCTATATCTAATCGGCTTCAGCTCCTCCAGGTTCGTTTCCTGCTCGAGCGACTTCTGCGGAATTTTGGCGGGTAGCACATTCCGTATTAGTGACACCGTGTACCTAACAATCTTGATGGTATCGTGCAGGACCCCATCAATGCTTCTCAGACAAGACATGACCTCCTCCACCACTTCGCGTTGTAGAAGCTTATGACCAGCTCTAAGAAGATCCATCTGAACCTCCTGAAGCAGTGGGGCTTGAGTGCTGGACAGATGTGGCAGAACCAGACGAAATATGGCCACGACTGATTTGAACTTTTGAATGTTATCTTGCTTTGCCACAACTTTAAGATAGCTCTTCAAACTCGTTAGATCTGCCGGAACCACTGCTTCCGGTCGAGCATCAACGAATGCGACAAGCGTCGTCAACTCTGCCGGTCCCACCTCAGAGCCATTGGCGGCGTCCAGGAGTTTCTTGACAATCCGGGCGCAAAGATCTCGGATTTGATCAATATGTTTGGAGTCCTTTAACTTCCAAACCAAGAACTCCTTCAGGAGAGGTGCTAGACGTGCAATATCCATTTCGACGCATGTGACAATGTGCGATTTGAGATCCTCAATCGCGACGTCCAGATGTGCAGACTCAGCCGCCGAATCCAGCATTGGAAATTGGGGATCGATCCAAATCTCTGCCAATATCTTTTTTGCAAGCTCAGCCACGGTGCTTTCTTGATCGGCAATCCGTTGCAGAAACTCGTTGGCAATGGCCTGTTTCAGGTTGTGTCTCTCCTCCCTCAAATAGACGTCTTTCAAATGAGCCATGGCTTTTTTCTGAACTCCGACGTTAGGGTCCATAGTGCATTTGAGAAGCACTTTGAATGCTTTCGCCTGAAGTACAGGCCTGGGCATGATGAATTTGGCAATCAGGGTCAAGGCAGAGTCCCTCACCATGGAGGAGTCATCAGAAGCGCACTTTAAAACAGCATCTGCTAGAGTTGGCACCCAATCAAGAAGACTAGAATCAATCTCCAGCATAGCTGCAACGCTCTTTATGCTGCGAGTGCGAACTTGAGCCTGATCACTGTCGATCGACGAACTAAGCGTCGTGGCAATTTCGGGAAACAAGCGACAGAATGGCCCGTTGAGAATGCTCAGCGTGTAGGCCAGCTGGGCTTCTTGATCAGTAACTTCGATATGATCATCAGCGGCTTCGTTATATTCAGTCGATCCAGAAAGCTGCTGCAGCATCGCCGAAACGGTGGCCGTGAGCTTCGAGTCTAGTTCAACCTCTCGGTCTCCATCTCGTGGCTTTGTGACGACCTGATAAATGAGAGTGGCGAACTTCAGAAGGAAATATGCTTTCGCAGATTTGGTTCTCAAGCTCTCTCCCGTTTTCCGGCCCAGATAGGAGAGGACGATGGAGAATGGTCCACGAGATGACACAAGTTCGAGAGATTCAAGAGAGAAATGTGGTCGATCCTTGACAGACTCCGACAGATCCTGAGCGATGGTAGTGGAGTGGGACTCTCCTTCTCTCATGATTGATGAAAGCAGGCTTCGAGCAGACGCACGAGTCTGAGATATGGCAGACCCCATAATCCCCAAGGATTCGAGAGCCATATTCTTCGTAGAAGCCGACTTGTCTGTCTCGGCAAGTTTTTTCATGCGTAGAGCCAAGACGGTGAGGAGCAATTCAGATGCTGGCCAATCCGTCAACGGGAGCACCAGCGTGAGGTCTTCGACAAACAGGTCGAGAATATTGCGGTAAGGAGAATCGCCGGTCTTGGTGACTTTCGAGGCCTTGTCGACCATCCATTTCACAATTTGCTGAGCACTCATTGACGCGTCATTCAGAAGATTCTGTGCAACCTCACCCAATGTTGACAGCGGATCCTTTTCTGTTTCATCGGCCGCGGAAGCGGAGTCAACCTCCATATCACTGACTGATTCCTCGTTCTCGTCTGAACTTTCAGAATCCACTAGTCCTTTCCTGGGTTGACGCCGTGATTTGCGTCTTTTCATGTCTGTTTGCATAGCTGAAGTCTGCACGAGCTGCATGAAAAGAGCAGATACCAGTTGGATATTTTTGCCGGGCCCGAGCTTATACTGTCTTGCACTCCTGCTATTTGAAGGTAGCTTGTCCAAGGACGTCAAGACTTCGTCCAAAATTGCCGGTCGTTCGAGGGGAAAGGCCGCGTACAGTTTGGCAACAGCCGCCATGGCTTGCTTTCTCAACCGCTCGTACGCTTGAGACCCAAGTGCAGATGCTTTGTCGTTATAGGCATTTTGAACGAAAATGAGTTTCGCCGCCAGGAATTCGGCGGCATTGACGATTGGACCAGCTGCCTTGATATCCACACATAGCCTTGTCACAAGATCCAGGAGTTTGCGGCCAACATCCAACAAACGTTTGAGAGGTTCACTGTGTGCAGATGCGTAATTGAAGAGCTGGACGCTTTGTCCATCGGGGCGAGCCTCGACGATGGGGATCAAACAGTTCTCGAATAAATTGACGAGCACGTTGGGCAACCATTGTAGCGCTTCTGAATTGACGAGGTCTTCATTTTGAGAAGCACCCAGGACGGTGTAGATCAGAGTGCAGGCTGAAGTAGCTCCACTTTCTGCTTTCTGAAGGTTCGACAACCAAGTGGAGATGTCTTCATCCGACGGATCCAAAATTATTTGCAAGTTGACTGTCTGTGCACTTTCTATCGCTGGTTCACATATTCGTTGGAGACGCCGAAGACACTCCAGAGAAACATCACCTAACCGATCAGAATTCAGAAGTTGACTCATGATCGACTGAAGTCTCTCCTGCAGGGCAATCGCAAGTCGCGGCTCAGCGTCGTCCTCTTCATCCGGCAAGTCAAAGACAGCGTTGGTTGATTTTGCTCGCTCTGTGGAGTTGTCAGGATCAATTTGATCTCGAGTTTCGAAAATCTCGCCGAGTTGATTCTCAAAGCTCGCTAACAGCTGGTCATCCTTTTGTTTCTTGGAGATTGTCGCCAAAGCTGGCTTGGTGCGAAGTGAAGGATCGCTCAGTTTCCGCCGCTTTGGAGTATCTTGCATATTGATGTAGTCCTCTCTGTGGAAGAACGGAGGCGGTTTTGGTATTTCGATGGTAACAGTAGAGGCAGGTTTGGTTATGGGCATTTGGAGAGTTTTCTTCTTGGCCGTCCGTTGAGATACAGCTGACGAGGAGTGACAAGTATAATCAACCTTGGACATTTTGAGGACCATCTTCTGTATGGGATTCAGATCTGGCTTGACAGAGTTTTCATTTTGCACTGGGGATCGAGGGAACTTGATCTCAGATAGGCGGCTGGGATCGAGCAAGACTGAAAGACGTTCCTTGGCCGCGTGTGTGTAGAGTTCGCTTCGATATACCGCCTGGCGTTCGGAAGGAGAAGTGAGCCGCGAGTCATTAGAACATCCAAGTTGTGGGAGAGGGATGCAGTCTGTGAGGTGAATTAGCGCAACACCGACTCTTGAGTGAAGTGGGCATACCGCGTGCTGGGAGAATCGACATCGTCATGGGAGTGTATTTCAAGGCCTGATCCACCGAGAGCTGCCTGTTTTGGGAATCATCTTGCGGTCGTCTCCTCGAGACGACCTCTATGGTATCTCCCATCTGATCCATGATTTCGACGCTGGGAATGACTGATCTTGAACAGGTACGCCAATGCGATTATCTCGACGACTCCGCCGACGACGGTAGGGTGGTCAAACTGGAGAGGCTTGCTGTCAAGACACACGCCATGACTTTCATGGTCCACAACAACTACCGCAGGCTGCCGGTTGTATGTGGATGGGTTGTCTGGATGCAAGGCTTTCGCTCAAGCATGCGGAGATGAAGGAGAGGCTGAGAAGGACTAGTTAGGCTGGGGAAAGGGATCTCCAGACGGTGATCCGCTCGGTTAAGCTGCGGTTTCAATATGAGATCGCCCTTACCGGATTGGTGCCGCCGCTGCAGGAACCAGATGTCAAAGTTCCCTCAGAGGTTTGGAGTCAGCCAGCATCAAAAAATTTTTATTCAGCCACCATCTCTCCAAACAACTCGAATCTCATCATGGTAGCCATAGGCAGCCTTTTGTTCTGCGATGCCTGCGGCTCGCTTCTGCCGCGGATTGTTCCAGGCGAATATAAAGACGACATGGTCAAATGCGACGATTGCTTCCAGTACACCAAGGACACTTCGTCCAAAATCATAACCTCAAAATCAAAACCCAGTGCCTTCCCATCTCCTCTACGGGCCAAGCACTCCGAGGTGCAAGCTATCAATACCGATGAGCTGCAAGTTGAGGCTGTCATCTCCCGGGAGTGCCCTGACTGCCATCGACCAGAAATGTTCTATCATACCAAGCAACTAAGAAGCGCAGACGAAGGAACGACCGTTTTTTACAGATGCGAGTGCGGTTTCAAGGATGTGCAGAATAACTGAGCGGACGCCAATCGATGTCTGAAATGCAACGCTTTGAGGCAATTATGCAGCAACCTCCGTTGGGATGGTGGCGTACTCCATTTCTCCGTTCTTCTCGTACACAGCCATATCAAGAGCAACAATGACGCTCTCACGAACCACTTGCTCAGGGTCGTCCAAGAACTTCCTCAATATATCCTCCACCCCCGGTTCTTCTCCCAAACTGCCCAGCGCCTCTGCAGCCTCGTGCCGAACCATGCTTTCTTCCTTGGTATCCTCCAGCACAGCCAGCAATGCGGGTATTGATGTTGGATGGGACAGTTGCCCGAACACGAAAGCCACCTCGTGTCGGAATAGTGCTGATGGATCTTTGAACCCAGAAGCAAGAGCGTGGACGGCGGACTCTGCTGTGGGGAGGTCTGGTGGGGACGCGAGATCTCGAAGCGCGAACATCGCGCGATATCGCTGGAAAAGGGGTAATGAGGCGTCGAGAAGAGTCGTCTGCAGGGACGAGATTGAAGGCGTTTCCGAAGCCAAAGGAAGAGGAGGTGCAGGATCGATAGAGGCGAAGTCACTTGACTTCAAGCTTTCGCTTTGCCGGCTCTCGGAATGAGCCCAATGGATGCGGTCGACTGCAATGTCACACGTCTCTCTTAACACCACGGGCTCGCGCTCGTCGTCTTTCATCTGTTTCATAATCTGTAGACTTGACAAGTCTCCCAGCGCTCCCAGCGCCTCCGCCGCCTCATGCCTACACATTGCATCCTCCGACCGATTTTCGAGGACCGCTCGAAGGAACGGGACTGCCGCTAGATTCCTGGTCTGTCCCAGACAATATGCTAGCTCGTGTTTCAGGAGTACGGAGGGAGAGGTAAAGGCGGCCGCGATTGCTTCTATTGCTGCTGTTGCTTGTGGTCCAGGAGTTTGCGAAGCGACGTGTTTGAGCGAGAATAGTGCGCGAAAGCGTCGAGCAAGTGGGACGTTCTCGGAGGTCAAATCTTTTCGTAGGAGTGAAATGGCCGTGTTCGAACTAGACTGCTCAGCTGCCTCCATGTTTGATTTTGAGCCCTCTGAATAGTACTCGGACGTCAATGAACACGAGCAAGAAGATGGTGGGATCGCTACTGAGAGGATGTGGTATGCAGGCGAGGCCTTTCGAATGCTCACCCAAAATTTTCGCGGGGGAAAAGTCCTTATCGATAACACCAGCCACTGCCAAGCCAGGCGCCACCGCCTGCCGCCTACTAGCCTCGTGGCAGGGGCAGTCTGGGGCTCATGTTCTTGAATCTTCCAACCTTCTGGTTGCGCGCTTCTTTAACCGTCTCTCGTTTTCAGTCGAACTTGCATCCTCTTGTCTCTCAAAATCCCACAAGACACTCGCAACGACCCTATCTCCCGACGATCCTCTTTGTTGACACCAACATGGGTTCTGTTGTCATTCCCCACCTAGTCACTGGCTGGCACGTCGACCAGGCCATCCTCTCCGAAGACGAACGCCTTGTGGTCATCCGCTTCGGCCGTGACTGGGATCCCGACTGCATGCGACAAGACGAAGTCCTCTACAAGATCGCCGACCGAGTCAAAAACTTCGCCGTCATCTACGTTTGCGACCTCGACCAAGTTCCAGACTTTAAACAGATGTACGAGCTCTACGACCCAGTGACTCTCATGTTCTTCTTCCGCAACAAACACATGATGTGTGATTTCGGCACAGGCAACAACAATAAGCTGAACTGGGTTCTCGAAGACAAGCAAGAGCTTATCGACATCATCGAAACAATCTACAAAGGCGCAAAAAAGGGTAGGGGTTTGGTGGTTTCGCCAAAAGATTACTCGACAAGATACCGATACTAGACACTGGGATTGGTGTTCTTGTCACCAGGCAGACAACGCGAGCATTTTCTTCCGACGCTGTTGACATCTTCTGCAGTGGCGGAATCGTATGCCCAGTCTCGCAAGATTGTCTTCGCCTCTGATGGCGGATCACAGTCTCGAGAGGAGAATTTGCAGCATATTGGGAAGTTAAGGATGACTCTATGGCATAGGCTGCGGATGGACGGCCACAATGGCAACAAGCCACACACGAAGAAAGTGCATTTTGGGACTGGAAGTGGTGGAGTTTGGAGCAGCTTTGGTTGGTCTCACTTGACGTTCAGACATTCAATGAAACCTTTGCTGACACGACTTTGAATTCAAGTCTACCGAGACTATGGCTCCAAGAGTCTTTGATTGTCAAGTTCTCTTCTTCAGGTATATTTCTTCACTTCCCCCAATCGCGGTCAGAGAGGGTCACTGTCGCTGCCACACATGAGCGACAGCCTCTCTGAGAACCTCGCCCGCAAGTTATTACCCGGAATGTCGTAGACGTCGCACCCACGCACTGCAAAGCCACTCCCGTGCTTGTCAAGATCGCCTGCGTCCACTAGGATTGGTGTTACGGAGTAGGCTACTGATCTAATGTAAAATACCAGGCACATTTCTCTGTTGTAAGATTGACGTTGGCTAGATCACACGGGTTCGGAGCGATGCTTCACAGGCACGAGAATCAAGATGTTTACTTCCCACATGTGTTAATATAATCGTCGTCTTCGGCGAGTGACTGTCTCACGTGCCATCTCTCTACCTATCTCCTGGCGATCTCGCGGGTGATTTAATTTGGCGACCAAGTGGGGTGATATGGGCGAAGCGAATCCATCCAACATGCACCCTTGCAACGCCGCTTCATTTCCATTTCCATTGCACCGTCAATGTATCCCGTCAATTGAGATCTGGCCACCTTTACCGCTTTTTCGTGTTCAACTGCAACTCCACCGGTTCATGCATGGCTTGGGACGATTTTTTCCGGGTCGCCTGTCTTGTCTGTTGTCCAGTTTCTCTTTAATTTTTCGCACATGAACCCTCCCACCATGAAACCTCGCCCGCTGCAGCCGTCGACTCTGTGCTGCCCATAGGACTACTTGCGATGAAACACTCCCCTCCTCCGGACTGCGTCAATATTCTCTTCCACTGCGCAGTGCCTTGGGAGGCCGAGACTTTCTACTATTGCTATCTACGACAGCTCTCTGCGACTCAAGCCCCTCCAACATGGCCTTCGGAACGATTGTCACGTTGACCCTCCTGCCCGTCCTCATCTTTGCTCTTTGGCATCTCACCTCGACCATGCTCCCCCCTATGCCGGCCCTTCTCCGCAACAAGCGCATCATCCTGCTCATCGCCCACCCGGACGACGAGTCCATGTTTTTCTCGCCGGCCCTGCAAGCCCTCACTCACCCGTCGCTTCAAAACCACTTAAAGGTGCTATGTATGAGCACGGGCGACAGTGAAGGTCTGGGCGCAACACGGAGACAGGAATTGGAGAAGGCCGCCTTGACACTGGGACTGAGGCGGAAGGAGGACGTCTTTGTGTTGGATGACGAGAGGTTCAGGGACGGCATGAAGGAGGAATGGAAGGCGGAGGACATTGCGCTCGTGCTGGCCAGTGCGTTTGCGCCGCACCTGAATACGGCGTCTGCTCCAGCGGCCCCTGCAACACCCACACCGGAATCCGACAAGGAAAAGGACAAGGACCGACGAAAATCCAAATCAGCCCCTTCGAAACACACCAAATCCTCCTCTCGGACGTCCATAACGACCCCGCCGGCTCCGGCGCAGAAGGAGGCGGACGGACCCCGCGCAACAATCGACGTCCTGATCACCTTCGACAAGGGCGGGATCTCGGGCCATCCCAACCACATCGCCTTGTACCACGGGGCCTGCTTGTTCTTGCAGAAAATCATGAAAGGCCACTCCGGCTACGCTTGCCCGGTCACGCTGTACACCCTCCCCTCTATCAACATTGTACGAAAGTACTCCTTTATACTAGACGCCATACCCACCCTCCTCCTGGGGATTTACGAGAGTATATTCGGCAACGTGTTCGGGACGACGAACGCGAAAGGCAAGACCGCCACGGGCCCCAAGAGCGCCGCAGACCGGGTGATGTTTGTGAGCGACATATTCCGCTACTGGAAGGCGCGCGAGGCCATGATTCGGGGACATAAATCCCAAATGGTCTGGTTCCGCTGGGGCTGGATCGGATTAGGGAGGTATATGGTCGTGAATGATTTACGGAGGGAGCGAGTTGTTGCGGGTTGAGCGTGGGCACAAGCCCACCCCAAAGTGACACCAGTAAATCGGGAGACAAATTCTTAGCTTCGATTTTTTATTCCCCCCAAGGAAAGGCTTCAGACGAGGATTCCGCGCAGAGAGGAGAGAGATCAAATTGTCTTTTCAGGAGATCCGCGCAGGTGGCTTGGGGATGTACAATGGGAGGGTTTTTTGACGGTTCTTGCTTGTTCATGATATCCAATTTGGCTTTTCTGCTTGAGAGATTGAGAGGGAGCATCCTGACGAGGGCAATGGTTGTCTTTTGCGAGAACCTAAACCTACCGCGTTCCTACATAGGGAGTTGTTGCGATATGTACGCACATGATGGATGATGTTACACTTGTTACACGTCCTGTATCACACCCCAGCCAATCCAAAAATCTGGCATCGTGTCACGCCTTCTGCTTTTCCCCTTCTTCGTGTTCGTCCTCATCACGCTCCTCATCCCTTGTCGCCGGTGCCTTTTTCCGACGCCCACGCTCTGTCTTCCCCTTCCCCGGAATTCCACCCCAAGGCCTCCAATCTTCGCTGTGATGATCCGGCCCGGGTACCTGCGCGCCCACGACCTGGCGATCGTTCAACCTCTCTTGACGGACAGCGGCCTCGAACCGGAGTACCCAATCACTCAGGCGTCCCGAGGAATCACTGCGGACTTCGTCTTGAAATTTAGTCAGCGCGTTGCCCGTGGGCCCGCGATGAATGAACCCTGCTGCATGCCGGAGACGAGTTGGTGAATAAGAGTCGAGGAGCATACGCATTGTGCCTGTCCTTGTCGTCTGGAGGGAATTCGCACTCTGAATGGCGGCGTGCCTCGACTCCCTTCCCCAAATACACACGTGACCGGTGGGCGTGTAATAGGGGATGATATTAGGCAGCCAATCTGTCCACTCTGCGATGATATTAGGAATACCTCGGTATGGCCAGTCTGTGCCTTCATCATGAGACGTCCAGTCTTTACGTTTGATGGTGTTGCGCACGGCAATAGATATGAGTTGAATGTGACACTCCAGTTGAAGGGAAGCAAGCACATATTTGTGCTTTAGATCAAGGAATGCTGGGGAAGGCAAGCCATCATAGAAGATATAATGATAATCTGCGTCTTCAAGAAGCTGTCGGATTTGGTCATGCATTTCGGAGAGGCGGGTTCGTTCTTCCTCGAGCAGGACCATACACTGCCGGAGATCTTCGACGGCCTTATAGAGCTTCCTCGCTTCAGATCGAGCCTTAACCCGAAAGATCAAATCCTCGATTTTCGGTTGGACATTGTATGGTTCGTTATGAAAGACGTGATAGACCGACTCGACTGCTCTTCGTGCAATGCGACCTTCGCCGTGTCCTCTCTCGATCCTCGCCTTGCTGTGCTGGATCGAAAGTACAAAAGTCCACTCCAGTAAATGAGTCCAGATATATTCCGGGATTTCCAGATTGTAGTTGCGCGAGATGTAGTCGAGAAGCATGCCTCCCAATGCAACTTCATTGTTCGTGCCGAAAACATGGACTACCGTAAATAACAGCCGTGCAGAAGGCCGAAGGGGTGAGCCCTCTTCATAAAATGTCGGACTCTCCAATTCCTCCTCGTCGTATTTGTCCAGAGCATCGACATCTATGTTCCAAGCTGATTTGAGGACGCTCTTGACGCTGCCTAGGTCTCCTTCACGGCCCATCGCGACCATGAGATTGCAGAAGGTTGCTTCATTGCCGTTCAAGCCCTGATTGACGAGCTCGTTGAAGATACCCAGTGTTTCAAGCCTGATGGATTGTTCATTTTTGGGATTTTTGGGAGAGGCGACTCCATGACCAAAGAATCCGAGCGGTCTGGTCTCCAAAGACCGACGAAACATGTTATGCCGGACTATCCGCAATCGATATCTTTCGTGTCTGTTATATGCTTCGTTCCAAGTGAGAGCCTCCATAAAGTAATTATAACAATCCAGGTCAGGTTCAATATCGTCCTCTCTCATGGCTTTGCGGAAAACATTTCTAGCAAATGATCCCACCCCAGCTGCCGCGGTGCACCGTAGCAGATGGCGATAGATGTCGAGGCCCAGGGAATGGCCATGTTTTTGTCGTTGAGTGACGAGGGAATCGAGGATGTTGATAAATGTAGCCACACGCTCTTCCAATGATCTGACTATCCGAAACTTCGGCTGAGTCTCTAGACTCGGCTTCAAGTAGCGGAATAGCTTCCCATAAGGCACAATGAAATGTTCGGGGTCCAATGCGCATATGGCACGTGCGAAGGTCTGGTCGTCCGCATTCTCGATGAAATCGTCCCCGATCTGAGGGGTCACCAGTCCCAACAGTATCCGGTCGGGATTGTTTTCTTCCAACAAGGCCTGCATAGACACCAGTTTCCTGGCTCCACGAGTGGAATCAGCTGCCGGCACCTCTTGAACCCCATATTCTATCGGCGGAAGGTCATCGTGTTCGTCCAGCAGGGTCGTTTGGTTCGGCAATATGAAGGGAGAAAAGGAGACATTGGTGGAGGATGGACGTTGGAAACGACGTAGGTAACGAGCATTGGGAAAACATAGTCCTACATCCCAATGCGCCGAGGATGGGGTGCCTCGACGAAGAATGTGAAGGGTCAAGTGAGGAATCCGACTAGGTGAGGGCTGCGAGAAGCCATTGATTAACCTCACCAGAGGCAGCGAGCCATGCATCAATACACCGCAGATGGACGGCGACCCGAGCTGGAGCTGGAAAGAGTGGCAGCTAAGTCATTGAAAAAGTGTCGAGAAATTGGCGTGGAAAGGGAGCGAGATACGCGATGAGCGGATTTCGCATTCCCCAAACAGCTCAAATTTCAAATGACGCCAAGTCCAGCAAGACAGGGCTGAACCTTTCCAAGTTAGTCGCCAGGACTCTCATTTCTTCGACAGCCATACCACCAGGCGACGTTGTATTTACTTCACTTACCATTAGTCCAGCCCGTCATGGCCGACTCAACGGACGAAGGTGCCAATGCGGTGTCCGAACCACTTGATCTTGTCCGTCTCTCCCTTGATGAGATTGTGTTTGTCCGGCTACGTGGAGATCGAGAGCTAAAAGGAAGACTACATGTATGCTCGCACAACGGGTCAGCAGCGAACTGAGACTGACGCACCGGTCCATCATAGGCATATGACAGCCATTGCAATCTTGTGCTCGGAGACGTCGAAGAGACGATCTACACGATTGAGGAGGAAGAGGACGGCGAAGAGACTGTCAAGGTCGGTTCTCACCAGCGCAAAAGTCTTTCCGACGAGCGACTCACATTGACAGACAACGAAGAAACAATCCGACATGCTGTTTGTCCGAGGTAGATGCACCATGAAGAGACTAACCTTTGCTGTCGCTAACAACCGAGCAGGAGACTCGGTTGTACTCATTTCTCCCCAGCCTGGGTCATGAGGCCTTGTGATGCACGTCGATCCGGATCCTCGATCAAGGCGAGCGAAAGGCCCGTCCAAAGCCTTTCGGGAATCCACTCCCAGCTCGTTACGGAGCATAACAGATGGTGAAATGCCAATCTAAAGATTGCTGGCAGGAAAAGTGCCCCTATAAATGAGTCACTTAAAGCTGCAGTTCGTGAATCAGTGAGAAGATGATTGGGATTCTTGCGCGTTGCTAAGTGCACTGTCCACTTTGTGGCGCAAGAGTCACTTGCCTATGACGAGTGACGCTGCAGAACCATCTCCAAGGTAATTGGCGAGGCTCCGTATCAGCGGTTTCGAATCGACGAGAATGCTGATGAGGCTGTGGCGCGGGGGGGGGATGAGTCAGTGAATCAGGTCAGGCTACACGCGCCTCGTGGTTCCCCGCTTGGTAGTCCATACATACTGTCATGACTCCAACACTGCCTCCGCTTTATTTATGTTCCTTGACTGCCTCTACACTTCTCTATCTCGCATCTACTCCATCTTCCCAGCATTTCTTTCGATAGCCCAGCTCAAGATGCGTCATCAGCACTAGAGCAATGGTGCGCCTCTCTTCTGCTCACAACTTCACCATGATTCCTCGAATACCTTATTGACCGCGGGGCGAATCCGCTTCTCTTTTACTTTCCACCTCATCTCGCACTCAAACTAGCATACAAGTATGGGCAGCCGCAATAAACAGGCATTGCAGGACCGTCGTAAAGGAGAGCTGGTGAGGAGGTCTCAACCCACGAATCACTTCAATTTCTAACGTGGCGCCAGGCGCTCTCCGATTTCGCGGATTATGTGGAACGACAACAGGCAAAGACCCGCATTCAGCATCCCGATTCCGTTGCTGGCGACAGCGGTTACGGTACCGGCGCTGCCTCGTCCGTCACCGAAGACCATGCAGAGCTCGAGATCCTCGATCAATTAGAACTCTCTGATAGTCCAAGCCGGGCAAAGCTAAAAGAGTGGCTGCTTGATACCTCTGATGATGCAGCTGCGACACTTCAGGAATTGTCGGGGCTTGTACAGTCCAGGATAGACGAGGGCCATGGCGAGGCACTCTTCGATCTGGGACTCGAGGATAGCGGCGACTCAATGGGATTCACGAAAGAAGACTGGGACTTGGCTATGAAACGTATCAATGAAGCTGCCGGTATGCTCAACGCTGCGGTCAACGTCCTTCTGACCTACAATGTGGGTGGCGACAAGGAGGCTCGTTCCAAAACGACAAACGACCACTCCAGCCACGGCAAACTCCTCATTCGACAGACTCCAGCAACGGCTGAAGAGGTCATCGAGACTCGAATAGCGGTGGTAGGTAACGTCGATGCGGGCAAGTCGACCATGTTGGGCGTCCTTGTCAAGGGGAACCTGGACGACGGCCGTGGTAAAGCTCGTGTTAACCTGTTCCGTCACAAGCATGAGATTGAATCCGGCCGAACGTCATCTGTCGGGATGGAGATTATGGGCTTTGACACTCATGGTGGTGTTGTCACCTCCACTGTGCCAGGTCGCAAACTCACCTGGGCGGAGATCGGGACTCGGTCAGCAAAGGTCATCACATTTACTGACCTGGCAGGACACGAGCGATATCTTCGGACTACTGTTTTTGGCCTCCTCTCTTCTGCACCGAACTACTGCCTGCTCATGGTGGCAGCCAACAATGGTCTCATTGGTATGTCGAAGGAGCACCTTGGCCTGGCACTGGCTTTGAACGTCCCTGTCATGGTTGTCATTACCAAGATCGACATCTGCCCTCCCCAGATTCTCGAACAGACGATCACGCAGCTAACAAGGATTCTAAAATCACCCGGAGCGCGCAAAATCCCAGTCTTCATCAAGACATACGAAGAAACTGTTCTGACTGCCACACAATTTGTGTCCCAGCGGATTTGCCCAATATTTCAAGTCTCGAATGTCACCGGGGAATGCCTGGACCTCGTTCGTACTTTCCTCAATATTCTTCCACATCATGGTCATTACGACGACAAGGCGCCTTTCGAGTTCCATATCAACGACACTTTCTCGGTCCCCTTTGTGGGCACAGTCGTGTCGGGAGTTGTGAAATCCGGAATGATTCACGCAGGAGACACTGTTCTCGTCGGACCAGACTCGCTCGGACAATTCCAGACTACAAACATCCGATCCATTGAGCGGAAACGAATACAGGTGCCGGTCTGTAGCGCTGGTCAATCCGCCTCTCTTGCTCTGAGAAGGATACGAAAGAAAGAAGTGCGTAAAGGCATGGTTGTACTCCCGAAAATCGAAGGTCCACCGCCAAAGGTGTACCGTGAATTTGTCGCCGAGGTTTTGATTCTGTCCCACCCTACAACCATACGACCAAAATACCAAGCAATGCTCCATGTAGGACCTATAAGCCAGACCTGCGCCATCATTGAGATTGATCGCGAGTACATTCGCACTGGAGATCGAGCCACGGTCGCATTTCGATTTGTGCAGCGGCCCGAGTTTCTTGCAGTGGGGGATAAAATACTATTCCGTGAGGGAAAGACCAAAGGCCTGGGGATTGTCAAGTCCTTGGAATACGAGGAAGGGTCATTGCGCAAACAGGCGCAGCAGGACGTGCAAGGGTCGTCAAAGGAGGAGGAGTCAAAAGACAAGCCGAAGGCGGAGGAGAAAGTGAACGTAACCTCAAAGATTTCGGCATCGACGGCGGGATCAGCAACGAGCGAAAGGCGAAATAAGTAGCGAGGAGCATAGGCGTCTATGGCAGTGGGGGACTGCTCATGAACAACACTATGGAATGAGCTGGGAATTCTGTCAACATACATGTATTGTTTAAGCTAATGTCAATTTATCCTGTCGAGGAAACGCTCTGCGCAGCATCTTGATAAGGATATTACAGTGCGCCCTAGAGGGTTTATGGGGGTCCTGCTAACGAACGAACAGGTAGTACCGGGTAGATATATAGCCCTCGAAAGGCTGACGCTCCGCCAATCAGCAAGCGTCCCTTCGGCGGACAGCCTTGTGGGGAGCTAGTGCGAAGTCACCAATCTCCAAAGCCCCCAATCTCGAGCTTCTGTCAAATTCATAATGTCGCAGCAGGCACGACGACGGCCTGTCCCAGGAAAGCGTGAGCAGATCAAAGGAGGAATCGGGAACAGCAGCGGTGCTCGGAATCCCAGTGGACAGGATCAACGAGAAGGCGAGAGAGAAGCAGCCGGCGCGGCCGTCGAGATGGATCAATCCCCAATCATCCGCGCACTGCGACAGCAGCCCGTTTGGATTGTGCTGGCCGTCTCAAGTGGAGCGTGTGCGGCGTTCAACGGTGTATTTGCAAAGCTGTACGTCTACGAGTCCCCGGGCCTCGAATCCCCCAGATTCTCTATTCGGAGCCTGACAACTTCCCCATCCCCCCCTCGCTCCTCAATGGAACCACCATTTCCCTTGTCCCTACCACGATGTCCTCGACTCCCTCCACAGTGCCAATGACTAACCGGGCTCTCTGTCCCGCCAAATAAACAGAACAACAACGTCTCTCACATCGAACCTGTCCTCCTCCATCGCCACCTTCCTCTCTCTATCCCCTAGCAATCGCTTCATCGACCTTGCCGTCCGGGGCACCTTCTTCCTCCTCAACCTCCTCTTCAACGCTCTGATGTGGGCTCTTTTCACCTCCGCCCTGACCCGCGCGGAGTCAACCACGCGCGTCAGCATCGTCAACGTCTCCGCCAACTTTGTCATCACCGCCGTGCTGGGTGCGTTGATCTTCGGGGAGAAGCTGGGCGGGATGTGGTGGGTGGGCGCGGGCATGTTGGCCGTGGGCAATGTCGTGATCGGAAGGCGCGAGGAGGGCGGGAAGCCAGGCGGGAATATAGGCCTGGACGAGACGAGGGAGGAGGCAGAGCGCCTCATGGGCAGAGAACAAGAAAGAGGCGGCCCCGCGCAGGGGGACCTGGTAGAGTTAGATGACAGCCTCGGAGAAGCGCAGGGGAGACTGAGGAAGGGAGAAGAGGTGGATGATCCGATTTGAGGCCTCCGAGAGAATGCGTCTCATCCTCATCCTCATCCTCATCCTCATCCTCACCCTCACCCTCTTCCTACCGCCCTTCGTCGCGCGCGGCGCGGGAAAATTCTGATAGTCCCAAGTAGTCGGACTCTTACGGACACGAAACAACGGCAACGGATTCCATGATCGTGGAGTGTCGACTTATGCGCAACTCGACATGACACCCATCTCTGACGGAGGTGGCCGAGAATGTCTCGACGCGAGGACTGCCGGAGCTCTACTTGTACAAGCACAGAGTGTTTGCGATCACAATGTTTCTCGCAAACGGACAATATTCCGTTGTGCTTGGGGCGGCCGGACCCGGGCAAGGAGAAGTTGTTTCCGTGGTCCAGATCTACAAGCAGAGATGAACCTGGATCACCTTCAAACCGCCATCGAACATGCCACCATAACCCGCTTCCGCAACACAGACATCAAACTTCCAGGCGATCAGGGCCGGCACAATGTATCCAAGTAGCTATACGGCGCGGCTGCTGGGTTGATCAGGAGATACAGCTCCCAGATGGGTGCTGCGGTCGGCATTTGGTAGCGTCATGGTGTGTCACCTTTTACATTGTCAGGCTACTGGTCACATTTTTGGAGTATGAAGCGTTACCGTCGCTCTCACGCCACGGCGGGATCCTCGCCTTTACCGCGCGAAATCCCACCCTTTCGTCATCAAGGTGATGCGGACGGTCGAGATCTACCAGCTATACTCCGGCGTCAAAGGTTCCGAAGTTCCTAGACGGTATCATATAGAGACGTTGGTTCCGTGGGTGTGCAGGGTTTCCGCTCGGGCCAATTTGTGGCTCCTGACTGTCACCTGTGAGGCTGCCAGACGGAGCACTTCTGTACTTGTACTTTTGCAATGAGGTATAGAGAGCTATTTCTGATATCCATACCTTGTCAAATGATCTTTTTACGTAGCTAGAAGGGATCGGAATCCCTGCGTCTCAACACCTCCCAGCGTAATTTGTAGTCCGCCATGCACAATGCGGAGAGATCTGCTGTCAGGCTGTGTTGCAGTACAGTCTCAGTGTCCCCCAACTTGATTTTCCAAAGGTATACGAGCAGTCAATTACACGTGTGTCATTCATTGTCCACGAGCGCCCTGCGTTGAATGGAAACAAGTAGAGACAAGGGAAACGTGGTATCGTATCACAACTCACTCTATTTGGTAGCCCACGGTGAGTGTGCGGAATACCAAAAGCACCGTCGCTCGGCACCTGTACTTGGTGTTCCGCGAGTGCTTGAGCAGTCAAGACCGGCCCAGTCCTTCTCGCCGATGAGGAGCCGCAGCAGATAGAGCTTCGGCGGCATAATTTCACGGCGTGGAACGGCCAGGTACCGCAACTCGAAGCTTCGGAAGCGCTCCTGTTGCGCATGGCGTTCCGCCTTCGTCGGACGATGTTGGAAGTCTCTCTGTCATTTTCGTTGGATCAACTTGTACACATGAGTGCTGACTGTTGCCGGCACCTGTACAAGTACTTCATGTGACTGGTCTCCTGACGGAGCAGGAATACCGGGGCCTGAGCAGCAAGGTACCTCGTGTTCACACATTCGAGGAATCGGCAATTGTCCACGGGCACCATGCAAGAGACGCCCCTAAAAGGCCTAAGCTCTTGAACACTGAGAGGGAATTCTCGGATCCCATCTCCATGTGCCGGCTAAGCATGAGAAACGGTAGCCTCGTCGGGGTTGACCGATCTAAACTTGCATCACTTAAGCGAGATATGCGTGCTTAACGATGTTGTTCAGTGGAGATGGGAAAAGTCATCTTCAGCCCTATGTATCGATCGAATGGAACAGGTGAAGCGGATGCAGCATGGGATTTAACAATGACAAAAGAAGATCAGAAGCTTACATCTATACGAGGAGGTAGAACTGGACTGGCGTCTGCTAGCATGAGTAAAGCTCCGTAAGGGATATCAGGCAAGGTCGGTCGACGCATTCAACAAATCCCGAATTGACCTCTTGCCATCTGGCTGTCGCGTCCAAGGTGCAACTGATGTTGGGCGTCGATGCAGACTAGGAGAAGAGACGGAGTACTCTCGGAAACCACATGATAGGTCACTAAAGAAATCGTGTTCCGGGTATGGACACTCGGTAACCTCGTACACGATTATGAGAGCAAAAGGCTCCCTGTGCCGTAACAGCTGGGGTAACGTGCTGCTTGGGATGAGGGAGTTTCTGGAAAGCGAGCGGAAGCAATAGCCGGGAGGGGAAAATCCTTGATCCGACCGATTTAATCCGCTGCTTTTCCGCTCAATGTGTTGCCTCATGAGCGTCAATGGCGCAAATGGGAGCTTCAGATAGGCGGACGGGCACCCACATCTCAGGGGTTGATTGGACTTCCTCCTGCGCCCGACACCCTCGCAGCGTCACCAGCGTCATGGCGTTTGCTTTGCTCAGCGTGCAGTGCCCAGTGGAACGTTGGTTTCGAGGTCCAGACTGGCTGAATCTGACAGCAGAGCGCATACCTCAACACCAACTCTTCTTGGGTATACGAGGGAGACGGACAAAGGAGGACAAACATTTCTCTGCTGCCGACAACCGAGCTCTTGGGTGAGGTAATAGCGAAAGTATCTCTTATGTGCGTAGGGGTGCTCCGTAGGGCGCACCGAGTGCGTCTCCGTAGAGGTTCTTAGACAGGAGGAGATGAGGTCGGCTGTTGAGGCGCATTGGGTGTGGGGTATCTGCGTATGGTCGCTGAGACACCCTTAGTATCACACGACAAAGGGCAAGTCGTTCGTAGAAAGGACTGTTTAGGGGGTGTGTCGGTTTAGAAACATGGAGGAATGCCCAAACCATCGTCTCCGCAGTACGGAGTAAATTGTTTTCGGGTCAAGTGGTTCGACCACTCCAGGCACAGATGGCACAAATCGAGGCCGGAGATGCAGAGCTTTCGCTGATCTGCAAGGGCCAGACGCTTCGTAGAGCAGCTTTCACATCGGCCGAAATAGCCCATGCGACGCGAGAAGGGTCCAAGAAGGAACAGACAGGACGAACGTCAAGCGGATTGGGTAACACGAGGCATGGATGGAGATGATTCGTGCAACGGTTGGTGGTGGGATGAGGAGGGACAGACGAGGAGGGAGCGATTTGCGCCTTCTTCCCACATCCCAGCCATGGGACGAGGGGCGCAGGGCATGCAGCTGGGCACCCTCAGTCGTCGCCATACCCGGCTGGTATGTAGCTTCCAGGCCAAGTCTGGGGAGGGGGCGGTGGAAGGACGAACCACGAGGGATGAAGGCAGGGAGGAGGCAGGGCGCAGGCGATTCGTGCAGAAAGCGCTCGTCCCTAGGCTGGAAGAGATTAGCGGGACTGGTGTGCATTGTGGGCGAGGGGCGGGTCAGGATCGAAACAACACGGCCACCCCAGAGACGGTGTGTGGTCACTGGTCAGTCCCTGTGCTCAGAACTACGCAGCCAGAACCGGGGCGGACTGAGGGCTGCGTGCAGAGCGTTGGGCTATTCCGAGCCTGTGGAGTCGGGCAGAGGCAAATTTCATGGCTGTCCCCGGCAAATTGAAGCCCTCGTCGTGGACTAGGGCGCATTAGTCGGCGACGCCTTGACGTTTTAGCAGCGAATGGCTGGCAGCGCTGCAGGCACCACCAACTGCGACAAAGCGGGTCTCGTGCCCAAGTTTGTCCTGCACTTTCAACTAGCCCTTGGTGGTGCTGGCCGCCCTGATATTTCCCGCCCTCGCCGGCTTCCTGCGCTGGTCTTCTTGGTCCTCCCACCCCTCTGGCCTCTCACCTCTCACCTCTCCCGATTTCTGCCTTTTTCTCGCCTTCTCGCCTTCCCTCCCTCCACCGCCTGTTTGGCCAGCCTAGTTCGCAAATCGACCATACATCACCATCCCACCGCTGCTTTCCATCTCACCTACACTACCATTATCTACCACCTGCCACCCACTCTCGTCCTCCCTTCAGCCTTTTCCTCTCACGCCTTATTCCTACTTCTCCCATCGACGCCTGTTCCCCCAAACATTCTTGCCAACCAAGATCTGTGCAGCATAGACCCTCTGTCGCTTGTTCCAAGAGGTTCCTGATTGAATCAGCTGACACCCATTGTTTTTTTGCCACTGTTTGCCTCCTAGCTGGCATCCCTCTCGACACTACAACTGTACCGCTACATTCCCGTCCTAGACCTCTCTGTGTCCTTCCCGGTCGTCCTCAGCTGCAAATCGGATCCCACTGCATCATGTCGACCTTCTACTACACTGCCCATCAACAACACCAAGCCACCAATCCGCAGCCTATGCCCCAGACACATAGCCACCATGGCCGGTCTCGACGGGCACCCCGGTTGTCGGCCGCCCAAAACTCCCATCGGCAGTTCCGTGCCCCCAAGGTGATCAAAGAGATTGTTGTCACGGAGCCTCCAAGCATCACTGCATACCGGGCCCGGTTCGAGGCAGGACGTTCGTTCGACCTGGACGACGATCTAGAGTTCTGCCCAAACCTCTTGACATTGGATGAGGTTTGTGGCGAGCCACTCTCCACAACTTCATGTCTTACTGACTTCTTCGCAAAGCGTCAGTCGGTAACGTCAGGCTCATCGGATCGCTCGTCGCTGTCGAGTGGCTCCCCGAATTCCTCTCCTCTCCAGTCCCAGATACAACCTCAACAAATAACACCCGCCTTGTCCATTTCCTCTGCCGCCACGTCTGCGTACATGTCCCCGCCGAGCTTCGCTGGCCACCACAGCAGCCTCAAAATCCATCAACCCTCGGCGATCCGTTCTCGCAACAACGCCATCCCGATTGTGAATCCCTCCACCGGCAACCGCATCGCGAGCCCACCGTCATCCATCTCGCCAGGTATGATGCAGCAGACAACTGCCGCCCGCCGGTGGTAAGAGGGTCTCTGTTCTTGGAGTGCTCTCCCTCCGTGCTTGTTGTCGTTGTGTCGCTGTATTCGTTCTGGTCGGTGTTATGATGTGTCGCTCGCCTTTGTGCTTTCCGGTGCCTGACAACCCCCCTCTCGCCCTACCTCAACTTCTCCACCTCCCCTTTGATTTGTACATATGTATCTCACGACGAGGAAAAATTTTGTTCATTATACTACGAGCGGAAAGGCATAGCGATTCGACGAAGTTGACATCATGATACCAACTATTTGTGTGGAAGATAGGATCAACAGGGAGTACGGTGGTACAGCGATTTCAAAGACGAACTTGATTTTAGCATGGAGTTTCCCGAGCATATCCAAGGTCAAGAGGATCATGATAGACAACGATCATCATCACATTGGCGGTTCTCATTTACATGTGGATTTACGGGAGTTTTGCACATTCGGGACCTTTGGGGGAGGAAATGACAGATGAGAAAACATAAAAGATACCAGATGGGTTGATGTGGGTTTCCTGGTTGGGTATGTTGGTTCCACAAAGGATGGAACAAATGCACATCTCACGGTTGACGGCTGGCTTAAAACGATATCGGACTTTTCATGGGCCACATTCTTGTCCAGCACAACGGTCGGTGGGGATATCCGCCGTTATGAGATGTATTTCTAGTTAATAGAAAGCTGAAAATTTCATGAGTATTGGGTTCTGTTCTGAAAGATCCGATTTCATTGTCAAGTCTTTACCGGTATTCGTTCGCGAGGCACCCGTTGGCATCGCTATACGTTGTTCGTCTCTCCACGCAGCGTTGGCTACCTACGTACGAGGTCCTCGGTACCTGGATTGAAGAAGCTCATGCATAGCCTCGATCTTGTTTTCATAGTTCAGCTCTGCAAGGTACCAAACGCATGTTGACTCATCACTGCTATTCGGCGTACGTTCACCGGTGGCAGTGCAGATAAGTCGTCTTGCGAGCACAAATCGAACAATTGGTCAGATTCGACATGGGGTGATTAGGCGGACATCCCTCAGTGGGGTGGTAGATGTGGCTTGTACCCAGCATTGTGCTCAGTCCAACTCCTGTGTACTGGATGCCCGTACCCCTCTCAACTGTCCCGCCTTATAAGGTCAACTCCTTGTGCATTGGGGAGTGTGAGGGCGACATACCTTTAGCTAGTGATATGCCTTTCAGCGGTGAATCGAGCTCAGAGTGAAGGCCCGAGAAGCAGGTCAAAGTCCATCTTGGCGTTGACGTTCTTCGTCCACGATCAACCCCAATTCCACCGCCTTTTGGGCTGCAGAAACATCAGCGACCTCATTGCAAACGACACATCATTGCACTATGGCTCTATTCGCACGGAATGTCCTGCTATGTCTTCTGCTGGGCTTGATATTGTTCACCCTCCAAGCCCACGCATTTGGTGCTGGCAGTGCGTGCCCCAAAGAGATATCTGCTTGAAGCCCTAACTGACATGTGCAATAGATATTGCCTCTATATCTGCTGTAGAGGGCAAGAACTGGCGCCATGGCGATATTGAAGACGTATTGAAGACCGTAGCATGCATCCGTCATCACAAATGGAATTCGATGATGATCAAGCGTGTCTACTTTGGGTATGCCTGTGCTCTGTCAGGTGTAAACTACGCAAGGCTAACCGCCCGTTTCTAGGAATTGGCTTCGGGACTACTCTCAAGCTATGGATACCGGAGCTTTGAAGAAAGCGCAGCCGGAGACCATTCGCATCTTGGTCTGGCTGTTATCGTTCCTCGGGTTCGGTTATGCTACGGCAGAGTTCGAGGTCACTTCGGAGCGCTTGGGGGTATATCGACCTGAAGAGCACATCGAGTGCGTTGTTTCCTTTCGTTGTGGCTAACAACAATCGCTAACAGGGTCGTCAGCAACCCCAAAGATTACAATGACAACGAGGACGCTCGAAAGTACGATGTCCGCCTCCGGGCCCCTGTTCGGGACATTGAACTACAAATCGATATGGAGACTGGTATGAAGAACTATATTGCCAATGGGAAAGGTGACTGGGCTACCAGTGCGGCTTTCGTCAAGTACAGCTTTGAACGCAGTATCCACCACGGTCGTCTGTATACCAATGGCCACGGATTCTTCAAAGGGAAAGATGAAGATCTCGCTGAGGCTCTGAGATGCCTCGGACAAGGCTTGCACACACTGGAAGATTTTGGTGCCCACACAAACTACGTTGAACTTGTACTGCGAGAGATGGGCTTCCACAATGTGTTCCCGCATGTTGGGACCGCCACCGCCATAAATCTGCGTGGAAAGCACGTTTTCCCCCTTGTCACGGGCACTTTCGGAATGGTTGATTTCTATCACTCGGTCCTCGGAGAGGCAACCGACCATTTCACCCAGAGTGAAGTCAACGAGATGGACAACGCTCTCGGCACTGCTCAGCAAGCGGCGCAGTCCTCTAATCCCTTGATGACTTTGGTCAAGCTTCTCTCCAAGGTCCCAGGGACCAAAGGTCTCTGCGATGAGGCCGAACAGCTTCAAGCAAGCTCTCAAGCTCAAGCACGTGCCAATCAACAAGAAGGGTATGGGGCGCAGGGGGGATACCGTGGAGTAGAGAACTATGGAGAGACTTCAAGGGGAGTGGACGACTGGGAGAGTAGCCGGGCATCTCACCCAAGCTATTCATCGCAGCCTCAGGCGTTTGATGCAAATGCTTGGAACCAACAGTCTCAATCCGGCTATCAGCAGCATTGGGATCAGAATCCGCCTCAATACCAACAGCAACCGCAGTGGCACGATCAAGGCGTGTCGCAGGGTTTCAACAATCCACCACCTGCTCAGCATCAGCCTCAGTGGCACGAGCAAGGGATGACCCAGAATTATAGCACACATGACCAATACGGCGGTGGACATCAGGGTTGGCAACAGCCATCGCAGGAGTCATGGCAACAGCAACCACAGCATCCGGATCCTCATACTTCACAGCCTATGCAGTCAGCTACTCCAGCACAAGTGCCGCCGCAAATATCACAATCTGGTGCGCCCTCTTCAAGCGCTCTCGAAGGGCTGCCAAACTTTGATCCTTCCAAGACGATCGCTCAGATCTATCCCATCCTTGCATTTCGCGACAAAGTTGTTCGGACAATCAGTGGGATCATTGAAAAGATTCCGGGTCTAGAAGCGCTTGTCGACCGTATCACCGAGACTTTGACAGTGTTTATCCTCTCTCTTTTGGCACCTTTTGTACGACCAATTCTTAACGCAATCTCGAAAGCACTGCAGACGGGAAGTGAGGGCGTCCTGACTTCATCCGCAAAGCATCAATACGAGGTCTGGACGGATCCACACTCTACGGATCCCACACATTCGATGCTAAGCAAGGACCACTTCAGCAACTTGCTGAACGAACCTGCCGGTAATGTGGCGGCCGAGATTCTCAAATTCGTCGCTCCGCGAGTTCTATATGCTTGGGAACACCCCGACGTCCCAGTGCAACAGGTCATGCACGACGTCGAGAGTATATTCCATCATCCCGCCGTCAGAAACGAAGGGCTCGAAGTCCATCGGAATATGTTCGCTGCAGTAAAGAGATGGGTGGACGGCTTGCCTGACAGGGGACACAGCCTCGAGACGGTGTTGAGTTCAGACGGTGTGCGAGCAGGCAAAAATCACAAAGGCGGCGTCAATGAGCACATTCAACATTCTGCTCCAAGCACAAGCGGGGCGCATCAGACAAGTTCTGGCCCACTCGGAGGACTTGCAAGCTTCATTCCGGGCCAACAGCACCATGGCAGTGGCGGAGGCAACCAGTCGTCGTCTAACTCAGGCGCATTTGGTGGATTGGCGAACCTCATCCCTGGAGGACACCAGAGTGGCGGCCACGGGAGCAATCCTCTCGGTATGGTAGGTGATGTGCTCGGAAACTTCACGGGCCATAAACCAGCGCAGCAACACCACGGGGGAGGTGGTGGTCTGGGCAATATGCTGAGCATGGCCGATAAGCTGCCTATACCCGGCGTACACGGTGTGGCCGGCTCGTTCAACAAATACACGAAATTTATGGGCGGCTTCCCTGGAAGTGGGGCACGCGGTCTAGACGAACAGGATGTCGGAACAAGTGGTAGTGAACTGGGGGGATCAAAAGAGCTGCACGAAGCTGCGTTGCTGGGAGACCGGTCGGCCACGGATAACAGGTCGCCCAGTCCCATGCCTATGCAGCCACCTCCTGGATATGAGCAATATGGTCGACAAGACGCCGGTAGTTATGGATATGGCCAAGAAGGACAAGACTATCAATACCAGACTGCCTATCAGGACCCGTACCAGAGCCATGGTCAGTATGCCGGTGGCGGTGAGAGCGCGGGCTATTATGGAGGACGTTGACGAAATGATGCGGTCTGGAAGCCATGAATGAAACGTGTAGGCAGTGAGCTGTCTTGCGAGTGACACTCATCTCTCAAGAACAGTGTCCGAGTTATAGATTATCAATGAATTTGTTGATGACGCTCAGGAGAAGTAACGCCGCGAGGGTCACAACTTGTCAAATCTGCCGTGTCTCCCTAGACCACCAGCGAATCGAGCAGCACCTGGGATACTCTCCGCCTGCAATACCTTGACACCGTGGTCATACTCATTCCTCATTGCGTCTTCAAAGCTCTCCGCACCATATGCGGCGTAATAGCATGAATTCCGGTCAGCATTCATGCAGGCGTTAGGAAACCTCAGCAGCGACTCGGCGATCTTGGTTGCTTCTTCAAGCGCCTTGCCCTTGGGAACGACCCTGTTCGCGAGTCCCATGGTTAGAGCTTCCTGTGCAGAAACCGGTCGTCCGGTGAGAATCATGTCCAATGCCCGCCCCAAGCCAACGATAGCTTGCAAGCGGACTGTTCCGCCGTCTATCAGGGGCACACCCCAGCGCCGACAGTAGACGCCAAATATCGCGTCCTCTTCGACCACCCGCATGTCAGCCAACAGGCTTAATTCGAGCCCGCCGGCAACAGCGTGGCCCGCCACTGCGGCAATGACGGGTTTCTTCACCTGCAACCTCGACGGACCCATTGGGCCGCAGTTGCGACCTTGGACCGGCTGCAGATGATCTCTATCCAGCGGATCCAGCGTGGCTGGATCTTGCTTGGATTGCGCCGTCAGGTCAACAAGGTCTGCGCCAGCGCAAAACGCTCCTTCTGAACCGGTCAGGATGGCGACTTTCTGCGAGACGTCCTCCTCGAAGTCCAGGAAGGCAGAGTACAGTGCGCGGGCGGTGGACGGGTTCACAGCATTGCGGCGGTGAGGGCGGGTGATTGTGATTGTCGTGATTCCAGACGGGGTGTTGGAGACGGCGATTGGTGATTGATTCATTATTGCTGAGAAAGGGATACTACCCAGCAGTCTTCAGATAAAGAAAGCACAATAGGGAACAAGGCGATTGGTAGCTCTTTGTGATGGTGACAATGTTGTTGTTCAGGTCGAGCTGAGTGTTGGCTTAGCCGATGCGGCCTGCAGCATGCATACCTGCAGCCTTGCGAGGTGCAGGATGCTTGGGGGTTTCTGCTTCCGAGGCTCACAAGGCTGCGGGAGACCAACTCGCCGGACTCCCAGAAGCTCAATCTTACTCGTGTTACCATCGCCAAGGACACCGAATTAGAGCGCAGAGTTCTCGTATCTGGGAAAAATGCGAGATTTGACAGTGCTCGCACAAATGTTTCATGTTTTCCCAGCTGTTGAGTTGAATTGCAGGTGTGTACGGAGTCCTTGCAGGAGCCCTGCACGGCGTCTCGCCTGTCTCGTCGCTTGTCGCTACGAAATGCTCCATCTGTCACCACTCGATCACATATGAGTTGTCTGCTGCGCCACGAGTGGGATTGCGTTGCTGCAGCTGCAGAGGCCAGGATTGAAACCTGATGGGCAACCGACATGGCTGTTTGGGTGTTTGCCATGCGCACCCGAAGTGGGCGCTCGGGCGCCAAACGGGCCGCCTAGACTACAGGTGGCCTAGGCGTCGCACCGCTGCTTGGACGCGGGCTGTAGCACCGGGACTGATTGGCTGTCGGGGCCCCTCGCTGCCCCTGGGGGCCTCTGTGCGTTTGGCGGTGCGCCAGCCACGACGTCACCGGTGTTTGGAGGCACCACACAGGCATGCGATCCTCACACGGTCTATCTCGATCTTGGTTCCTTGCCTTCGATCGTCAGAACACCTACTCTCCAAGCCCTTTGTCCAACTTTTTGATCTTGCTTTCCTTTATGTTGATCTTTTCTCCATTCTCCCTTTCTTACAACGACCTTCATTAATTCCCCCCTTCTCGCTTTGTCCCAGTACTTATTTCGAGCCCCTGAAAGGGCCGTCTCTTTCACCAGAATTGGGCCCAGCTTAATATCGCCAGTCACTGACGTCCACTGCAGTGCCTCCTCCCCATTCCAAACGAGTACGCAGGTCGTCGCAAGAGAACCAGTCATGCTTCTACCAATCCTCTGACCACGCGCGTCCAATAATACAATACCTTGCCTCTCCACGCAGAAAATAAAAGGATTCCCGCAAGAGAATCAAGCATAATACAAAATGTCGTTGAACGATACACTAAATCTCGGGGGGAACACCACCGCAGCAGAACAGAAAAATGGGCAAAGCGCTGGTCAATTCGCTGCTTCCTTGGTCACTGCCATAGCAGTATTCGGGATCCAGATCGGATTGTTTCTCGTCATCAAGGACCGCTTCGCTAGAATATACCAGCCTCGGACATACCTTGTCCCAGAAAGAGAAAGGACCAACCCATCACCGCCAGGCTGGTGGAAGTGGATAAAGCCCGTGGCTTCTACCTCCAACTCTGAATTCGTCCAAAAGTGTGGCCTGGACGCCTATTTCTTCCTGAGATATTTGCGTACGCTGCTCAAGATCTTTGTCCCCGCCGCCTTGGTCATCTTGCCCGTTCTCATTCCCCTCAATCTGGTCGACGGTCGTGGGGCACAATTTGCACTCGGGAAAAACGAAAACTCAAGTAACGTCACGGGCCTGGATCAGCTTGCCTGGGGCAATGTCGCTCCTAACCACACTGGCCGATATTGGGCTCACTGGCTCTTGGCCTTGGGTTTGATTGTCTGGATATGCTATGTGTCTTTCGACGAACTACGCAACTACATCCGCATGCGGCAGGCTTACTTGACATCTCCACAACATCGTCTGCGTGCCTCTGCTACCACTGTCCTGGTGAGCTCGATCCCTCAGAAGTGGTGCACTGTCGAGGCCCTCGACGGCCTCTACGACGTTTTCCCCGGCGGGCTTAGAAACATCTGGATCAACAGAAATTTTGACGAGCTCAGTGACAAGATCAAACGGCGCGATAAGCTCGCTAAGACTCTAGAAGAAGCCGAGACCGAGCTCATCAAGAAATGTTTCAAAAAGCATGAGGAGAATGTCGCCAAAGCAGAGAAGGAGGCTGGCAAGAAACTCACTAAGGAGGAAAAGAAGCTGCGAGCTACCATTAGAAATGAAGCCGGTGATCGGGCAGCCCATGGCCACGGCACCACAACCGGAAATCCTCATCAGATCGAGCATAACCTTCACGATGTCATTCACGGTCATCAAACTGGCTCCCCCTCGGAGTCAAGCGATGACGAGGAAGAAGAGACCTCCGAGCCTCAACGGGACCGATTCAATATCCCCATAATTGGCGGAGGCATTTCTGCGGTCACTCACGGTTTGGACAAAGTGGGCAAAGGGTTATTGGGAGGCATTCGGGGAGTCAACAAAGGAGTCAATGACACCCTCGACACCACCAATGGCTTCGTGGCGACGGATGCTGAACGAAAGGAAATGGGCCGGAGCTCTCACGATGAGGACGACGATGAAAGTGCCAGCCCTGCGACACCAAAGAACCGCAAGGCCTTTGGCCAGCCGCGAACAACAGGTGCCAAAGATGCCTCCGCAAAGAATGCGAGCTCACTTGGTGACCGAGGAAGGTCGATGGAGAAGTCACCTCGCGACCCACATCCACCACAAAGCCCAATCTCTCAAGGTAGTACAATGGGGGGTGAAAAGGCTCGACCGGAAAAGCAATTAACCAAATTCGAAAAGTTCAAAAAAACCCTTGGTCTCGGGTCGGACGAGAAGGAACCTGTGGACTACCCGTCGGCGTTTGAATGGAACTTTGAACACGACCCTGACGATGCAGTCTGGCGACGGTATTTAAGTGAAAAAGACCGTGAGACCATGAGACTACCGATATTCGGCTGGCAATGGATGCCTTCGCTGCCTCTGATGGGCGAAAAGGTTGACACGATTCGATACTGCCGGAAGGAGGTTGCAAGGCTCAATGTCGAAATAGAGGATGATCAAGCTCATCCTGAACGGTTCCCTTTGATGAATTCCGCCTTTGTCCAGTTCAATCATCAGGTCGCAGCACACATGGCCTGTCAAGCTGTCAGCCACCACCTACCCAAGCAGATGGCTCCACGCTTGGTCGAGATCGATCCCAATGATGTCATTTGGGACAACATGTCAATTCCATGGTGGTCAGCGTACATCAGAACTGGTGGGGTTGTTGCCATTGTGGTTGGTATGATCATCCTCTGGGCCATCCCCATCGCCTTTACGTCGGCTCTTTCACAGCTCGACACTGCTGCTAAGACGTGGACCTGGCTGCATTGGGTTCTCAAAATTCCTGCATGGATCCGGAGTGTCCTCCAGGGTGTGTTGCCAGCAACCTTGCTTGGTCTTCTGCTGTTTCTTCTCCCTCTGATCCTCCGTTTCCTGGTACGATGTCAGGGAACACCGTCTGGGATGTTGGTGGAGCTCTCGGTTCAACGCTATTACTTTTGCTTCCTGTTCGTCCAATTGTTCTTGGTTGTCTCGATCGCCTCAGCCTTGACCCAATTCTTTGCGCTTTTCACAAGCGTAGACGGCTGGACAAACGTCCCAAGTCTCCTGGGTACCAACATCCCCAAGGCCAGCAACTATTTCTTCTCATACATGCTCCTCCAAGCCTTGTCAGTGAGTGCCGGAGCACTACTACAGGTCGGCTCACTCATTGGATGGTTCATCCTTGCTCCTCTGTTTGACAACACAGCCCGAGCCAAATTCGCGCGACAGACCCAATTGCAAAACATCCAATGGGGAACGTTCTTCCCCGTGTACACGAATCTGGCTTGCATCGGTTTGATCTATTCCGTTATCTCGCCTCTGATTCTTCTTTTCAACATCGTCACCTTCTCACTATTTTGGTTCGTTTACCGGTACAACACCCTTTACGTCAACCGCTTTACTCGCGACACTGGGGGCCTCTTGTATCCCAACGCCATCAACTTCACCTTCGTGGGTGTCTATGTGATGGAGGTCGCTCTGATCGGCATGTTTTTCTTGGTCAGAGATCAGCACGGGAATGTCGCCTGCACGGGCCAAGCAATCGGGATGATTGTGGTTCTCATCCTGACCGCCGGCTATCAGTTGCTTCTAAACAATGCTTTCAGTCCGTTGTTTAGATATCTTCCTATCACTCTCGAAGATGACGCGGTTCGGCGCGATGAGGAATTTGCCCGAGCAATGCAAAAGAAACATGGACTCATTGAGAATGAAAATGAAAATGAGGATCTTGAAGACCAGCTGGAGCGTAACGAGCGACAGTCGATGGAAGAAGACCGCCAACAACATGATATCGAACTTCAAGATATCGAAAAGGACAGACAGGACCGGCTTGGGAGGCAAAGGTCCCAGAAGTTGCCCGATCTTGAGCCGTACGAGTTTCAGAATCCAGAGATTGCCATGAATTTAGACCAAGACAGCAGAGGCATTCGAATGATGAAGGCAGCAGCCCAGAAGACAGCCGACAGGACTAAAGGCCTGGTGCCACGTACTATTTCCCAAAGAGGCCAGCGCAAGTCCTGGGCCGACAGAGACAACGCCAGGAACCGACGAGCATCGAACTTTGGTGAATGGGAGAGTCCCTCACGAAGTAGAAGTCTATCGCAGTCCGGAGGGGCGTTGAAGCATCAGAAACACCATCTGCAACAACCTAAGGATGTCTTTGATAAACTCAACAACTTTAACCCGGTGACGGGCACTGAAAAGGACGTTGAAGCACAACGCGCGGCTCGAAACCAGCTTGCTGACGCTCTCTTTGGAGGAGTCAATGACGAATTGGAGGATCTGACACCCGAAGAGCGCGATAAGCTCGTGCAGAGGGCTTTCCAGCATAGTGCGCTCCGAGCCAGAAGGCCTGTCATCTGGATCCCCCGGGATGAACTCGGTGTTAGCGACGACGAGGTGCACCGGATGGGCCGCTTCAGCAGTCATCTCTGGGTGAGCAATGTTCGACAAGGCCTCGATTCCAAAGGCCGTTGTGTTTACAGTGGCGCGCCACCTGATTTCAGCGAGGTGGATGTGATCCAGCTCTAAATGCTTGCATCAGGGCACTATGATGAAGTCGCCGAATGATGAAAGCAGTTGCCAACCTTAGCGAGGCGTTTTGAACCCCTGGTCAGTGGGGGCGATTTGTTACAAAGTGAGTGGGGAGGAACTGTGTGGAAAACCACGCACCGTTGATGTCCATAGAGCTCTGATGATACCATTCGAATCCCTGTAACAATATTGAGAATAAAACGTTCATGACCAGATTTCAGTGTTCCACTATCATGCCAATGAACAGTGTAAGTTTCCCCCGCCGCCGTTGAAAGCTACAAGTCGATGGAACAGAGGCAGTCTTTACTCACAACATCGACTACATTATATTCCGGGCGCCGTTATCGCGGTCCCGCGGGTACCTCGTACTCCGTCATTGCTCAGCATATGCGCCCAATTCCGCGAACCCATGCTCTGCCTATCTGCTCCATACTGCACATACCTAAGTACCTTTATTAGTAGGGAAGGGCTTCCGCTCTGGCTTGGCACGGTTTTTGGCCAGTTCTGCTCTCACTGGCCCGGGCGCTGCGGCCCCCGCTGGGCGCCTTGTGATTGGCCATCTCGTAATTCAGCTTTCTCGGAACCAACCTAGTACTGACGACCGGCGAAGCGACGCTCGTTCAGCGGTCTACTCGTGTGTATGAGTATACATGTACGGACGGTGGACAGACGAGTAAGTACTCCGTACTCGTACATACTCAATGTCCATTAAGTCTCCCATTGGGGGCCGTTTTCTTGCGGCTGTTGTTCTGCATCTGGTGTCTCGCTCCGATGGTCGCAGGGCTAATTGATTCGCAGAGGGCCTTGGGCACACATCGGGCCTAGAATAGCGAGTCCTTGCTGTAAAGGCTTTAGTTCGTGTGTCCTTGAATTCCAGAGCTACTGTGTACAACAAAAAATGGTATTTACTTAGTGGCTGGGTGTATCTGCACCAGATAACCTTATTAAAGACCTTGCTAAGACCGGCGCCAGCCGACGAGCCTCACTAGCCGAATAAAGCGAGGCCTCCGACCCCAATTCCCTTTGCCCGCCTACCTGGAAATACAGGTATATCACGAGACTGCTGTCCCAGCAGTATGGACTACATGATGTTGAGGTTTCTGTACAGTTCAAGTCAGTATTGCTACCCTTCATCGCTCTTGCCATGCCGGATCTCCGCTGCTCATATACTTTATCGTCAAGAACTATAGCATAGGTGCTATATCCACGCTGCCTCAGGTGATTCTTCTCCCTCCCCGGGCCGAGACATGCAAGAAAAGAATGCAGACGCCGAGCCATCGCAGCCTGAATACAATGCCCCGGGTCCTGACAGCGATGCTGCCCCAGGTAGGCCGCAGGGAGACAACGCCAATCCGACAGCAACTGAAGACAACCTACTTCTCTCGGCAGAATCCGAGCCAAAGCCGACCCAGCCAGCACCAGGTACAAGCATAAGAGTCAGTCAGCGACCGATAGACGGCCCGTCGCCGAACGCGTCAGAGAAGGCTCAGAGCAGCGGGCAAATTCGACACATCATCAAAGCATGGAAATTCGAGCTGCTCGCCTGTGTTTTGGCAGTGGGCATGTTGTTCGCCATTTCCATGACGCTGTATCCGTTCCAAGGACGACCACTGCCCAACTGGCCTTATGACCTGTCAATCAACGCTCTCGTCGCCATCTTCACGACTCTCTTGAAAGTCGCCCTGGGCGTCATCCTGAGCGGAGGGCTAGGTCAGCTCAAATGGGACTGGTTGAAGAGAGGCGGCCATCTCAGCCATCTGATCAAGTACGACGAGGCCAGCCGTGACCCGTTGGGATGCCTCTTGTTCCTGTTTGCGTCCGGGGCGTCGGAGACGATTGCCATTGTCGGGGCGATCTTGGTCGTCTTGACCTTGGTCATCGACCCGTTCACCCAGCAGCTTGTCCGCTACTACGATTGCAAGATCCCGTCCAGGGATCAACCAGCTTCGGTCGTTCGCACCAGCGGCTATTTCGACTGGGGCGCCCATTTTGCCGCCGGTCAAACTGAGATCAACCCGCAGATGCTGGCTGCCGTGCAAGCGGGAATTTTCAACCCCAGCGCCATCAGCGTGGACTTCAATTGTCCATCCGGCAACTGCACTTTCTCGGACCTCTATTCAACGGTGGCCTATTGTGCAAGCTGCACAGACACCACTGGTCAACTCAATATCTCCAACAACGGCGAATTCCTGATGAGTACGCTTCCATCCGGTGCTTCTGCGTCCTTCCTGGTGAACGGATCCGGTTTCGCCGACCAGCATTGGTTCACCATGGAGGTCGACGTTGATACTTTTGATTTCGTTTTCGCAGCCCTCCCGGAGGATGCAGCAGGTTACTTTGCCCTGATCACGGACAACCCGTGTCAAACACCCTACGAAACCAGCACCTGGGCCTGCTCTGGACCGGGAGCCGCCAGTTGTGCCATATATCCCTGTGTCAAAACCTTCAATGCGTCCATCCAGGCCGGACAATTGGCCGAGAATCTGATTTCTTCCGTCCCGTTCGGGATCACCGAGGACCAAGTCGGACCCATTAGTACCGGACAGATCGAATTGCTCATCAACATACCGTGTCTCGAACACGACCAGGTCGAAGCACTGACGGAGCTCGGCTTCAACACGACCGGATCCCAGTGGATATCGAGCCTCCCGCCAAACGTGACGATCGACATCCTCAACGACTACAACCCGACGTACAACCCGTCCAACGCGACCTTTTCCGGCGCCATCGTCATGACGGGCGGACACCAGAACCTGACTCTACCACCCCAATGCCTGTACGAGATCGACGTGGACAACATCGCCGGAGTGAGCCTGTACCTGCAGAGCATCTTCAGCACGTCCATCTCGCCAACAGCCAACGGGGACGCGTTCGAGGGCTCGTCCGAGGCCCTGGCCATCTTCAACAACTCGTACGTCAACTTCGACAGTATCGCCAACGCCGTCGACAACCTGGCCGACTCCATGTCGTCGTACATGCGCCGGTCCGGGTACACCAACTACAGCCAGCCCGCGACGGGCACGACCATGGAGACCACGACGTGTGTGGACATCCGGTGGGCGTGGCTGACGCTGCCCGCCGTGGTGACGGCGTGGGCGCTCGTGTTCTTCGCCGCCCTGCTCCTCAAGACGGAGTTGGGGACCAGAAACCTCACCCGCGGGTGGAAGTCCTCGCTCCTGCCGCTGGTCTTCCTGGAGCTGGACGGCGTCGGGCGCAGGGAACCAAAGACCGACGGCGATGTCCCCGGGATCGAGGAGATGGAGAAGAAGGCAAAGGACGTCTACGTCCGGCTCTTTCCAGCTGGGCCCGCCTAACTGCGGCGGAGATGCGGGCATGAATGACCGGCGACAGCACTATCACGGTCCTGTTTCACGACTCAATGAAGGTGTTCTATACCCGAAAAGTGGAATTTCTGGATAGCTGCAAACTAATTTAATTGCTGAAGACTTTATTGTTGTGGATCGTCCTGGTCGAAGAGCCCTGTCATGAGACGCCGCGAGACGGGGTTCCCTATGAGGGGGGAACAACAGAGGTATCAACACCCGAGAATTCCTTCTAGTACAGGGCAGGTCAATGTACCGGGGGCGAAGCTGACCGATAGTGGGAAATGATCAAGAACCCAAGTTTGACTACACGCCTATAATACCCAATCCCGATGTCACTCATAACATCTTCCCAAAGCCACACAACCTTCGCCTTTCTCTATGCACCCAATGAATTCAGGATGACGCAGGAACTGACATCCGTGTTGCAAACATTGGCCCTCCCCAGGCCCTTGAACTTGGGTCCCGTGGGCCCGCTCACGTACTTGATCTGGCCGAGCAGGTCAACCTGCCCCGCGGCGTTGAGCGGGAGTTGCAAGTCCCCCCAGAGGCCGTTGAAGTCCAGCCACCCGGTGGGGTCTTGCCCGTTGTAGGCGGTGAATTTCTGCGTCGCGTTGTCGAACGCGTAGAAGAAGGCGTTGGCCAGCGGGTCCCAGAGCGTGCCTCGCCCGGCCTCGTCGGTCACGGGTGAGATGGGCAGGCCGGTCCCCAGGTTCAGCCCGGTGATGTTGAGTGGGTGTGGCCCCGGAGTGGCATAGTTTGCGTGGGTGCCGTTGGCGCAGTATACGACGGGCCGCGACCCGTTGTTGAACTTCTGGACCGCGCTGAATGTGAACGCCTGGCCGCCCGAGTGTTGACTGTACCACATGGCCTGAGGAGTCCCGTTCTGGAACCGCACCATGACATGTTCCCAGTCGCCCACGTGGTCACCTAGTTCGAGGATTGGGAGCCCAAAGATCCAGTCGCCGCGGTTATACGCATAAAAGAAGAAGAAGAAGGCGTCGAGGATATTGTTGGGTTTACTCACGGTCACGACGGCGGTGGCGGTTGTGTTGCCGGGCAAAGAGCCATTGGTGGTAGGTTTTGCGCCGTGGAACCACGAAGGAAGGGCGCGGATGCCTTGATCGGAAGTGAGAGACACATTGCTACCGTTGCTGCCAAAGGTGTTCAGGCTGTTGAGATTGGCCAAGGTCAGCGAGGCGCGGGAGGAGAGATTTCGACCGGCGAAATCTTCAGGGTGCGAGTTCGCGACTTGTTGGGCAATGGAACTGGGAAAGAAGGCTTCCGTGGACTCGAGAAATACCACCGGAGCTGTTACGAGAACACCATGTCAGCTTCTGTCGTTGCCAGATTGACGTTGGCTTTCTCCTGCCCAGAGATGTTCAAGGAGAAAGAGATCAAAGCACAGCGAGGGATTCATACCGAACTGACGGACGAACGCTGGAACTGTTGCTCGTTTCTCGAGTCCAATGGCGGACACTGAAACTGCGATCAAAGAGAAGGACACTAAATAGTCTTGCCAGACACGCATTTTGATCTGTTAGCGAATGCGACGTTGGGAGTATCGTGAGAGGAACAGTGCCAGGGCGCAATTGTCATGTTTATGAAACGAAACGTGGGCTCGCTCGGACGGCGCATGGCATCACCAACCTGGACAATTAATTACGTCTGCAAATCCCTTTCCAAGACCTGACAACCGAATTTGGTAAATCTGAATCTGGCTAGTGTTCGGGCCCAGTCATCGAATGAGGCTTGACTGATGGCGTATACTCGTACTCCGGGGTAAGCTAGTATCATAGGCTCCGTCAGGCTCCGTCATGGGTAGGAGGCTGAGCTGAAGTACGTAGCGAGAGAGCACACGTCGTCTCGACAAGGCCATGCTCACGGGTAAGTGACCGTGAAGGTGGAGTTGAGCGTCTTGATGACAGTGGGGGCAATTTTCTGAGAGACCGCCAATCACTGCAAGCAGAAGACAGCGTGCTAACCGGAATCTCCTCATCCGCAGGTGGGCAGTACTGAAGTTGGTGAAACTGACGCATATAGCCTGGCTCGACAGAGGTTGAAAAGAGCCCCAGGCAGGGTCTCGTGCGAGATCCCCATACGGCCGACAGAACGGGGACGATAGCCGTGGCCTAAACATGTTCATCTTCCAATCATTCCTGCTTCTTCCACAGACGATAATCGGACCAAGAGGACGGAGGGTGACCAGTAGAAGGAAACTTGCTTCTCATCTGATGCTAAACGAAGGGCGACGGCCAGGCTGGGGCTGCTGACTTCGTAACTCTTCTGCGGGATCTTCAGCGCCCAGCATGTTTCCTCCTCCAGAGTGCTTGGCTAGAAACGACCAGGAGGTGAACTTTTCATCAAGGACTTCTGCTCCGCTGATAGGGTTTGACATGAAGATGTGGCCGGAGGAAGAAGAACAGAGCCGCAGAAACGGCGAGATCAAGTGCCAAGACCAGAGCTCCACGTGACCATGGGCGCAACGAGGTCGGTTCAGTATTGGCCAAACATCACCAAGGGACCTGGTTGATGTTGGAAAGGATTAGTTTTCTCCGGGAGAACGTTGGATGCAATACATGGAGATATGTTCAGATAGTGGCTGGCTCTCACGCACATTGTCCATGCCTAAACCAACTCTTCTAGCCTGGTCGTTTTGGTCCCACTAGTGCCATCAATGCAACCCGACCCGTTGAATCCCCTTCTCTCGCTGACCAGCGATGACTATGCACAACTTTCCTATAATAAGCGTGCTTGCTTTGGCCTTCCTCCTTTTCTAGTTCCTCGTCCACTTCAGCGGCCGCCTTGTGCACCTCTTGGATGGTTTCTTTCAGGGCTTTCCATGACCATTTATGTGCTCTGCGAGTCTTGAGGGTTGATGTAAAATCCAAAATGGTTGATGCTGATTCCGGTCGTTCGGATAATGGCGATCGCGGGAGAGGTCTATAGACTGGAGAACATGGCAGCAGTCGTACCTTTTCGTCCAGTTCACTTCCTTGCGCACACTCATTCCGTTTCCTCTTTCCAGTCCGCCCTCCCACGATGCCTTCTCCCTTGGTAGCGGACAACCACTGCTCTTTGTGTGCTCAAGCCTTTCGTTGTACCAACTTGTTGTCCGAACCGTGTTGCAACTCATGTGGTCGAGATCGAGGGCAATCATAGCCAGGCCTGAGGCGGTCGAACTTCGTTGGTGACGAGGCAATAATCTGGTCTCATAGAGACCTCTTCTGTTCCAGTCTCTTCGCACCTTAAAGAACCGTTCTCTCGCTCCGAGGTGTCTCAGTCACCAACCATCCCTCGAACTCTCTCAATCCGACTCACGGCCTTCTCCAACCGTTCTAGCCTCTTCCTCTTGTCAACATCCCTCTGCTCCAACACTTTGACCCTCTCTTCTAACTTTGCCCGAGCTTTTCTTTCATTTGCGACCATCTCATTTGCTTGCCCAAATAACTGTGCTGTGAGCTCTTCCAACTCGGTTTGAGTTTGTGAGAGGGAGGACTCGGCACGTATGCGGAGGGTGCGTTCTTCTTCGAGGGAAGATTGCAATGACGAGAGGCTCAAAGTGGACTGGTTGTTGTCCAAGGTGGAGGAAGACGCGAGGGTTGGTGTAGAATTACTAGTTATCGTTCCAACTCCGAAGAAGGGCGTTTTCGGTGGAGATAATGTGGTAGTGCTGGATGGTGCAGCGTTGTTCTGCGGAAATGTGCCCGTCGCCGGTGTCAAGGGGTTCTGTCCCCCTACACTACCGTTCGCTTCCCTCTTCCGTCCTGGCAAGAATGCACTGATGCTTGCTAGCCTCGACTGCTGCTGCTGTTGCGGTGGCGTTTGGCCTGGTGTTGTGGTCGAGCCTGTCCCCTCCAGCGGTGAAATACTCAACCTAGCATTTGACTTTGCTTGTTGCTGCAGTTGCTGCGACTTGGAGTATGCATCGCGCAAGTATGTGATTTCGTCCTCGTAGTCTGCCAGCTTGTCTACAGCCGCGGCGGCTTTGGAATTTAGGAGCCGGACCTGGGCTTCGAGATCACGGATGCGGCGATTGGCTTCGGCGGCTTCAGCAGAGGGGTCGGAGGGCGGGAGCAGATCATAGCCACATTGCGGACATGTGTGATCCGGAGAGGAGTGATATGAAGCTGCGGAGGTCGCAAACGAAGGGTCCATTGGGGTGGTATTGAGAAGGATCGAGGTTGCCATGAGACATGCTGAAACGACCCGAGGAGGAATGTGAAGACTGCACAAAAGGGACGGTCATATGGGAGTCAGCTGGTAATGACCGGCCAAGATATGAGAGATCGAATACGAATGGAAAAAAAATAGGCGCCGTGAACAGCCACCCGAAGTGATGTTTGGCTACGTTTGGGCGCCCGCGTCGGTTGACACGGAAGAACAAACCACTGACAGGCAATGCAAGGATGCCAGGCAAAATTGCACGGCTGGGTTTCCCAACTAACAGAAGCTCGACCTAAGCTCAATAATCAGGTAGGTGGACGGATTTCCATAGCTCCGATATATTAGAGCACGGAGTAGGTACTCGGTAGAATGAAGGGATATTTAATGTCTTGTCACCTGGCGCGTTTCATCGGCCCGTCGAAAGCCCCAGTGACGTGCCGGGTTGGAGCGTCGGTGGATCCTGGAATGCGCCCTCTCCGCCTGCGCCGCCTAGTTCTGGCACGTGACACGCCACGAGCATATCACGTGGACTAGGCGCTTGATGAAGTATGGAGTATTCCTCCCTGGCCCTGGCCACACTGCCCAGTGCCCACAGCAGCGTCACACTATGCTGGGGTGTTCATCGCTTCCAATCTGATGCTTCGCTGTTTGTGTGCAGATCAACTCCAGCTTGGCGAAGGGGGAGTACGAGGTTCTGGGCTCCCTTTTATCGCCCGCTTCGGCCCTGGGGCTTCGACAGGTCCACGAAGTAATGTTTTGTCCGAAGCCGCTATTTTCTCGACGAACAAATTTGGATTTTATTGTGTCTGCACTTGGTATTGGTTTATAAGAGCTTGGCCAGTCCAATTGGGTCCTGGGTTTTGCGTCCCTCTGGGCAGAACTGACATCTGGTCTTTGACCGTGCTGAATAATGGAAGAAATGGGGGAGCGCAGGAAGATTTCGTTGGGAGAAGCATCTGTGAAGCTCATGTCCAACGACTGGGTGCACCGAAAAAGCGAGTCTCCGTCTTCATCCTCCTTTGCAATTCTTCGCCAATGTTTGAAACCCCCTCTCCCGGAAACATCTCAACAAGTGGTATCTCGGTCAAAAAAAGTCGAAAAAACAGGATTAGCAAAGAGTGCCTCTCAGAAAAAGTATGGAATGGCAGCGCTGTAGTCGTTAGCACTCGAATCATGGTTCCGATGCGAAAAACTCACGCTATAGCCAGTGTCGCCGTAACACCCAAAACTGCCCTCGTTCGCACCTTTTCTCTCTTCAACTTCTCTTCCAACACTCTCGCTTTCTTAGCAGGCTGTGGTGGAAGTTCTGCGTCAATGTCGCTCGGCTCTGGTTCTTGCGCTTTGCGCTTCTTCGAAATCTTGGGAGAGCTTTCCAGAGTCTTGGCCTCTTCGACCATCTTTTTGGCCGTCTCAAGCATTTTCTCGGTATCTTCTGGAAGTGGTAACTCTGGTAAGCCAGCCGGCATTTCTACCGTCACATTCGTGTGCGTCGTCTCTGTTGTGCCGTCAACTTCGACTGATTGGTCGACTTCAACCTTGACCATCTCCGGCTCCGGGATTGTCGCCGGCGGACTAGGCAAAGCGGGTGACTCTGGTTTTGGTTCTGTTTCTGCCACAGATGCGGCGTCGTCTAGTGCCGACTGGAGAGTCGCGCTGGCTGCGTTAGCATTCGCTATATTGGCCTCTTTCTGAGCCTTGGTCTGTCTCTTTCTGGGAGATGCTTTCGCCTTAGTCGGGCTTGCAGCTTTGGCAGGAGAGGTCGACCGTGTTGCTCTCGAACGAGGCGCCTTTGTGGGAGGAGTTGGTTTAGTCTTATCAACGGGTAGATCAAATTTGGGAGGTGCGGCAATTGGCTTTTTCGCACTTGAAGGCGTTCGCGAAATGTCTGTCGGATCGAGAAGTGCACGAATCCAATCCGATAGCCCATACTCCTCGGCGAGTTCTAAAGCTGCATATGTTGTCAGCATCAAGCATTCTCCTTTCGCGTCGCACGTCATACCGAATTCCGGTGCTACCCAGACATTGCCCGCAACTTCGTCCTGACTTGTTGCTTCAAGGCTCTTGAGGAAATCGCGCTCTTCCTTTTCCTCCACATGGGCAGCCCATGGAAAGGCGATCTTGAACATGCCAGTTGCGCTCACAAAGCCATCTTTACTTCTCCTCTGCGAAAAAAGGTCAGACATGGCGCAGGGCAGGTTGCCGGTGTCTCTCGTACCATGAGGAAGTATGTTTCTGGGTGCGCTTGATTCGACTGACTAGCAAAGATCTCGGAACCGGTGAGGTCTTCGGGCAGGGGCGCCCGCAGATGGGCATACTCGAATGGACCCAGATTTTCTGCTCTTGTCGCATTCGATGTTCCCACTTGGCCCGGCTTGACAGTCAATTTTGTCTTTCCCAGTCGCCGACGGCTGACCAGCTCTTCATCTGGATCGGACGTCAGTTCCTCCTCCAACGGATATTCAGTTCGCAGAAGACCGACGTACAGGATGGTGCTGTGCCAGGCGCAACCAAAGGATTTCGCTTGGTGGGTAAAGGTCGCATCGTAATCTTTAACACGCGCACGATCTACTGAAGATTGATTTGAGCGCAGCAGAAGTGGTACGCGCCGGTAAGAGGCAAAAGGTCAATGCGAAAATGAGAAGGAGAGGCAGCGCCGGCTGCTGGGAGCCCCGTTCGATTCAAATGAAAAGCAACTGGGTGGTCAGGAAGGCTAGATAAGAAAGGAAAAGCGATGAGTTGTCCGGTTGTCAGTGGGTGGGTGAATTGAACGAACGCGACAACACAGAAATGGGAAGGATAGGTAGAGCGCAATCGGAGAGTGAGGGAACGGGAGGACGAGGTGGAAAATGGGGGGTGGGAGGAAGAGCTGGGCTGGAGCTGGGGAGAGTGTCAGGGTGTCTAACTGTTAGCTAGCAGGACTAGCAGTGACCCCCCGAGGCAAAGCAATAATTGGATGATTGGTGACTTGTTCCGGGCCAGGGCCCCCAATCGGAAGATTTTCTAGGTGACTGGCGAGCGCAGCGAAGAAATCACATCTGTGCCTGTGGTGTGCTGGCTAGGCTCGTATGACGCCCGTGACGGGCGTTGATTCTGCATCTCGCTCTGACTTGCGCTCCAGTTATATGACGGCATGAATCAGCAGAGCAGGACTTCGGGCATCTTCATGTAGTAAGTACAAGTAGGTAGTGAGTACTCGGTACTGTCTGCCCTTCTGGTGCAGGAGAACAACATCTCAAAGGACTTCGTCCTTGTTCTTCATCAATCCGGTCCGATTCTTCGCTTTTTCGTCCTCCTTCTCGTCGCCTATATCTAGGACTTCATCACCACGATATTCCCAAGCACCAATATCCCTTGGCCCGTCTATACCATCTGGAGGTAGTGCCCATTGTGGCGCAGGACTGCGGTAGCTCCAGCTCCCTTCGGCCACGTCTGCATACGAGAGCGCGTGAAGATATATGCCGAGCTCATGAGGGCCGGGGTCCGAGTACAATGGAGTGTCGCACACTGGACATTTCTCGCCCGTCATTTTCTCTCCCTTCCGCTTGTTGTAGTCGGCCACCATCTCATCGTGCGCTTTCACGAATGCCCCGTATTGAGGGTCATTGTGCATCGCATCTTCGCCAGATCCCGCAAAAGACCCGGCATGTAATGTGCCGGCCGGCAACGGCTTGAAATATGGCTCTTCGCCTGTCGATGCAGATGACCGTGTTGCGTCGCTCAACTTAGCAGCCCCAGAAACAGTCATTTGTTGCGTCTGATCCACAAGCATCGACAGTCGCTCCTGCTCGTATGATATGGAGTCAGAGACCTCACTTTTCCCTATCAATTTCAGCTTCGCTATTATCTCCTCATCCTGATCTGCGCTCGAATCGTTTTTTGCAAGACCAGGCCCAAACACGGCTCTGTTGCTGTATATTGGATCGTTCGTGATCGGGTGTCCCAGAAATTGTAGGTGGACTCGGATCTGATGCGTTCGTCCCGTCAAGGGAAGGCAATGGACGATGCTGTAGCCTTCGTTCTCAGTACCGGAAATTGCTGATGCCGGCTGCGCAATTGTCTGGCCGTCTGTCGATGACCCGTGAGAATTCGGGGTAGCCTCCGAATTTGCCGTTGGTCGTGGGTTGTGAGGATAATATGCCAATCGTCTGAACAACGTCTTTGCAGACTTCCCGCTCGCTCGCGCTCGGTTGAGTCCAACAATGGGACTGATTTGCAAGATGCTCTCCTCGCATTTGACAACCCCTCCACGCATTGGGTCTCCGTCCCAACCTTCTCCGTCTGGGAAACGGCCTTTGACTCTTGCGACGTACTCCTTGCGCACTGTCCGCCCACGCAGTTTTTCACTGATTGCCTCTGCTTCTTTGCTTGTCTTCCCAATAAACATGACACCACTGGTCAGCCGATCAAGTCTGTTGCAGGGTAAGGGTTTGAATGAGAAATGGCGCTCGGCTTTCATGATCTCTACGACCGAATTGTAGTTGTACCGACCAGCCGGATGCACAGGCACACCGGCAGGCTTGTCGATAACAATCATTTCATCCGTTTCATTGATGACTCGAATCGGCTGCGCCGTCACGGGCGGCTCGTGTCTGTGCAGCGTATGTGAGATGACATCGCCATTCTGAACAATGGTATGGACATCTTTACATGGCTTCCCATTAATCGAGATCTGGCCCGTCTCGATCGCCTGCTTGTAGTACTCGCGCGTGCGGTCTCGAAACTCGGCGGCGAAGATGTCGAGGATTTCCCGTCCCCGCCATCGCTGTTTGCAATAGGTGTTGTATGTGAAATGATAAGGGGCCACGCGCCGGAGGCCATTCTCGAGGTAATACGGTCGAGGCCACGGATCGCAGGGTGTTACCGCGACAGAAGGAGGATTTGTGAGCGGCTTTCTGTCGTCAAAGAATGGGGGCGCCTTGGTTTCAGTCGTGATCAGGGCCATGCTAGGGCTGGGGTAGCGACCGCGACTTGCCAAATAGGCAAGAATGCGAGGTGAAGGAGCCAGCGATATCAGCGAGAGCGGAGGGATTTGGCATATATCCGCCTGTAAATTCAAATACGAGTCATCTAAGAGAAGATCGGGGTGCCACACAAAAACTTTTGGGGTGGGTGTTCCCAACTGCGGTACAGCTGATGCCGAAGTCGCGCTTTTTTTTCAATACCTTCAGACAGGCGAGCGAAGCTGCTCCTCTCATGGGACCGCACAATTTCGGCTCACAAGGATAAAAGAATACACATGTTCACAGCTTGACTGACTTGATATCTATCGTCTTCCGGTCGAGAACAGCAACTTAAGTACGATCGATACGCAGTAGAATACACTACGCCCCCATGAGCACTTTGCAGTTCCTCCTGTGCAGTACGTTGGCACAAGTGGTCAAACAGGAATTGCTCAAATGTATCCTTCGCAATAAAAAAACAGTCTCACATATCATGTAGAGGCCCTGGGAAAGAGAACGGGCGAAGTCCATGCTAGAAGAATCTCAATCCCAGCCTTCCCTCCGACCCAAAAAGCAGGGACCGGACCAGGAAACGTGAAATCTCGAGAAGTAACGTCTGGCAGACTCTTGAACAGGAAAAAGAAACGCCGAAATGTCGGGGCGGAATATTTTGATGTCCTTAATTGGTATCGATTTTGTTTGGTTCTCATACCATCGGGCGCTCCTGGCGATGGTGCACAGAATGGGTGCTCAGCCATAGGAAGGTCGCTCTCTAACCCCGTCTTCCACCGCTGTAGACCTGTTTTGCAAGAAAAAGCTCGTGGCCACCTCTCATTGAATCATATCCACGAACGGAACCACAACACCTAGTCACCTCCGCGCTCATGACTCCGTAGTAATCTTCGCCTTGGGGTTGGTAACCTTGACACCCAGTGCCTTTGCCTTTGCAACGATCTCAATTCGCTTTCGTGATGAAACAGCAGATGCAATCTCAGCGGCGTATGTTCGGTTGTGCATGAGGAGGAGTTCGACGTCGCGGGGGTTGTGGACGAGGAAGGCCTTGTGGCCAGAAGGCATCATGTGCCGGGTCTTCTTATTTGAGCCGAAGCCGATCTGTTCATTTCTTCTGTCAGCCCAATGTTCCAGTGTGCCGATAACCTCGCATTCATTCACGAAGTGCTCAGTCCATGCGCTCGTGCATTGTTCCCTGGTCCTAACTGCTGATTCGAAAATTCGGACATACCGAAGGCATAACCATTTGGCCCTTGAACCGTCTGCGAACTCGGTTGTCGATACCCTTTGGCTTCCTCCATGCTGACGGCACACACTTGAAGGTGTCGGACTGGTGGCGGTGCCAGGCCTTTTTGTGCTTTTTGATGATGGGGACGTGCTTCTTTGCGGAGACCATCTGCGCGAATGTCAGCTATCGTCTGGGGCTTTTGAGGATGGAACGATCCGACCTTGACAATTGTATGGTCTTGACACCTGAAGCAATTACGGGGGTTGTGGTGAGAAGTCGTCGACAATGGCGCCCTAGTTGAAAATCGGGGGTCGAATTTCGCAAATTGCCAAGAGTTCACTTTCTGTGCGCCGGAGACACTTGAGCCAACCAAATTCGGATTAGCGTCTTCGGCCAGCCTTAGGCCTTTCCGTCCTCCACGTACGCAGTCTGGCAGTCGACTTACTGGCTGCATACCTCGACGCCAGGGCAGTCTACGGCTCTCCACCATATTCGTGTTTGTAAGTTCAGCAAAAGCTGTTCTCAGTAGAGGCTGCCACACCTTCTACAGCTCTTGATATTCTAGTTTGATCGGGACTCCTCCCTGCTCGCCGCTCCGCAGCATGGCTTCAATCAGCTCAAGATCTGCCAGAGCCTCTTCAGGCGATTGACTCTCGTTGACCTTCCCAGCGGCTAATGCTTCTCCCCAGGCTCTCACTTCTCCCGGTACACCCGTCCTTTCGTCCTGGACCTCCTCGGTCTTCTCGTCATACGTGACTTTGTTGCCCGAGAGGCTCACAGAACCCTTCTCGCAACCGACAGCCCATTCACTCCCCTTGTGAGTCGTTCCAAAGGAGATCGATATCGTCCCCACAGAGCCTTTCTTGCTCTTTGCTGTAGCTTCAACGGTGTCAACCGGAGGAAGATGTTCCTGAAGCTGTGCAGAGTGCGCTGATAGCGACACCAGTGGATTGTCTTTGCCCATCATCAATCGAAGCCCAGCAGTGAAGTGTACGCCGCCGTCCAGCAAGAATCCACCCTGGTGCGTGGGGCTCTTACGCCATCTAGCAAGCAGTCAGCATCATTCGACAGCTCTGCCAGCTGGACGAAATGATCTTACTCGGTCTCAAAATATTTCCCACCCTCAACAAGCGTCTGCAGCCGGCATCTGAAAGTCAATTGCCGACCCTTTGTCTTGACGACCTCCGCAGCGCGAATAAAAGAGTTCGTGTATCTGACGTTTTCGGCAACTGCCCAGGTTACCTTCTTCGGCTCTATCTCTGAGTGATACCATTTGATGAGTTCGGCGGCCTCCTTCACGTTCTCGGCCACCGGCTTCTCCGAGAGGACATGCTTGCCGGCCAACAGCACTTTGCGAATGTAGTCCGGCTGGTTCTTGATCGGCAAGGCGACGATGACTGCTTGGATGTCCGAGCGGGCCAGAAGGTCGTCCAAAGACTTGCCAGCGCCCGAGTCGTCAGAGTAGAGATCAACTTTAGATTCGTCCACCTCGAGCGTCTTTGCCGATTTCAACGAGCGCGAGTAGACGGCCTTCAGCGTCAAGTCCTTGGAAGCCTCAACAGCTGGCTGTCAAAGTGCGTTGTCCACGTCAGTACAAGTGAACACCGGGGGACAATGGTTTTCCTGCGCACCTTGTGCTCCTCTCGAGCGAAGATACCTGTGCGTAATCCGTCAACATTGTGGCTGAGACTCAATTGACAAACCTGGGATCAATCATGCATACCTCCGCCTAGAATGGCCACCCCAATCATTTTGATACGAGCGTTTGTACCAGACGTCTCTATTGTTTGATTGCCCTAGAGAAGGAATATCGACTTTTCGAGCGTCAAATGAGGGCAGCAGTCATTCATATCACAACTGCACAAACAACCCCGCCAGTCCCAGAATTCCCATCGAGTCCCAGCAATTTAGGTTGTCGGCCCCTCGCGGGCTCATTGCCGTCTCAGTGCTGGTTGATTCAATATCCGTGTCACGTGTTCGGGTATCTTACATTGCCAGTTCCGCGTTGTGACTCGTTGCTCGTTGCCACCAGTGCGCGGCGCGTTGTTTGTCGTCACCATGCAGGAAAACTGGGTCTTTGTCCAAGGTCCACAGGAGAAAAGCATAAACAACAGGGAACAAAAACACATGTTACGGACGGTGGGCGCGGGATGGCAAAGTTCCAGGGAAAGCCTCATGACGCCCCTGACCGACCTCTGCAACATCGTCCACTCCTTCTGCTATCAATATTCTTTGCTCGACCCTTTTCCTTCACCCTATACACAGCCTCTGCCAGAGCGAACTCGACCTGCGCGATCCCTAAGAACAGCGATCCTGTCCGTCCCTTTTCACGTGTAAATTATGACAAGGTCAAAAGACACTCTCTCACGACAACGCCCTGACGAACGCTCGGCATCAAAACATCAAGTAACTATCTCGCAATCAAACCAGGACGAAAGCGTGCAAACGTCTCTCCCGGAAGAGCTGCGCGCCTCCACGCGTCAGAGACACCATGCCCTGAATATCCAGATCACTCGGCGGCTGCCATTGTGTCTGCCACCAATTGTAGACAGTCCACTCACTTATACCAAAGGCATGATAGTCTTTGGCCAGATATACTTCGCTATCGAGACCTTTCTGGATGCACAACTGGCTTCTTCTCAGCTAGACCGGCGACTACGCCACATCTACGAGCGCGTGTGCTTTCCCTGGCTGCTCAGGTCCCGCCGGCTCCAAAACGATATCGAAACACTCAAATCAGACCTCCTGCGATCTCAGATCGAAGAGCTCGAAGCCTTGGTCGAGGAGTCGAGGGGATTTCGTCGGCAAATTGAGGGTTCATTGTCGGCGAGACCACATGTCATGCTGGCTTATACCTGGACGATGTACCTTGCTCTTTTCAACGGCGGTCGCTGGATTCGAGGCCAACTCGTCTCCGCAGGCCCAGAGTTTTGGCGTGCAGGTGCATTCCCTTTATCATTTTGGGATTTCCGAAGCGAAGGAGAGGTGAATGGCGATGAGCGGCTCAAAGACGAGTTCAAGGGGGGGTTTCGGGAAGCAGCATCGTTCCTAACTGAAAACGAAAAGAGGGATGTTGTTGAGGAGACTTTGAATTTATTCGATCTGTTCGCCAAAATGATGCAATTCCTCGACGACAAGACCACGACTTGCCCATCTCAACCTGTCTCCGCAGGGCTTCCTTCACCTGCCGCTTCGTCGCAGCTCAAGAAGTCAATTGGTGCAAACTCGACGATGGGTTCTCTCTGGCAATACATGGTCTCTGCTTGTTCGCTGCTGGGGATACCAGCAAGCACACCAGGGAGACATAAAGCCACCTCAGCAGGCTGAAACTTGTGCACTGCTCCGTATTATTACAGTCAGCGGGTCTCCGACTTGATTAAGAGGCATACCCTAGTTTCGCTAATCCAAATCACCACGTGTCGCATCACAAAAAATGGGATGTCGAAACATTAAAACTGTGGTGACCACCTAGGTATTATCTGCAATGGGATGATGTACTTGTCATGCTGGCTTGTCACAACGCCTAACCTGACCAGCTAGAGGACAAGGGCAGGGCATCGCGATACCAATTCTGAAAGCAAATGCCTCTTTCTCGATAAAGCGTAGGGGAACACGTGGAGGAGACATTGTTCAGGGGTCGAACTTTCGTGTCTTCAACAGGCGAATCTACCGGACCAAGCGAAATCTGCCGAAGGGGAAGGGACTCAAACCCATTGCACAATATCTTGACGATGCTTTCGCAGAGAAAGTATTTTGAGTAGTCTGCAGCTCGTTGGGCATAAAAACGGAAGCACCGACCTTGGTTGGCCTTGCCGTAACTGGTAGAGCTGAAACACAAACGACGAGACCATCTCGAACCGTGCGTCTGAGCAGCCATCCTTTGTAGATGATATGTATGGACCAGGGGTAAGAGCTTGGTGCTGAGTCTAGCAACCTAGCGAGCTGGCTAGGAGTCGCATCAACACCCGTATGATCTCCACGGTTCCCCTGCCATTTCTAGTGTTTTTCAGACCTTTGATCTTCCCCCAGGCCACCGCGATGCAATCGTACTTTCGCCTCCTCTTGACCAGACAGACTGACTTTGTTGGCGCGGGTTGGTGCAAGTTTGTGTGGTGCATGTGGCAGTCCAAGACTACGCTAGATCCTTGTCCGTGACCATTTTGACGGATCGCCCGAATTTCTCTTAGCTTCGCCTAGTGTGTTGCCACGAGAGCCACTAGGGAGGTGATCCGGGGGAAGGCCTGTGCACGATGAACGCTTCGTCGGATCTTGGAGCGTCTCTGGCTTGGGGAACGATAGTAAGCTGAAGATTTGATGCTGACAAGCTCAACATGTCGCCCTTTGCGTGTGCATACACAGCCAATATTTGAGGACATTCCAAATCATTTCGTTTTCTCCTGAGTGCGGTTGAAGAGGTTGGTCGTCCACAACGTTCGACGATTGCTCGGGCTACGGGTACCGTACACGATTGAATCCCCAGTTAAGGTCTGGGCGCCCCGAGGTAGGTGCGCCAGGATATTGAGCCTTCAGCTTAGAGCTTTAGCTAAGGACTCAGCAGGGAGGCCGAGCTTGGCTGCTCTCCCTATAGGACAGAGACGATGCCGGCAGGAAGTTGTGACACTGTGGCGGCTCACATGGCAACTCAGAGCAACGGCACGACCGGATGTAGGTGAACTATTTCGTTATTGGAGATTGGTATGTATGGCCGCATCTCCTCCTGGCAAGAGCAACGCAGGCCCTCCTTGTCAAGGACCCAGCGGTGCGTTGGCGAGCTTAGGGGATTACTTGTACATTTGCTGCTGTCTTGACATCGCCAGGCAGGGGCTGCCTGCATGACATTCTAGGCCAGAGCCATGCAGGTCTACCAGCCTTGAAAAGCCCCAACGTGGCTTCCTTTATTTGTTCGGGTGCTGTCCGAAAAGAAGTCGGCTGCATTCTTCTGTGGGATGACCAGGGTCGCTATGTGGAAGTTTCCAGGTCAGACGCCTAGCGCCCATGTGTCTGTGCCTATCTTGGGAATCAGGATGCGATGGACGGAGTCGCTCTCAGAATTCAGTCTGCTTGTGTAATTTACCCTCCCACTTGAAGGTTTTCCATTCTTGTGGCAGTAGTGGCAGAGCTCTTCCAACATTCCTCCGTCCTGGTACCGCTGGGATGGGCCGTAACACCGATGGATTCGTCAAGCGAGGTTGCAGAGCGCCAGGTGGATTTGACAGCTGGATAATGTGCCGAAGCCGCCACGCCGCCAATGGTTGAGCAAGAGATAGTTTGGGGATGTGCAGGATGAGGTATGAAGCTAAGGAGAAGAAGGACTGGGCTGCTGCAAGTCGACTGGGCTATAGAAAATTCGACGGAGCTGGCCGCTGCAAGCTCGCCCGTGCGTTGGAGCCATCGGCGCAACTTGTACCGGTGCGGAGGGATCTTCGCTGAATCCCTGGGTGAGCAAGGCGAGAAAGAGTCAGACACCGTTTGAGGCAAGTCGACTGCCTTTTGAACAGGGTGAAGTAGAAAGGCGGAGGATGAAGGAGTCGTTACAGGAGTCGTTCACAGCCCGACGGATATCCAAAGTGGCCAGTTGCATGGTTAGGCAAGAGCTGGGCGACTGGAGGCGAGGCGGCAAAAGAGTTCTCAAGGGGCCTTCCACATTAGTGGGCAATGATGCTGCGCGAGAGTCACATTCGTCTCCAGCATTGGCTTTTCGCTTTTGAGGAAAAAATCAATCCTGTAGCAAGACCATCATCTCCAGTACCGGATTCAGCAGCGTGCTTGGTGTGGGCTACGTTTATACGAGATACTATTTTGCATGCCTGGAGCTGATAGGTAGCTCGGGGGGGGAAAGGGGGGGTTCTGGCAGTTGCCACGTACCCGAGGCCATAGTACCGGTGCTCTGGAGACAACCCCATCAGCAGCGGCGGGACTAGGCCTGCACGGGCCCAAGCAGCTCCCCGGGCGTTCCTCTAACCTTAAACCAGCTCAGCAACTCGGCACTGCCCTTTGGGTCTCGGGTCGCTTCTGGGCACAAGTTGCTGCTGGGTGCCCGCTGTCGCCGTCCAGTCTCCCCATAGGTGGTGTGATTAAAATGGGCACCCCTCTGATGGCATCCACTGCACCGACAGAACGGCATGGCTCCCCTCTCCCCACCCCTACACTTCCCTATCTAAGGTTAACCCTGGAAGCTTGCTACCCAGAGTTCTTACTGCCTCGATGCCTAACTCCTTGATTCCCAGGCTGCGTTTCCCCCCTCCGTCGTCCTTCTGAAGCCCATGACTCTTGCACCCACGCTTTCCAGTTTCCACATGATTCTTAGGCTGCACTCGCCCCCTTGGGTCGGGCTTCTGTTGGCTGCAGCACTGCATTCCGGAAGCCTAACGGACGTAGTTCCACCCTAACTGCATGCCGGTTCCCAGACTCACGAGACTGCCTGTAACTTAGCGGCCCGTCGACGGTGGTGCGTGTGCCCCAGGCTCCCAGTCTCGCAAATCCTGTCTGCACCTTTCTCGGTGCCAAGTGCTGCATCATCGTTGGATCTCGTCGCTCCAGAGCTCGCAGTGCTCACTGCTCAGCGTTCAATGCTCCCTCTTGCTTCTCCTCCTGCTTCTGCTTCTGCTTCCATTCCCCATCCACACACCCGCGCGTGGTTTCTCCTCTTTTCTTCCCTTATCTCCACACTACTTCACACACCATCCAGCTCATCTTTGTCTTCTTCGACCCTTTCGACTCTTTTGACCTCTTCGTCGCCTGTCGCTCATCCTCCCTACCACCCCTCGTCCTTGCCCTCGTATTCTGGCATCCGGGAGCCAAACTCTGCGACAGTGTCGATCGCTCTCGTCCACCACTGCGAGCTCTGCACTTAGGGGAATTTCGCCGGCACCAGTCCTCTCTAGCCGTGAGCTGCCATTGACGATCAGTACTGATCCTCATCAATCCGAACTGCGACTAGCAATTTTTCAATACTGTCACCGATCTACACTGAGCTTTTCGTTGACTCCTCACGAAAACCTTCATCCATCCTGCACAGCATCATTACATCCTGCGATACTTGACCGGCTGTCTGCAAGGACGTGGTGTTGGACATTCGACTGGCAAGTCAATGGACCGCAGCATTGGGAACAGGGATCTCGCTACCCGACAAGTCACATTGCAATCCACTCCAGCGGAAAACCACCACCAATAATTAACGCCTGACATTTCTTCATCACCCTCGCTGTCCCAATCCCTTGGGTCAGCCGAACAACCAATAGTCGCACCATCAAGCCACCCGATCTTTGTCTTCCAGGCCGTCTGGTGCGCTCTCGCTGATTGCCTTCTATCTCCTATGACACCATATCTGTCAGGCCATCCATTCCACTCTGCCAATGGAAGGGGCGGAAGCACAACCGTCAAAGGAAAAGAAGGGTTTGAAAACGGTCTGGAATAGAATCAAGGACCTCTTTAGAGAGAAACCCGCCGCCGCACAAGATCCTCTCTCTGCCACCACTCCACCGTCTGTTTCCGCTGCTCCTGTCGCTCCCCAGACGGAAGAAGCTGTAGATACCACCAAACCGTCAGTGACATCCAATCCCCCAGAGCCATCGTCACTAAAGCTTCACAGGGGACCTCCCATCGAGCATTCGCCTGAACAGCCAGCCGACGAGACAGCCGAAGAACCTGAGCAGCCCAGCGAGCCTGTCTCGACATCGCCACAAGAACCTGTTGATCCGAAGCAAGACTCCACAGCCGAGTCACACATGCGGTTCACCAAAGCACAAGCAATCTTTGCCAGGCACAACCTGGAACTGGATGAGACAGAATGGGAACCCAGGTACAGAGTACCTCAAGAAAGGGTGTACAAGAACATACGTATGAGAGTCAGGTACACCTGTCACAATTGTTCAACGACGTTTGGGCGCGATAGGATATGCATGGGATGTCAACACCGACGTTGTACTCGATGCTCACGGTACCCGCCAAAGAAAGACCGGACGAAACACTCGCAAGACCCGACAACCACTGGGTCCCCGGAACTCATCACTGACGTCCCTCGACCAAGTGCTGAAGGTGGAACGTGCCATGAATGTCAGAGTGGTTTCGAGATTGACGCTGAAGAATGTCCCAACTGCCACCACCGAATTTGCGAGAGATGCCTGCACGAAGCCACCATCTCTGTTGAACCGAGCCATGAAACCACCCAGGAAGCAACTCAAGAGGCGCCGGAGGTCGAACAATCTGAACAACGGAAGCCCACTCTACAAGAATCATCCGCTGTCAGCTAGCATTGGTGACTGTTTGCCTCTGGCACCGTTATCGTGCTAGGGACACAACCTCTACCAACATTCTCATATCTGATATTTTCTGAGCATTTTGACGATGCGATGATGACTTTTCTACGACTACTTGCCCTTTCTCGATCTGAGCGTTCCAGTCCTAATTATCATGGGTTGGTGTTCACGGTGTTGCGTTTGCAGGACTTTCCGTTTGACATTATTTTGAATCTCTCTTGAGCGCAAAAAGCGAAAATGTTCGTCTGGAGTTGGGAGTTGTTTTTCTGGGGTCGCTTCAATACCCTGCGAATACCAGAAGGGCTGGTCTTACATTGGAAGAGAAGGATTTAGGGTCTACAGGAAAGTTGAAAACTGGGAAGTCAGGAAAAGAGACGGGTGACTAGGATCTGAGGATTCTGACGCCACCACCGTACAGCAGGAGCACATTTCAAAGGATACAATTGAGGAAGGATAGGAATCAGGATGGATTAGAGCAATGGCGATTCTTGCTCTGCATATTGGACGGCGACTCTGCAGCCTCGATCTTGTCCTCTTGGTGAGGCTGGTCTCTACGATACAAATGAAGAAATAACAGCGCCACTCCACTGCTTGCACTACCAGTTTCGCCATCTCTCATCTGTTTTCCAGTTATTCTTTTTGCCCCCGTCTCTATCGCAGCCCTGATGGCTGACTTGAGTTCCTGACTCTTGACTCGACCTTCCTGGCCCAGGTCTCCCGCGGGGCTCTGAATTCCCACACAGCACTGGCGCTCACACTACGGTAACTAATGGATCCTAATGCTGTGAGAACTCAAGTTCGCGAGAGACCTATGAGAGTGGCTGACTCCCGCAGGGCGTGGTCAGGCTGAAACCGGTTTCCCCTGTCAGCACTGTACACAACGTGGGATCCTTCGTGAAAGGTCGGACGCAGATGAGCATTCCGAGCACGTTTTTCCCTCACTTCCCGTGTCAGACAGCGACCGATCAGCCCTTCCATGCAGGGCATCCGAATGGTCGGCCTCAGGACGAACTACGAGCACTCCGCACAATGACAGCCCCGAATCGACGGCGGACGAGATTAGACAGGAAGAGATCGCCACTTTGCGCACAGTCATAGGGCCAGCAACATAGATTTGCAGTGGATATTGAGTCAACCTTGTTCTTCCATGCTGCCATGGGCTCGACCACTACCCAACGGTATACCAAAGACATGGCAATAGGTACATACTCGGTACATGCTGAGACGCCGGCGCCGGCGCTGACACCCACGATCAAGATATGCCGCGCTCACGGCTCACTCGTTCTCCTTCTCCGATGTCCAAATGATCGCTGTTCTCCTAGCGAGTAGAAAGGGGTAGCCCTGGAAAGCAGGACGCCCTCAACGAGGCCATCAGCACCAAAAGACTTTGCGGTTCAACATATGGCCGTCGACATTGTCCCTGCTTGGAAATTGCGCGGCATTCGGCCAGAGGGGGGGTTGAAGAATTGTGGGAGGAGCAGCTCTTCGTCACCTGATATATCACCTTATGGACAAACAAACGGCTTCGAAGAGGCGGCATGCGCGAGGACCACAGTCCTCCTATATTGGATTCTGTTGCGCGAATGGAGATCTCAAGCGAGGTTGGGGACCGACGGCCCCTTTGAAAGGAGGCCCGCACAACTGCAACAGGAAAATGTGAAGTCCTCGATTTTTCACGCCATACCAGATTCCTTCTACGAATACGTGTAAACCCCATCCTGCGCTCTCCCCCTGGCTTGAGCATCGTCCAAAGATCTACCGAGAAGAGAGGGAGCATCGACGAGAAGCACAAGATGCGAGTGTCTAGGCACACTCCTCATGTGGTCCTGCATGACAAAAGCCCCTAGGGAGGGGGAGGGGCCCCAAATGATGGAAGCGTTGAATCTTTCAGAAAGCCATGGGCGGCGACTGGCCTGTCAGCGACCGCAAGAGACACACAGACACACCATGGGTTTTGTTTTTTTGTGATATGTTCGTCACTTCGGTTCCTCGAGGCGAGAGCGCTGGCTCGCTAGGCTGGTGCTTACCGAGACCTTAGCGCTGGCCATCGAGGATGTTCGGCACGACGCACATCCTCATGGATTAGACAGCCCGCGTAGCCGATCGCTGCTAGTTGACTTACTAGTACGCCATATATGCAATTATGATGCTTCATCGATGGAAGTTACCGAAACCGCAGAAGCAGCTCCTCCAAAGCCCGCGTCCACTGTCAGGCCATCAGCTTTCTCCATCTCCGGGTTAGTCCGCATCGCCCCCCCCCCCAATGGAGTGTGTCGTACTTTTGAGAGGGTGCCGTTCAGGAGAGGGGGAGAGGGCATGGAGGGTTAGTTACTTGTCTTCGCATACCTAGGGTATGTAGGTATCCCTCCTCTCCCCTAACTCCAGTCAATCTGATACCATCGTTTCGGACTGGACGATCTACAGTTCTCTTTGTGGCAAATGCCCCTCCCGTCGACACTGAGCACAATTCAGAAGCGAAATTTCGAGATAGCGCCTGCGGGTATGATGATGGCCCCGCTGGCTGCTAATTTAATCCCCTTGGTTGTCCCTCAAATGGAGGCATAATATCGCCGACTCTGAAACAAGGCCCTGGCTTTGAGGAGCATCTTTCTCAAAGAAGAAATATCTGAATCCGTGCCAAGTGCTCACGACCTCATGGATGGATCCCCGGAACAATACCTCGATTATAAAGGACGGGGAGCACACTTGTCGTCAAACATAGCAAGGGAGATCGCTGCACATCACACAGCCCTTTACGGGGTGCATCCATCACACCACCCGATCCCACTGGAAGGAATCAGGGCTTACATGGATCTCTCTGTCTCTCTCTCTTCTTTTGCCTACGTACCAACTACTACTATCAAGCCTCTCGGAGGTGAGATGTGATGATGACAAGGCTGCGCAAGGGCCCCCCTCCCTCAAGGCGTTTCAGCACCCAGGAGGCCCCAGAAAATGGTACGGAGCACCACCACGAATCCACGATCCCACTCGGCATCAGGAGCATTTTCGTTCCAGCTCCAACCAACCCTGAGGGAGATCCGATCCACTACCACTACTTCTTACGAGTTACTACAACGGCACTACCTTTGGTTTTTGGACACTTGTTCCAAGCGAGATGACCCGTGCGCGTTTTGGCTACTTAGTTGTTGTTTTCGGCCGAAGAACCGAGAACGAAGAAGTGTCCCTTGCTCGCAAGCACGGACCTCGTCCTCGTAGCATTGGAGCTGTACCCTAGAAGTCGTAGCAGTGGACACGTCGCTCGCCCACCCAGGCTTGTTGCGAAGCCCAGCTCAAGCAAACTCGGATCTGGAGAGCAAGAGCTTCCGGGCCCGGGATGCGCACTGTGGCACCCCCATTCATTCCCCTGCGCCTTTTTGGTGTCGTCAAAAGAACGAGCCACCCTTGACCTATTACCTAGATTCGGACTGTTCTGATGGGGTTTGCCTGGCTCGCTGCCCCCGGGGCCAAAGGACTGTTAACTCGTGGATAGCTATGTACCTTGTACCTTACTGGGGGACAGGCCCTAGAACCTACCACTCATACTCATAGGTATTATGTCCGGCATATCCAAGTTCGAGTAGTGCTCGAAATCCCCCAACATCGGTGGAGCTTTAAGGGGGGGAGGAGAGGAGACCGTTTGTGGTTCCCGGACGTTTTGCTCTCTTCAGCCACGAGCCCTTTTTACCTTTGGTCGATCGTTCACCACTGCTCCTACTGGTTGGCTTGCCCAACGGTCTTTGATAAGACTCCCCCTGGACTTTTGGTGGTGGGGGCGCCATGCAAAAGAACAAATCCCCCGACACTTGGAGCAGCGAACAAACCCGGCTCAGAACCAAGCGGGATGGGCACGGTCCCCCTATGTAAGTTCTAACTAGGTACTCGTACGAATTGGCAGGAGGTATGGTTATTGATACCCTTACCTAGTTCGACTAGCTATGCAACGCGAAGGGGACGCCCAACAGTCGCGCCAGCGAGGCGGCTTTGGTACGATATCAGGAAGGGATTACCGTCCCTATCTCGCAGCGCTATGATAGACGGGTTTTCCGCACCACCACCACCACCACCACCAGCAGCAGCCAGATCGGTGGCTTGGCTTCGGCCCTACGAGGGACTACTCGTAGTGACTGGGGACTGAGTATCTCTGAGACGGGGTGTTGGTCCATTGTTACCTATCTATTAGGACGAGTACTCCCTTTTCCTGGGTCCGTGCGCCACGGCAGTTGACACTCTCCCAGCGCCGTGGCCCGTGGACCGCAGACGGACCGATCCTCCCGCCAAGGCGTCAAGCGAGTACGAGCGATATAATAGGGACTTCAACCGTAACAAGCGGGTGCCGCGTATCCAGGCGCCCCCAGCGAAAAGAATCTCTTCGGTGTAACGGACATGCTACTGTAGGTACAAGCATACGGAACGCCGGAGGGAGGCATCCAACGCATGGACACCCCTTGAAGAACCGGCCAATGCCCTCACGCCTGAGCTATATCCTTTCGGAATCCAGCGGCCGACCGTTGTGTCAGTCCGTCGAGGGACCAGTTCTAGTGTAAGAGGGGATAGGAAGCTCCGCTCAACGTCTGATGGCTCACTAGCAACGGGATCCAACAGTCTTGAAGACATGCTCGAACATCAGAGATCCTTTCGTATCACCGTTTCGTCCGGTTTGGTTTCTCTCATGCTCGAGGGAGACGGTCCCGTTGATCTTCTCCCAGTGCTCTGTGAACGGTGGATGATGAGCGGTGGAGCGGGGCGGAGACGGACGAGGATGAGGAGGTAATCAGAGTGAAAGGAACGAGGTTCCCGTAGGCGCGTGGATGGATGGACTGATGGGTGGACGGATGTGACCGGACGGGGATAAGAGCAAAACGGTCCCCAGTTCGTGCCTGCGTACAAAGGTCTCTTGTGGACGTCGGCACCAACTCTTCTTTCTCTGTTTCAAGCTTACCCGTAAGGATCAGAGTGTGGCACAGACAAAGAAAAGGATCGGCAGGGATCTTCATGATCCGCGATCAGGATCTGGCATTACTCGTCCTGGCCCGCTCTTCATGAGGGACGCGAGGCCATCAGGCCCCTTGTCATTCCTCTCTCATCCTCGCTCTCTTCTTCGGTTTCTCCCTCCTCCGACTCTTCCTCGTCCGTCTCTTCGCTTTCCGTCTCCTCCTCGCTCTCCTCTTCCTCTTCTTCCTCGCTCTCGGCTAGCCAATCGTCCAGAGTTCTGGGCTTCGCATTGGCCTTGGTTGTTCCTGCCGCAACAACCTTTTCCAACCCTCGCTCCTTGACGGCTTCATCTAACCTCCGACTTGCGGCGACAGAGCTTGTTGTCCGTCCGCCAATGGGCACATATTCGTCTTTCTCGCCACCGTCGGCGGCGTCTCTTAGTTTGGGATCGGGCTCAAGGCCCTCGCTCACCCAGTCAGGTAGTTGCTCGTAGCCTGGAAGTCCTAGGATGCCCGCCACGTCCGTGCCCAGGACAAGGGTGGTACTGCCTAGCATCAGACCTTTTCGACTTTCCGAGGGAGAGGGAGAGTGGGGAACTGGCTTGGGTGCAAGAAGGAGCAGAGCTGCCAGTTGGGTGGATGCAGGGTTGGCGAGCAGAGCTTTGAAAAGCCGTGCGCGGTCACGCAGGTCGTACGACGTGTCGTAGCGCGCCAGGAGCTGGACGTAGTTCCATAGCTTTGAGATAGGATGGTTCAAGTCGGCTGAGACGTGCAGTTCCTCTGAAAGATTGCCTTGAGATTCTGCAGCATCAGTCGTCTCGCCACGAGGGCCGGAAGACTCCCTCTGCAAAAACAGCAGGTAGACTTTTGCAGCCAGTAGCACAATCTGTTGTTTGGCAGATTCGCTCTCATCCGCAAACCCTTTCGCCAGTATGCGCAGAACGTCAGGCGCAATGTTGTTGTCGGGGTCGAGGCTCGCGAATTCACCCACTAGCCATATGATTGTAGCTCGAGCCTCGGGACTTGTGGTCTTATCCAGGTTCCTTGCTAAGCGCACCACAGTCTTCCGGTGGGAGGCAGGGTCCTGTTGGATTAAATGGCGCATCACGGTCAGCACTTCAGACACCAGAATATTGTCGAAGCTGGAGATTTGGTTCAGAAGAACCTGGAAGCATCGGTGGGCGTCCTTCGGATCATATTGTGCGCATCTTCCAATGGCACGGACCGATTCGCGCGTGAGCTCTACATCTGCCGAATGAGAAAAGTGCTCCAGCTCGCTAAGGATGATGGACTTAAGATGTAATGCTGCATGCGCGAAGATGAGAGTCTGAAGTTCGATCTTCAATCTCCATATCTGTGGAGAATCTTGAGCCCGGATCAGAAAATGTGAGGCGTAGGGGACAAATAGGTCTGGCGCAGACAAGGCAACCAGTACAATGTTGCACAGTGCCACTTCCTCCACTTCAGGAGGTCCGCGCATCAGTCCGATCAATGGGCCGACAGCTTCTCGAAGGTAGTCTGGGGTACCCAGGTACAAAAAACAACTGGTGACCGAGATGATAACAGCTGCGCTTCGGCTTTGTAGCAAAGGCCTGCAAGCTTTGAGAAATAATTCCAGGTCCGGGTCCAGCACTTCTATCACCTCGTCTGTGTCGACGATCTCCTCGGACTCATCCTCATAAAACCCCTTTTTGTTGACTCTGATGACTTTTTGCATCTTACGAGGGAAGCACCGTCGACTGTAGAACAGGAGCAGCTTCAAGGTGGCCAACTGACTCCATTCGTCCATGTCAACCAGTTTCTTGACGAGACTCCTGTAATGCTTGTGTACAAGGTCGATGCGATCGGGACACACTTCGAGGAATGCCTGGACTGCTGGACCGACAACGAAATACTGCTTGTCACCCAAAAGCGTGGAAATGTAGTCGAGCAATTGCGGGAGGGCATTCGGGTCGAGGTTGTAGCATTTCGGGATGGCGAGAGCAGCAGCTTTTCGCACATGAGGGCTCATGTCACCTACGCCGCGTTTGATGGCCAGAGAAACGATCTGACTAATAACCGGCACTCGCATCCCAGACATAGTGCGCAGAGCCAGGGCTCGGACCTGTGGATTCTGGTCTGTGAGGGACTTCTGGATGGCGTTGACGGAAAGCAATGCCAGATCTGGATCGGACTCGGCGTAATGCAGGAGATAGATGTACACGAGCTTCTTGACCTCGAGACTCGGGTTCGCAACGTTCTTGACAACTGACGAGAAGTATGGTAGACATGGTTTGTTTTGGTACATCATCTGGACACGGTAAGCAGGCGGGCACTGGGTGAATTTCAGCAGGGAAAACCACACCGAGACCACTCTTTTCAACCCATCAAGAATGTCGCGGTCACTTCTGCTGTCAAGAAGAGCCTTGAGCTTGGCAAATGGCATGTTATTCCGCGCAGATGAGCTTCCTCCTTTGATGGCTTTGGATATGCTCTGGGCAGCCTCGACCGTCAGGTCTCGTGCTGGGGTTGGGTCAGCGTACTGCAACCACGAAGGATCCATGGTGACTGACCTGGGTCCATAAAGGACGAGACGCGAGAGATGGATTCCATCTTCGCAGATTTCTAGTAGTCGCGTGTCACCGAAACATGGTTGTGTAACCCAAAGGTCCCAGTCCAAGGTGTAGGTAGAATGATGTGATTTCGGGCAGACGTCAAGGACACGCCGCCGGCAACAAGACGTGCCAAGCCTGATAATTCCGCAGGGCCCCTCCGCTCGAACTGCCAAGCCGCAGCCTTGACTGAACTCGGAGCGCGCCATCATCTCGTTCCTCACCGCGGGGTTGGATCTGCAGGACACCCTGTACTCTTCTATATGACTATCGCAGGAGCACTCATAGGATTATCACGACCCATGTGAAAACGTCAAGTCGAAGATTTTTTGCGCTCGCGAGAGACAATGGCCAATGGAACGAAGCACAGCTCTCCCCCCACCACTCCTCCATGAACTCCATCATCGTCAAGTACAACTACGAACTCGAGCTGCTCGAAGACGTCCTGCAAGAGCCAAGCCATGTACCGACAGAATTGGTAATATGCTCGCCGAGGGGAGATTTCCTCGGCCAGCTGGTTGGCCAGCTTGACCAGTTACGTGATCGATCCGGAGTGCAGACACCACCTCTTCAGGAAGAGCCGGATACTCACTCAGAGGAGCGCTTATCCGATCCCAGAAGCATTCTGCTCTCGCGGACTCTACATGTCTTGAGCGCAAGCCAACTCGTCAATCTGGTCTTCTGTCCTACCATTCCTGTTCTCCGAGGCTATCTCTCCGGCTACGTCTCGCGCACAGTAGCCCCTTCAACCCAGTCTATGGGCCCCATCATAATCCTAAATCTGCTGGCGATGCACCACGGAACTTCTGAATTTACCCTGCAAGGCCTCTCCCAGACACTTGCCGCCGCAGTTTCTGCCGGTCACCGAACGAATCGCGCGCTGAAGCTCGTGGAATGCAAGGACATCAATGACCCTTTGAATCCAGATCGAGGTCCGCGCCTTTGGCAAGCTGAAGTCCAACTGCTTAGTGCAGCGGTCAAGATAGGAGAGCCAGGGCAAAGCTGGGGACGTCGCACCATATCGGCCATGAGGATTGCATCAAGATGGTTCAGAGTGGAGGAACAGCCTGAACGGCACCGACAAGAGAATAATCCGGACGTTCTTGCAAGGAAGAGCCCCGAGGAGGAAATGCTTATTTGAAGAACAAAGGGGGAAAATCCTTGCCTATTTGGCGCATACAATCCAAAAAGCTAATGGCCAGCCAACACAACCGGGTATCTTCAGCAGAGAGCGACAATTTCTTCATAACGTCGTGACAAACTGCAACGGATTACATGCTTTGCTCCATTTCCGTAATATACAACTTGATGTGGGACTCGAGTTTGAGATACTCCTCGTGCGCTGAGTGTACCTCCTGTTCGATGTTGTCCTTGAGATCAGCCATCTAAATATTCGTTAGCAAGATCAGTCGTCGGAATTTGGCTCTTCAGCAACTCTCACCTTCTTCTCGGTCTGCTCGATCCTGACTTTCCTTCTCTCCATCTCCCGACCCTTCTCGGCCCTCTCATCTCGGAGCTGCTTCTGAATCTCTCTCAGCTCGTCCATTTTGGCCTTGTTGGTTTCATCTCGATCTTTATGCTTGCGACGTAACTCCTCGATGCGTTCCTCCCACTTCTTCAGCTGTCGCTGGAGCAGCTTCTCATTCTGTTCCACTTCGCGCACGTTGTTTCCGCGCTCTGCGAGAGCATCGCGATTCTTTGCCGCTCGTGCGTCTTCCTCTTCCTCTTTCTGAAGCTCCACTGCAATCTCCTCCAGGACTTTGACACACGCCTGTACATCATTCTGAACAACAGTGAAACTGTCACCTGATGTCTGGAGGGCGCGGCATCTCCGCTCTAACGCATCGATCTGGGCCTTCTCGCGTACAAGGTTGTCCGATAGCTCCGTCAAAGTGGTCTGCAGAGCAGCTGGGCTTTGCAAAACGTACGGTCTCAACTTCTCGCTCTCTTGTCGGGCTCGCACTAATCTTTCGGTCTTCTCCTCCAACATCGACTGGGAACGCGATTTCTCGGCTTTGGCGCGCTCTAGTTGCTCCGCCACTCTTTCCTGGCCCTTTCGGAGCTCCAACAACCGTGCCTTCAATTCGTCGTTCCGTCGCATCTTCTCCTTAACCGCGACTTCCATTGCCTTTCTATTGCGCTTCATCTCTTCCAGTCTCTGCTCCATATCCTGATTCCCTGCATACAAGGTCTCGATTCTGGCCTTTGTGGTTTCTGCCTTGTTGAAATTCTCATCTATCACACTGGTATGTGTCTCCCGGAAGCGAATGAAGTTGATGGTGTATGAGAGGATCTTGACCAGTCGATCATGGGTCGGACGAACCAGATCGTTGAATGAGAAATCATGAATTCCGCACTGCTCAAGCATGGTTCGCAGTTGCACGAAGAATCCCATGAGCAGCCTCGTTTCCACAGGTACTAGTTCAGGGAACTCGGAGCAAACGTCTTCGGCGGCAGCGCGCAGGGCGGGATCGAGGGTGTCTCTCGTAGCGTTCATCACCAGTTCGCCAAGGTGCTCGAACACCATTTGAATGACTTGCGGATTAGGTCTCAATATGTCCGAGGGCTGGAATGGGATGCCCATTTCGCTGATACATGACGCGATCTCCTTCTCGGACTGTAGAGGTCGTCAGCATGTGCTTGGGGGAAACGGTCGCAGACAACAAACCAGTCGCATAAAATCAGCGGGATCTTCTTCCTTCTTCTTGACTCGTTGCTGTTGCTGCAGCGAAGTACGGTATTGGGAATTCATTTTGACTGTGAAAGGCGTGTCTTTGCTGCCTCAAATTACAACAATTATTGAAAAGGGACGCATCGAAACGGCGATTGAGCCTCAGTTGGGGGATGAGTTTGCTTTGTTGACATATCCAAAATAGGAATAGGCGTGGGGGCTAGGTCCCCCACGCCAAGATACCCAGACAAGGCTTTGACAGAGCCTTGCTGATTTAAACTGTCACGACAGTTCATACAAAATTCCACGAATCAGTCCGCCAGCACCAACATCCAGTCAATATCCGAAAGTATTTTTGCATGAAGCTGGTTGTATAAACATACCACAACTGCTCACTGTCGACAACTAGTGTGTCCTGCCATGGCTGCTGGTGAGTCCATCTCCCCCAATCCGCTTTTCCCTTCCTATGACTCAACTGGTGTACATTGCCCTGAGGAAGTTTTCTACGTGGATCAGGAACTCGGACGGAACTTGTGGTCTGGTTTGATGACAACCTGTTGCGGTGCTTTATGGGAGGGTACTCGGCACTTGCTCTTTGAATTTACTAATCATTTCACCTTCCTATTAACAGTATCAACCCCGCCGACGGCGTCCAAACCCTTAGCAGCTGAAGAGTCGCCGCCAACGACATTCGATATCGTGGCTTCCTACAACTCGCTGATCGAAAGCGACCCAAATATCACACCTCCCATTGCGGCTATAGAATCACTGATCAACCTCCTCGCAACATCGCCCTTGACAACCATCTCGGAAACGCTCGCCCTTTTAGCGAGCCACTCCCTAAGACTGCTCGAGTCGCAACGCAACCCGATTCCACTCTCTGCTGGGACGGAGCTGTTTCAACGGTACTTGATCAGCTCATTCCAGCAACGGCCGTCATCGCTGGCGACATCCGACTTCACCGCGCTACGCCATCACATAATAACCCAGTCGTCTCTATTTGTCAAACGCGCAAATGAAGCCCGCCTTAAGATCGCCCATCATGCCTTGCCATTCATCAAAGAGGACTCCACGATCATCACCTACGGATACAGCCGGGTCGTCCACGCCGTGCTGACTGCAGCGGCAGAATCAAAGCGCCATTTCAACGTCATCTATGTGCTTCCCCCAACAGGAGTCTCGTCGGCGCTCGCAGATTCTATCACCTCCCTCCACAGCCTTTCCATTGCCACCACCACAATTCCGCTGCATGCTTTGACGTACGCACTAGCCTCCTTGCCGCCCTCCCGCGCCACACCACCACAGTTCCTCATCGGCGCCACCGCGGTCTTGGAGAACGGCTCCATCGTCACGGAGCTCGGCGCGCACCAGATCGGACTTATCGCCAAGACCAGCTCCATCCCCTTGCACGTGTGCGTGGAATCGTACAAGTTTGTGGGCAACTTTCCGCTCGGGTATGGGCCGAGTGATCTCCGAAGAATGGGGGTCGAACAGGACGTCTTGCGCTTCTCCACCAGCGCGAACACCGCAGCTCCCAATTCGGACACCGGAAACCAGAAGAAAGAAGGAAGGACCGGCCCCAAACCGCTACCCAAGGATAAAAACAATGCTGCGGGACACGTGGATGATTGGATGGTGGAAATCACGCCGCCGGAACTGATCTCGGCCCTCATCACAGAAAACGGCCTCATGACCCCCAACGCCGTCAGTGAGGAGTTGATCAAATTGTGGTTCTGATCTGGCCTGGTGGTGTTGGCCCGCGCTCGTGACCTGGTTCGGGTCAGGGGAGATGCGTGTGGCAGAGTCGACCGGGATGCAGCGAACGTGGAACATCTTGCACTCAGCGCCCAATGGGATGGCGTAGCAATGACGAATGACACGTTTGACACGAACGCATTAGCCGCGGCGATGCGAGAAGTGGTCGAACCGCAAGGAGTCCACGCGATTGAGACCCGAATGGCCATTGCACGAACACGATCCCCACGAGAATCGAATGGAATCAGACCCAGGCCGAGGGAGAAGAGTATTAAGAAAAAGTACATGTAACAAGTGGCATCACCCGATCCAACCGAATGACCAATCGTGAAGGTCAAGGTCAATAGATCGGATCCCACAATGCGCCTGTGTCGCCACGGAACCGGAGACGGGAGACGGTGTTGACAGACAAGCTGTGGTAATTACCCCGGTGGTCCCGGCGTCAGGGTGCAGCACAACTTCGGTGTTGAGCACCGCAAGTGTCGATCGTTGATGGTGAAGAGCAAGGTCTCGCCTTATCAAATACGCCGGATTATGCGATGCACTTCGTGGTTGAAGGGCCCATCAGAACGTAATGAGAAAAGAAAAGAGGCAGAGCTACGAGGGTGAGGGCGAGGGCGAGAGCAAGGCTCTGATGAAAGGATACGAACTGTGTACGAGTTGATGATGGGCGAGGTGGTGTCGCAAAGATACAGTTTGATCCTACATTGCGGGTCTCTGGACTCAGGAAGGACCGTGTCTGCGTTTTGTACGACGCCAAAGGATTTCCGTGCCCAAAGCCAGCCCAAGCCCATGAGACGGGAACAAGGACCGAGTGTAAAGCGAGGATCGCTGGAGGGCATGATGGCTGCATACTCGTATGTCGCCTAAACTGGCCTTCTTCCTGGATGCCTTCCACAAACGACTGATTTTCCTCCAGCGCCTTGCTGTGCAACATGCATTCATTAAATCATTCAGAATCTTGGTTTTCCCCAACCACGTCGGCATGCAGATATTTTATGGACAAGAAACCAACGGGCCGCATGGATATGTGGCGCTGTAGATCACCAACATCAAGTGAGGTCATCGATCTCACGTTCTTTTGCTCGTAGCGCCGCCCTCATGACTTCGGCTTCTCGCATAAGCTGGGCCCTTCTCTCTGCTCTCCAGGCAGCTTGATCCTGCTCATTTGCACCATCTGGACCGTCTTCGGATTGCTGCGCTGCTGTGGCCTCCTGTTCCTGATGGCGACGACCGGCCTCCACTAGAGCGGGGTCAAGTTGCATCCCTCCTGCTGCCGCCGCTGCCCGCTGAAGTCGAGTCGCATAGTCTTCGTTCGTGTCGTGCGCGGCGTGCGAGGCTTCATCCACGTGTGTTTGAGGTACGTATCCGGTGTAATCCACCGTCGGAGGGGGTCGTCTCCTCTTCGGCGCCGGCGAGTTGTCGACAGGCACTAGCTCACTGGTATCTGTCGGCAGAGGAGGTTCGGGCGACGTCGACGATTGCTGTTGAGAAGTAGTGGAGGCTGGTTTGAGAACGTCGGGGTATGCTGGTACCACCCTTTTCCGCCTCTTGATGGTAGACTTCTTCATTTGTACCGGCCGATGCGACCCGTGTAATTTGTGATACAAGCCGCACGCATTGCAGATAGGATGACCTTGCTCATCACGTCGCCATAGAGGGGTTACTGTTGTTCCACAATTCTTACACGCAACAACCAAAGAGGTATTTGCGGGAGACCCTTGTTGCTGGGTGGCAGAATTCGATGCACTTGGGCTAGTTTTCAGACCGGCCTCACTCTGCGAATCGTCCTTCTCGTCGATCAATAAGTTGGCGATAGACGCAGTGCGGGCGGCTCTGGAGACTCTGTTGTTGTACGCAGGGCATCCTCCACAGCTTTCCGCTCCGCCCGCTCCGTTACATTCTCCTCTACCTCGACACGACCCAGTGGTGTGCTCTGGAACCCGATACGGTATGCTTGTGGACAGGCTTTGTGCCGATGCCGACACCGTTGAAGCGGTCGGAGATGCCGTGCTTCTCTGGCGTGGACTTTCAGGAGAGGCGGCTGAGTTTGGACGCTTGAAGGTTTTAGGCCGTGGAGCGTGACGCGTTTTGAGGTAAAGCCCACAAGCATTACAAATGGTGCGTCCAGTGGGAGACCGTCGCCATAACGGGGTCTTGGTCGTCCCGCAGTTGCTGCAACGACTATTAGCGACAACACCAGCCCGAAGCGAAGAGGGCAGGTCGGGATAAATTAGGCCAGAGTGTTCGCGGACATTACATACCTGCAGACTTGGCCCAGAGCCGGAGGTTCACCTCTTTGCTCAACAGGTTCAGGGAACTCTGATATTGGTGGTTCAGAGGCGTCTGGTCTACTGCTGGCTTGACCCACGGGAAGATGGCCGTAGGCGACATCCCCCGCGTTATTTTCATGGGTCAGATGAGAACCGTGGCGTTCCCCAAGGGCGGACGACACCAGCTGATGAGCGGCATCAAGGTCTTCAGCAGAGGGTTGACGCATCAGACTTTGCCGCTCCGAACGAAAGGAGGGGCGACGGCGCAATGGGTCCATAGCACCTCGTACAGCCAACATGCCGATCCAACCTTGGGCGTCTTGTTAGCTGAAGGCACACTCCATCCAGGGAAGGGCGACGAGAAGGCGAGAAGGCAGCAAGAAATGTTGCCAATCCACAAGGAGCGGAGAGGTTCGAAAGAGTCGAGGTGGGAGGGAACGCCCAGTTCTGACACCGCCTTGGTAGATGGGAAAGAAGTGTCCCAACTAGGACGAATGTAGGCAGCTGTAAAAATGGTGGTCGGCAAGATAAAGGGCGCTGAAGAGCCAAGTAATCCCGGTGGTGGGCGCTGCGCTGGGATATCGAGGGCTTCACACAGGTGAGAGCGAGGGAACTCGGCAAGTTGGGAAGGAGAACAGGCGCTTTGATGAAAAGGCGAGAAGCTGGATTTACCCTTGTTCCAAGCAATTACCAGGCAGCCTCTGAGATGGAGGGAGTGACGGCACAGATGCGGTCCAGGAGGAATTCGTGAGGCGCGACACCCACTCCGCCCATCCTGCTCGCGTAATATCAAACATCTGTCTTGTTATTGGCTGAGACAGGTGAAGCCATATCACGTGGACGAAGTAGACGTAGGTACTCCGGGGCTAGACTGTTTTGGGCACAATCACGTCTTGGTATTATTATTAAAGCGGCCAAACTGAGACTACTCGAATAGTACTAGCCGGTTATGGCAAAAGAGTGCTTACCAGCCACGCCAGCGTCCTGACATCGAGCGCATTCTTTGAACCCACAACATTGTCCTGCTGTTCCAAAAGAACCCCGTCTAGTAGACCAGATGCCGCCCATTTGTTGAATGCCCCGACAGTCTCTACTCAAGCCATGACGACGCGCTTGGTGATATCCTGCTGACCTGCACCATTCCCCAGCTCGGTGGCGGCAGCCAGCCATTGTCTCGTCTCAGTATTGAATAACAAGATGAGGTTGCAATCAGAGCCCTCTTCGCCTCCTTGGACTATTGCACCTCGGTGTCAGATTGGGGCCTCGCGTTTTGAGATGGGAGAGTGACTTACCGATCCCGATAACGACCGAGCTACCATCTTTCTCGGCGCAAACCATTGAGCCTGACCGTCCGTACCACGCACTCAGTTCCACGCACGCTTGGTGTTCTTTGGCATCATGAGGGAATCCGATCTTTGTGCCGAAGCTGACAGTTCTCTTGTTCGGTTCAAGGAATTTGGCTCCGGGTGGATTGGTGTCGCTGAACTCCTGTTGTGACATGGTCAGGCAAGAAGCTTATGGACGGTACTTTACACTTACGTATCGATGACTGATTTTCAGCTGCTCGTCGCGCTGGCGTTTTGAATAGAAAGCCGTGAAACGCTGGCGAAGTTCGTCCAGGTTGACAGCACGATTGTATCCAACTGACCAGAATCGCCCCTGCGGAGCGTCTTTCAATTGGTGACAGTCCTCCGGAGTAGCCAGATAGATATCCTCTTTCTTGATAACGGACAACTGACTGTTATTTATGGGCCAGTCTGTGATACGAAAAACAGCAATGTCCCAGGCTTTGTGGATGGCCCAAAGGCGGAGTGCAAAGCGACCTTTGAGATCTAGAGCCCAGTCAGTGGTGCATGCGTGGGTTTGGCCTTGCGGACAAGGACTTACCACCTCCTTTGACCATTCTCGCCTGAATCGCCTCGCAAACACCATTTTGCCCGTTCAAGAAGAATTCGACATTGTTTCCAGCGATATCCCAGTCCGTGAAGTGAGCACAGGTAATGATCATGTCTTGAGATAAGCGAAAACCGGACAACTCTGCGATTTGTGCTTCGAGGCCCGGCAGATGGGCAAGGCCGACCCTGACTCGGACGGCTGCGAGTCCAGTCTTGACAAGAGACTGCAGTCTCTGTGGGGTGCTTAATTCAGTGAGTGATATTGAAAGCTCGGAGAAGACATTACCTCAAAGCCCCCCACCTCTCTTGCCATGGCCTGCCATTCCTGACTCCAAGTCTCTGAATCCCCGTCTGCTCCAATGACATGGAATTCAGAGAGTTGCCCGTGCTCTGCTTGATCAAGTGTCACTCCGCAGAATGATGTATAGCATGGTGAAAGGAGACCGTCGTCCGATTCGACTGAAGATGAGTCTGAAACATCGTCCGGTCCAGTGTCCCCCGGAAGGATCTCCGAATTGAAGTATAAATGCATACCGCAGCTAGCACAGTGTTTCTTACGACCGGTATTTGATGTTGTCTTTGAATAGCTTTGTTGCTGGTGATTGTGGGGGCATCCATCGGTTCGGACAGACGGTTCAGGATTTATAGAGGCCGCCGCACCGGCATCTGATGGTTGCTTTGTCTTTTCCATGGCTCGCAAGTTGCCTTCTGTGGTGTTCTTGCCTTAGGACAGTTTCAAGCTTGACTGAGATTGTGGCGCAAGGTTTTGCTTGCAAGCCGAGTTGTGGAAATGATCGAGGCAATGACAAAGGCGACGTCCATGGGAGAGTATTTCGACTTGATTGAGTCTTTGTGACAACAAGGGGCTACCGAAGAACATCTGCAAACAGAATGTGTTCTCATCGTTGCCCTGTTTCACGCCGAATTCCATGTCTGTGCTCAGCATTCCAATGTGAGAGTACCACTCACGGCCTCTGCACTTGGAACTCAACCTTGTCCCAGGTTGGGGCAACTCATCTGTCTGTGCCGAGCCATATTTCGTTTGTGTATGTTTTGAGCGCATCTTTTGACAGCAGGAGAACATGTTATTGATACAAGTCTCGCTTCACCACTTAGCCTCATCGGGTGATGGGGCAGTCTGGGTTTTCAGAAGGCTGTTTGGGATTAGCTATGATAACGGCGTTCAGTGCCTTTGTTTCTTCTTTGCTTTCCCTGCACTTGAGTTATGATACGTACAGCCATTGGGAAGGACACAAATAATGGATCTGGTAAACTACCGACCCGGTTTGCGTCAGTCTCTCTCCTAAGGGATGCCGCTACATCCACCTCAGAATTCCTGAGGAGGATTGTTTCGAGCAATGCCTTATCTCCTTGAAGTATGCACCTGTTTCGGCCGACTAGGGTCGTGAGCAAAAATTCCACTCCCCGGAGCATTCCTTTGAGATGCTATTGGCAACTTGGAATGCTGAGCTGGCTCCCTTGGTGTGGCATATTTGGAAGTAACAGCTTCAGGTAGCTCGGTGCCCGGCATTCCTGCTCGTGTGCGCTGTTAGCTTGATGAGCAGCCACCAGAGAAGTGGCTTCCAGTAAAATTGCCATCAGGGCGGAAAGTTTGTGCACGGTCTCAGAATTGAATGCGAGTTAGTGCCTTCAAACTAGCAATGTATGCGACAGTAGGAGATAAAGGTCGTGGTTATGCGGTAACAAAACTCTCCAGGAGAAAGCAGGGAGCTGAGTCCACCGAGATGCAAGACTCGAGTCGACATCTTCATCGACAGCAGGATCTCCAGTGATCTAAAACAAGTCCGCAGACCATCCTACGCCGGGCAGCGAGAGAAGTTTCATTCGGGTTGTTAGTCAATTGAGCCGCCGTTGATGGGCGTCGGATACACAGATAGAGCCACGTACCACGGCTCGATGAGAATAGAGATCAGATCGGAAATCCCTACCTTTGCATTCCCCGCCTGATGTATCTCTTTTATGTGATGCTTGCAGAGGTAGTCGTAGGCTCGGAATCTCGTGACCATGTCCTTGTCAATGTCTGTATATCGCTCTCTTCTGTCTTGTGTTTTTCGAAAAGCGTCGTGACAAGTTCAAAATGCTGCCGTCCGCCCTCAAACATCTCGGTCGTTCAGTGCAGATTTGGTGGGTTTGGCGTTGCCAATCTGCTGACGGATTGCCCATCAAGATATCACGTTCCCGTCCATCAGAGCCCACAGGTGGGAAAGAAATATCGCTCACCTCATCGTAGCGTTGTTGGCAGACCTTCGACTCCGTGCTCGAGATATGTGTACGAGTGTTGCCGCGCCCCGTCCGAAGCTACGGAGTACCTTATAGATATCTCTATTGTACACCCGGTATGCCTCCATGGCCTGACAGACAGAATCTCGCATCCTTTGACTCCAGAGGACGCGCAGGCTTCTCTTAGGTTTGCCTCCTTTCTTCTGGGGGTTGCTTGTGTCAAGTTCCTGGAGTCGGAGCAGCTGCGGCAGCTCAGAAATCCCATGTTGAGAGAAGGCCAGGATGCTGAGCTGAAATTCGCAGAGAGCACGGTCTTAAGCTGATCCTTGTACCTATTCTTCTTCTGCATCATCATATGGAAGTCCTGTTGCATGAGACTGCACTCAACGAAAGAATCGGTCGCTCAAGGTACGGGTCATTCCATGTTTCTTTAAGTCAGCATGCTCTATGTGTGGTTCGACCGGCCTTACGCTGCATGGTAGTTTCCGTCGAGGTTGTCGTCTATTCAAGGCGGCCGGATAGGAGTGGGACTACCTTCGGAAGACGATCGACCCTATGGGATCTGGTAAGGAGTCGGCGGTAGGGACGATAGCGTATCCGATACTTTTACATGAAACATGAAGACGACCATCTTGCCAGTCCAACCGGATACTAGGTAATGCTTACAACTAAATTCCGGATTGCCATCCCTGTCGAATTTGACGTTCATATTAGACACTGGCTCTGCTTATCCTCGATCCCGCTCCTCGGACGCCAAAGCATCGAGAGCTTCCGAAACCTCAGGAAGCTGGACAACAGATACACCACTATAAATGCCTGAACATATATCCGTTCCAGGCTAATTTGCGCTCCTCTGTTCTGCTCCCACCACCACCACCACCACCACCACCACCACCACCACCATTCTGATGACTTGGACGTTTGTCCTCACACTCGTGGCCTGCCGAAGGTTGTTCGTTTGGCTTCAACGTCCTCCCTGTCAGTCGACCAGACCAGAACTCGACCAAAAATTAAAATACATCAACCGTGGAGATGGTTGTTCCTCAATCGATACCTGTGCTAGGTTGCTCCTGGGCTCTTAGACCTGTTCAGCGCCCCAGCCAGCGTCGGCGTCACGCATGTTGGAGGGTGGCTCAATCGAGGGTGCAAACTCTAGCGCGCAGTAACCGACGCCAATGGCAGCGACAATGGTGCCAGCAATGATTCGCAGAACGTGTCCCTCCAGGATGATGCAACCAACGAAGATGTAGACTGTGCAATGTTAGGATCTCCCGTAGAGTGGATCGCAAGGAGGACTGACAGATGCCTCGACCGAGGAAGGAAAACAGAAAGCTGGCGTATTTGGGGAGATACGGTGGGACTTGTGGCAATAGTTCGAGTCCGGCGACAGCTGTATGTCCAGTCAGTCTCCCACGGGCACGGTTTCGAAAAGGTCTCTTTCCATACCCAGCCCAAAGATGATCACGTAGATGCCCACGATGATGCTTCGACTGTCGTAGGTTTAGTATCGGCGCAAAAAGTTAACGGGAGGACAAAACCGACAATCCAATTGGGAAGAATTGGCTAATTCCTGTTGCCTTGTTAGTATGAGTGCTGGACGGCTGCGCCTTTGATGGGTTTGGATTCATTCCGTACCTCCAAGGACCATGATCGCTCCCACGACTAGATTAACCAGCCGGCTAGAATCTGCAATTAGCACGAGGACATGGATCCGAACCAGCAGCGTGCCCGGCATAAACGCGCTGCGGACTCTAAACGTACAAGATATTGGAGAAGTCCATGATGACGGCCCAAGCGCAACTTGGACAGAGCTCGACCGCGGGAGGTTTGGGAAACCGAGTGAGTGAGCGGAGGCGCTTGAAGGTACAGTGATAGACAAGGGTGGTCTGTAGGTCGTGGGGAGGATGAATGTTCGAGGAGGATGTTAGAAGCAGAGAACAATAAAGTTAGCAGAATCCAACTGCGCAGCGCAGGCAGAACAACAAAGGGGAAGCTGGCGAGCTGGCAATCCACACGTATGCCAAGCGGCCAAACTCTGCCGAAATCCTTCGACTCATGGGTAATCAGCATGGTCGATCCTCGACGGAGCACTGAGAATACTACTACGACTGTGGCTCGGATCCAATCACTGTTATTTGTTCAAGGAGCTCATATTGTCCGCTTCTGCGAGTGAAATTGCAGAACTAGACCGAGGGAAGACTGGTAGCAAAAATCCAATGATCTTCTTCCCGTTCCTCCATGGCCTCGACGGATGATTGCTTCTACTACTCATATAAGACCGTTTTTATCATAAATCATCTGGGATCCGAGTCACGGTCTGGTCTCTAAGAACGGTCCATTTCCCGACCGAAATTCTTGTAATCTGCCATGTGCCGCCGACGCTATGCTATGCTGGGGTATCAAAACTTGCAAACCCGTGCTATGCAGAACACCTCACCAAGACTGTTGGACAAGTAACCTCAACCTGTACTCCGGTAGAATCCCTATGCTCGCAATGTTGGTTTAGGCCTCTCGGCTACCGACATCAATCGTGAGCTAGACGACTCTGAGGTAGTGGCTGCTTTGTTGGTGACTAGATTGAGTGAGATTCGAGGCTGAGGTTTGGGCGGTAGCTTCGCAGGTCCGGCAATAGTTTCGAGAGTAGTGCCTTCTTCCTCAGGTACCACAGGCTTGGCCTTGGTCGTCAAATGTGTATTCTCTTGAGCCGAGGTGTCCGATGACAATTCGGTGTCTTGCGTGCTTGATGGTGTATCTGCACTCGGCGAGTCGTTTGGCATTGGCGGCGAGAGTTCATTGTCTGGTTCACAGATAGCAATAGCCATGTCTACACGTCGTCGGGTACTTTTTCGTCTATCTGCTCTTTTGCTGGCCCGAATGGGTTCTCCATCCTCGTCCAACGATCTCTTTGAGCTCGAGCTGCGTTGAGACGAGGTCACAGAAGGGCTTCGTGCGCGGTATTTGTCACTGAGCTGGTCCAGATTGTTCTCAATGTCTCTCTTGCTCTTTTGCAGGAAGTCCTGGATGAACTCAGATGATAGTTCCGACTTGCCGCTCCGGATCGCTCTAGTACTGAGGAGGAGTTGTGGTGAAGATGGAGAACCAACCAGGGGGTTGCGAGAGGTGTCTTGAGGTCTGAGGAGAGGGCTGTTCTTGTGCCGTGGAGTGGAACCATCTCTGCTTCGGGCTGAGTCGTAGTGTGCTCGCGTGACCTCGTCTCCGCCGTAGCAGATGTGCAGCGGTGGGACAGTAGCCGGGTCCCCTCGGTGTTCGTTTGTGTAGAGGATCGAATCTCTGTCGAAGTTCTTGATGCGTGGGAGGTGCACTGTGACATCCTGATCGAAGACCTGACAGAAGGCTACCAGCTCAGGCTCTCCGCCATAGGTCCCGCTGCGTGACATGAGAGACAAATATTCCTCAAACGCGTCTTCTGGCTCTTGGCGGGTAGCTAATGTGGCAGAGCGGAGAGTCCGTCGTTGTTGCACGTCGTCTTTGTGGACATAGTGTTCGAAAAGCGGGCGGTAGGTTCGCATGTGGTCAATGATGCTTGCACGTATCTCGGGGTGTTTTGCCGGCGTGCCGTAGAGTTGGTCAGAAAGCGATGCGAACAGACAATTGCCTAGAATCGAGTCAGACCAATATAGACAATGAGACATGAGGAAAGAGAGAGAGAATCACATACCGTCGCCTGCTATCTGCTTCTGATACATACCCATCTTGGCCAGGCCGGGCCATACAGCCCTGGGCTTTCGAACCATGCTGGGAAGCTGCGTGGATGCATGGTCAGCCATGGTCGAGCCAGATCCATTGACTCAAGCATTTGGAAGAGATGAAAGAGAGGAGAAGGAGGTATTGGACGATCACAACGGCATGACAGGGGGGCTGCAAAAAGAGGCAGCGTTGAAATAGACAGAGTGGTCGCCTGCTAGGGGCTTCCTGATGATTTCAGGAACCACGTCAAGCAGCAGCAACTAGGGGGATCACAATTGCCCCAAAAGACGCAACTTGGGCTTGGGGGGGGGGGGGGGGAGAGGGGCCACGCTGGACTGCTGGGCTGCTGGGTGCGACGCAAAACACCGCTGGTGCCCGCTGTTTGGCTGCGGCTTACCTTCTGAACTGGCAATGACCGTCGCCTAAGCTGCCCAGGCGGGTAAAAGGGCGCCGGGCTCTGGGGGGCACGCTGTCTTGCGATAGGCGGATTCAGGGAGGGGCTAAGCAGGAGGTCGACTGACAGCTGCTGATAAGGCCTGGTTATCGTTGCTTCGACAGGTGACGGAACGTGTACCTGAGAGAGTGGTGGGGTGTCTAGGTGCACTCAAAAGCTTGTGAAGCTGCGTTCTCCGTGTCGTTTTTCCTGTGTCTGAAGGTCGGACGCCCTGTGAGTATACTAGAGATGTTTTCTGTAGTCCTTTGACGAGTCTGAGTGGGAGATGGCACTGTATTAAAGACGCAGGCTGAGCCGCAGCACACGGAACTCTTCTTCACCTCGGGGGTCCTCATCCACCATATTGTTTACCTTATTGTTGCGGCTGGAATAGTGCGGCAGAATTGGCCCTATTCACGACTCATCCTATTGACAGGGCGCCCAAACAATACGATCCGCACTACCGGGCCCTTCTGCCTGCCTCTCCATTCCCAGATCCAATTCACTCACGCCCTGACCAGTCACAATGGGCGAGAAAAACATCGTCGTTGTAGGGTAGGCACAAGGTGACTCAACCTTCTCAATGCGAATGCCGCCTAACTTGTACGGCAGAGCGGGTGTTGCTGGTCTGACCACAGCCTTCCTGCTGTCCAAAAATCCGCAGTACAAGGTCACTATCGCTGCAAAGCATATGCCGGGAGATTATGACATCGAATATGCCTCGCCCTGGGCCGGCGCAAACTACATGCCGTGAGTCGAAAACTCACCTCCTAGCAAAACTGCAACAAATCCACTGAAACGTGAGACACAAGGGTGTCGGCAAGAGGAACGCCAGCAGAAGAATGGGATAGGAACACCTGGCAGCCGCTTTTTGACTTGGCAAAGAACCATCCCGAGGCGGGTGTTCACTTTCAAAGGACGGAAATCTACAATCGTAAAAAGGACGTCTCCTCAGCCACGGCTGCGTGGTTTGCTGACCTTGTCAGTCCCAATCCATGGTTCAGTACCCTCTTCGACGATGTGAGTCACTGTACAAGGTCTCTTTACCTAGACCAAGATGCTCATGCTCGACTTTGTTAGTTTCGCCAAATCCCAAAATCGGAGCTCCAGCCCGGGGTCGACAATGCCACCTGCTTCACGTCGGTCTGTATCAACACTGCAATATACCTGCCCTGGCTCGTATCCCAATGTCTAAAGAATGGGGCCATTGTCAAACGGGCGGTGTTCAAACACATTGCAGACGCCGCTGCCCCTGGTGTCCATCATTCCGGACGCCCGGCCGACCTTGTGGTCAATTGTACTGGACTTTCAGCGGCGAAACTGGGCGGTGTTGAAGACAAGACGGTTGTTCCTGCTCGAGGTCAGATTGTCGTTGTCAGGAACCCGGCGCCCGCAATGTATGCAACGTCTGGGACAGATGACGGCCCAGACGAGGCCTGCTATATCATGACTCGGGCTGCCGGTGGGGGGACAATTTTGGGCGGCTGCTATCAAAAGGGCAGCTGGGAATCACAGCCCGACCCCAATCTAGCAATCAGGATCATGCAGCGATGCGTCGCCATCTGCCCCGAGTTGACCGGCGGCAAGGGCATCGAGCATCTCGATATCATTCGACACGGCGTCGGTCTCAGACCCGTGCGGGAAGGAGGAACCAGAATTGAAAAGGAGAAAATCAACGGTGTCTGGACAGTGCACAACTATGGCGCAGGTGGTAAGTAACGGTGGTGTCCTTTCCCCCTTCCTTCTACCTACCTGAGCGGAAGTCAATTTCTTTGACATGACCATTCTCCGCTCACTCTCGATAAGATGGTCAATCTCGCTCTGCTTCGACCCAAATTTTGCATGCAGGGTTATATCATGTTGTTGCTAATGCTATCTAGGCGCGGGATATCAGTCGTCGTACGGTTGCTCCAAGGCAGCTGTGAAATTGGTGGACGAAGTGTTCGAGGACAGGGCCAGATTGTGAGGCACAGTGGGGAGAAAGAGTACGAGTAGAAGTAAGATTAGGCCGCGGTCACGTCCTCATCTCGGGAGCATTTACCGGAGTCTCGATCTACAAGTATGAGCATGATCTCGAAGGGCCCATTTCCATCTGGAGATTAATTGATCAACCTAAATGCATACACACCGACTTCTCTCGAGCCATAGGTGCTTACTATGAGTGATTCTGCAACACAAGGGCGGAAACCCGCTGGTCCACGCAGCATAGCTGTAGGGCAACCTGACAATGGGGGATGCATGGTCTTTGATGCCCTGCAACTTGACTCGCCGATCGAGAGATTGCCGACAGGGGACAAGAGCAACGCCCTGGCGGCTGAAAATGCTCCGACGGCGAGGCGCCACAGCCGCTTTTAAGCTAAGAGAAGTCCTGGTGGCCGCCCCGGTGACCGCCCAATCCGGATTTAACTCCTGCCCTCTCTGTTGCTTCCCGTCCTTGTCTTCGCTGCATTTCCGGCGTTGTTCGAGTATTATGCGGCGGTATTGCATGGCTTCAAAGCGTTGGACGCGTGCGCCGTGCAGGCAGGGGCCGGTAGGAACGGCAAACTGGTAGCGATGACTGGTCAGAATATCCGAAATAGATCATCCGCTGTCTCGAAACAGGGTTGTCGAGTCTGAGACATGCGCCTGGAAAGGAAGCGATCAGATGCAGGAACCGGCCATCCACGCCGCATCCATGAACCGGCTACCAGCTAGCCATAGTCCGCTGGTCAGGGATTGGAGGTCGATTTGACTTGAAAAGAGACTTGGCTCGGGTACCTGGACGGTCTTGTCGAGCTATCAAAAGTCCGTTGCAGTTGGCCAGGAACGGAAAGCAAGGAATTTGGCAACATTGCAGACGCCAGCCACATCTAGGAAACGTCATCAGGACTGAAAAACAAGGACCGTCATGCATTTTGGTCTTGCAAGCTGCCAGACAACCATTCGCAAGGTTGAAGGAGCAACTGGAACGGACTCATTATTATTCAGGCCTTGGAGAGTCACCACGGGCGCAGTGCGATCGAAGGGGTTGTTGTGCTGAGCAGGCTCGTGATTTGCCCGCTGGTGGCTTTCTCCTGCCCCGCGCTCTCACAACAGTCTCGGGGGCTTTTCGCTGCACGGACACGCTGACAGGAATAACTGCTGTGACTCGTGGCATTGCTTCGTACACTTCCGGATGACGGTTGTACCTGTGCCTTAACGTCTGCCGTGTTCCTTGCATGTCAGCAAGACGTTCCCTGACCTCCTGTCGCCTTCCCGTCGTGTACACCCTTGCCATGGGAGTAGAAACCTCGTATTCTGGCAAAGTCCATGAATTGTAGCTGAAAACGCATCGGATACTAAAGGGCAATCTGGGATACGAAGGTCAGGTCCGGGAACGGGCGAAGGAGCGTTGAGCTCTGGGTTCTGATGTCGAGTTAGCTTGAATCAAAGCTGTGAGAGGAGATCAGGTGCATGAGAGCAGGGCTTTCGAGCCCTCGCACTGGTCGGCACAGGCGGCCACGAATGATTGGAGTAATATCCCCGGAATGATGGTGGTTGACCAATGCGAGCTGCCAGATCTGTTGTGATGCCATTTTGTGCGGACGAAGTTGGTCTCTGATGGAGATGCTTGGAACAACAAGAGCTGTGAGGCAAATGACCTTTTCCCACGCGTGATCTGCATCGATTTTCAACGGATCACTCGGTCATGGAAGACTAGTTGGAAGTGTCGAGGATCATCAGTGGCTCCAGTAGTGCAGGTCTTTGCCTGGCAGGTGATAGATGGGGTCCTGAGGCGTGGAGGAGGTGCATGTAGGGCAAGCAGGTGGCTTGTTAAAGGGCGGGTGGGTGCCTGTGAGCAGACACAATACCCCTCACCGGGTGCCTCCCTGAAACGGTGCAGCAGTTGGTGAAGGATGGATGGGCTTATTGTGGGCTTCGGCTTTGCCATGGGCGCCACGGGCGCCATGGGCATCATGGAGCTCCACTTGAGCCCGCATCGATCGCCTAACAGTTCTCAGTAGCACACCGACCAAACGTCCACCAGGGCTGCCCGCCTGCAAGACTAAATAGTCCGTAGCTTAAGCTGCCAATTCTAACTTGCTCTTCGCCTCCAGTTGTTTTTCTTTTTAGCACCTGCATGCCCCTAGGGAGGTCGGTCCCCCTACCTGCTGCGTGCTGCTGCCGCGCCCGCCACTCGCTCATCGTTCGACATCATCGTCACCATTCGTCACTGGCACCTCTGCGCTGCTCTGAAGCCATTCGCCATCCTCTAGACCAGCAAAGCACCTGCATCCCAGTTGCCTCGCTTCGTTCCTCTACCACGTTTTCCGCCCATTGCTCAAGTCACGCTCATTCCAAAGCTGCCCTGCACAGAGGGCTATCTGTTTTCGCTCTACGAATTATCACCCGCTCTATCTCAAAATTCGAATCCACCCTTTGAATCCTCGCGTTTCCACAGACGAACCATCATTCTGCCTGTCTCGACTCACTAAGAGTTCATCAGACTGCCCCCCTCTTCAAGGAAAATAAAACATTGCGACCGCGACCGCGTGGCGTTGCCGCCCCTATGCCAACCAAGTTGAAATAACAACATCGCATTTCCGGAACCGCCTGTGCCACGGCCGGTCGACCCTACCTTACTCCTTATACCTACATTGAAATTTGTCTTGGGCGCCAGTCCGGTCGTCGTTGATGTCTCTAATCAGGGTTTGCGAACCTCCGCCTCGACTCAGCCCTGTCCCTTGACCGAGCCGCCCCCTTCCACCGGCCATCTGAACTGCTACCGCTGGGCTCAGCATGGGCTTTTGGCCATTTGGTGGAGGCAAAAAAGGCCGAACGAACCAAGGCGAAGACCAAGGACGACACTCACTTCTGGAGAAAACACGGACAGATCTTCGCGCCAGAACAAACACAAGCTCCTCTCAAGAATTTGTCACCATGGGCCGGACAACAAGTCAACGCGGACAAGACGAGAAGCCACGAAGGCTTTCGAAACAGCGGCTTCCTTCTCATCCCGGAAATGTTCCCCGTGCCCAGACGTTACCCGTCAGCGTACCAGGACTCGAGTCCCTTGGCTACAAGAATGGCTCCTATGGGAGAGGTGGAGGCTTTCAAAGTACTGATATCTATTCGCACAATCCAATGTCACAGACTAGCATCGGCCCCGAAGATTTCACGGCATTGCCGCAGGCTCCCACGCTACTAGCTAGGCGTCCAGGCTACGATCCGACACTTCATCGAAGAAAGTCAAGTAAGAGAAAGGCCGAGGACTATGCTCGCGAGAGGGAGGTGCGGGCCATGAGCTCGCCGATCCAAATTTTGAAGAGGCCCACCACGTACTCGGGATCAGGACCACTTCGACGAGACACCAAACAGATCCCGGGCGATCTCAACAGGAGACTGCAAAGACCGACTTCCGAAGTGTCTTTGCCCTTGCCAGAAACAATACAAGAATCCGAAGACCTTTCCAACCAAGCTTCTTTCAAGATTGGGATCCTAGCAGCGTTGAGCCCGAGGCCCACACTAACATACGTGGCAAGCCCTCGACCTTCAGCTGGAAAGCAACCCGCAAGAGTGAAACCCTCGGTTCAGCAAGCTATAGAGGAGGAGGACCCGTCGTCAAAGAAAAGGATAAATGAGTTAGCAGACGAGCTCGACGCAGGAGGGTTGAGAGAGCTGATGGACAGAGATCGAAGACGCAAGGAAAGGAAAAAAGAGGCCGACCGAGCTCGTTTGGAGCGAAAGTTGCAGCGCAAGGCGGATAGGCAGCGGGAGGAGGAATTTCGTGGTCGCCAAGCCAATGATGCCTCTGATGATCGCACCGTCTCAGGTGAGGACTCTGAAAGAAGGGGTCGTGCGCCGTTCGGCAATGTTGGAGAACCATCGCAGACCGCTGTCGCACGAAGGCTTCCAAGTCCTGCTCGCCAACCGACCAACAACCCATTTGCTGATCCGGGAAGCTCACAAGCTCGGCCGGTCCATCACATAAGAAACCCCTTTGAAGATGAGAAAGATATTGATCCCACACAAGAATCATTCCTTCATGAGGGGGAAGACGAAGAAGAAGAAGAACCGCCCGTGCCGGTTAGATCGCCTCTCCGAACGGTCTCTGCCGCTCAAGTCAGGAGAGAGGAGAAGGCGTCTCAGGCAGCCACGATCTCCCCTCCCATCTCTCCGGCACAGGGGCCTATTGACCGCCAAAGCCTGTCTCAAACGAGCGGGCTTGCCCGTGAAATCACACCAGACATTCCAGAATATGGGTCGCTTGATCGTCGCGCTTCGGACCAGAGCAACCAACAGCTCAGTTCTTGGACCAGCTTTTTCAGGCGTGGGGGGAGACGGAAGACCAGTAACGTTGAACGTGGTCGAAGCACGCCGTCCGAGTTCTCGAACACGTCTCGCGAGTCATTTGCTGCTCGAAAGCAACAGCCCCCACCTGTGATGGTTCCCCGAACGTTTCGAAGATCTGATTCCTCTTCGGTTCCACAAAGAACCATGTCCAAATTCCGCGAGGATCTGCCCGAACTTCCCATTTCTCCACCAGACTCTCGTGTCCAGTCCCCGGAAGTGATGGCTAGCGCACAAGCTGGACAGGCATCTCGGCAACCGCGACACTCGCTGTCAGGGACTTTGGACAATCGAAGTCTTGCCACCAGCTCGAGTAATGCAGCATTGGATCGTGGGGCAGCTGAAGCTCGCCACCCTCAAGGTGTTGACGTTGAGATGGGTGGCACCGCCTCAGGGCCGGGCCTGTCCCAATCACTAGCGTCCGTTGACTCGGAAGGATCTTGGCTGTCAGGCAAGCCTCCCAAGAGGCTCTCAGGCGGCATGGGCCACCCACTTCGACAAAGCCAGTCCTCAATTCCGCCGCAATCCATTCCCGGCTCTTTCGAACCGGAAGATGATGACCTCGCAAACGACGAATACCTTAACAAGTTGTCCCCGGGACCGAGTGGGCGCCGAGATTCGGTTGCTTCTGCCGGGCGCAGAGCAAGCAGTAATGTTATCGATCTGGAGCGGGAACGCGAGCAAAGCCCCGTGCCCGACGTCCCCCCCATCTCAGCTGCTCAAGGTGGAGATGAGAGATGGCATGCCGGGGTCGCGCGACAAGCTACCGTGGTACGGCAGCCAAATCGAGCAAGATCGAAGGAAGGACTGTTGAAGGAGACGGGAAAAGACGACTTGAGCGCATCTCGAAGAGTTAGCACAGATGTGGAGAACGATGGCGAACTTGCGGAAGGCGAACCTGCTGGAACGGAACTACAAGAACCCACGCTCCTACGCGCCAGAAGTGTGGACTACAAAGGCCATGCGAAGCATATCAGTGCTGGAAGCGCCCGGTTACTGGACATTCGGCGATCGTCGACTCAGTCGGAAAGTGCACCACGAAGTGCCAGCCTTTCCAATATTGTACCACCAACCCAGCGGGAACAGCCCACACCACCACCGACAGAGTGACAAGGCTGTGCCGAAGCCACCGACGACTATCCCTTTTTCCTTTGTCCATTTTCTATGTTTGGCCCGCGGAAGCAAAAGACCCATTGCCACTACGGGAACAACCGTCGGGACGGTTGATCAGAACATTCCTACGACATTCATGATGCCAAAAATTGATACCCCAGATCGCTCTTTTAACATTGATTTTTTTTTTCTTACATTGGGGGACACATGGCTCTTGCCTTTTCTGTGGCGGATGTTGAATTGAGTCACAATTAGCGGGAGGAGAGAGTCTGGCTGAGGGCGAGCGGGCATATAGCTGAATGAAGCAATTGATTTGCAAACAGGTTGTCATTGGTGGTCACCCGCGATGGAGCCGAATCCCGGCCGATTTGGCATCTTTGGCATCTTTGGCAATGTTTGTACTCGGTCTACATGTATACCTGTACACAGCGAGAGGGTTTGTGGAGGACTATGGGGGATAACCAGGACGGGGGGCAGACAAATCACGCAATATCACTCCATACTAGGAAACAACTCGGGACTGATACTCCGTACTTGACTCGCTATCCGGAATCCGGATTAACTAATGCTCCGTCAGGCTTACCGGAAGCGTCAAAAATGGCAGGCCGGCATATTGTCATCTTGTCACGTGCTAAGAAAGATGACGTCAACATGGGAATTGTCATCCACACTCCTCCGCTCACCCACTCCCCTTTTTTTTGCATTCTCGCCCGGGCATTGCCTGCGGGATCTCGCTGCCCCTACTCGGTACTCCTACTAGGTCCCTAGTGGTCCCCGTACTCACTCCTGTCGCCTCCTGGTGCCTCCTGGTGCCGCCGAAATTCAAATACTGAGAGCTACAGCAACCTGTCCCATCTGGATTTCTAATCGCGTCATCTTTTCACTCAGTCTCCGTCTTTCCACCACCCACCATCCGCTACCCCCTCTTATCTCATTCACCGTTCATCATTCACCGTCCAACCAACCGTCCACCCCTCCTAGTCTCGATTCCCTCAGCCTCACAGCCTTCGCTGCGCAGTTCTTCCTCTTATATAACCTTCACGCTGGCCGCCTCAATCCGTCCTTCCTCCATCAAAATTCAGCGCCTGTCACTCACACCCGCAGCCCTACTTCGAACCAGAATAACCCCCTCGATCCGTTCCTTCTCAACCACCCTCTCGACTCAGTTTTCGCAGTCGTCCTCCAAAATGGTCGTCCACAACCTTGCAGAGTACGTAGCCTACCATCAAGCCAAGCTGCGTGAGGAGCAGGCTCGCAATGCTCCCAAGCCTGCCAAAAAGTACGGTGTTAACCCCATCCACAGCAAGTCCTCCTACAACACCTCGATTGTTCAAGCCCCTGCCGACCGGCTCGTCGTCCTCGACTGCTTTGCCACCTGGTGCGGTCCTTGCAAGGTCATTGCCCCCGAGGTCGCAAAATTCTCCGAATCGGATGACTTCAAGGACAAGGTCGATTTCTACAAGGTCGACGTCGACGAGGTTCCCGACGTTGCCCAGGAACTGGGCGTCCGCGCCATGCCCACCTTCATGATCTTCAAGAACGGCGAGAAGGTCGCCGAGGTCGTCGGTGCCAACAAACGCGCCCTTGAGCAGGCGATAAGAAGCAATCTGTAAACTGTTGTGTTTACGACCTCCCCTGACTCGGACCTTCCCTCATCTCAACGAGTGCCGACCGCGTCTCGATTGGTCGGTCAGATCTCCGGTTGCACGAGAGTGAAAATGGAAAGCAACAGAGAGAAGATGTTCTGAGAGAAAACGAAAAATCACGGTACTCCAACGGAAGTGCCTTTTGGAGCGGAATGGCTGTGTGTGCTATTTCGCACTAAACAGAGCCCATACAGAAATGAATGTCTGCCACTGCATTTCCACAAGTGCCATTTCCTAACGTTGTCTTATGCTCCGGTTGAGCTGAATTGCATCGCGCTTGATATGACCGAGGCGCCTTTTGTCCCGGTTCTGAAAGGAGTGTGATTCTGCCTCAAACTTGCAAAGGTTGAATATACACAGGCCTGGGGAGTGCCCACCAACCTCGAGCGCCTCCTTATAAATGAATGCCGATCCCTCACCTTTTCAGATTCCTCCTCCGCCAAATTGCGTTGAGCCTCGCCTCGCCTCGCCACGTCACATTTCTCTGACATATGTCCACGTGTGCGAAGAATCCACACCTCCTCGTCTTGATGCAGGTGTCAAAGCCGTCCCGTTCCCATTCCCATGACTTTTGTGCGAGGTTGCAGTACCAAAGTGTTTAGCATCAAGACCCCCCTGACCCGCTGGAGAGGAATGCACAAAAAGGGAGGGGTGTTTTGAGCCGCACCTGACACTCCATAGGTGAGGCGCAAGACTGGAAAATGCTCGTTGCAACCACCACAAGTATTTTTTGGGGGGTCTTTTCGCGTTTTAGTCAGAAAGACTAATCCATAATATGGAGACACGCAGCAAACCACTCTCGAGGGAGCGAGGGAGTGTAAGGGGGGGGGGCCATCCCCAGATGGCGAAAGACTTCGGATTCTTCCCGTCTTCCAACTCGCCCGCTTGCCCCTGATTTCGTGGCGGAGGCTGCTTCAACGCCGACGACAAGGCAGGTGTCTTTTCTCGTGATGGGGAAAAAAGGGCCTAGAGGGGAAACGGGCCTCGATGGGCGACGACATACAGCAGGTCGTGATCTCTGACACAGGCTCAGAGGGGAGGGAGGGGGGAGGGGGGAGACTGGCGTCGTTCACTCCGTACATATGTCACAATCACCATGCCGTGCTCGAAGAAGGCGGGCCAATCTGATGCCTTTTCGAAAGACTGTTCACTTTCGCATTTCGGTTGTCTTCTATATGTATGTGCCTTGTGTATGCCTTGACTTCCATATGTACATACAACTCATACTTTGCCTGTACTAGATAGACCGCATCCTTCCCTCCCGGTAGCCAAACTATTTGTACATTGATGATTTGAACGCTCATGAAGTGCAGTCGTGATACTCGTGCTTCGTCAAAACAAAAACTGAAAACGTCGTCCTTCGTCTGCACATCGATAGTGAGTGGTTGAATAGAGCGGAGGCTTCTCGTTGCCGTCGTCGGGGTAGAGTGTCTCTGCCCTCAGTTCTGTGTTGCTCCGGTTGAGCGTACCTCTGCGAACATCTCGAGAAGAAACCAAGACATCTGTCGCCGGGTGAAATCCAAAAGGTAGAGTTGCCCACGGCCGTGTGCCCAAATGTGCCTTCAAATACCTTATCCAAGGCTCGAATGAATGCTCCCAACATGCTGGCATGAATCACACGGCAGTCCCACACTTTTTACACCTGAAACTCTGGCCCTTATCTGTCATCGTCGCTTTAAACGTCGTGCCTCCACACTTTTTGCACTTTAAATCGCTGTCGCTTCCCACACTGCTCCGCCTCCGTGACCGGGATTTGCGGTTCTTGTTATCTGCCGCCGAGGCCCTACGCTCATCGTCACCCATGCTCCCGCCAGGGCTGGGATCGCGTTCTGAACCAGTGAGCTCACTGGACAACTGGCTCATGTAGCTGGGAGCGCGGGAAAGAGGGTTGCCGTCCGCCCCTAATAAGCCTGGCGTACGGGGCATATGCTTTGCCATGGGTAATAATGTGCTCCTCATGTCCCAGGCGAGGTATGACTGCTGGTCCACCAAGAACAGCGGATCGTTCGGGCTATGTGGAAGATCACCCGGCGTGGGATTTGAAGGTAAAGGTTTCAGAGATACCTGTGGTGAGAGCAACTCCTGATCTGGAGTTTTCTGGGTTGCTGAGTGGAAACTGCCGGGTGACTCGGCCAGAGGCGACTGGACCTTAATTGAGGGCCCGTTCTGGATCTGTTGTAATGGTGAGTGATATTCAGGGGACCTAGGAGACGTGACAGTGTCTTTTCGTGGTGGTGCCGATCTGTGAAGTGAAAGACGATGGCCCAAGATCTTCCTAGGCGAGGCGCTACGGGACCGTTCGTTGTTGGCAAGCTGGCTCCGGATATCCACCATACTTGTCGAGGCATTGTTGTTTGCTGTATCGTTGGGACTCACCGAATTCCTCCAGCTCAAGATGCGATCTGTTGACTGGGTCTTAGGGTTCATAACAAATGAGTTCCGGTGTGTGGAGGAATTCACAGAATTGCGAGTTGCCACAGAACCGCTGCGACCAAGCATTTTCCTGGAGAAGTTTGAGCTGGAGTCCCACGACTCGTGTCTGCGTTTCTGGAAAGCACAGTCTTGCCGGAAGACCTTGATTTGGCCAGTGTAGTCTGCTGTGACAATTATCTGGCCACCCGGATGTGAATGACGAGATAAATAGGCGGGTGTCTCCGGGGCACGACGAGGAGATTCTGATGGCCTCGCTTCGTCCTTGTTATGTTTGTCGTCTGAGTGGTTGCTGTTGTTTGTGGGCGCGCGGGACGAAATGACAGAGTCTGCACGACTGACCAATGTCACTGGCGGCGGGTTGCAGAGATCGTACAGAGGGTCTCCCGACTGTGCAAGTATCCGTCTCGCCTTTTCAGGTGCCATAATTGCGGTGGTGACAATGGCTGAGTGGGCCTCGAACACTTCCATCGGCCGCTTGTCATTCTCGGGCCGTTCATTGACGGATGTTGGCCAGATGTACACCTTGCGGTCCTCGCTCCCGCAGATTACATATTTCCCATCATCACTGAACGAGGCATGTATTTGACTGCAGGAATTCTCATTGCCGCGGAACTTGACCTCAAGGGTCCTATCCTTCAAGTTGTACATTCGCACCCTTGAGTCGTTGCTGGTAATCAGGAGCTTCACGTCCGGCTGACTGCCTTCTCGAGGCACTGAGATCGTATCAATCCCCGTGATTTTGCTCCCTTTGGCATTTTTGCCCCGCGCTGATCGGACGTGAATTTGAGAATGCGCTTTGAGGCCTTCGGTGTCGTAGAGGGTGCACAAACCATTCAAGCAACCGGCGATGGCGGTCTTTCCATCCGGGGTGAATGCGACAGCTGTGACCATGTCAGAAACCTGCGTCCAGTATGCAACATTCTTGTCTGGTATGCTCCACAAACGTATTTTCGAATCCAGAGAGCCCGCCAGGAAGAATCGATCATCACGCGGATGAAATTGGATCGAGGTGACAAAATCGTTGTGCTTGAATGCACACAAACATTCCGCCCGGCTCACATGGTACAGCCTGACGGTTTTATCCATGGACGAAGACAGTAGAAAGTTGTTCTTGCTCCAGCTGAGGTCCAGGATACTCGATGTGTGGCCGTCATATTCGCGAATGAGTTTACTCTTGAAGACCGGTGCATTGAGCTTGACCTTCTCTCCATCGTTGTCGGTCTCCGCAAGTTTCTCTTCCATTTCTCGATCGTCTGCGGATGATATGACCTCCCACACCCTCAACTTCCTATCCTGCCCAGCAGCAGCGAGATATCTTCCATCTTTTGAGAATTCCATGGCCCATATCGCATTGTTCGCCGAGTTCCTTGGGAGCGGCGGGACAACATCGCCAGGAGTATCGTTGATGCTGTGGATCTTCGAGTCTATCTCGGGCTTGCGGCTTTTGGATGGCGGCATCCCCAAGAGTATTTGGGCTAGGAACAACCTGTCAAAGTCCTTCTGTTTCCTATATTGAGCCTTGACCTTGATATATCGTGGCGGCGCAGGGAACTTGGGTATGAAGCCGACGGGTTGGGAAAAGACTTCGGCCTCGACCCCAGCAGGTCGAAACTCGGACCCGACCTCTGAAGCATTGTCGTCGTGAAGGTCAAACGAGTCACGCTTCTTGTTGCCCATTATTCGACTGAGGAAGGAAACGCCTTTCCTGCAGAGACATTGGCCATTAGTATACCGCAGCGGTCCAACTTTCAGCGCCGAGGCCGGGAATCAGCAGATCACCGAGAACACATGGAAACAAGGTGCTTATCCATGGACAAGCATAGGCAGGACGAGGGAGGGGCATGGAGCAAAAAAAATAAATGGAAGGGTGCCTGTCCCTCCAGGCTTCTATCAATGGGACTTACTTCTTCTCCTTGCCCGAGTTGCTACTATTAACCCGCCGCAACGAGACGGGTTCGGCTTTCAGACTGCCCGAGTCGGAATACCCGGAGTCTGCATAAGGCGACTTGGAAGGCACACCGCCTTGGGAAGAGGCAGGCAATTTGCTTTGCGACTGGGTCCTCTCGAGGATTTGCTAGAAGGTTATGAATGAGCCAAGCGTTGCGGGCCAAGTGGGTAATTGTATGTATACGATACCCTTGAGATGGGATCTAGGACGGGCTCGGGGCCAGGCTGGGGCTCCGATGAGCCCACGGTCAGGATGGGAGACATGTTGCCTGCTGCGCTGGCCGTCCCTGGGGTCAGGCCGTAATTGTAATCGCGACGAAGACTGTTGGCAGCATCCGGCTGTGGTTCTGGTTCTGAAAGCGGGCGAACACAGTCAGCACAGAGATTGGGCAGTCGGGGGGGTTGCAGAAGAAGAGTTGAGACGAGGTTGGCGCCCCGACCATTAAATTCGGGAACCACAATTTGCTGATTGGGACATCACATAATGACATACTGCTGTGGGAAGGAGGAGCAGAAGCAGAGGGAGGAGGCTGTTGTTGGATGTGCGCATTGGAGCTGGCGACCGGCACCTCGCTGCTGGGAGGGCAAATGTTTGGAGCGCATGATGACAAAGAGGATTTAGACTCGATGGTGGCCGCCGCCTCTGGTGCCTGTGGTGCCTCTGATGCCTCTGTCTTTGGTGTTGCGTCACTCGCCGCCGCCCAGTAGTAGTTTCCTATTGCTACAACTCGCGCAGCCACCGTCTGGGCCATTGTCGAGCCTCACGAAACAGCAAGAATGATCACAGAGTTCAGATCGCTGGCAGCGTGCAAAGCCAGAAGATACCCGATCGTCAGGAAACAAGCAGAGCCGTCGGTGAGCTTGCATGGGGCCGGATTGCCACTCCTCTTCTACTGACTCTGCTCATCTACTTCCGTATTCCGCATCTGACTTATGCATAGGTACAGAGAAAAACGCCTGAGCAGAGACAAGAAGGACCGGTGAAAGCTCGTACAGCATCGACCCTCAGCTAGCCTCGTTGGGTACCCTTCGAACCATTCACTGCTTGAATCATCCCTCCATGCAGCTGAGCTCATCATCCGCCATCGACTTCAATTGGCTCTCTACGACTCCACGGTTTTTACATACACACTCGCGCCTTTTACTACTTTGGTCGTGGTACGGTTCCAAAAAAGATGTCCTTGTCAGGACCCAAGTTAGACAGAAAAATCAAAATCTCCTCCAGGCCGAAGGACACACGGAGCAAAAAGTGACCATGTTGTCCCGATACACTTAATGCATAAATTATGCCTTCGCACGAGCAAATACGGGAGCATCACGAGAGAAATTGCAGAGCCCGAGTGCCCAGACGCCCCGCTGACGCAGAGACCAATGCGAATACGATGCCGTTCGTATAGGCGTACATTTGGCTTCTTCTTGTCCCCGATCAACGTCGCACACGTGCTTCCCTAACAACCCAGACCGCCGGCCCGCGCCCCAAATATCCTTCGTGCCCAGTCCAATCGTAAAGTCCACACGTTCATTGCTCCTGGCTTGCGATTCTGCCCAAGTAGCCCAAAAGGAATGCCTTATTCTCCGCGCCTGTGTGTCGCTTTTCGCCCGCGGCACGCCCTGTTCCTGGCCCACTCACGATCGATGTCATGCTCCCCACACGGGATGTCCGAGTGGAAATGGGCTCAATCCCAGACAGCGGCACTTCACCATTGGCATTAAGGATTTGACTAGTCGTCAAAGGAGACACTATGCCCGAACTGGGCTGTAATGTTGTTGCCCTAGGCGTAGTGTCCAGTCCTCCACCAAAGAGAGAAAGCAGCGTTTGTTTCTGCGCCTCCGTTTGGGAAGGCTTCCGGCTCGGTGTCAATTTTTCACCAACATCTGCCGTAGCAGAAGGAGGCGAGCGAGAAGCGGCCATCAAAATCGCCTGCTGATTCGGAATCTGGCTTGTTGCGGTTGGCCCACCCGCCATGGCTGCCTCCATGGGTTGCGGTCGACGAAGAATTTGAGGCTGGAACGGTTTCGTTTGCTCCTTTGGAGTCTTTTCCCTCGTTGCCCGTCGCGAGGTTGATTTGGGCCCTCTTGGAGACCGTGGAGGCTGAGAGCGAGATTCTTCTGGTCGTGTCAAAATCTTGACCGGTGCTGGTTGATTGGGATCGTACAGCGTCCTGTTGGCAGGAAGGGGGCTTCGGCTCATCTCGTTCGTCGCATGCCTGGTCGCCCTGGAGATCGCTTCGAATTCGGGTTGATTCAAAGGGCCACTGATAGTGGCAGACGTTTCGCCTTCTCTTGGAGATGGCCGTTTTATCTCGCCTACTTTCCGCGATGCTTCTTGACCACCCTTTCCCAACAACGAGAGAAGGTCGTCCTTGTTCACCTTCGATTTCTGAGATGAGGTGGTAGCGGCTGTCGCTGCGAGCTCCACTGGTGGTGGGCGTGGAGCCAGCGAGCTCTCCAATGGTTTCGGTGGGGATGGTTGAGTAAAAAGCTGAAGGAGGGATGTCTGCTGGGCACTGTGAGATCGTCTTGAAGGTAACATAGAAGAGACCTGGTTTTCAAAGCCCGCGGTGGCGGTTGATTGCAACACAGCGTTGGAAGACCACGGGGCCAAACCTTTGCCAGTTCCTTGGATAGCGTAATCGGCCTTGAGCGGAAGGTCGGTTGGTACGCTCGGTCTTTGCACTTGGGTTGGTAGCAACGCCCCAACTTGGCCCAAGATATTCGAGGCTGGCGTCTCAAAATGGGGCGGCGGCTGAATGGTTGAGCTGGTCGCTCCTCTGAAAACGTCCAAGAGCGCTTTTGTGTGGTTGGTCAGCTTAGGCAACGCACTTGCTGGAGGTATGGCCGCTCGTTCGTTCCGTATGGCTCCTTCAGGCGCAAACAACGGATCGGTGGTTCTTTGGAACGGTGTAACTCGTGGGACTTTGTGGGTGGGATAAGCTGCCGCATTTGGGACGTTGGTTGAATCATTTGATCTCTGGAGAATTGGCTGTGCAGGACCAAACACCTGTCCTTGCAGCTGCGGTTGGAAAGGCGGTGGAGGTTGGGCTTGATCGATCTGTGGCTGCCGTACATGGGAGATATGCGGCGACTGTTGGACCTCAGGCGGCAACGAGATCTGTTCCAATGGAGTCTTGGGCACGCCAACGGGCTGACCTTGCTGGGGTCCTCGCAGAAGAGCCAGGAGAGCGTTCGACTTTTCAGTGTCAACCTGCGGGATGTGACTTGGTGGCAACGCCGGCTGAACTGGGACAGCTTGCCCTCCAATATGAAGTAATTCTTTAAGGTGGGAACTCGGATCGACCGTAGTAGAATCGGAGACTTCGGGCAGGTCGCTGACAGCCTGCGGCAAGGTCTTTTCAAGACGAGCCCCAATGCCATTCTGTTCATCCTCAGTAGTCACGTCCTCTGGCACCATGGGGGGTGCCGCAAGGTGCGAGCTGTACCGGTTTTCCTTCTTTCGTTGTTGAGCTATCCATTTCTTGAGTGGATTCAGAAAGGGCGCGACCATATAAAACTTGTTTGCGTTGATCGCTGCATGGTCAGTACCACTACCTTCATGCTGGCGATGATTGTTCCTCTTCAGGGTGGGCAAATCTGTCAACTTGTACCATTCGATCTTGCTGATCTCCTTTCGTGTCCTGGGTTCAAAATGCGCGTTTCTGGGCACTCCTCGGAAAACATATAGCCTCATGTGCTGTTCTCTCATCGTAATTTCGATATATTTCATGTCTTTCTCATCCTTGACGAGTCCAGCCTCGCGCACGTCGAAACCGGTCTCTTCATAGACTTCCCGCACCGCACAGTCGAGATCGTTCTCATCCTTGTTGATCTTGCCACGAGGGAAGCTCCAGTTTGCGCTCTTTTTCCAGCCTTTCACGAGGACGACCTCATCCATCGACTCGTTCAGCAGAATGGCCCCTCGGACGGGGACGCGGGACTTGTATGCCAGGAACTCGGCGAAAGCGGTGGTATGGTGCTGGGCAGACCATTGCGAGAAAAGCGGACAGTGCTGAAAGATGCGTAGACTGAAGGCACGTAGAGAAAGAGAAGGTAGAGAAGGGTCAAGGGGTCGGATGAAGTCTTCGTAGAACCATTGCGCCTCCTCGACTTGAAAGCAGATGCGCTCGACGGACTCCAGCTCCTCCGGGGGTAGGTTTATGATAAATCGGACACAGAGGTCATCCAGCCCTGGAAAGGTCATGGGGTTAGCATCTGAGCAAACAACACGCCAGGAGGAGGCGTCTCACAGTCCTCCAGCTGCATCTCTCGAGTTTGTTGTTTGATGGGGAGATCTGCTCATCTCCACTGCTCTGGAGATGGTAGGAGGTAGGAATCAATCAACGAGTCGGGGACAGATGGGCTGCAGGGTCTACAGCCTCACGTCCAAATGCTGTGATCGAGTTGCGCGAATAGGCGTTTCGCCAGTCAGGTCTGAGGGGTCGGGGGTATGGCTCGTTACGGTGACTGAGAGGCACAGCGTGCAGAGAAACAGAGTCTAGGTCTACTCGTAGGGGCCGGTGGCGGTGCATGTTTTCTGTGGCTAGTGATTCAGCACCGCCACCAAATGACGAATCGAATGACGTTGGCGCGCATCCAGGCGCAGGGAGAGTATCAAGGAAATTCAGCGCGTAGAAACCCGTTTGACTGAATCTGAATGCCAATCAGTTACGGCAAGCCACCCAGGCTTCTGACAGCCCTTGTCCTTGCGACTCATCTTGGCTTTGTTTGGCAGAACTAAATTTGCAGTGACATAAAGCCCCGAACATCCTTAGGTGGTCTTTGAGGGCTTTTAAGCCCTTTTGCAGCCCACCATCCCCATCCATCCTACAATTCTCTTGAATCCACGACCCTCCTTTCGTCACGACCCAACTCAAACATCGCAAAAATGACATCTTACGCAGCAAAGCTGGTGGCCAAGAGGCTCTTCAAAGAAAATTCGTCCAACAAAGGCGGCCGTGAGGTATGGATCATGCACCCGACAGCCTGGCCTCTTCTAACATGATGCAGGATCCCTACTTCGAGACGATACCCGCTACCAGGCTCGGAGGACTCTACAAAACCACAAAGAAGAGGAGAAGGGCACTCCCACCTGGGTTGACGCCGGAAGAGGAGAAAATCCTCACCAAAGCGAAAAGAAGAGCCTATCGCGTCGACCTTTGCCTGGGAAGCTTTTTGGGCACAAGATTTGGCTGGGGAGCGGTCATTGGCTTGATTCCTGGGTAAGCATAGAGCTCTTTGCTTGGGATATGTATTCCTCGAAACTGACCTCTCTTAGCATCGGCGATTTCGTTGACCTCTTCCTGGCCCTGATGGTCTACCGCACCTGCTGCTCCGTCGAACCGGAATTACCCTCGTCCATCAAAATGCGCATGCAGATGAACGTTCTCATTGACTTTGCAGTTGGGCTGGTTCCCTTCATCGGTGACCTGGCGGATGCGGCATACAAGTGCAACACCCGAAATGTGGTACTGCTCGAAAAGGAATTGCGTGTGCGTGGCCAGAAGAGGATTAAGGGGACTCCGCAGGCCAATGTTGCAGACCCGAGCCTTCCAGATGAGTTCGACTACCAGAACGAGGAGGGAAGACTGAATGCCCAGAACGGCCCTCCCCCAAGGTATACCTCTCGACGAGAGTCGAGAAGGTCCAACCGAGAGAGGCAACGTGATGTCGAAGCAGCAGAAGGTATACCTCCACCGATGCCTGCACGAACCCGTTGACTTGGGGAGTTGCGAGAGAGTCGTGCTCTGCCTTGATATGATATTGTCCCTGGAGTTTGCAATTAGAGCGATAGCGAGCGTCGAGCGTTCCTTTTCCTCGTCAGAAGATCCAGAAAAGAAGCAAAAAAAAGGGTATGAAGATCGATGGCAATTGTCAACCTCCAGGATCTGGAGGGATTTCAAGCTCTAATATCTTGCTTCACCCTCGCACATCCATAGCAAAGAACAGCATTTTCCTGCGAGCTCTCGAGATTTTTTATTGCTGGCATGCCACAGATTGGGCAAGCGTCGGCCTCCTGGTCAGCAGCGGCTTTAACTTGGAGTTTACTCGCCGTTCGCACCACGTTTGCCATTATGCTAGGGTATTTCAATCCCTGTCCGTTGATGTAATTGCTGAGGAGGTCGTCAATCGAAGTATTGCGAATCGTAGACGCCTGTCGATCGGGTATATCATCGCTCAAGTCTACCTCCAGAGGATTCGACAAAGCTCGAGCGTAAGTCTGAAGCTCAACCTTGAACAGGTCACGGGCGGGATAATTAAAGTTGACACCGTGCACAGACGGTCCGTCAGCGATGGTCGAAGGGACTGACCCACCTCTACCTTTCGCGACGTCGGCGAGGGCAAGGGCTGCCAAACGACTATCCGAGTGACCCCAGAGCACAGCCTCACAGCCTTGTTGTTGAGCGATTGAAATTAGCAGTCTTTGTAGAAGAATGGATTTCAGGTCTGTTCGTGCAGTCACTGATGTAGTACATGAGAGCACACGGCGTAAAAATTCGTCGTCTGGCTCGCCCTCCTGGCGATTAATCCCGAGGTGGATGAGGTCCCTCTCAATTTTCTCGTCCAGCCGAAAAACATCATGGAGGCAGAAGAGTGGGAGGAAATTGTGCAAAGGAAACCTGGTGTTCACTCTCCGATACTGACTCCCAACCTCGGTCTGAGATTCGGTGTGAGGGAGCACGACACGGGCGATGATGAGGTCGTACGCAGTTCTGTTGCGGTTCTCCATTTGCTTCTGCAGTTGAGCGTCAAGCACTTGTAACAGAACAAGAGAAGAGACACCGCCGGAAAGAGGGAGGAACAGCCGGCGCTTCTGATCGCCCGCGAGGTTTTTGAATCGATAGGACTCCATCCGCTTGAGGATTTTGGAGGTTACATATCGGATGAAACATGTTGCACATAGGCGCCGGTTTCTGATATCTAGACTGGCGTCCCGCTCCTGACAGTCGACACAAAGGTGGCCCTGAATGTCCATTGTCATTGTGATAGGTGTAGTAGATGCCGGAAGATTGAGGATGCAAAGCTTGACAGGTAGGTAGAGAGCATATAGTACCTCGTCACTTATTGTTTTGGGAAAAAGTTTGCCGTGGACCGTGCGAGGGCGTTGGAGGAAGGGTCTAGATTCTGGGGCAGCGCCGCTTTTAGCTTTGTGCCCGCGCAGGCGGCATCCCCGCAATCAAGATCTCAAGCGACATTGCTTGTTCCTTTCCTCTTTTGAGCCCCATTGAGTCCGGATGGAGAAGGTGAAGGCGGTGGTCAGAGATACCTATATATCCCTGGGTGGCCATTGCAAAGATCAAACCACTGGTGATTCACAACCAATGGCGCAGATCGTATTTGACCCTGCCATCTCCGCCTTGACCACACTGCATACAGTGTTGGTATGGAAGGCCAATCACTAACCCTACCTAGAGTACCTAGTGGTAACAGGGCCAACTGGTTCAACTCCCGTAGCACTCGCCGTCCACATGGACTAGGTTCCTTTAAGGCCAGCATCCTTCCAGAATATAGGTCAGCTTTTCCAAGTTTACCGTCTGATCGTCCTGACCGATGGAGGGTGAAGGACGCCCAAGCCGTGTTTCTATGACGTACAACAAATCGAAATTCCACGTGCCGCAGTATGACGTAAAATAGGACTGCAACCTCCCCCTGCGCCTCGAGGACATGGCGCCGACTGCTGCAAGTCGCCGAGATCCAAATGTCAAGAAGGGCGAGAGCAAGCGAGCTAGATCTGGAGGGGCTGATAAGACTGCGATGCTTCAACCGTGGAACTTTCTTTTGTCGAATAATAGTCTCTCGGCCACCTTGGTCCTCCATCAGACACATACTCACTAGACTTTCCCGCGTTATCTTCACCTTGTCCCTCGTACACTCCTGTCTCTATCCTCTGAAATTGTCTCAGCTTTGCTGCCCTCACCAACAATGTCCGGCCTTAACAGCATTCACCAAACAGTTACTGACGTGAAAGATAGTGTCATGGGCACCAGCGCTGCACAATCAGGCGAGGAGCCGCCCTCAGGTGTACAGGGGAAAGGCACCTTAGACGAACCGTACGATCAAGGAAACGCATCAGGTAGGCAGCCAGTGAATACACACGCTCCAGGACTCTTGCTGAATGGTCGATGCAGAGAACGCCGCAATGCGATCAGACCAAGAACCTCTGTCCGGTGTGCAGGGGAAAGGCACAAAGACAGAGCCATACGATCAAGGGAATGCAGGAGGTAAGGTTGCAAGCGTTCGTTTCCGAGTATCTATATGCTGAGCCATTGGAATTGCAGAGAGCACTACATCTTCGCAGCCGACCAATGTCCCTGCCTCAAGCGCTTCGACGGAGCGCAAGACTGCCTCGACCAAACCTGCGGAGGCACGAAGCAACCCATTGAGTGCGCCAACTAGACGCCGTGAAGAGCGGGATGTGAGCCCCGGCACATTGCCGGATGGCTCTCACGCACAAACAAGTGGTGATCGTGGCGAGAGCTACGAGCCCGCGAAGGGACTCCACAGACTCAAGGGCAAGCTCGGTCTTGGAAAACACTAGAAAGCAGGGGCCGGCGCGGCGTGTCGTGTTTACCAAAGTCATAATCATGCAGTGTCAACGCGTTCTGGAGGGTTCTGTGTCTTGCAAGCCGTTATAGACCGACCAGATTATCCGGCCGCTGTTGTCGAAGGGCTTAAAGGCTGGTGGGATAGCTCGTCTGGTATTGCCTTAGATACCATTTCACCCAAGCTCACACAACCTATGATCGATCATCGTAAGCTCACGGTGGGAGGCCTTGAGCTTAGAAGCGAAACATGGCCAAAAGAATATCGCGACGAAATGAAATGAAATGGTGGCCTGTTACCAGTAGTGAACAAAAGATCGATTCAATGGCTCGTCGTCTGGTCGGTAGGAACAACCGAACCACTCCGTACTACGATTTCGTCGTACGGCGGATGTCCGACCTCACGTCAACGCCTATCTACGCGCATCAACTACATAATCAACAACTCTTTTGATTGCTAATTGTCGCGCTTTCTCTGTTTTTCTCCCAGAAGATCTCATCTCTGTTTTCACATCTCCTCGCGATCTTGAAGCGGCTTCTAACTGGTTTTACGAACGCCCTTACTGCCCAGACCAGGATGTCTACCGTCGATATTCCCAAGATCGAAGCAGGGAACCTGTTCAATGTCAATGGCCTTGTAGCGGTCATCACTGGCGGTGGTTCAGGTACGGAATTCTATTCCTCCCTCTCGGGAAGAGCACCGACTCAGATGGCAAAATATGCATGTTTACCCTTTGTCCAGGACTCGGCCGCATGATGGCAAGAGCACTGGCAGCCAATGGGGCGGCAAAAGTCTTCATTATCGGTCGGCGTGAAAACAGCCTGAAGGAGACTGCCGAGTCTGTCCCCGGAGGCACCATAATCCCGCTGGTGGGAGACGTGACCTCGAAGGACTCGCTTCAACAATGTGTTGAGAAGGTCAAAGCGGAGGTCGATTCTGTCGATGTCCTTGTAGCGAACAGCGGGATATCTGGCCCATCGGTGCCGACGGTGGATTCCAACCAGAATCCTGTGCCCCTTGAGGATCTAATCAAGAATATGTGGAAGCCCGAGCCCGCGGAAGTAACGCAGACATACGCCATCAACATCACGGGTGTCCATTTTACCATTGCGGCATTCCTCCCACTTCTGGATGCGGCAAACAAGAAGAGACCTGCCCCGACAAAGGACAACTTCACACCTCGTCCCCAGATCATCACTACCGGATCTATCGGAGGTTTCAATCGCAAGCCTCTAGGTAATCTCAGCTATGGTGCCAGCAAGTCTGGGGTGATGTTTCTTTCAAAACAGCTGGCGACGGCCCTTATACCTTATGATATAAGAGTGAATACGATATCCCCGGGACTCTACTATTCGGAAATGACGCACGGAATGTACCAAGCTCAAGGGAAGACCGAGATCCACAATGTCGAGGGCACTTTCAGCAAAGAGATCGTCCCTGCAACTCGGACCGGCGATGAGCAGGATATGGCAGGAGTCATCTTGTGGCTCTGCTCGCGAGCGGGTGCATATATCAATGGATGTGTTGTGGTCACGGACGGAGGGCGGCTTAGTGTTATGCCTTCAACATATTAGACGAGAATGAGCAGCATGCCGCGTAGCAGCAGATAGATCTCTAGAGGTATAGATGGATGGGACTGCGCGTTGAATGGGTAGAGTTGCGAGAACGAGGCTCCAACAATCGCCCGCACGCTGTACCAGGGGACGTGACTTGGGCAATAATACACCATTGCGCACCACACCCATGACAGCCACAATCCAGCACGAGGGGTTCGACCCACAGCCTTGATTCAAGTGCATCCCTTTGATTTCAGGGGGAGGGTAATACCGGAGTTGACAGTTCCGTGTAGAACCATCTTTGGATATGTTGCCCACCCACACGCCAGAAAATTGCCCGCAGAGCCCTCGACTCGTTAAGGTGGCAGTGGGTGGTTGGCCATGGCAGTGGCATCATGCAGGAACATCAATTCTGCTTTCCAGTTCCCGAATCATCCCACCACAAGCCCAACGCCGCAGCCACACCGCCCGCAGACTGGCCCCTGCCATTGGCTGCCCGGGGCACTCTTATGCACGAGCTAAGCTCTAGACTGCAACCTAATCGTGCTTAAAGGGCCCTAGTTGCTGTTGCACTCCCCCCAACAGGGCTCGCAGTTTTCGCCTGTCGAAATTTGTGGGCATCTGCTGCCCTCATTTGCCGTCAGGTACAGACCTGGTTGCTTGGTTGCTACAAAAGCATCTCGATATCTCTGTCACTCTCACCGCAAGGACTTTTCACATCTCTCTACCACTTGTTACCTGCTTTACTCCAAGCCGTACGTACTCTTTCGCCGGCACTCCTAAACACCAGACACCTCGCATTTCCTGCGCAATCGGTACACATACGCTCCGCTCTCTCTGCTCACCCCCACAAAAACTATCTCCCACCGTCGATATCCCTAGACCTTTGGTCTCCCCACCTCACCGCCTCGTGTGTTGCTTGGTGGTAAAACGCCTGCTTGGGGATTTCTCTCTGTCTCACAGGAATATTTTCAAACAGGCAACCTGATAACGTTGTCATTTTGAACGATATCGCCACAGACATCATGGCTTCACGACCTCACAACATTGGCATCAAAGCCATTGAAATTTACTTCCCGAGTCAGGTATGCGAGAACGAAAGGCGGCAGGCGTTGGAACCGAGCAGGTGCTAACTCATGTCCAGTGCGTCGACCAAGCCGATCTGGAGAAATTCGATGGCGTCTCTGCTGGCAAGTACACAATTGGCCTCGGGCAGACAAGAATGTCCTTCTGCGACGATAGGGAAGGTGAGTGGCAAACCACCTCGAGAAACCCGCTGAGGCTCGTCTAATCCAAGAGCAGACATTTATTCCATTGCCCTTACTACTCTCACGAGCCTGATCTCAAAGTACTCCATCGACCTCAAAAACGTTGGAAGGCTGGAAGTGGGCACGGAGACCATGCTGGACAAGAGCAAAAGTGTGAAATCAGTGTTGATGCAGCTGTTCCAAGAGTCGGGCAACTTCAATGTCGAGGGCGTCGACTCTTACAATGCTTGCTAGTAAGTTCTGGACGATCTTGGTAGCGCTGCAGTGCCAGGATTCTGACATGTTGCAGTGGCGGCACAAACGCAGTCTTCAACTCTCTCAACTGGATCGAGTCATCTGCATGGGATGGAAGAGATGCTATCGTGGTCGCCGGCGACATCGCCCTCTACAAGAAAGGAAATGCTCGCCCTACTGGTGGCGCTGGCTGCGTGGCCATGTTGATTGGTCCCGATGCGCCCATTGCTTTCGAGGCTGGTCTCCGAGGCTCCTACATCACCCATGCCTACGATTTTTACAAGCCCGATCTCACCAGCGAATATCCTTATGTTGACGGACAGTTTTCTCTGAGGTGTTACACTGAGGCTGTGGATGCCTGCTACCGAGCATACAATGCCCGGGAGAGAGCACTCAAGTCGGAGGCGAATGGTGTCAATGGACATGCGCACGTCAATGGCAACGGCGTGCATAAGGAACAGGATGAGAGGGCTCCTATGGATCGATTCGATTACATGGCCTTCCACGCCCCCACCTGCAAGCTTGTCTCCAAATCGTACGCTCGATTGTTGTACAATGATTTTCTCGAAGATCCGAACCACCCTCAGTTCAAGGAAGTTGCGCCCGAGCTGCGAGATTTGGACTACCAAGCATCTCTGACCGACAAGACGGTTGAGAAGACGTTCATGGCCTTGACGAAGAAGCGCTTCGCCGAACGAGTGCAGCCCGCCATTCAAGTGGCCACCATGTGTGGCAACATGTACTGTGGCAGCGTGTACGGCGGGCTAGTTGGGTTGATCAGCAACATTGCCCCGAAGACACTCCATGGAAAAAGAGTGGGGGTCTTCAGCTACGGCAGCGGTCTCGCGAGCTCGATGTTTAGCCTAAAAGTCGTTGGTGACACTACGGAAATGGCCACGAAGCTCAACCTTCAGGAGCGATTAGACGCCCGACGGGTCGTTGCACCTGAGGTGTATGACGAGATGTGCATGCTCCGAGAGAAGGCCCATCTCAAGAAGGATTTCAAGCCGCTGGGTGATGTCACGCATCTTGTGCCGGGAACATACTACTTGACCGAGGTCGACGAGATGTTCCGACGAAAGTATGAGGTCAAGGCATGATTGCAGTCAGCAGCAGCGAAGGAACTTGTGTCATTCTTGCACCAGACATTGCGTTTCAGGTTCGGGCGCCGGACTTGCATTGGTGGACTAAGTAGACTGGTCATGCGATAGAAGGAGACAGGCGTTCCAGTACATGGTTGATTGGATCAGATCTGCCGGTGGTGTTGGGCCGGGCATACACTTGTACATATGGGGGGATTCGCTTCAGACGTCCTGGCAGGCAGGAACTCAACTGAGCAGTAATCGACCAGCAGAAAACCAAAAAGCGAATGATGATGAAGCGTTGTTGCCGATCTCAAGCGTCTTGAAACAGACGCTGTGCATCGTCGGTCTTATGCAATGCGGCTACTCCGTACTCTGGCATGCATTGCAGCTCAGCCTGGAGTCGGCCAGTACCTTGACCTGTTTCGCACCAGCCGTTGGCAAGATGAAACACAGGCTGGATTCCGAGGCCGTTGGATGCCAGTGAGGACAGACGGAGCAGCGTAGGACTCATACTAACAGATGCAGGACGAGGAGGGTTGCGTGCAAGCGAGGAGGTTGGGAAGAGAGCAAGACACCAAACTCCGTAGTCGTTCAATGTTCGCGTGTTGGTCGTGCTGGAGCTCTGCAGCTACTGCAGCAGGTGCATGATATGTGACATTTGGTGCAGGTGACTTGGTGCCATTTTCGCGCGTGGTTGATGAGGCGGTGAACGCGTAGTCACGCTCCCTTCGCGCACATGAACGTGACTTCGGCAAACATGCCCCATCTGACTTCAGCCCTTTGGCCCTTTTTGGCCTGTTCCAACTGCTCTGACTGCGCCACCCTCCTCCACCCAACCCGCAGGTATTTTTTGCATCGCGCGCCAACTTCACCACCAATGAGATTCCATAGACGGCTATAGAATCTCCAAGCGCCCTACGTCTGAGGGAAAAGGCGGGCAGGGGATTCTTGCTGGGTCTCGCACCGCGCTTCAGCCACGCCCTGCAAATTCCCCGGCAATCTCTCGTCTCTCCAGATTGCCGCAGGTGCCGCCTCTTCTGCTGGCCTCGTCGAACAGCCGCCAAGTCGCAAGGGTGCTCATCTCTCGAAATAACCAGGCAAGCGCCGACACAGATTGCCTCGTAAGACATGATGGAATCGCCCGGAGCCTTGTTACACTCCATCAGAGCAAACCCGCAGCCTCAGGCCACACGTCCGCCGCCCAAAATAGTTGCATATGGCGCAAGTGTTTCCATGCCTCTGGCGCGTACCACGCTCCACGCTCCGCGGTCGGTAGGGCGATCCTGGCCATCGCTGGTTACCCAGCATCGGATTCTCGAACACCGTGTCAGTCGTGTTTGTTTCCATCCTATCTTGAATCTCTTGCTCCACGTTTCAGGTGGATAAAGACCCACGGGACATTGTTGGTCGGGCGTCATGCTGCTCGCTTTCAGGTCGCATACACCCAACCCATTTATACCTGGTTCTTCCTCCCCCTCAAGAGCTCTGAGCCTTTCATTCTTTCAAGTTGCAAGACTGAAGATTCAGTCTGCCTGTTATTGGTAATCCAATCTGCTTTTCCTCTCGTACCTTTCCTTTGTTCTTTGGGTTCTTGTCTCCACACTGAGAAGCTGGCTTCTCGCTGACCACTACTTTTGCCCCGGACTTTACCAAAAAGCTACCATATGTGAGTCGTCTTCACGGTGCTGCCTGACTGTGACTATGCATACTGATTGGGTCTCCCAGAATGTCATTGGCACCTTACTACTATAGACCACTTACGCCTCCAGAGGCTGCTGGAGCTGCTGGTCAGCACGGCCACACTCGGACTGTGTCTCGCTCGTCCTACTTTGCAGTCGACACCTCGCCCGAGTCGATAATTACTGCTCGTAATACAACTCCAAGTCGATCGCCAGTGCTCCGTCAACATGGCCCGACTTTGCTTCCCAAGATTAGGACCCAGGACTCGTCTCTGGAGCCTCCATTCACTCATCGACCCTCCATCCACCGAAGGAGCTCGTCGACAGTCATCAAAAGCTCTAAGCATGCTCGACCTGCCATGTACAGGAGCGCCACTGAGCCTGTTGAGTGTACGCCGATGATCTCTCCAATCTCGAATGCGCCTCACTCGCGATCAAACTCGCTCAATCCGTCTCCTGGGCTGGCCAAGGCCCAGCTCAGTGTGCCCATTAGGACCCATTCCCGCTCGACTTCTGCATCGAGCATCAACAGCGATGTCCTGACTCGTTTTGGCTATCCTACTTACCGCCAGATGCCTGTCTACATGTCTCATGGTCAACAGACTCCGTCTCCAGACCTCTTCGCCACCAACTTCATGCCATATACCAACGCTCCCATGCCCGAGCCACCAATCATCAATTTGGAGGGCACATTTGACATGCCAATTGATCTTGATACGATTTCAAGACCCTGCTCTATGAGCCCTCCTCCCATGCTGCCACCTGTTTCCACAATCAGCATGCTCAGCTACTTGACCCAGCCAACACAGCCGATCAACCTAGTCCGGCACCTCACCTTCCAGACCGGCCGTGGTCTAACCAACCACTTTTGGTGGGATATACGCAATGTGCGACCCTGGAAATCGTTTTCACTTGAGACTATGTCGGCTATCCCCGATCTTCTGACGTTACTCAACTTCGAGCACGATAAAGCTTGTCTACCTCTGATTAGCGCTAACGTGAACACTGTGACACCTGGTTCCGAAGCCGATCTCGCCAATCTCATTTCCAAGATCTACTTTCCCAAGATCAATGCTGCTATGCGGCTGTCCCTCGGCAACAACTCTGTCGCTCTGTACCCAGCCCCAGCCCCGACTAGCTCAGGGCTGAGTGCCAACTCTGCCAACATTCCCACCTTTCTTGCCAACTACCCGAGCGACAATGACCGCACGCTCTCAGGACTCCCGCGAGGCCGTGTCGTCGGCTTGGTCCGGTCTTTCGATCGCTGGAACACAGGGATGCGACGTGAAGGCCCTGCCCGCAAGGTTGAGTACCTGCGCACTTTGGCGCATCTGCAGAAGTGCATGCGGGACCACAGCTGTCGTTACGGCTTCATCATCACAGAGATAGAACTCGTCTGTGTCCGCGCCGGATGCGACGACCGGGGCCACCCGTACTTCGGCTATCTTGAAGTCGCGGAAGCGGTGGAGACCAAAACCTTTGCTCGCAATGGGAACGAGGCAGATGGAGAGGTGAACATGACTGTCACCCTGGCTCTGTATTATCTGCTTATGCTCGCCAAAGCGACGCCTTTGCCCGGCCAGCCGGGTAGCTTCATGGACGTGGGTGGTCCCGGAACACTCACCCGACAAAGAGTCTGGGATGGTGGGAACGGCGGGAGTGTTCTTACGGTCGACGAAGACGGCGATGTTGAGGAGTTGGGAAAAGACGGCAAGGACAAGTGGATTCCTGAACCGCAGATGGGGGAGAAAAGGGAGGCCAGAACGGTCCGAGGGTGGGTGTGGCCTAGCGACCCATGGCACAAGAGGGAAGGGGAGCGTGGTGAACGTGGGAGCGGAAGAGGGGGAAAGAGAGGATAATATTGTTCTCTGCGTATTCCTGGAGAGAATAAACTATGGACATGGTGATGAACAATATGCAGGATCCTGGATTTGAGCATGGGTTTACAAGCGATGCCATCCAGGTGATGAGCTCAACGCACAAGGTTGTCGAGACTTAGAACTCGAAATGGTGGTATAGCAGATTTGGTAATTAAATTAAATTCGTCAAAAATGCCCCAACCCTCTAGTCCAGTTCGGCTCTCTTTATACTTCAGGACAAGGCTCGGTTAGGTATGTATAGTTCTGTAGCACAACTAGAGAAGTCAGCGGGGGATTCGTGCAATTGAGTTCCAAAATGAACCAGAACGGATCGAATCGTGCATTTGTCTCATGGCTCCTCATACTGTTGAGACTTGACATAATTTTTGAAGTCACCGACGGATGGCTTGACATGGCCGGATCCGCCTCGTCAGTTATCGTTTGAGCATATAAGAAAAAATCATCGGAGCTCTTCACAAAAGCACGGAGGGTAGGACAGACATTGGGGTGTTTGAGGAGGACCGACTTACCAGAGAGAGAGACAAGGTGGATAAAGACCAGAGAAACGAGTCTCTGAGTTCAATCACCTATTTGGTAGCATGGCAACCCGAAGAAGAAATCGTTGGAGCAGGTAGAAAGGATGGAGGAGGAGCTTGAACGAAGCGCAGAGAAAGAAATTGAAGAATCGGACGAAGTTTTCTTGGCGGATCAGGCTGGTGAGAAGTGGTAGTAGTGCGGGCCGGTTGCGCTGAGTGACACAATTTCCACCCTGGGCGGTTATGGTCAACGGCGGTCACCCACCCTCACCACCTCTGTTCAACTAGGCCCGCGGGGTCACCAAGCACGCATCTGCTCTCTTGTATACACTACTATCCACTACCGTTGTTTTCCACGCCCACATTTGCCCAGACCAAGCGAAGTTCTGTTTACTGCGGCAGAGATACCCCAAAGATCCCTTTCTCGAGCCACTGTTTTTGGAGACAAATCGTCGACGGTACATCAAGATGGGAGGTATGTGTCGAATCAATCACCCGCCCATCATCGGCACTCCCAGCTTCCCAGGCGCATGTGTTCTCTTAGCACTGGAACTAACAAAATGTGCACGCCCGAACAGACTTCCAGCAAATCGCGCGTGAGCCTTTCCTGTCCCTGAGAAACACAAGCAGTGCCTAATGCCACGCAGAGCAATTCGTCGAGTTCTACTACAAGACCTTCGACAACGATCGCACACAGCTGGCAGCCCTCTACGTACGTCTGCGAATCCCGCGCCTATTGCAGTTGAGTCATGGGGCGAGGGGGAAATAAAGAGCTAGATGTTTTCTGACGCGACAGTTCGGTTACAGAGAGACAAGTCCATGCTTACATTCGAGAAAGATCCGTTCCTGGGGACACAGTCCATTCTTGAGAAGCTGACGGTACGTAGACCAGGGGGAATTTGGTTGACCATTCATTACAATATCCGAGGGCCGCTGACGAAGAGGCGGATATTGCAGAATCTACCATTCCAAAAAGTCCAACACCGGGTCGACACGACGGATGCGCAACCGTCCAACGAGCAAGGAGGCATCCTGGTCATGGTGACTGGTGCATTGCTGGTAGGTTTGCCACATTGACGGCTTGAGCCCGCAGGCATGGTAGTGTGGTCTCTGATGGACAATACACATACAGGTCGATGATCAACAACACCCGATGAGCTACGTCCAGACGTTCAACTTACATCCCGAGGGCGGCAGCTACTTCGTGTTCAACGACATCTTCAGACGTAAGTGGAACCAGAGAGGACCGAGCAGACGTCGCAAGAGGCTAACAGATCTGGGCAGTGGTGTACGCCGCAAGCGGATAGATTCGACAGTGGTCAAGGGCGGTGCGGGCTCTGACGTTCTGCAAATTCCTGGTCTCGAACAGGGTGCTCATGATAGGTTCGACATGCATAGCAGATGGCGCAGCAGGGCTGGGAAGGTGGATGTAGCGATTGCAAAGCACCCAAAGATGTGTTGGGATTGAGCGAGCAGGGACGGCGGTAGTGTGATGATAGACGGGACATAACCAACACCACCAAGCGTACTCCTACCTCCTCCCAATGCACGTGCCGGAGCAAGTTGGCACTGCGACAAGGCTGCCACAATTCCAAACTTCACAATGACTTTCCCGGCCGCCCGAGTGGCCTAATGTTTTTGGTTGGCGGTCCGAGACGCACGCGTGGACAAGAGTAATATGGTGGATTCGTTCTGATGGCGCCACGCGCTGCTTCGGCTGAGTGCAGTCAGGCTGCTGCGTTTCCCCTCTGCATCCATAAGAAGCGCCCTCTAGAAAGCAAGCGAGCAGTTGTTGTCGAGTCCTGGATTCTGCGTCAAAGCCCGATACTGAATTAATAGTCCGACAATTCTGTGTCTGGGTGTCTACGAGTTGGACGAAGGTACCAACGAACAGGTACCTGTAAGCGTCCGCCAGTACGAGGTAATATTGTGGTTCCCTTTCCACCCTGCCCTGCGCTAGCCTCTGGGCCTGAGCTACGGCGCATCCCTGTCTCTGTCTTGCACCTGCCACATCTTCCACCAACAGTCCATCATCCGACGACTTACTTTTGATCCAGCACAGACAGACACCTTCGCGACGACTCGTCCACTTCGATCCTCTAATCTGTAACGCCTTTCACTTTACGGTCCGCATACGATCAACGTAACGATTAAAGCCAGCATTGCTTCAGCGACGAGCGACTCGGTCCCGAAGTGTCCCATAATTCAGCTGCATTGAAACAGTGCCTTTGTGCCACATCTGTCCTCTCCGACCTTCCACCCCTCAACACCTCTAGTACCCTAGAGCGAGAAATTCACGATGGCGCTCATGGACGAGTTCAGAATGCGCAACTTCAGTGAGTTATTCTTTAGGCCAAGACAGTGTCCGCACTGGATCAGAGCTGACAGTTGCACGCAGGCATCTACGGGCAGTGGTAAGAAGTCCCCCTCATTCCAGGCCTGCGCGCACGATATCCTGTGATCCTTTGCGCAGCAAGTCTTTGTTGGGAAAAGACGTATGCTTCTCGTTTGGTCGAATACAATCTAGAGCACCAAACGGGGTGACCGAAGAATATGAACAAGAGGGCTGACATGTGGAACAACAGGCTGGGAGTGCTGTGCATCATCCTGGGGTTCGCCTTGGGTATTGCCAACATCTTCCACTTTAACCTGCTCATTCTGTTCAGCATTATACTCCTGTACGTCTCTCACTGGCCCCAATCATTCCGAAGTTGTGCAATTAACCCTTTGGTCCTGCAGTTGCTCCTCCCTCGTTCTCATATTCATCGAAATCCCACTCTTGTTACGTATCTGTCCTACATCCGCCAAATTCGATGCCTTCATCAAACGCTTCACCACAAACTACATGCGCGCTCTTATTTACGGTGTCATGTCCCTGGTTCAATGGCTTAGCATTATTGTGGAAGCCAGCAGCTTGATTGCTGCCGCCGTGGTATTGGCACTTGCGGGAGCTTGCTACGCACTGGCAGGGCTGAAACAGCAGGAATTTGTGGGAAGCACGACGCTGGGTGGGCGGGGAGTTGCCCAGATGATTGTCTAAACGGGCTATGTCCAAATTTCCTTCTCACCAGGCCAACTTATCGAATTCAGTGGGACAAAAAGTGATTTGACAATGGTGTACTTCTAGCGGCGCGCCTGGACACAAGATAGTTCGAGCGCAAGGAGTACGGGAGTCAATGGACATGGCATTTGGATGACTGGGCGGAGTGTTTCATAGAGCTCCAAGGACATTTATGACGGTGGTTTATAAGATGCCGCTGATGAACACCGCGGGAGGCTGGATAGTTATTTGTGCAATGAGTAGGATCCAATTCAGCATGGAAGAAGCATCTCTAACTATACATGTTGCATCAGACTAGAGACTATCAATTCGTCAAGGCATGAAGGAATAAATGAGGAATTGAGGGTTGCCCTGGGCGCCACTTTTCAAGCATGGTTGTTGGCTGCCAGAAGTCTGATGCCGCTTGAGCAAGATATAATAAGCTCAACATGGTGTGCATCATACGCAATGCAGCTTACTGCTGCTTCTGTTCCACCTACTTTTTTCTGCACATAAATCAAATCCCGTGGCAAAAGCACCCGTGCGTGGTGCAGCAACTCAACTTCCGCCTAGTGATCGGCAATCAGACAGAGGAGACCAAGTCCCATGTCTAAAACACCCTATCCACCGCCACAAGAACTCCCATCTCTTTCGTGTCATCATGTTCGCATATAGCGTCCCTGTCTGGTGCTATACCTCTTGTGGGGGGGAAATGGGACGTGATCGACCGGAACAATGACGGCCAACGATATGGATCTTGTAGTCCTCCGACTGTCAGTAGCCTGGGGGATGGCGCAGTCCAGGCGTGGGCACCGATGCAGACGAGAGGGCACTCGAGGTAGCTGAACAGTAAGCAGTGAGCACCAGGGACCCACGCCATCGGCGGTGGTGGCTTGCCGAGCCATCAAAGCGTCCTTGCAATTCTTTGGGGTATACGGAGTACGGAGTAGAATTTGGGCTCGTGAGAGGCTGAGGAGCGGCGAGGGAACAAGGCTCGTGTGGCGTGCTAGACCAGAAGCGGCCCAGCGTCCAAGGCGAGATGAAGGCTGTGTTTCGTGTTTGTTCTTGGGCTGCGCTCGCCGATGCTGCGAAGTTTCGGGCCCCCCAGCCCAAGTGCCCAGACCTCCGTGTGCTATTCTTTTCATTTGCGGCTGAGGCGTCTGGGCTTTTCAATCTTCGGGGCCACCAGGGCCTTGCTTGTTGCGAAGCGAGAGCCCGTTAGTCTTGTCCGGTGTCCCTCGTTTCCTTGCTTGTTCCTTGTCCCTGGCCTTGGACTCGAATGGTAACTTCGGATTTCTGACCTGAACACCACCTCAGTCCCATCGAAAAGCCCTCTCTTTTCGCTGAGAAATCGTGACACCATTCGAACTCTTTAACCAAACGGGAAAACAAAAACATCACAAGGTCAAAAAAATCAGGAAGACAGAACAGAAAGGAAATGATGAATTAGCCCAGACAACGACACTCCAACGATGTCGCCCTCAGTTTCTGACCTGAATCATGGAAGAAGACAGTCGACCCAGCGCCTACCTCAATGTTCCCATCACCGACGCTGAGCGCCGTGCTCAAGTTGCTGAGGCGGCCGTCAGAGACGACAGCTCTGAGCGACTGTTGCCAGAAGCCCAACAACCCTCGCCAGAACCCCAGCAACCGTCGTCGGCTCAACTACAAGCACCAGGCCCCAATCGATTTCCCTCGATACACGCTCCCCCAGTAATAAGACAGTATGCGCCGAGATTCTCGCAGAGACCAGAAGTTCGCCAATATGTCCCCATCTCCCCGGTCCCAGAAGAAGACGAGCCCGAATCCATCAAACTTCGCCCGCACTCGGCAGTCGCCACGGATGACGGCTACCTACTCCCTCCTCCGGGACCGGTGCCGGCCTTGTGGACTCCCATCTGGTTGAAGCAATGGTTCCTGGGCCTCTTCGCCCTCGTCTTTGCCGCATTTCTGATCGTCCTGATCCTCCTCTGGCACTTTGACGAGCAGAATGATGGTTTCCACGTCGATCAGGGAACGAACCATTATGCCTGGGCGTACACGCCTACTGTCATCGTTGTTATCGTGGTGGCTGCCTGGAGAATGGTGGATCACCATTCTAAACTGGCCATGCCGTACGATGCTCTCCAGGACGGACCGATCAAACCGTCAGAAAGCCTTTTGGTCGACTATATTTCGAATTTCCAGCTTGTATCATTACTCGAAGCGTTCAAAAACAGTCATTTTGCCGTTATAGCGTCGATTACCGGATTTATATTACTAAAAGTTGTCACGGTCTTTGCGACTGGATTGCTGGTGGCCCTTCCAACACAAGTGGCTCAAAAGAGTGCGACGGTGCACGCCAGAGGTTTCAGCGCGGACTCTTTCGACCCCAACACCGCTCTCAACCCTTCGACTTTCTCGACCCAGCCGGTGTATGCGTACTATGGCAGTATGGCTCAGGGTGTGCCCTTGGAAAATGGTGTTAGGTTTGATCTGGCATACAGTGCCTTGACAGTCAGTTCTGATACCCCAATCGGCGACGATGCGACAATATCTGGCGAAGTCGATGCCTTTGTGCCGACTATGACATGCAAAACATTAAATGTGCAGTTGGAGATTCCGCGGATTGTGAACGACACCAACTCAGCAAGCGCATTTGCGACTTCGAGCAATATCACTTTCACCATCAACGCAGGCGATGTGTGCCGCCAACTTTCTTCAGTCAGCGTGCCAGCGGACAACCCATACACTGAGATTCTCCCGAAGCGACAGGTCACAGGCACGATGCAGCAGGTCTTCTGTGGAACCACAAATGCCAGCGTACCCGATTCAAATGGCCCAGAGGGCCTCTTGTTCACAGTCACGGATATCAATTACCAACAGACCCTGTTTGACAACGCCACTGACCTCGCGGGTGGTTCATTTACCATTGCAAGTGGTGTTTCCAGGACCCTTAACAATATAACGAACGTGTTCTGCAATCCTTCGTATTCGATGACCAGGGCCCAGGTTACGAACAATACTCGGCTACTCAACAACAACAATGCCGTAACGGTCGCGTTAAAAGATGGAGCAAGCAATAGCACACTCTCAGGATTTTCGGACTGGAACGCTACCAATGTCCTGGTGCAAGCTTCGATTGCTGCACAAGTTCTCTTTGGGGATACGATTAATGACGACACCATTTCCGACTCGAGCGCCATATTTACACTCATGGCACTAACGCAAGGATCCCAAAATATCGACACTTTAATCAACCCAGATACCATGATATCAGCTGCTCGAGACACGTCCAATGGACTCTTATCTCAATATGCCCATCAAGTTTTGAGGGCACCAGACAACCCCAGTGTGGAAGGGGGAAAGGTGACTCGTCAAGAACGGAGGCTCCGGGTCAACGATGTTTCTGTGTGGACGATGGCTTCGGCATCTGGATTACTGTTCCTTTTCTGCATTGCCTTGATCTTCATCGCCCCTAGAGCGGTTGTCCCCCGCGATCCGAGCTCCATTGCGGGAGTTGCGACGACTCTGACCCGAAGTACGGAGCTGAATCGATTACTGCGCAAGCAGGGCGCACCAAGCCCTGCCAATCAAAAATCCGCCCTGGCAGGTTTCGAATTTGGGACTGCAATCGCAACGACGGATTCTGGGACGAGAAGTTTCAAAATTGTCACGTCGGAAGGCGAGCCAGACGAACCGACCACCAAGCCGAGTATGGACATTAAATGGTGGTTGCCATTCACTGCAACATTTCCAGTCTTGACAATCACCCTGGTTCTGCCCCTGGGCCTTATTGTGGCGTTGGAGCTCATTCAGCGACATTCCGACGATCACAATGGGTTTTACACCGTGGCAGACGACAAGTGGACCGAAATTTACAGCCATTACATCCCCGGCCTCGTTATGCTGGTTTTGGCGGCGCTGGTCAACATGCTTGATTTCAATGTGGCTTTGTTCACTCCGTGGAACAACCTGGCAGAAGGCAATGCGATCCACAGGAGATCAGTCCTCAACAATATTCTCGGGAGATCACCTCCGTTCGCATTCTTACAGGCTCTGCGGACGCGAAGCCTCGGTGCCATGTTGAGTATCGCCGCGGCCACGTTGGCGAGTGTTCTGGCAGTGATTGCTTCCGGTTTGTACTACGTCCAGCATTACACAGTTGATGGGGCGAATATTTCGCTCACTCAAGTCGACTCTTTTGACCTGCAGTGGACAAACAGCTTCTCCAATGACAATGGCGCGGCGGCCATCACGAACTTGATCATGCACCAGAATTTCAGCTACCCTCAATTCACCTATGAGGGCCTCGTGTTTCCAAAGCTGTCGCTAAATAACTCCGCTCTGACGAAAGACGCACTCACGACAGTGTCTGGATCATCAGCCCACGTGCTTCCGGCTGTCCGCGCAAATCTCAAATGCGATGTGCTTGCCAGCGACTCCTTCTCCTTATCCACGCAAAAGGCTGGCGCTGACAGCGCATACGCAACGGACCAAGCATTCATCACCGCGAGGGCAGCACTTCCAGACTCGTGCCAGCTCGGCGGCTCCACTGGCACGGATAACTTTGTGCTCTACCAGAACAACTTCGAACTGCCTCCAGGTGGGAAGGGTACATTTGCCGGTGCTCAATTAGATCTCTTGTTCGGTGAGAATGCGACAACGTACGGCAACTATGGCGAAAATCGTGGTCAATACATAAGCGACAATCCGGCAGTTGGTTGCCCCAGTTTGGCGTTCACATTCGGCCACTTCCAACTAGATAACACGGACAGGAGTCAAGTGACCACCATGGTGTGCTATCAAGAAATCCAAGGACTCAATGCCAATGTCACACTGCAGCCCAACAGTACGACCATTGATTCGAGCCATCCACCAATAGTTGTCGGGAGCAGCATCTTCCTCCACGACAATCCGCTCAGCAACCACAGTGGCGTGAAGTCATTCGACTTCCGCATTCAGAACAACCTTGCTCAAGAAATGACCGTGTTTAACGGTGAGGGTGGTACACCAGCGTCCAACCCATCGAGTACAAACACGTTTGACATCTTCTTCCAGGCCATTATCAACGGCTCTGAACCCCATGAGCCAGCATCTCTAGCTGGCCCGGACAACCAAGATGTCCTCATCGACGCGATAAACCGATTTTATCGGATTTACATGGCGCAAGCCATTTCCACAAACATGCGCGGACCCTTGAATAGCCTGAGCACTTCATCCCGGCTTGCTCGACGCCAAACCTCTTCCACAATAACCACCCCGACCACGATTGACACTCCACGCCTCGTCCAAGACAAGGACAGCAAACTGATCCTACAGATTCTCCTCGGCATCATGACGGCCTTGGCCGCATCAGCATGGCTGACCACAAAATTCCGCCACGTTCTCCCATGTAATCCGTGCTCCATTGCAGGGACTATGTCCCTCCTTGCGGGCAGCGATTTGTGCCACAGCACTGACGACGGACTGTGCGAATGCTGCGGGAAACCTCGTCGACGGTCATTTGGATATGACGCTGGTAACAGACCGGAATCGATTCATGCAGGACCCGACGAGAATGGCGAGGACGTCGATGAACGCCAACAGATCATTTCCGACGGCGCAGAATGGATGCGCGCGTCCCAGTTCGAAACCGTTTTCGGCGGCAAACGCTACAGTATGGGCTGGTGGCGCGAGCGCCGGCTCATAGGCAAGAGACGCAGGTTTGGCGTGGACGTTGGAGCTCGCGCCGACGGGGCAGACGACCAAGACTGGGAGCTGGGGGAGAGGAGACCCGAGGGGACTGGATTTAGTGATTTCATGATGAGGGGCGGGGACAGGGACGGCCGGGGCGAGTATTCGAGATTTGGAGGCCGGTCCAGAGGTGCGAGCGTGAGCGGGAGCGGACCGAGCCCGGAGCCTGGGGCGATGGCCCCGACGATGGCTATGCCTCGAGAGCCCTCGCCGGGGGTGTACGTGCCTGAAGCAGGGCGGACGGGCCAGCCGCTCTACCACGACCCGGGGGAACCAAGCCGGTTACCATTGGCGGGCAGACGAAGTCCTGTCGGCGGTGAAGCATAGACTGGTCTGAGTCCTGACTCGATAGATGCTCACCAGGTGTGGTTTTCTTTCGGTTCTGTTATTATTGCAATGCTGTCTTTTCACCTATGGGCAGTTTCTCTTTTTTGTTCCATGTCCATGACGATTTCATGTTTGGTGCTCGGGGTGCTTTGGGTGCGTGGGTGCTTGGTGTTTCGAGGCGAGTGGGGAAAACGAAACCACTTTATACCCATACCTATATACCATTGACGCTTTGCCGTGCTCCTTTCTTCAAATCTCACTGGTTCTTTTTATCCTACTTATTTCTTCTCGTGTCTGAAAGATGGACGGGATGGATGGACGGGTGGATGGATCAAGGGAGTTGGGTATAACCCACGCCTCCCTCCGCCACGACAGACTATATCATGTACCAGTTCACAGGTGACGCTATTTAGATCAAATATTACACCTATACCTATACCTATACCTGTCTATTACCCCCGGTGTGAACTCCGCCAAACAGACGCAGGACGCGGGATATAGTGGGGATACCGGATGGTCGACTGGGGAAAGATAAGGTGGATGGGGTAGATGGATTCCCATGTGCTTTGCGGGTGGGCGAGGAATGAAATGCGTAATACGTACGTGATATCTGCATGAAAAGCCGGTGGTGCAGGGAATACATAGAGCTGGCCAAGATGGGAAGGAAACATGTCTTTCTCTCACCCTTCAGCCAGCAGGTTGGTAACAAGAAATGGCAATTTTAGAGGTTATCGCGCTTTTCCCGACATCTCCATGTCCGTCTTCGTCTGCGTCGCTGCCCTGTGCATCTCAGGCCAGGCCACGTAGTCAGTTGCAAATGACATGTGGAATCGCAACCAAGGGTCTGCCTTTTCGATGCGACCACCCAGTCCCATGCTGATCATTTCTGGTGTCGTATAAAGCCTTTCAACAGGGCGTGCTAAAGCGTGTGCAAAAGAGGGCTCAATACGTCGCAGCCAGCCTCATCACTAGATAATCCCCGCTATTGATCCCCTTGTACTTCTTCCCGGTCTCCTCCCAGGTGCCTGGTAGCGCCTCAATCCAGCGGTCAAAGTTGGGGTTGCAGAAATAGGCAATGCTGTAACGAGCAGGAACCGTGGCTTCCGGGTCCTCGTCGTTTAGATCGTCGTCTTTTGGTGGAGGTTGGATCACGCGGTGGTTCGTCGACTTGATCTGATCATTGCTCCAGCGCTGAAGCAAGTCGCCCGCATTGACCACAATGGTGCCGGGGATGGGTGTGGCACGTACCCACGTGCCCTTAGGCGACTTGACCTCCAGACCACCAATATTGTCTTGGAACAACAGCGTGATGGAGCCGTAATCCGAGTGTTCGCCCGCTCGGACTTGGTTAGGGTTGTCGCGCCAAATGCTCTTCTTGACGGGTGGGTAATGCAGCAGTCGTAGCGTGTTGTCCCCTCCGTCCGTGTAGCTGTCGAAGAAGTGCTCGTCCATGCCCATGCCCAGGGCTATGGCGCGCATGACGTTGACGTGCAGGTCTTTCAGGGTGAGGAAGAACTGCTGCATATCCCGCGTGAAGGCCGCCCCCGTTTCGTCCAGATGTGCCGGCCACTGGTTGGGCTTCCCCTCTACGCCCTCACGACCAATCTCCATGGACTCCTTCAGGTCCGGATTGGAGGCCCGCAGTTTGGCGATGACTTCCGGGTCGTCGGATTGCGTGACCTTTTCGCGGCCCCAGGTCACGTAGCCGCGATTGGCGTCCGGGGTGGTCCATCTCAGGGCGTCCTTCTGCTCCTGGGGGCGCTTGAAGAAGTCGGCCGACTGCGAAAAGGCGCGCGAGACCTGGTCCTCGGGGACGCCATGGTTCTGCAGGTACAGGAAGCCGGAGCTCTTGAAGGCGTGGGAGATTTGCTCGGCGGTGGCCTTTTTGGCGGCTGCAGCGCCATGCAGGAAGGCCCCAAAGTCAATCAGCTGCGACAAGTCAAAAGCTGCCTGGAGGTCGAAAGGGGAAGGTGGTGTCTCTGGGGAGAGTAGAGAAAGGGGCAGGTGGTGCAGGTGGTGCAAGTGGTGCAAAGAGATGGAGCAGCTCCAATAGCAAGGCCCAGTGAGGGGGGAGTCTGGCATTGAGACACAGGCATAGACATGGTCAAGTACGACGCCGTGCCGTACGTACCGGCATGATCAGATCATCTTGTTCTACACCCTTTTGGGCGACTTCACCAGCTGAGCCCATCTTTCTTTCGCAAGGCTGAAGTGGGCCCAAGGGGGAGGGATCGAGTCAGCTGCGTGGCAGGAGTCTTCAATAGGTGCGTCCTCGTCCTCGTAGTGCTCGGAGAGAAGATGCGGCCGGAAAGTTGCCTTTTCACTAACGAGTCAAGCGGTGGGTGGCAGTGGATGAGGTGGATATTGTTCCCTGCACTCCGCGACGACGGCGTGCTCTGTGCAGAATGCGGCTCAGTTAGCGACTCACAGACACGTGAAGCCTGGGAGATACCTCGTTTCCGCGATGGGAGAACAAAAGGGAAACCCAACACGGCTTCGAGAAACATATACAACGGTGACTTTATGCAGACGAGGGGGGCAAAATGCCTCTCGCCGGCGGGGGATGAGGAGGGCAATGATTGGAGGGGAGCCTGATAAGGAATCATGGCCACAGTGGCTAGTGGCGGAGGTGCCCGTTGCCCATTGCACGAAGGAGAAAGTCGATATCGTCGTCCATCGTCATTCAATCCAGCACCACCTTCTGGTCATTATACACCACAACCACCGTACACACCAGCCACCAACGAGGTGAGGACGGAGGAACTCAGTGACAACCTACCTCGCCCTTCTCTTCCACTGCGCCCTCCACCGCCAGCATGCCTCCTCCCCCAGATCCCCCCCTGGTCGTCGACATCCACACCCACATGTACCCGCCCTCGTACATCAAACTGCTCTCCTCGCGCACGACCGTCCCCTACATCTACCAGCCCACCGAGACGCCAGACTCGGATCCCCGGCTCATCATCCTCGCCTCCGACGACGATCCCTCCCGCCCCAAATCCTCCCGGGGGAGACCCGTCGACAGCACCTACTCGTCCTTCGACCAGAAGCGAGCCTTTATGCGCCGGCACGGCATCTCCTGCAGCGTCATCAGCCTGGCGAATCCCTGGCTCGACTTCCTCGACCCGGACACCGCCTTGAAAACGGCCCAGGACATCAACGACGACCTCGACGGGGCGTGTGCCGAGAACAACAACACTGACTCTCCGTCCCACGATGCGTTGAAACTCTACGCCTTTGGCTGCCTTCCCTTATCCGCTCCTGCAAAGGACATCGTCAGCGAGATCCACCGGTTAAAGTCGCTCCGTCACGTTACAGGCGTGATAATGGGCACGACGGGCTTGGGAAAGGGCTTGGACGACCCGGCATTGGACGACGTGTACGCGGCACTGTCCTCTACGGCGACCTTGGTCTTCTTGCATCCGCACTATGGCCTGCCGGATTCCGCTTTCGGGGGTCCCGAGGTCGTCGCAAAGTCGGGCCACGTCCTCCCCCTGGCTCTGGGGTTTCCCTTGGAAACTACCATCGCCGTGTCACGGATGTACCTCTCGGGTGTCTTCGACCGCCACCCACAGCTTCAGTTCCTCCTGGCTCATTCAGGCGGCACGCTGCCATTCCTGGCGGGGAGGATTGAATCTTGTGTGGCGCACGAACGGGAGTTCGTCGCCAACGGTGGTCATCGGCAAGGTCCCCAGCGCTCGATCTGGGATGTGCTGCACACCAACATTTACCTTGATGCCGTCATCTATGGGCAACCCGGACTGAAGGCCGCGATCGAAGCCGCAGGAAGCGTGGACCGGGTAATGTTTGGAACGGATCATCCTTTCTTTCCACCACTGGGAAATGACAAGGAGGCGAAGTGGTTGAGCGTGGAGAGTAATAAAGGCGCAATTGACGGCTGCTTGCCAGAGGACGAGGCCGCAAAGAGAAAAATATTGGGTGGCAATGCCATCAGAGTGCTTGGTTTAGACTTATGAGATTCTACCTCAATTCGACGAGATCGTGTCGTCCGACGGCGCCAGGAGATTCGCCTGAAAGTCCACAACATTCTCGTACATCCGATCAGACCTAAATATCCGACAAGGCGGTTCGAGAGGCTACCAAAATTGCTCAAACACCCCTCCTCCCAGATAAGATATCCCAGCCCAAGTGCTCCCAAACCTCTCCAATGAACCAATCAGGGGAGCACTCTTTCTCCCGGATTTCCTCCACCATTTTCGTCAAGTCTGCTTCTCCCTCGTCTCCCTCGTCACGCCTCAGAGAATTGTAGAATGTTTCGTCCTCATCGCCAAACGCACCTCGAAGGAGGGTATTTTGGAGTGTTTCTTCGATCCGTCGCCGAAGACTTTTGCCCCGAGCAACATCTTCCGAGTCGGACTGCTGCAAAGCAAAAAGGAGCTGGGACTTTTCAGACATGTGTTTCGTGTTTGCAAGCAAAAATTCCACGGCCCTGCGCAGAATCCAGATAAGATAGGGGCCTTCAATGACAACTATTCCTGTTGCAGACTTGGCGTCAAGGTGCCTAGCATCCAACAAACCACGCGGTGCAAGCAGACCTGTCTGCTTTTTACTTGTCCCAGTCAAGTCCGTGAAGACTAGAAGCGACAAGCACGAGCCAACATGGTCTAGGATGACGCACAAGTATCCTTCCAGGAGTTCGCAATGCGCATCGCAGGAGACATCAAGCATTGTTATTATCTTCACCAGCGCCTGAACAACCTCCTTAGCCTCGGCGATGGCTTGTTCACTCGTCGGTGCAAAGCCACGATCCAGGGTCTCATGCCCAGGAGCAGCTCTCCGTCTCTTCGGTTTGGCTTCTTGCTCTTGTCTGTTGTATTCATCCAAAGCGAGTTGGTGGAGTCGCGCTAGGAAGGCTTGGGACACCTTGGTCAGGTCGGAAAGAGCCGGGTAATATTGTTCACCGTCCTGCCCCATCTGGGGCTGGATGCATTGGAGAGCCTTCAAAATTGATGGGTAGACATTCCGAAAGGCTGCACAGAGGTCTTTGATCGATCGGTCTTCTTGCTCGAGACCATTCTGAAGCATCCTTGAGACAGGGACCACCGCAGCTCTGATTGCATACACAAGAGCCTTCTGATTGGGTTCCTCTAGACGCAGGGTGTGACGGAGGGATATGAAGCCATGAAGGAATGATTGACGATCTGCGGTAGATTAGTTTGATGTCTGCCCACGCTGGCACGCCCGAAACGCACCTGTGAGAGGTATGTTGAGCTTTTCGATGTCCAATTCACTGTCGTCTTTTTCGAGGTCCAGGTTGGTCTTTTTTTGTTTGGCTGCTGGCGGAGCTTTTCTCACCGAGGCCGCCGGTGCATCGCGTTTGCGTTTGCCAACAGAAGACTGTTGTTTTGAGGGCTGGACTTCCTCGCCAGCCACAAGAGAGTCTCTCTCTTGTCTCACCCGATCCAGCTCATTTACCAGCTTCAAGCGTTCTGCCTCGGCTTTATGGTAGCAGCTTCTCCAGTACATCTCTGCGTCGAAGTCAAGAATTGTGACGGAGTGTCCGTGGGACCGCGACACAATGGCCAGGCGAAGACCCTCGAGGTATTCTGACGAAATCAGTCCGAACTCTCTCAAACCCAGTGGAATCATACCTTCTATGGATAATTGAGGTGGTTTCGATCGGACCACGGCAGTCGCAAGAGCGATGTGCGCAGGGCAGGGTAGGTCATCAAAATTCTGGTCGAAATTTGGTTCCAGGCGGGTTGTCATGTCTCCTGGTCATCTTCAGAAGTATCAGGGTAATAACATGTTGCGAGAACAGAAGCGAGCAAAGAGAGTCAAAACATAAAGCCACAAGAAAAGAAAGAATAAAAGGACGACGAGAGGATGGAGTTATTGAGTCAAAACAGAAAGACGGAAGTCGACAGGTCCAAGAAACATGGAAGGTACGCTATTCCTACCACGCTCAAGCACAGGAGCGTTCTAGAAACGACAGATTTACACAGAAGGGGTCATGCCATCAAAGGGTTGGGTCACCGGCATTTACTTGACTGTAGAGGATAACTCCCCCTGAGCTTGATGCCCTACGTGAAGCTCTGAGTCCGCTTCAGTGCGAGAAGAATCAATACTTACAGGATAGGGCTGTGCGGTGCGCCATAGTTGCTAGTGCGGAGCATACAGTTTCTGTGTCCTGCCCTTCGCATCTCCGCCGCTCTGTGTTTTGCCTGCAAAACTATGCCGACATCTATAGAGTCCCCATAGGTAGACCTTTTCGCAATCATGGCGCCGTCAAATGAGGCAGACATGTCTGTCGACTATTACGAACTGCTTTCCATCCCAGCAACGGCCTCAGAGTCTGAAATCCGACGTGCTTACAGGAAAACCTCGCTGCTATATCACCCAGACAAAGTCAAGCCCACCCCAGAGACCTTGGAGAAGTTCCAGCTCCTGCAGACTGCGCTTAATATCCTCACAGACGCTGCCGAGAAAATCAAGTATGACCAGACGCGGGAAGCGAAGCAAAGGCGCCTGGCAGAGACCGCCGCGCTGGAAAGCCGACGACGACAGATGAAGGAAGAGCTGGAGAAACGAGAGGGATCTGCCACTGGTATGCCCGCCACTGTGAGCGGCGTGAAGCGCACCTGGACCGAGCGAGAACTTGAGATCAAGCGCATCGCTGAAGAGAACAGAAAGAAGCGGGAGGCGGCCGTGGCACACAAGGTGCAAGAGGCGCAGGCACGAACACAGGCAGCCGAGGCAGCAGAGGAACAGCAATCTTCCAGCTCGATAGACAGGTCTGTCAAAGTGCGCTGGATCAAGGAAGCAGACGGGCTAGATATCGATCAGGAAGCACTCGAAGAGAACTTCGCCGCGGGCGATGTGGAGAATGTCCTGATGCTGAAAGACAAGAAACGTCGTATCGAAGGAAGAGATAAAAAGGTCTTACTGGGCACTGCCGTCATCGTGTTCAAATCTATGGCTATAGCTAAGAAGGTCGTGGCACAGGGTCCTTGGGAGGGTATCGAAAGCGTTGAGTGGGCCGCAACAAGGGAAACTGATGGCGGTTGAGAGTGGAGGAAGGCTCATGACTTCTACAATTTCCGACAACAGCATCCTGCTATGGTGTTTGCGTTTCCGCCCGAAACGGAGAATATTGAGCACCCGCCCTGGAATGGACCAAGGCAAACTTTCGTCAGTGAGTTGCTGTCAGTCGTCAAGCGCTGAATATGACAGCAGAATGTCCCCCCAAGGATGTTGTTTCCTCGACCAATGGAACTCACAACAAGAAGGGTTCGCACGGGGATTCCACCAGTGCTTGAAAGTGCCTGTGCTTGACACTGACTGACCTGTGCCCCTCGGTTTGCTAGAAGCAAGTCGGAATCCATGATTGTCCATTCCAGACACCGCAAAGGACCAACCAAGTCCGGACCATCCCGCCGATGAGTATCCTGGAGAATGACGCTTTGCACATGATGAGACCATCCGCTACCAGACGCCTTTGCTAGGCTGCGAAGGCCAGTACCTCAAGGAAACAGAAGGCGTGGATGCTAGTGATTGATGCCTCTAGGTTTGCGTGTAGAAGCGTTTAGCGACCATAGAGGACGAGATCCCTTGTTTGTGACGTTCCAAAGGGACTTCTCGAAAGCCTTTCCTTTAATCAAGTTCCTCTTCATCTTCCTCCTCTTCCCGTTTCGGTTTGACCTTCTTCTCCTTCCTCCGTAAGCTCTGCTCGACACCGTCCCTCAGCCACCTGGGCACAAACGGCTTGAGCATGACTCCCTGCTGTTGTCCGCCTTCCGCTGGTTCCCACTGTACCCTATACTGCTCAGTCGGGTCATAATTCGTCCTATCCGCAGTCAACTGGATATCTGTCATCATCTCCAAGCGGCACAGCGCGAGCCCAATGTTGCCCACTCCGGCGAGCCACTTTCCACTACTCCGCCCTCGCCCTTTTGCTCTCAACTTGCAGATGTTTGAACCTGGCGGCGGCGGGGCCAATTGCACACCGGCTTTGTACTCGGGAAGCTCCTGATCCGCCGGCAACGGCTCGGCGTCAGGGTCGTACAGTTGGCACGGTAGTATCCTCTTCCTGACCACGCCGGTGTGGTGCGTCCGGATCGTCAGTTCCTGGCCCAAGTAACAGCCCTTGAAGAAGTCGATCCCGCCAAAGAAATCGATGTTGCTTTCTTGCGGCAGCGCGTGGCCGGAGATGATCTCGGACTGGCCCTCGGCCACCCCGTTGAGCATTCGGTGGACCGTGTATTCTTCCATCGTCGCTCGTTGACTGCCGCTGTCTTCCAGCCGCTGTATTGCACCTGGTTTCGGGGATGCTTCGTCGAGCAGCCAGCGGACGCCCATCCCAAACCTGGGATCTTGCCCTCCTCGACCCCACACACTGCTCGAACCCTCCGAATACTGAGTATCGCTAGAAGGTGGCGGCCAAGTATAATAAACCCTCATTCTCTGTCCATCCACCTTTTCCAGCGTGAACTTTGCCCGTAGCTTGTGTTTCTTCAAGTGCTTCAACAACTCCCCCGCGCTTTCTGAATCAACCTCGATGAACCATTCTTCCCCCGGGTTATCGCTGGTGGGGGGCGGTGGGTAGACGAAGACATCGTTCAATATCCTCCCCTGTGCCGAGAGGAACGCCGTGTAGATCGGGTTCGTGCTTCCTCCGATGTCAAGGATCTTGGCAGGAATGAGGTTATGGAGGAAAAGCGCTGCGTCCGGGCCGGCGAGGCGGATGATGCTACGGTTCTCGAGATGGAGGTACTTGCTTGGGGGAGATGATGCAGCATAGAGCCGCGGGGATGTGCTGAAGCTGCGGCGGACCAGAAGTTGATCGAGATAGAGGCTCCGGATCTGGCATTCCGGGCAAACGAAGGGTCGAAAAGGACTAGATTTGAGTCTTGGAGGCATGTTGCAAGGTTGTACTCCGTATTCACGTTCTGCTTGTGGTGTCGAGCACGGTTCGCACACGACGACAAGGATCACTAGCAGCTTTGAGGTGAATTCAGCGGCGGGTTGTATTGTTGGCGGAACCTCAACCTCTCCGCATTCTGATGTCGGTCAATTATTAAGTCCACCCCCCAAGTTTTGCACCACCCCTGTTTTGCACCACGCGTTGCACCACCCCGCCACCTCTCTACCAACTCAATCAATCAACTACCACTCAACCAATTGGCCTTTAATCACGCTCAAATGGCCTCGAATCGAGAGACTAGGATCCAGCGAGCAATCTCTGACTACCAATTACGTCGTTATACTAGTATTCGCGCCGCCGCCGCGGCGAACGATGTCCACCATTCCACGCTCGTCCGTCGACTACGAGGCACTCAATCGGCCGCGTTATCCCACGAACCACAGCAGATATTGTCAAATATACAGGAGGAACTGTTAAAGAGATGGATCCTTGATCTTGAGGCAACAGGACACGCTCCTACCTATGCTACTGTACGAGATCTCGCTGGTTGCATTAGCAAGTTCAATGGTGGCCCTGAACGCGTCGGGAACAACTGGCTACCACGGTTTATTCGGCGACATCCTGATATCCGTTCAAAGGTAGGTAGGAAGATCTGTGTTGAGCGCGTCAACTGTACCCTTCCTGACCTTCTCGAACGGTGGTTTCGAGATCTACTGGCGATCAAAGAGCGATATTCGATCCAACCTAGACACACCTGGAACATGGACGAATCTGGAACGGCTCTGGGCGTTTGCAGTAATCAAATCGTTATTGGAACATCGGCCACTAGCAGTTCATTACAGAAATCGCCTGAGACACGCGAATGGGTGACGATAGCTGAGACAGTCTCAGCCCTTGGCCAGCGTCTACAGTCGCTAGTTATCTTCAAAGGCCAGTCGCTCTAGACCACTTGGTTCGACGATTCCAGTCTTAACTACCTATATACAACCTCGCAAAATGGCTGGACATCAAACGAGATCGGTCTAGGCTGGCTAGACCAGATATTTATACCTCAAACAGCGACAGACGGCACTGCTCGTGGCGAGTATCGACTACTACTACTGGATGGCCATAAGAGTCACGTTACGCATGAATTCATGTGGAAATGCCACCAGAACAACATCGTGGTATACTACCTGCAACCGCACTCAAGCCACGTACTCCAGCCACTTGATCTTGCCTGTTTTTCGCCTACCAAGTCCCGTTATCGTGCGCAAATCGCTGATCTAGCTAGATTCGACGACGCGAGTCGAGTCAAGAAGACCAGGTTCCTACAGATCTATCAGAAGGCTAGCCAGGAAGGTCTCAGTGTCGCCAATATCAAGTCTGGCTGGAAGGCTAGTGGTGTTTATCCCTGGAATCCACGGCATGCTATTCGATCTAGCCTAGTCCTCAAGGACGCCGTAATCGCTCAGATTACGCCACGTACACCACCTTCTCGCAAGCGAAACGCCCTCGAGAGCGATGTCTACCTATCGCCGAGTAACAGGCGAAATTTTGACAGTTCAGTTCACAGAGCAACGCACCAGGAAACGCTCTCAAGGTCCTTCCGTACGTTCCTCAATAAAACGTCTAGGCAACTCGATCGTTTACAGTGGGAGAATAGACAGAAGGATGACCAGATCGCTAGTCTGAAGACTCAACTAGAGCGATCGAAGGCCCAGAGGCAAAAAGGCAAGGCAATTGATGCCAACCAGACCTTTGCTAGCATCGAGAGTATATAGGTAGCCAAAGAGGCATTGGCGACATTGGCCGCGACGACGACGAGGACTAGGAGGACTAGGCAGTCTACAAACAACAGGAATAGCACCTCAAACGACCCAATTACGGCGTTCACAAACGTATTCCACATAGGCGATAGTGTTGTTGAGTAATTGAGACTTGTTCTGTGGCCATTGCGATTCGATTAGGTGGTGCAAAACGGGGGTGGTGCAAAACCTTATTGCCAGCCTTGCAGCTCTCGCTTAATAGGATGACACAACTAAAGTATCTCCCCCCCCCCTCCCTCAGTCAAGGAATAACCTCGTCTTGCAGGCTATGTTGCCAAAGAGCCTTCTGCTTGAGACTAATTAACGCCATCAGACCGTGCGCGCGGGACATTGTACCAGACACAGTGAAGATCCTACCTACCCTGGGGCAAAGAGAGTTCCCATTACTCCAATCAGTCCCATCAACCTATCACAATGCTACGAAGCCTTCAGACAGACATTCAATGCACGTAGCTGCGAACCAGAAAGACACTGAAAGCAAGACTGTGGTTCTTGTCTGAAGCTGGTGATGACTTGACTACCCTGGTTCACCATCCTACAACTCTGTCTGGAGGCTCGAAAAGAGGATCACTAGGCTGATCGCAAGCTGAGCAAAGAAGACGCTATGTGTATTTCGCCGAAAGACATTTCGACCGCGCCTGATATTTGTCCTCTGCCCTTCCCTCCCTCCGCTGTCTCACTTCACTTGCTCCACAGTGTTAGACCAATGCACCCTTTCATCGTTTCCAGAACGCCATGTCCTCGAGCTCGCTGTACTTCAACGGCATGCGCAAGAGATCCTCCTCACGGATGGCCTTGCCGATGTCTTGATGGTGCTGCATGTCGCGTCGAGTCTGGATTTTCGACATGTCGTCGAGCCTGTTCAAGGTGCGGGAACGCAGGTTAGCAGCGGCATGGATGGGACGAGAACGCGAGGATATTGTGCATGACATCCGGATGTGCGAATGACTGACGACCATTGACTGCCCTCGTATGCGCAGTCATATCGTCGCAACAGCTATTGTCCTAACTATCCACGGGAGCAACAGCTCAAGGCCAGGCTCCTGGCTCCTCCTTGCCTATATCCCAACGAGACATCCTCAGGGTACATTCAACGCAGAGGAACCTCGCCAGATGGAGACTGAGCGTAAAATATACCTACCGGAAGACAATGAGATACTCCGCACCATCTGCCTCGGATGAACCGCCCACGTGCTTGACTTTATAGTGACGGTAAAAGTTGATCCACGGCTCATGCTCGCGGACTTGCTCGGCAGCATAGGTGATGAGCTCCTCTACGCGTTTCTCCTTGCCTGGCTTTGGGAAGATCTGCACCATCACATTGGGAGGAACTGGGGCGTTTGACATAGTGGGAACAGAAGTTTGTTGTGTGGAATGTTTTCGACCACGAGAATTTCCGATGGTGAGAAAGGACCGCGTCTGCTTCGAAAGAAGACCGAGAGAGAGAGATGTGTGCGGCGCACAGAATTCATGCAGGGATAGGAGAGACAGACTTCCCTTTATTTACTTGCTCGACCTGGGCGATTCCACATGCTATTCTCCCTGCGCTGGGAATGAATGCACCACGAGCCTGCTAACAAAGTCAAATAGGTTCAAGAGGTCCAGCTGCCATCCTTAGTCGAGAGGAGACGCATCGGTGGCTGGTCTTCAAAATACGGTACGAGACATTGATTTACTGGCTATTGGCTCATATTGCCATGGGCTTCGTCATAGGAGTCGTGTCCGACAAACAAGTCCCCAGGTGCTTCACAGCAAAAAGATGGCAACCTTTTGACGGGTCAAAGTCAAAGGCTTTTGACTGAGCGAGTCTCGTATTTCAGACTTGGAGGGCCGTTTCTTGAGTGGCGACCCAGGGATTCGAGCTCGTGTGCGTCTTTCAGCTGAGCAGCCTTGTCTGAGCCCGCTCCTGTCCGTGTGGGATTTGTTTCTAACATAGACGCACTCTATCCGAGATGAGAGAAACAATCCGAACCAGGGCGTGTCAGAAACCACTGGTGACATGGTGCATCCGCACATTTACCCCAGCCAGGCTCTTCCGACGTGGTCTGGACCGTTCAAAACGTGCAGGGGGGATGAATTCCCAAGAACAAATCGACGCTCGGACTCCGGCTACCCCGCAAACTCGGATGGACTAGTCAATAGAAAGTATGTAAGAGCAAGTCTCGACCCAGACCCTTTTCTATTCACGATGATCGCGAGAGCCATCGTAAGACGTGCCAGGCGAATTCCACGTGACCACTTACACGAGGCTGAGCATTCAAGGGGGGGAGGGGGGCCAAGCAGAAAAGCCATTATGAAACTAGATATCCAGGGCCCGGAGTCGGATCGGGAAAGAGCGGGCGCTTTTGTGACTGACAGTCTCGAACTTCAAGTCTAATAGTAATAATACAGCACAGCCCAAAGATGGACAGGACAACATCCAGCCCGAAATCCCTCCCTGCTAACCAAATGAACCCGAACCGACGACTCCATGCTTATTGAATCAATACACCCGGGGATTCTCGGCCCGCTTTTCCAAAGGCAGCTTCTCCCAGCGCCCGGTTAGAAGCCTCCGACATTGCCTCCCAAACGTGCGGATCCAGGAGTAGGTCCTGTTCAAGCCCCGGCGCCGTCTGCTCGCGCCGACCTTGCCGCGCCACTTCTTCATCCGGAAGTTGTAGTACAGCAGCGGGATCATGAATAGGTCGAACGCCACATACGCCCAGACGAGGCCGAAGTTGCGCCAGCGCTGGCCCCACGCGATGCCCCGGGGGCTCAAATACTGGTCCGCGACGGACAGGGCGCAGTACTCGCAGCTGCTCGTCGCCGCGGGGTTGTACAGCGTCCCCGGCGCGACTTGCAGGTAGGGCGCGAGGTATTGGCCGCAGGTCATGTTCGGCGGCGGCGAGAAGACGCTCAGCTCGTTCTCAGCGCACACGACCTTGCGGCCGTGCAGCGCCGTCGCCACGATGCCGTCGATGATGTAGGTGAAGGGACTCACGCGGTACATGAAGTGCCAGAAGCCCGGCAGCGCATCCGGTGGTTGAAGCACGCTAAGAAAGAGTTACATTTTTTTGGTGCGAATAAAAAAGCAAATGGATCACGACTCACCCGTTGAAGATGACACACATGGCGAACATGAGTGTTGCAATAATACCGGCAGTCTCCGCGTCCGGCAGAGCCGCGATCACCATCTGCGAGAACGTGCTTGCGTACACGAAAAATTGGACGCAGAATAGTAAGATGAGGCCTTGTCGTTCGGAAGATTGGATGCTTGATGGTCGGGTTAGCAGAGAAGGACGCAGAAATCCAATATCTCAAGAGAAACTCACCCAAAGACCGAGTAGTAGTAGGAAGCATACACCATGATGCCGAGCAGAGTCTGGTATGGAATCTCTACGAGAATGTTGGCGAGGAGAAACGCCACATACGAGTAGGCCTTGGACGGGCGCTCCCGGACTTCATAGAGCGACCTCTGGATGACGAACCGAGGGATGATTTGCTGGATCAAGGCCGTGAATATCGACGTGAGCATGAAAACGCTGAGCAAGACATTCTGCAGCCCTTGTTGGGAGCTGTTCGATTGCCAGAATGAGAAGCCGATGAACCTGTTCGCCCGGGTCAGCAGCCCTTTCTTTTCCTTGTTTCCGAATCGTTGTTAGACGCAGAACTTACAGAGCTGAAGCAACGCCGAGGCCAAACTTGTGAAGAACATATCCGGGGGTTCTCCAATACTGCTGCCAGGCGCGGATCGTCGTGTAATACGTCTGGGTGTATATCGGCACAGCATATTGCCCACGGCTTGTGGCGGTGTTGTCTTCCACAGGAACTTTGATCCTTTCCCGGTTGATTTGGTCCAGCTCTGCCAGCATGTGCTTGTTCTCTTCGCTGGATCTCCAGATCTCCACCCAATCGTGGTTGGCTTGAGCACTTGCTTCCGGGTTGACAACTTCCAGCATGTACTCGGCCACATTTTCCGAGTCACTGCAGGCCCTGGCTCCATGCCTCTCGAAATAGCTGGTGAGGGTCTGCGAGTTGGGGCCGATGTCGCCGAAGTAGACGGTTCGACCTCCCGTCGTGAGGAACAGCAGTCGGTCGAACTCCTGAAACAGCAGCGCACTGGGTTGATGGATCGTCGACAGGACGGCTTGTCCATGGTCGGCCAGCTTGCGCAGGAAGCTGAGAATCGACCAGGAACTTTGGGAGTCCAGCCCGCTAGTCGGTTCATCGAGGAAAAACAGGAGAGCAGGCTTCGCGGCGAGCTCCACCCCTATTGTAAGCAGTTTTCGTTGCTCGACGTTAAGGCCTTCTCCCGGCACACCAACCACGGCCTCGGCGAAGTCTTCCGCGTTGATCATCTTAAGGACCATTAGTATGTCCGTATACGTTGCAAAAACATGAGATACAAACCTTGATGACTTCCTCCACGTACTCGTATTTCTCCTTCTTGGAGACAGACTTAGGCTGACGGACCATGGCGCTAAAGCGCAATGCTTCGCGAACAGTCGAGGTTTCAAGGTGGAGATCTTGCTGCTGAACGTACCCTGTCGTTCTGTTAGTTCATGGATGGCGTTCAGCTATAAGCTCGTTCGGGAAATGGTACCTGTTTTCCTTTGGAAGCTGGGGTCTAACGGCTTTCCGTCCACCAACATGTCACCGGTCACAACCCCGATTGAGGTGCGCTGGGCTAGAACATCCAGCAGGGTTGTCTTCCCAGCACCTGATACACCCATCAGGGCAGTCAAGGTTCCAGGCTTGACCCACCCTGATACTTGGTCGAGCAACCTGCGTGTTCCCTCCTTGACCGGAATATCGTAGTTGACATTGTGCCAGGTAAAGATGGCCTTTTGCGGTGGGATTGCCTTGATATCTTCATCTTGGGCGTCATCCCTTCCGGTGACTGCGGGAGGAGCGTCAGGGTCCTCTTGATCTTCATGTCTCAGACCCTCCTCGACGTAGCGTGGGACATGTCCTCGGCGAAATAGCAAGACCTCTCCCTTGCCTTCCGGTTTTGAATTGATTTCAGATATCCCCAGGTAAGTGAACATGAAGAAAACCAGGAAAGCAATCAATATGCCAAGATTCCGCCAAATGTGGCTGTAACTGTACCGGTAGGAAGTTTCGAGATATGCGTCACCAGATACAGTCGATTGGCCGACAACCGCGCCAGGGACGGAGCAAATGAACGTGTCCCCGAGTAGATTTGGATATGCGGGAACAAAGCTGTGAACAGGGTGAGTAGAGTACGGAACAAGAAAGCGTCCCATGACTTACTTGCCACACGGAAATTGCCTTCCGTGGAACTCGTTGACGAGGAGCGCTTCAAATGAATATGCAACCGGATTGCACCACGAAATCCACTTGAACCAAGCGTGCATGTCTGGTCGAGGTATTGTAAACCCGGTGTAGATCACTATTGCCAGAACCAACACCGCAGCGATCGCCAGTGCTTCTGAGATTGTTTTGGTCGCTGCGCCTATCGTTCTGAAGAGTCCAGTCATTGCCAATCGTGTCAGAAAGGCGAAAAGGAAGAAGATGAAGAACTGTGCAGCTTCCCTCCTCAGCCCTGACAGAAAATAGAGAACGATGTTGAAGATCACGGCGGTGAGCAGCTGAACCGGTAGATCCGCTATTACAGTAGCCAATGCCTCTGTAAATGGGTGGTAGAAACTATCTCCTGGTCAGCATGCACAAAAGGAGGGTTAAAGCGCAACTCAGGACGGTTAAGCGCTTCGAAGGCCGCTTTGGCTTGGTAATACTCACGCATAGGAGGCTTGCTTCTCCACGATAGGTCTTTGGTCATACAAACGATTGATTTCCGTAACCGCAATAAGAGCATTCAATAACACAGCAAAGAAAATGGTAGAACCTTTTGCGAAGAAGCTATTGGTGTCGTTGATCGTTCCGTAAAAAATGGAGCCGATAATCAGGGACATGCTTCCTTGTCCAATGATCAAGGTGAGTCGGATCACTCTTTCATTCCAAAGCCGCTGAAAGCCTCGTTTGGTACAAATCTGGATTTGCATGGGCGTCGAAACGGTGTACGGAGAGCTCGGAGGAACATGGTGTGCTTGCACCGCACGGCGTGCGGCTTTGAATTCATCGGCTGCAGAGGACCCATAGTCCTCCTCTTCATGTGTCTTGATTTCTTGTTGGAGGGACTTATAAAGTCGTGATTTCCGCCAGTATTGTTCAAATTCGATGGCAGTTCGGGGGACCTTCTCTTCGTATCCTGGTCGCGTTTTCCTTTCGCTCACATTTGTGATCGAGGTCAGAAAGTCAGGGGTTGGTTGGCGAGCTGGACAGAGCCAGCCCATCTCTGCAAAGTAACCCTTCGCAAGATTGGTTGGACCAAAGTATATCTCTCTACCCTCATAAAGAACGATGACCTTGTCGAAAGCGTCGTACATTGTCTGAGAAGCCTGATAGGCCGCGACTGCATGGGCAGAGCCGCTCAGATCGGCACTCAGTCTGAGCGTGCGGACGAACGTGATGGCGGAGGAAGCATCCAGACCGCGCGTGCTGTTGTCCCAACAACCGATGGGCGAGAAGGAGAGCAGCATCTCCGCAATGCTCACTCGCTTTCCAGAGCGTTAGCCTCCAACCGTATTTGAAGACAGGCAGCTCACCTTCCTCTCTCCTCCTGATGCACCTCGCACATACGCATTTCCTACTTTCGTGTTTTGGACGTGGGTCAACCCGCATACTGCCATGGCGACGGCCGTCATTTTCTTGACATTTTCGCTTCGAGAATCGCCCAAAACTCGGTTTCGTGGAGTACGCATAGCCGCCGCAAATTCGAGAGTCTGTCTGACAGTCAAATGCGGAAAATGTATGTCGACTTCGGCGTTGTAGACGATCTCGCCCTTGAAATGCTTGATCATCTGGTGTTGCGGTATTCCTGTCCAGATATCAGATCCACACAGCAGGCCGGTGAGAGTCGGGGATCCATACCGCTGTAATGGATGACTGAGTCATCTCCAACTTTCAAGCCATGGAGTTCCCCAGCTAGAGTTTTTAGGAGTGTCGAGCATCCGCTGCCAGGGCGTCCCAAGACCAGTAGCATCTCTCCAGGCTTTACCACGCCGTCAAAGCCCGTGAGAATCTTTCTCTGCGGCTTCTTCGCGAAGCGAATCCACTCGGCTATGCGCAACGGAGCAAGAAGGTATGATGCTACCGTCGGCTGGAGATTCATGGCGATCCCAGAGCCTGACACGTTCAGGTTCTTGAAAGTAATTGAGGCACGACGTAGCTTGATGTTCGCGCCTTCGGCTTCTCGCAGGACCATCTTGGCCCATTTGTATATGTCAAAGGTAGGCTCAGAAGGATCCAGGGTCGGATCATGAGTCTTTTCGCGCTGTTCATCTGTGTCAGCTGTGGTGAACTGAAAAACTTTTACAACGATTGCGTTGGCGTCCACCGAGTCTTACCGTTAACTCACTGGCAACCCGTGTGATCTCAGCGCGATCAGCTTCCATGATCGGTTCATAGTTGCTCACGCTGCTGGACATTGACTGGGTGCGCTGGAGATTTTCATCTGAGCTCGAATCTGAAGGGACCCTTTCGGACCCCGTACTGGAGACGTCGTTTTCGTCATCGTCGTTACCACTCTGCCCTTGAGAGTTTGACGCCATTTGTGTTGAGGTAGGAATTAATTCTGTGCTTGCGAAGAAGTAACCAACACAGCCACAACAGAGCGAGGTCAGAGGCGACACAGTCCCCCATAAATGCATATACTCTCGCGCCCGCCAAATCGCTCAACAGTTGCATAATTAGCCCCGGAGGCATTGCCTCCGTCTGAAGTCCCGCCTGCATGATTTTTTGCCCCGTATTTCCAGTCTTCTGATATTGAAATTCATGTGGCAGCACATATGCTATCGTATGATGTGGTCGGGCAGCGTAGGTGCCCGAAATCCGGAGAGAAGCTGATTGGTGGCTCGTATATCGTACCTGGAAAAGGTGGGGCGGGAATCTTCGGCCGTGCACGTGACTACAAACGCCGCCCTATCGGCTTTCCTCATGTGGCTCTGCTCCTACTCGGTACACTGCCAAGGCTTCGTCCCAGATCTCCTTGCCGCCTCACAGCGCGCTCACGATGGCCCCGCAACTACTGGGCTTCAATTATTTCACTAAATTGAAGCAGCTGGACACCAAACTGATGCCTCTCGGTACTCCCTTTTGAAGTGCGGGAATCGGGATTAGCTGATATCTGACAGCAAACCTTCACTGACGTCATTATTCAGAGAACAAACCTGCGGGTTGTCACCCCTACATCAGAGTCAGGAAAATCACACCTTTTCGCCGGAGTCGGTCACACCACGTCCCCCACAAAGTCTCGCACGACGAGGGTTTACATTTGGAGAAGCAACGGAAAGAGGAGACACTCTGTGCCGGGGACCAGATATGACCTATTTCACAGATCTGCATACCTACCTGCACCAGTCGTCGCTCCTCATCCAAGCCTACCCTTCGGCACGAATCACGACAAAATATGCTCTGCCCCGGAAACCCAATACGAAGGCCAAGTCAAAACCTAAGCAGTCGAAAGAGAAAAGTGATCCTGGCTCTAGGCCCTCGACGACAGACACGGCGGCAACATCCGCGGTCCCTGCTCCATCGCAACCGCAGGGCAAGCGGGAGCGCTCTGCCGTCCTCACCTTGAAGACCTACCATGCAGAAAGCGGGATATGCCTGAAATACCAAACCGACAAGGCTGCCGAAGTGGGAAGGTTATTGAATGGACTAGGGAGACTGGCCAAGGGGGAGGCCATCGAGATGCCTGCCGTAGCTGTGTCTGCAGCACCAGGAGCTGGAACAGGGGTAGATGGCGACAAGATGGACATTGATGGCGGAGCCGGCACCGCGACGACCAGGACGGAGGACAAGGTTGCGACAGCCCCGCCAGCTGTGACGCAGGCGGGTGGAGGGGGCAAGGGGAAAAAGAAGAAAGGAAAGAAGTGAAGTTTATCTTAAGCATTTTTGCTTCACATACCAGTATGCCCGTCTACGCTCCCTGTGGTCAATGTCGCTGCGTGTCAAGATCACTGTCGGAAAGACAAGGAGCCCGCAGTGAGGGCCACCACATCGAGAATGAGTACCACGAGGCCCAAGTGCAAAGGAGGCAAGTGATGGGAATGAGAAGATGCTGGTGAGATTCGAAAGGTTACGAGCGACGTCGAAGATGCGGATCAAAAACGCTCTACCATTATAGCGCCGTGCATTGAGATCATCCTCCGGGAGACAACACTGAAACTATCGAGCGGTGATGGCTTCGTACGATTATCTTGTGCTGTGCACCGCGGATCAACATGGGACGAGCCGACGAGGCTGGTTTCCAGCGGGGGATGAAGCAAGGCTGACCTCTGTCCCCTACATCTACGAACAAAACTAGAGACAAGAATACATCAATTACAGTTGTGATTGCGTTTCTAGTTCAGAGTACTAGTATGTATTTCGTACAGCCTTCCCAGTTCACCACGCTATGAATTCTTCATGATTAACCAAAAAAACAAGACCCTCTCTAGCTGGCCTATGCACAGGGGGAGAGACAGACCGTTATCAAAACAGTTCAACACAGATAAAGCCATACGCTCCTCACTCGAGGAACCTTTCGAAGCCGCCACGTTGTTTTTCGGAGTGCGGATGCCGATATGAAATGGGTATAACAAGTGTAGAAAGGATGGGACACCCTCTAGGTTTTCTCCCTTCGTTTACCGTTTACCGATAAGACGCCCTGAACAGACAGCAAAAAGAAATCGTCGTCAAAGATCCAATACGATCTAAAAGTCTTCGTCGAAACTGATGCCGTTGCTTTCGGCTTCCGTCTTCTCCTCCTTTGGTGAGGTGGACTTCTCTTCGGACTTCTTGCTGGCTGAAGTCATAACACCACTCTTTTGATAGTCGCCAACGCGCTTCTCGAAGAAGTTGGTCTTTCCCGCGAGTGAGATGTTCTCCATCTAAAGATTCCAGAAAGTCAGCATTTGAATCTGATGGACAATTGACCAGAAGGCTTTTGCAGTATCATTTGTGGGAGAGGCAATGGCGCCACATGACGGTTGAGCTGGAATATTCATTGGGTAGTACTTACGAATGGGAATGGATTCTGCGCGTTGTAGCATCTCTTGTTGCCCAGGGCAAGGAGCAGACGGTCAGCAACAAACTCAATGTACTGACACATGAGCTTCGAGTTCATGCCGAGCAGTGCGACGGGGAGGGCATCGGTGAGGAATTCCTTTTCGATCCTGACGGCTTCGGTTATAATGTTTTCGATGAGTTGTGGGTCCGGCTTGTGCTGCAGATGTTGCATCAAAAGGCACGCAAAGTCCGTGTGCATGCCCTCGTCACGAGAGATGAGCTCGTTGGAGAAGGTGAGGCCGGGCATCAGTCCTTTGCTCTTCAGCCAGAAGATGGATGCAAAGGATCCAGAGAAGAAGATGCCTTCGACGGCTGCGAAAGCCACTAGTCGTTGGGCAAAGCTCGACTCTTTGTCTGATATCCATCGCAGAGCCCAGTCTGCTTTCTTGCGAATGCAAGGGATTGTGTCGATGGCGTCGAACAGATATGTCTTCTCTTTGGGGTCCTTTACATAGGTGTCAATGAGAAGGCTGTACATTTCCGAGTGGATATTCTCCATCATGACTTGAAACCTTTGGAACCTGTCAGTTGTGTGGGCATGAAGTGATGGGAAACTGCCTACCCGTAGAAGCAACGGGCTTCCGGCACTTGTACTTCGGCACTGAAGCGCTCTAGAAGGTTCTCGTTGACAATGCCGTCCGATGCAGCAAAGAAGGCGAGGACGTGAGAGATGAAGTAACGTTCGTCATTGTTCAAACGGTTGTGCCAGTCGTGAAGGTCTTTGGAGAGATCAACTTCTTCTGCCGTCCAGAAGCTGGCCTCTGCACGCTTATACATATTCCACTGTGCAAGGATGTCAGTCATGGAGCTCCAAGCACAACAAGTGGGGTGAGTGTGAAGGATGCAGAAGGGCTAGGTGTGACGCGTACTATCTCATGATACTTCAAAGGAAAGAGGACAAAGCGATGAGGGTTCTGTTGTAGCAGTGGTTCCTCGGCTTCGAGCTCTCTGAGAGTCTTGGGGACCTGAACCTGCTCAATCTTCTCCTCTGCCTCTGAAGCAGTCTTTTTCTCGATATCTGACTCTGGTTTGGCCATGGATTCGGTGGGCTCGACGGGAACGGGCATGTTTTCCTTATCCTCAACATTGAAGTTGAGCTTTTTGATAGGACTGTCCTTGACCTTGAGACTCTCGAGGCTTGCAGCCGCCTGCGCGTATTTGTTAGTAATGTGTACCTGTCGGAGAAAAATGCATGATGCAAGTGGCAAACTCACCTGTTTCGACGGCGTGACTTGAGTCGTCATGATTCAATGATGAGATAGGTGCAATGAGAGAACACAGAAGCAATGGTATCGAGGCAGGATAATGTAGAAGTGGCCGTGGTTGTCGAGTGCAAAGATGGAAGAGAAATGTCAATGAGAGTAGATGTAAACTGGTTGCTGGGCGTATTTAACGTAAACGCGCTAGAGCGTGGACCGCGACAAAGTGACGGAGCGTGTTCTGGCGGGCTGGGGGGCTAGCTACTGGCCTGCGCCGAAGTTGATCCACTTCATCACAACAATGCACCACCAGACGGCGAGATTGTGACTCTGGGTTCTTAGCCAAGAGTGGATTTCTTACGAAATGCTGAACAATGTCTTCGGATGGGCTTCAGAAGGGGGCTCTCATTAGCCATTTTACCCTCAGGTGCGAGACAGCTGCCTGAAGTTTCCGCAAAACTTTGCAGGCTCGAGAGTTTCGCGGTCTGTCATGTGATCTAATCTGATCTGAGCCGATCCGAACTATTGACGTTCCCGGCTACCACGACTGCCTATACCTAATATGGTAACCACAAGCCTCCAGCAGCCTTCCGAGATCGGTCTCGCCAGCAACCCCAGCCTTGCTGAAGCGTGCATTGTGCTATGTGAAGTTCTAGAGGCCGCAGGCATGCTGCTCGACTCGGACTAGCAACCAAAGATCCAGCCAGCTCTGCTGATGCCTGTAGGAGGCAAAGACACAAAGCGCCCCTCCCATCGTGTTCCCTTTGCACCATTGTGAGCATCCATGTGGGTAATGCGCCTCCGTCAAAGTTGTCAATCCCGCTTGGTTCGCGATATATGGGTACAGCAACCTCCAGAGGCTTTGGCCGACACGAACCCGCCTGAACTCAAGACGACCCAGTCCTCAGACTCTCAAGATGACGCACACCAGTCCCCAGCAACGCCGTAGATGCAAAGCTAAGTTGGTGCGCATCAAACCATGTATCTCAAAGCTTCTCCTTCAGAGACTTCGATAGGATTCTGCTTTCCACTCCTCGTATGAGCTTGTTCGTCTGCTCTGCTAAAGTCAACGTGAGGATGGTGTGCGGCAATATTCGGGCAAGATGCGCTGTGAAGCCTTTGTAGACACTGAGGACTCCTTCTGTCGAGATGGTTTTCCAGAGGCAGTCGAAGATACCATTGTAGAGATTACCATGTTGGTTGTACAATCGCGCCATGACGGTATCCTACGTCAAAGATTAATACTTGTGACGGAAATCAAAGTCCGGATGAGAATAAACAAAACGTACCGGCGGATGCATAAAGACGCAGACAACAAAGCCGCTGGCAGTTGAGCTCAGCAAATGCAATGCAGGGCCATCTTCCATCCCGAAATGGCGTATTAGCCGTCTCTTCGCAAAGAAATATGTCGGTAGCTGGACTGAACTTCCAGCTCCGGTTCGGACCATCGATGCGCCCATGCCTCGGTATAGACCTCGTACACCCTCCGCTTTGTAAATCTGCGACAGGCCGTCGAAAGCATTGCGGTATTTATGCTGCGTGCCCACAGGCAAAGAGGGAGAGTATGATTGGAGTCGGGTCTTGACCAGAAAGAAAGGTGAGCCTGCCATAGCCCCCAGAATACCAGAAGCCGCGCCGGAAAAGATGTTGATACCGAGAGACTGGACATTGGTGTCCTTGTAGATGAGCTTGGTGCATGTCGCTCGTAATGGCTCGTAGAATCCCAGCCGACAACCATTCAATAGTATCTGGTAAATGTATGCAGTCCCGATTCCTCGGTATATTCCCTTCAGCCCTTCGTTTTTTAGGATGACCCCAACCCCGTGGAAAACACCCTTATATTTCCTTACTGCAACGTCTTTGGCTTGTAATTCTCCTTGAAGCTGTAACCTGATTTTGACTGTTTCGAAGGGATGTGTTGCGGTGACGGCTCCGCAAGCAGCAATGCCGCCGGCAATGAAGGCGCCTGTTGTCGTCGACATGATCGAGTCGTCAAGTGTTCGAGTCGCTGCTACCCTTCCCTTCGCGCCTGAACCTGCCGTGAGTTTATCGCAGAGCCAATGTCAACACAACATGTTCCTAGACAAGGCGATCCTCGAGGTAAAAGGGGTGGTGGCAGGTCAGCAACTGTCAGAGGTTGCGTGTGCGACACTTTGCTGTTCAGACAAAGAAAAATTATTTCGCTGCAAATGATTCTTACGCGAAGGCGACGTCGGAGTTAATAGCGAAGCTGGACCCGAGGGCTTTGCTTACGACTTGAGTCAGCTTTAGGGATTGGGGTAGGCGGTTCCTAGGTAGCCAAGGGGTTTAATAAAGTTCCCCACCTAAGTAAGTTGGAGGCTGGGATCGCACACTGCCTACATTTTTACCACAGTGCCGCTTGGATCTTAGGCGGGGTCCTTACCGAAGTCTAGTGGCAAACAGTCCAGCAATGAGAAAGGTAACTCAAGCACTGGAAACGGGGAATTTTGTCTTCATCGCATGAAACCAAACCACTCCGGAGCGTAACCAATTCAGAGCCAGCATACGTCTTTGCGCGATTTGACGTTGCTCTTCCTCTTCTCCTCCTGAGATTGCTCATCGCACTCGCGTTGAAGTACTCTTCAGTCTTGTTGTCGATGCGCGGCCTTCGGCGCAGCCTAGACTTTCCACCTGCTCCTTAGCCATGGCAGCCCTTCCGCAACAGAAAGTACACGATGTGATCAAGCAATACCGACCTGCAAGAGTAGGTAGTCCTTACTCTATTCTCACGTCTGCTAATCGCGTCTAGCAATTTCCCGGGTCTACTCGCTCAGATGGAGTTGAGAGTCGTGTCACATCCCTTGATTTCGACGACATGGGCGAGTTCCTCGTCGCAGCCTCAGACGACGAAACGATGCATGTCTACGATATAAAAGAGGGAAAGAGAACCAAGACGATACCCAGCAAGAAGTATGGCATACATCTGGCGCGATTTACTCACCACCCACGCAACGTTCTGTTTGCCAGCACGAAGCAAGAAGACTCTCTGCGCTTATTGGAACTCCACAATGAGAGCTTCGTTCGCTATTTTACGGCCCACACGGGACAAGTAACTTGCATAGCACTGTCACCAGGCAGCGATCAGTTTTTATCGTGCGGCAATGACGACATGGTCTGTCTGTGGGATTTGAACTCCAGAAGCCCGCAGGGGAAACTGAAACTTGTTACTCCCTACCTCGCAGCCTACGATCCCTCTGCGCAAATCATGGCGATAGCGTCACAATCCACCTCCTCTATCCTTCTGTACGATGTGCGAAACTTCGACAAGGCTCCCTTCGCTACATTTGATCTGGCTGGAGAGGAGGATCGGTACACCCCAACCACAAAGGGTCGCGCATGGACTAAATTGGAATTCTCCAACGACGGGAAAAATATGCTTCTCGGCACGGACTATCATGGTCATTTCGTGCTTGACGCTTTTGATGGGATAGTCAAATCATTTCTGGTAGGGAAGACGGCAGGCACTGGACGGGCAGCTCCGGTGTCGAAATCGGGAAAGCCGCTCGGTCAGGGAGACGTCTGTTTTACACAAGATGGGAGGTATGTCGTCGGTGGGGCTGGTGACCAGCCAGACCTGCTAGTGTGGGATACCCATAATGTCACCGATATTCGACAGGAGCCCATGGTTCGATTGACGAGCCGAGGAATCAAGGCGCCAGTGGTACAATGCAATCCCCGCTACAACATGCTCGTAACTGCTGACACGAGGGTGTGTATGTGGCTGCCTGGCGATCAGATCAAGAACCCAGAACTTTGAAGAAGCGATCACACAGTTCAGCACCTTTGATTGAGATCCGGTCACTAAGCATGATCTTGTTCAGTGGCGCATTAAGGGTGAGAGGGTTTCACGCAATCGAAAACATGACCTTGGCAGTGCGCTTGATTCCGCCAATGAAAAGCATGCTCGGTAAACCTACTCCGCAACCTGAGTCTGGTGTGTCTGGTCAAGTTCACTTTCAAGCTCACAATCTTCATGAGAGTACCTCTCTCCTTCTTTGGATATTACCCTGTTTAGATTCCTTGCTGATCTGGCAATTGAATCCTGCAAGTCGACAAGAGGACTCCAATGCTTGTTACGGACGGTCACGACGAAAATGAGCCTTCCCCAACGAGCTCTGCCGAGCTGCTTAGCGGTCTCCAAACCCGTGCCAGAGCCTTGCTACAGGAATTCCAGCTATATCAGGCCCACCTCAAAGCGCAAGGAAAACAACAGCAAGTAGAGATAAGAGGGTTCAAACGAGGAATCGAATCGGAGATAAAGATCTTGGAAAAGATAGCACACGGGTTTACCACTTCCGACGGCAACTCTCAGATCATTGTCGAAAAACCAATCCCGCAAGATGAGGAACGTCCACAACTGCACGCGCTGAGAAGCTCCAATCTACCCTTTTATGAAGCTGTTTGGAATACGGCAAAATCATGCCGTCACATTACCGCAATGGGCAAGAAAATGTACTTTGGAGGAAAGGACAGCGCTGCATGTGGAAAAATTCGGGAGGAGAAATTGGTAAGCCGAGCAGACGTTTCGAGGAATGTGCGGAAAAGAGAGACTTTAGTGGACATCATCGCTGGCAATGGATTGCAATGGATCAAAATCTCGACTTTGACGGAGAAACGGCTGATGTTCGAGATAGCCAAGGAAGGCTGGGAACACTATGGCGATTTTGGGGAAGATAGCGATATGGAAGACGGACATGTCTCTGAGGCCGATCGGGATGGCAAGAGGACAAGTAAACTTGAACTTGTACGACTTGCTGAAGATCTGAAGATCGCGGCGCAGGAAGCCAGAGTCCAGTTTCGGCACCCACAGATTCGATTTGTTCTTCCAAAGATTCGCGAAGGTATCATCCCCGATGTGGATGCATTTCTTGCCGATCTACGCGCAACTGGTGCTGTCGTCGACTGCAAGATGGATATCTGCAAACTCGGTGAGGATCGGCAGCTTGATCTTGACAACCTGATGCCCACTACCCCAACTATCCCCTTGACCCGCACCATCAATGTGGATTGTACGATACTGCTGGCATTGATCTCTGACATATCACATTTTCCGAGCCACCAACTGCTGTCAACCTCTGTGCACAAATCTGAGACTTATCACAAAGCGATTGTGAATCAAATCGAATCCGAGGTATCCTCCCCGATGCTACCTAACGACATATATCCGCGCCTTACCGCACGAGACCTAGAATGTACCTTACACGCTGCCCAGCGAATGCGAGAGATCGTTCACTGTATGGGAACGACGAGTGAGTTAAGCCGCGCCGAGATCCTCCTGGGCGAAGGACGATACAGAGATCAACCCCCATCGACCTTGAGGGAGGCCCTTGGTGGACTATCAATGCATGCTGTCCCGTCAGAGATACGATTACCAGTCAAAGTGGTTGACTTCGATGTGCATACACTCTTTGGCCCCGAGTCTACTTCCGTGACGCCGGATGTTGATTTATGCAAACCGTTTCCTACCTCTGTCGCTGCCCATGTGAAGGACAGGTTACAGCTGACTCCCATCAACGCCTCCGTCTTCTTTTATGGCTGGGCCAGCCAGATTGTGACACTAACAAGCAATCGCACCGTGGCAAGCGAGCTTTTCAAGGCCATCAATGACATTCTGGATTGTGATGAGAAACATGGGCATAAGGGTGACGCGGAGTTCCTCGGACCGCTCATATGCTGTGGAACAGCGAGAAGCTTGATAGGAAAAACCAAGTTCAAGTGAGAGTCCGCAAATAAGCAAGGTGGACCATTATATGGTGGTTCATTCTCTGGAGGAAACCAAAGCCCTCGAGCATTGTCAATCAGAGGATGATTTGGCCTGCCGCTGCTTGAGAGCTCCGTCTCAAGCGTGTGTAGCATTTGTAGCAACAGGTGCGCAGATAATACGAAGATCTTGTGAGTCTGCATGAAGTAAGGCACTGCTACCTTGGAATTGCTCCAGTTGAATATGTCGAGTCCTTGGAGCGATGCATGAGAATCGATCAACTGGCCGTACGGAGAGTCGCAGCTGCGCTCTGGCGGAGTCTGAAAATGTCTCCGACAAATCACACGTATTATGTCGTACGTCTCCTGGTCACAACATCGCGGACGGGAGTAACTTTCTTTCTAACAACACAAAATGTCCCTTCCTTCGTCCTCTTAATATGCCCTCTGACTAGTGAAGTTCAAGTCCTCGAACCGATAGTGTTCTGCATCTCGTCTTGCCCTTGACTGTTTGGACTGCTGCCGCCTGCAACGGTTCTGCCTGCAAACATGCGCCGGTGGGTGCCCTCCCTCGGCCTCCTGGCATACCTTGCAGCACTGGTCGCCGGAAATGAAGTTCAAATTGTGAGAATAGAAGGGAGCTTTGTGGTATCGTGCTCTGCCCGCTGACCATGACTAGAAACAAGATGACGAGCATCGCCAGCGGTGTTCAGGGATGTACAGTCGCAAGTCATGGGGCGGGTCAATAGATCCGTTCATCCTGGTCAAGTTCCTTCCGGACCACACCGAAGACGACTCAGACCCGATCGCAAGCCTCATAATATTCGAATGGCAAGATGAGCCGTTGATAGGCAGGATGCCGCCTGGCGGGGAGTCCTACCGAGATCTCGAGACCATATGCACCACCGACACTGTGGCACAAGGCTTATGTGAAGAGAAGGATATTGGCGCTTTCATACTGGCCCCGAATGCCACAGAGGCCTCACGGAACCCGATATCGAACGAAGCAATCCATTTGAAAGATCCGAAGGCCATCAACTACCCGATCCGTCGAACGGGGTACTATTGCGTCTCGACGTACGCCTTCTCGGATCACGAGTATAACGGGGTGGTGGAATTCAGGAACGCATACGGTGAGCTGCCGGCAGCTCAAATAGCCAAACTCCCGTTTTACGGCGGCCTCACCATTGTCTACGCGGTGCTGGGTATATTCTGGGCTTTCCTCTACTTCCAAAACCGCTCTGATATCCTCCCGGTGCAAAACTACATCACTGCCATCATCATTTTCTTGATTGTCGAGCAGCTGATGACATGGGGATTCTATGACTATCAAAACCGTCATGGCAACAATGCGCTCAACAAGATCTTCATGATCATCGTCTCGATCCTCAACGCTGGGCGAAATTCATTCTCTTTCTTTCTTCTCCTGATTGTCTGCATGGGCTATGGGGTGGTGAAACCCTCCCTGGGGAGGACAATGATCTACGTCCGCATCTTGGCTGCCGCACATTTCGTCTTCGGGGTCATCTATGCCATCGCTTCCATGGCCGTTACCCCTGAATCTGTCGGTCCCCTGATTCTCTTCGTCATCCTACCACTCGCAGGGACCATGACGGCTTTCTACGTGTGGACATTGTCGTCTCTCAACGTCACCATTAAAGATCTTATCGACCGCAAACAAAAGACAAAGGCAATGATGTACAAGAAACTATCCTGGTGTATCCTGGGGAGTGTACTGGTCATTTTTGCCTTTTTCTTCATCAACAGCTTCGCCATTGCAGGGTCGGGATCTGCGAACTTTGTGCCAGAGCATTGGCAGACCAGATGGTTTGTGCTGGACGGATGGCTGAACATCGTGTACTTGTTCAATATTGCGTTTATTGCGTATCTGTGGAGGCCGACGGCGAATAATCGACGTTTTGCGATGAGTGACGAGGTGAGTCTCTCTCTCTCTCCTGCCTTTGTGTCCCAGTACGGACACCGTATGAAGTGGCTAACATGTTTTTACTTTAACAGCTTGCCCAAGATGACGACGGATTCGAGATCCGCAGCATTGCCGACTCTATCGAGGATGACGACGAGGAAGCCGCTAATGCGAGAAAGGATCAAGAAAGGGCAGTTCCTCCTTCTGGAGGCGGAGCAGCGAGCTCCCTTACGGATGCTATCGCCCACGAACCCTCTCCGGCGAGGAGGCCTTCCCCAGCACCGGCGCTTCAGAATAGTACCCAAGCAGCACCGCCTTCCAAGCCTCTCAACCCGCCACAACCGAGGATGTCGTTGGATGGCGAGACAATCTTTGCCGTCGGCGATGAGGGGATTGAGTGGAGCGATGGCGAAGACGAAGATAGCGGCGACGAAAGGAAGAAGTTGACCGGTAAATGAAGCACTCTCGGGTTTCAACTGCCGACAGGCATGACAAATTGGATTCAACTGGCTCGATTCCTTGGGATGCTTGGATGCTTGGGGCTTTTAACTGGGGCTTGCGCCTTTTGGGCTTTTGCCATCGGCGTTGGAACTCGGGAAATATGGATGTCCACGACTAGCAATACATGTTGGCGGAGGGCAGGAAGAAATCCAAGCGGATTGTAATATGACTGTTTGTCTATGCAAGGCAATTGTCCTAGTTCGGGCTAAACCAGCATTGGCAACGACGATCCTATCCCCGCGAGGTGCCTATGGCATGAACCAGTGATGGCTTCGACCTTCAGTTACCCATCAGGAAGCCTCTCTGCTCGTGAGAGACATAATAGTTCGCGCATCGCACCCTCGCACAATGCAGCTAACACGGGAACGGGAAAGAGGGGGAAGAAAAAGAGGCCTCCCGGGACGGCGAATCAGATATGTAATTGTATTCGGAGCATTGGGATCCGCAAGGCGTTGAATGATTTTTCTGTACCATTGCGAAGCCAGGGCACATAGATACGATTGTCTCTTTGGTCCAGCTTGACCGTCGGTCGCGACGTGGTGGTTTTGGCGACGCCCACGGGAAGCGCGTCCATCGTGTGAGGTTCAACCGCCCAACTTCTTCGCACGATCCTTTGCGATATCGCACATGGCCTTTTGGCAAGATAGGTAGCACGTGTTAGCACGTGTGACTTCGCTGGGGCTGCGCGAGTCCAGAAAGGAATGTACCACCTACCTTGATTGCCTCTTGCTTTTCCAGCTGAATGTCTCCCCGGTCTATTCGTCTCTGCATGTCTTCCATGATGACAGGGCGACTTCGTCCGTTCACGAACACTCTGTTGACTTCTTATCAATAATCACGACGGTCACTGAGCCTGAGGAGATTGTAGGGAGGAAACAGGGGACAGCCGCATCCAAAGAGAAAGAGAGAGCGCGGGAAGACATACACATATCTTAGACCAGGAAACTTGTCTTCGTATTTCCGGTTCATGTCCACCAGCTTCTCGGCCTCGTCGGCTCCGCCTTGGTTCAATTGCGCTTGCTCCTTGCGACTCTGCTCGCTCTCCACCTTTTTCTCACCTAACCGCGGATGGGCAGATAAGATGGCCTCGAGCCATTCTTGATCGCTCTCCAAGTTTGACCGGTGGAGTTCCAGCAGCTGCTCGCCCACGGCCTCAATAAGTGTGTCGTATGTTGAGAATGACTGTTCCCGCAGTAAGCTGACGGATAGTGTGTGCAGTTGCAGACACGGCTCGAAGAGGGTGTCGAGAATTTGTGCCCTTTGTTCGGCGCCCAGTGCTGGCAGTGTCGACGTTGGTGGAAGAGAGACCATGATGAGAGACGTCTCCTGTCTTGGTCATCTGCGTGAACTGGGGGCCTCAGGCTCGAATGCGAAGAAATACTCCGTGCGGGAATATTTTCTATCGTGAACCATCTCAGACTCAAATAATAGCCAACGTCATTTGGAGTACCCTTTGTAAAGAGGCTGTCGGCGTTCGCCGATGCATCTGAGTGCCCTTCACGTGTTTTGGCGTTGACTTCGCGAAGAGCCTGCAATGAATGGCGATTTCGCTACGTGTCGGTCGAGTGCCAATAATGCCCAGTAGTCATCAACGGTCTGCCCACTTGTGCCCAACCTCTTCTCATGGTTTCATGAGACGATTACTTGAATGTGCAGCCACGCGAATGGACGGTGTGTCAATAGTTCGTAGAGGCGAGGGGCGGACTGGGGAACGGGTGATTCTGGGGAATCAGAGATTTCTTGCAGCAACATCAAGCCACCGGGTGTCCATTCTGTCTGTCGGGGAAAACTTGCCTGCTGAGGATGATACACTCGAGACTCTCTTCCGAAGTGATAGATGTTGTGTCATTACTGGACAATGAGTGTAGACGTGGCACCTCATGCTCCATGTATAAGCAATGTGGGAAAAGCTTCAGTCCGATCTCGATCTCGCACTTTGGATAATGGCACAGGTTACGGAGAAAGATTCCCCGGGTTGTTTCAGGTCAAGGCAGAGTGCTCGTTGAGACAAATCCGCACCCTGTTGTGCATTCGTCGTGCAAGCTATCATTCTCATCTTTTGCTCCCGAGTCAAGATCGGCTCTATCCGTGGCAGTCGAGATTTGAAGCAGAGAGATCGACAACAATTCGCAATTCGTGATCCTCCACCTCCAGGGCGTCGACCCTCCGACAGACTTTCGCTTGTTTTACGTAGGAGGAGGAAATTCAAGCAGGCAGAAGAGGCATAGCGGCGGTCTCGCTTGCTTCTAGGCGCAGAATCAGAGGCAGGGCTCGGGAAATTGGCTCGTGGAAACTGGCGGCATGGGCGAATGAGGCTCTAGCATCAGCCGTTTGGTCTGGAGTTTCAGCGTTAAGGTCAGCTCCACCATCACGCAGAAACGGGGCACACCAGGGCACATCGTCCACGGACTGTCGGCGGGCTACCCTGGTCGTGGCTCCAACTTTGGCCCGTTGTAGCACCCCCCTGAACTTCAGATACCATGCCGCGCTGTGCTCCATTCGCAGAATGTCCTGCATCCTGCATGTGGGCTTCCCCTCGAAGCTGCATATCCAAGCTGAGACGGCTGTGGTTACTCGCCGTTGGCGTCGGGCCCATTGCATTTGAGAGGTTACCCTGATCGCCTCAAGCCTTGCTCTTCTGCGTCTCCGGGTCTTTGTATAGCCTTTCGATTCATTCCCGGACTGTATGAGATCGGATTCTGAACCATTGCGCAGGCCTGGGCCTTCTCAATGAGGGCTGAGAAATGTCATTGAATGGACTTGATGGAGCTGCAGTCGCCGATGCACACCAGGCTGCTCAGGCGGACGCAGGAGGATGGTATGTCGCGCATTCCTTTGATGTTGTGCTGCCTCGTGGCTCTGCGCAATCCGTCCGCTGTGACGCCTGCTTACATGGACCAGGTTCTTACTGAAATATGTCAATCGCGACACCATCGAATTGTTGAGCAAGGGAACAGGGGGCGTGCCGGCTGTGCGTGGAGTCATCGAGCAATATGCAGAGAAATCGCCGCTGTATGGGTTGGTGCAGTATCGGCGCAAGAAAGTCGTGCTCAAATATGTGCCAGAAGGAACATCTCGACTGCTGCAAGGTGGGTGGACGCGCCGGCGTTGAAAGAATTGTGACTGACCTTCTTCACCCGCTACAGTGCGGCTTACCGTGCAATTTCAATCGGTCCTGGAAACCTTCACTCCCCATGACACCATCTTCTCCTTCACAGCAGCCTCTGAGTTGACAGAATCTGCCCTCGGCTTATGTACCATGCTATTACCCTCCGCATCGTCATTGACCTCGTCAAGCTCTTCCCTGCGACGGCGCCGACTAAATGAGATTACTGAAGACGCTGAAGATGCCGTGTCGCCAGCCGAGGCGGACAAGGACAAGGACAAGGAGAAAGAGAACGCTGGCCTGGCCCTCCGCCTCGCAACGCCAAAACTCGAGGAGGCGCCAACGGTGACATCGACGGCGAGCTCTGCTTATGTGAGGCATGAACTGGATGAACTGCCGGCAAGCGCAGTCCTTGCAAAGGCCCTGCTGGCAAAGAGGAAGGAAGAGGCTGCCGCCGCCGACGGCAACACCACGACCCTATCTTTACCAGACAAGACTGTTCACCCTCCGCGAAAAGAGTCTCTACTCACATCACCCAAACCACCGGTCTCACCGTTACCCTCTCCACTACCCTCGTCGGTTGTCGACAAGGAGCTCCCCGCGACTCCCGAACCAACGCCGCCTTCCACTAGCGAAGGCGAAGGTCCAAGAGCTCCGGATTTCGAAGCCACTAGCAACATCCTTCTCGAGACCACTACAGCAACAGCAGACGCCTCCAATCCGGCTACCCCTCGTCCTCACGCTCGCCATCTTTCCGCCGCCGAATCGGACAGTATCAGCCAGTGGAGTAGTAACGTCGCATCGTATACAACAGTCAAGCCAAAGAAGAAAAAACTCGGACCGAGACCTCACGTTGAGCCAAGTCATCGTCCTAAGACGTCCGGAACAACAGACAGCGGCACAGGTATACGGCCAGTGGCGAACCTTCCAACCTCTATTCGTGTGAACAACAAGTCTCTAGTCAGCCTTGGGATTCGACCCGGCTCTCAACAGTCAAGTCGAAGCGTCCCTGGCCGTTTTGTTCCCTCCAGCCAGTCTGTCAATGGTGCGCCGCCTCTGCCGTCACCATCATACCTACACGCTCCATATAATGCGGGAGACAGTCGCTCTGCAATCCTCCGGCCAGCTTCCGTAACTGGAGATGTCTCCACAACCACTCCAGAAAAGCTAAGATTGATGAAGGCCTTGCAATTACGGAAAAGGAACATGCTGCTGGCTCAAAGAGCAGCCTCGGCTACACCATCAACCCCTTCAAATACATACATTCACAATGCGTCGGAGCCGAATGCGAGCGTCAACGGTTCGAGTACTCGCCTATCATCAATTCCAAGTCAGGAACAGCTGTCAAACGTCGACGAGGAGTCAAAGCTGACTCAGTCATCTTATACAACGTCGCCGACCATCATGACGAACATCTCGGAAGAGCCTTCTACGAAAGCCTCTTCTATCAGCGAACAGGATGATTGTTCCCGTACTCGCCGCTCATTATCCTCAGCCACAAGCTCGTCCCTCACGCCAAAAGCGGTCTCGCAGGAAGACAAAGCCGTCATCAAACCTGACGGGACCTCGATGGATGTAGAAACATCGGCCAGCGCCGGCCGGGCCACTCTAGACAAGGAGGCCAAACAGGATTCCAGCTCTGATGTAAAGGCAGCACTTGCTTACCTGGAAGCTGAACCAGTTATCACAGGGGATAGTCTCTTGGAGAGCAAACCTGAATCAAAATTGGATGCTGAGCAACACTCCTCCAATGCACTGCCGACACAAGATGCAGCGTCGTCGAAGAAATCCGGGCGCTTAGGACTTCCACAAGCCCTAAAACTCTTACCAGGTGGCAATGCGTCTGCCTCGGATCTCTCAGAAGATGACTCTTTGATGGACGAGATACAGCACGCTACCGTCCATGAGGCTATGCCAGTCTCTGTGGCACGTTCGCCGGTAACTCCGATAATGTCCAAGGGGAGTTCTGATCGTCTACGCGAGATGGTCGCCAAACCACCGAACTCCAGCCATTCTACTGGTCGACCGAATCTTGTAACAACCCCCGATGGAAACAGGCCCAGCAGTGGTAGCGTACGAAGCGTTTCAACAGCTCTTCCACAGTGGCCGCCATTACCTACAGAGTCGGCCCAACTACCTCTTACCAAAAAGGCTACACTCGGAACAGGCATCTCTAAACGCATTAAAGCCTTGGAAGTACTGAGGACGAAAGATGCAAGCCCTCCACGACAATCCCAGCCAATCCGAGAGACAAGTGCTGGAACCTCTGCCTTCTCCACGTTCATGAAGCGCTCATCATTCCTCTTGAACCAACAACAGGCTCCCAATGCCTCAACCGAAAACTCACCCCCAAGGCAATTGCTTCCGACAGGCAACTCATATGAACCCCATTCATCTCTCGCAATCAAAGAACCGCGACGTCCCTCGTCGGATGCGCACAGGCTACAGAAAGGCGAGACCATCTCTGTTACAGCAAGGATTGTCCGTGATTCCAGCAACAAACATCCCCCTCTTGCCCCCAGCTCTAGCTACCATACTCCCCTTAATCTCTACCGAAGCCCTTTGATTGTCGAACATGAGAAGCCCGACCAGCCGACCTTGGACCAGTCAGCTTCGAGCCAACCCAGGGTTAAAAGCCCCACGAAGTCAGAAAGGGGCCGATTTTCCTTTTCCTCCCATCGATCAGGGTCTCACACAAATTTACCTCGGTCAGAGTCGAATCACAGCAAAGTGTCCAAATCAAGCCACTACAGACGCCATGGGCCGCGATCAGCCAGTGACGCCGCATCGATTTCCGAGGACAAACCAAAGTCTTCGATGACAAGCAGGCTTATGAAGCGGATGTCGAATCTGGCGAATGCACGGAATAGAAATCAACCAGCGACGAAAGACGACGCCAATCAGTCCCAAGTCAATATTACGCAAGAACAGCCCGATCTAACGCGGGAGAATTCTATAGCAGAGTCATTGATGCACGTTGTCGACATTGGAGATGTCAACGTACAATTTCCAGAGTCATTTCTATGGAAACGGCGCTTCATGAGAATCGACGATCAAGGGTACTTGATCTTTTCTCCACCGATGACGGATGCGAACATGAAGAGCGTTAGTCGCAAATACCACCTCAGTGACTTCAAGCGGCCTTGTCTACCGGATCTTGAACGTGAAGAGATGGCATGGAGTATACTCCTTGATCTGGCGGATGGGAGATGTGTGCAGTGTGCATGCGAGAGTAAACAGGCTCAGCAACAAGTACTACAGAGTAAGTACCTGATACCGGTGCACCATTTTGCAACTTGATTACTGACATTCTCTCACAGTGCTCGTTGACGCTCACAGTGCATATCATCAGTTATATGGAGCTGGATGATGAGAAATAGAGGGATCCAGTCCACGATGGCGAATGGCAATCACGACCACCGATCAATTGTTTTGCATAGTTGTTGATGTTTGAACGGCAAGCAACAAGCGAAGGCGAGGGACGGCGTTGGGATGCTGTTGGAGAACCAGTTTCTCGCATGCTCTTGAATTTCCAGTCCCGCATTTTTACGAGAGAGCACAATCTACGTACATACCCGCCTAAATTAATGTCTGTACCAGGAGAGATGAGGCCTCTCGAACGAGCCTTGGATGTTGAAGGTTGACACGGCTATTGTCACCAACTTGTAGTGGTTGTAGAAACACCATGGCACGAGACGCTGTTCTCAAAGACATTTACAATACTTGGTAATCACACATTTGACCGACTAATGCATCTATCCTTAGATCCTGGCATGTAAGGAGACATGATTGGGTCTGCGCAAGACAAGGCTGAGTCGCAAGGACAAGTGGCTTTTCAGCCTTGAAAAGGGGGCGCAGGCAAGGATACAAGAGGTGGATTTTTAAGCATTGAAATAAAGCGGCGTTCGTATATATCCCGCCAACAAGGCCCAAGTATTCACGGTTCCTCCATCTTCCTCCCCCATCCCTTCTACCTGGCGATATCCTCTCTCGAAGACCCATATTCGTTTGTATTAGCTCGAGTCTGTCGTGTCCCAACCTGCCTCTTGGTACGGCGCCATCATGGTGCAACTTCGCTCCCTCCTCCCGCTGGCAACGCTCGCCCTGCCCCTCCTCACTGCGGCCTCAGATGTTGTCAATCTGATCCCCTCAAACTTCGACAAAGTGGTGTTTGAGTCGGGCAAGCCTGCTCTCGTCGAGTTCTTCGCCCCCTGGTGTGGCCACTGCAAGAATCTTGCTCCTGTCTATGAGGAATTGGCCACAGCTTTCGCCGCCTCCGGAAGCAAGGTGACGATTGCAAATGTCGATGCGGACAAGCATAAAGACCTAGGCAAGAGATTTGGTGTCCAGGGGTTCCCAACCTTGAAGTGGTTTGACGGGAAGCCCGGCTCGGAGCCAGAGGACTACAATGGCGGACGGGATCTGGAGAGTTTGACGGCTTTCGTGACTGAGAAGTCCGGTGTCAAGGCCAAGGGCCCAAAGAAGGCGCCTAGTCATGTTGAGATGTTGACAGATACGACATTCAAGTCTGAGGTTGGTGGGGATAAGGATGTCTTGGTGGCTTTTACGGCACCCTGGTGTGGACGTACGTTTGTCCCTTAGACCGACGCAGTAGGGCATTGCATGCTAATCTTTGGCTTACAGACTGCAAATCCCTTGCCCCGACATGGGAGAAGCTCGCCACCGACTTCGCCAGTGAGCCGAGCGTTCTGATCGCCAAAATCGATGCCGAAGCCGAGAACTCGAAAGCTACAGCTCAATCCCAAGGCATCACCGGCTACCCGACTATCAAATTCTTCCCCAAGGGCTCGACCGAACCAGAACCATACAGCGGCGCCCGCAGCGAAGAAGCCTTGGTGGACTTTGTCAATTCCAAAGCCGGCACCTACAGGGTTCCGGGCGGTGGGTTGAACTCCCAGGCTGGGACTATCGAGATCATCGATAGCCTGCTCGCCAAATACGTCACGGCGAACGGTTTGAAAGATATCGAGAAGGCGACGGCTGAGATCAAGAAGGCAGCAAACGACCTGAAGGACTCATCCGTGGACTACTATCTCAGAGCCCTGTCCAAGTTGACCGGAAACCCAGAGTACGCGATGAAGGAACAGACAAGATTGGCAGGTCTGTTGAAGAAGGGCGGATTGGCACCGGAGAAGATTGATGACTTGCAGAAGAGGAGCAACATCCTTTCGAAGTTCTTGGTCAAGGAGCCGGAGCAAAAGAGTGAACTGTAAGCAACGAGGAATGAGTGGGCACTTTTGATGTCACGGGCAGATCGGACAAAAGCACAAGGTCTGCAGGCAATGGATCTGTAAATTGACTGTCATTAGAGGAGTTCAAAAAGGTTTTTGCGGGTTTCCAGTTTCGATACACGCCTAGTTTCTCATATCACTGGTTGATGTCGTCCCTGTCACAGCTGGCTCCATCCCGTTCTCGAAGCGGATTCTATGGTCTTCAGTAGCTGGGCCAATACTCCGCTGATTCGAACACGTATAGATGCATCTTGTCTTGTTCCTTCCTTATCCACCCTCGCACTGGGTCTGAGGGCGCAGGTCCAGAGGCGGTACTCTTGTCGCCTGTGCAAAGACATCGAGGGTGTTGCATTCTGGCGGTCGAGATCATCCTGCGTCGTGGAGAACAAAGCGGTTCCGGCCATATCAGCTCGACCCGGCGGTGCTCCCTGCCTTCCCACCGCCCACGTTCTCCATCGCGCTTGCATCCCTCAACAGCATCTCCTGCTCCAACCGATCACACCGTTCTGCCATGTCATCCAACTTGGTGAGTATCTCATCGCTTATTCCCTTGAACTTCTTCTCCAGGTCACCGAGGAAGTCGTCGATCGCCTCGGCGAGCTTCGTGGCCGCATCGTTTGGACTCTGTAGGTTCTCCAAGGTGGAAGCCGACGAGGCTGCTGCGCCAGCCGGGCCGCTTGACGTTGCAATGGTGGCGGATGGGTGGTATGATTGGGACGAGAGCGGCGGGCTAGGGGCGGACTGGAAAGGAGGTTCAGTCAGGGCATGCCGTTATCTCTTCACAAACTTCGGGATCAAATGCAAGGCGGCAGAGATGGACAGCCTGTTGATCATGTCCCAAGAAATTTGAGAGCGTCTCGTGGTACTTACCATGTCGCACGGCGACTTGTTTATCCTTCGTGATCACTCAGGAGTAGGGGCAGAATCAATGGAGTGCTGCTCCCACAACATCCAGAGAAATAGATCAGCATAGACTCAATTCACATAGGATGCATTCCGAGGAAGCGCGGAGCAGGCTCTTTAACACCCCAGCGCCCGACAAACGTTTGGGTATCGAGAAGTGCGGTCCAAAAAGACCTGGAAAAGGCGCCTGCAAGTTAACACGAGGGAAACTTGGGTATCCGGGGCATTTGCCCGAAGTTCATGCGGAGACGGAGTCGTTCACTCCTGGAGGAAATAGAAATCCTTTGTGTCACTCCAACGAACATGCCTCTACTAGTAGTAATCTCTCAGGCAACCCACAAAAGACACGTCCAGTCCATCTGCACTCTTCTTCCAACGTCGCGTTTGATTATAGACGGCCGCTTCGTCCAGATGTTTGGAGGAAGAGTGGTGCCAAACGCGGCTGGTGATGACTGTGCTACCACCAGTTCTTCCTCGAGGATCTGGCCACTGACTTCCTGAGTTCTGCGCAACAAGACATACATTTACAACGGGGTTCACCCTGTGGATATGAGGATAACACCGCACCAGGAGACACGGCAAATCGAGCGATCTCTGCACGCTCCAATGTTGCCAGCCATTTGAGCGATTGGCGTCGTCATTCCAGCTTCATTCTTCCCAGACTGTTGGGAATGGTGGGTATCGGGCTTGTCTTATCGAAGGCCTCGGAAAAGTCTGACACCCTCGTGTTCCCAGCCTCGAACATCCTGAAAGCGCAAACGTGGTCTACGCTACCCTACACTCGAATACGTGCTGCACGAGGCCGCTTCTATTTCCACCCCTCCAGCAATTTTTGGGGTCTCGGCGAGCTCTGGGTTTCCTGCTTTCGCCACCACCTGAAGCTTCAAGCCCCTCTCACCTAGGGAGTGAGTTCGTATTACCCCGACTCTCAGGGCTCGGCAGCTGGGTCCAGCTGAAAGAAACTTGGTGGAGGCGCGGGAGATGCCGGATGGTCATTACTGTCTTTTTGTGCAAGCCACTATTGTCCGGTTTGTGAATCCCTTCCGTTGATGCCGTGATTTGCTAGTTGGGGATCAAATTGGCTTCTAGAATGCGACTTGGGACCAGGCGAATGAGGGGGGAGAAGCCCTAAAGCTTTACGAGATGATCGACCCGAAGGGGACAACTACTTACCCGGACAATGGCATACGGCGCGGATGCGCCACAAGAGTTAAACCAAGCCCAGGAATAGGACGAAAGAAATAGTGAAAGTCGTGGCTGCTGATGTTGAAGTTGTCTTTCGGACGGCGCATCAGATACATGGCTAAGCATGCATATCATCCAAGGTGGGAGTACGAGCGGGTTCAGGTTGAGAGCAAATGTTTAGAGAGGCGCCTGATTCATCATGAGCGAGCGAAAGAACGGACAAGTGGGCGGTGAGCAATGGCCATGTGCCGTTTGCCATGTGGTGCAGGTGGGTGGAATGGCAAATTCGTCAATACGGACGATCCTTGTAAAATGCTGGCTTACTGCATAGGGGAACTGAGGGCTGCTGAACAACTACTAGACACCCAATAAGGCCCTGCTAAGCACCTGTTAAGCACTGCTAAGAGTGTTAAGGCTTACCGCCTCCGATAGTCTAATCCAGCCGCACACCACATGTTCTTCGAGTTTCTCAGCAACCACCACTTCAACGAATGCCAAATGTAGGCAGAATACACTGCGACCCATCGAGGCCTGTCTTCGTGACCTCAGGCAAGTGGCCTGCCTTTTCAGTTGCCATCGCATTTCGACCTTCTGCGTTCTGTTTGCCCTGCATGTTTAGGCACGCACAAGCTTCCGCCGCATGGCCGAGTCCAGAACATCCCGCATGGTGTGCTGCCCTATCTCGGAAACAGTTCTGCTGAGAGAAGAGGTGGCGCGAACAGTCAAGGACCACTGAACAGAACATGACTGGCCAACCTAACGGCGGTTTCTGCAGCCTGGGAAAGGCGGTCGCGTTTTCCTCCCACACTGTTGCTCGCTAAGTTTGGGTGCTGCTCTGCTTTCGGCCTGGACTGGGCCATTTCCGAGGCCGACATGCAGCTTTAAGCCAGCCACAAACACCTTTGGGGACGCTGTCCATTGCCGGCCAACTGATTGACAAACATGTCGCCAATGTCTGGATAGCTTCGCCCTCCTTCACGATTTGTCTGGTCCCTGGTTCTCTATCTCGCTGCTGCTTTCGTCGGCAGCATGCTCCATTCATGGATCGTTCTTGGTGTGCGTTCTGCGCGATTGCCTTCGCTCGGTTGCCTTTTGCAGAAGAGCTGCATGACCTCGCTCGGTTGCCTTTGGAGGAGAGGTGCATGACTTCTCAGAAGGACCGTCAAAAAAAAATGAACGACCTAAATACCCGCAGCCTGCTCTCTGCTTTGCGTCGTCCCCCGAGTTTTACAATCCACCGGCTGGTTTTTTGAGAGGTCTGCTTTCTAGATTGATTGCGCAGCACAATGGCGATACAGCCTGACTCACCTACGAAGATTCCTCTTTTATCGGAAAAAGAGACGCCAGCCACACTGGCCAGCTCAGAGAGCCCTCCCCAAACTCCCACTTCCACCCATGCAATCAAAGACAACATAGAGGGCGCTCTGCCGTCCTTGCTCTGGGGAGCCTTTGCACCTTGTGTTCCAGTTGCCGTTATCTCCAGTGTGCTCCTGACTGCCATCCTGTACAATCGAATCGACGGCAGTTACGTCTATCTTCCTCCAAAGCACGAAACATCCTCGACCGATGGGCTGGCCACTCTCCAAAGTATCCAGCAGATCGAAAACAATGGCGGTGACCAAGCTTATTACCTTTACTACAAGACCATCACCAACCCAGCAGTATTGCACATGATCTCGTCATGGACGGCCAAGATCATACCCTTCGTCACTGGAGCTTCCATGGCTCTTGTCGCTTTCTTCGCAGGCCAACGCATTATGAAGGCGACCGCCAGCAAATCAGAGAAGCTCCCCAGTCCTCACCAGGTATCCATCCTGATCGGGCTGCTCAATGGAGGTGGGACGCAACCTCTGCTCGACGCCGTTAAGTATCGCTGGCAAAACCATGAGAGCCTCGTGCAACCAGTTCCTCTCGCCTTTTGGTGTTTGTCCTTCATTGTGTTAATGACGTAGGTCTCTCTCATCCTCCCTTATTCCTCTGTGGGTTGTGCTAACCCAGTCAATGCAGCTTCGCGATCGGAGCAGTCGATAGCTGGTTTGGTACAGTTACCACGGCCATGAACATTGCATTGGTCATTCCGAAGAACAACACAGCATTCTCCTTTGGAAGAGGCTTAAACTCCAGTCAGTGTGGGCCGAGCGACTGGGAGTCACGGACTTGTCCAGGCAATGCTCAAGCGAACTGCAGTTACCCGTGCAGCATTACGAGCTGGCAGACGGCGGACGGAGAGCGCCAAGGCGTGCTCAACGCGCAGCAAGCCGCGGAGACTCTGATGTCGAACTCGCTGAACAACACAATTCACAACGTCACGGTGAATGGCTCGAACTATTACTTCCTTGGGGATACCCAGAGCAGTAAGACGCTTGACTTTGTGGCGACGACGCTGGCGATCAAGACGCAGTGCCAAATGGTGACGCAAAATTGCAGCGTCACGGCCGTTGACAGTGTCAGCTCCGGCTTCACGTGTGGCGCTTACAGTTCGCCGTCCTTTTCATACTCTGGAGAGGTCGGCATGGATCCTAAAAACGCAACGTCGGCGCCAGACGAGGCTATGGTGGGCATTCAGTTCTTCAATGACACAGCAAAGAGCCAACCAGTGGGATTCGGAAGCAGCACTACCAACCTCTTCAGCACGCAGAACCCACTTCAATTCCTGACCTGGTCAAAGGGCTTCCCGCCCGTGGATACCTATCAAGACGAATTCAAAACCATGCGGGAGGACCAGTATCTTAAATACGACGCCACTGGCGACACCGTATTCGTCCTGAGCTGCTCAGCAGTTATCGCAGAGGTGAAATACAACTGGACCAACTCATCGATCACCCTTGTTGAGCTTGAGGCAGACGAGGATGTGGCAGACTACTACGGTGCTGTCTTCAGCGCCCCGTTCGCTATCAACAGCCCGCTGTCTCATCTGGCCCTCCAAGACGCCGCGGCATTGGCCGCCTATCGGAAAACACCGGAGGGTCTGTCAAAGGTCTTCGCCGACCGTTTCTCCCAGGCTGCCGTGGCCCTCAGCTCCGGGATTGGCATCAAGGTGCAGAACGAGCTCGAGTGGACGAGGGACAATAGTTATCTCGCCACGCGCGTTCCATACGTGCCTCTGTATCTCCTGGTGACTCTGAAAGCCATCTACGCCCTGTTTGCGCTGGGCCTTGCCGTGCTGGCGGTCTTCCTAACGCAGCCGTCACAGGCCCAGGAAGTCAAGGAGCGGCTGACAGTCGACGGCCTCGCGGCGGGCTTCTTCGAGCCCAACGCCAACCACGAGAGGGCGGTCAAGAACGTCAGCGACCTGTTCCACGAGCACCAGAGCCCCGACAAGAGCGAGGACACGCAGAAGATCGGGCTGTTGCAGACCGACAAGGGCGGCTGGCTGTGGGTCGCCGTGGTGCAGAAAGCAGCGCAAGGCCTGGGGATCCAGCAAGCGGCCAACTTCGCAGCCGATCAGGTCGCCGACGCGGCTGCGGCACAGATGGGTGCGGTGGGGACTTTGGGTCAAGGGTATAAATTGGTCAAGGACATCATTTAGGAAACGGAAACGGGAAATGAGCTACGGCAGGACACGACATGGGCTTTATGTTTGCATGGGCTTTTATATATGTACAAGGAAGGACCCACGGGACTCTCTCTGGCGCTGGAACGAGTAATATGGATCATGGGATAATGAGACATGTATGCAAGGGAAAAGATACCACTTGGGGTAAATCACACAAAGCATTTATTTATTCAATTTTATTTGGGCCTTTTCCAATGAACAGATCCTGTTGCACCATCAAGATTTCCATCCCAAGCGGCAGCGCAGACTCTGATAATTAGAAAACCAAAAGGTGCGCTTTTCCTCCTTTCAAGTCCTCTTCGCTTTGCCACCACCACCACCACCACCCATTCCGACGCCCAGGAGAAACGCCGCCCTGAGCGCGCCCACGCCCGCGAGGATGGCCAGGTTAGCCCACTCCCCGGGTCGGAGCAGCAGCGGCCACGCGAGGCGGTGCTGGGCGTCGAGCGCGCGGGCGACGGCGGCGACGACGGCCACGTCCTGGACCAGGATGGCAGCCTCGAGGCAGCGCCAGACGGCGCGGTCCGCGGGCCGCAGCCGCAGCAGGACGAGCTGCAGGAGCATGGTCGAGAGCAGGTAGCCCGCCCCGCTGTCGAGGAGTGCGGTTGTCTCGATGGCCGGCGGCAGCGTCGCGGACGAGCCGTTGTACAGCGTCAGGAGGGTGCGCGGGGCGAGCAGCTGCGTCAGCGCGCCGCTGAGGGCGATCAGCGGGTCGACGGTGCTGAAGAAGACGCGGTAGAAGGCAGGGATTGTTGACGAGGACATTTTCTTTCTGTTCGCTCTTCCTTGCTTGGTTGGGGGCCTGTGGGTTGTATTACATGGATGGTGGTTTGCAACGGAGACCGTGGGCCCGTTGTGTCCAGCGCAAAGGGGGGAGTGCCAGCTGAGAGGGAAGTTCGAAGAGAGCACTCTCGAGATCTTTGTGATGACCACAGCAGCCAAAATGAACGACCAAGGACACTGACTGATGATGGGTTTACCGTTGAGATGGGAGCGGTCAGGAGTCGTTGAAGTCGGTGGGGGCAAACGGGAGTTTCTTTGTTTCTTTTATATTGCAGCTGATGCAGCTGATGTGCCTGATGTATCCACCGCAAGTGTCTCCGCCCATTTGCCGGGCCATTGTCAGCAAATCCATTCCCCAGGGCGTCCAGATCCTGGCGTGAGGCCGAAACTGCGGCTGACTTCGCTCCTTGATGGACGACGTGAGGCCAGCGAAAACAAGGCTTAGCGGTTCAAGTAGGGAGTACACATGCAACAGGTCGAAGCACATGAGCAGCGATGTTATGGACATTTGCAATGCTATCTACTACAGAGAGACGGCTTTGTATGAGCCGAGGGTTCTCCCAAGCTGGCCACCATCAGAGCCTTCTGTGTCGAGACTCTACTCCAGATCACGATAGACACAGCGCTTGTCTCATGGCCTTTGTGAGCTCGGCCTGAGGATCAGAAACGGGTCTCCTCTGGCGCCACGCCACAAAGTCATCTGGCCGCACAAGTATCGCGCCTCCAGACGAGATGCCTGCAACAGATTCGAATCTGCCCTTTTGACTGACCAGATCGTCTGCAGGGCCGGCACAATATGCGGCAATGTCGACGTCCATGGCTAAAGACACTTTCTTTGCTGCTTCCACCCATGGCCTGCCGCCTGCCCCGGCAAATAACACGAAGGTCTTGCCACACAAGTCGAGGGTCGAAACACGTTTCCCCCGGTGCTCAACCCATATGTGAGGAATCCGACTTCCAGGTCGCCCATCGATTGAAAGCAGCAGGCTCGGCAAGGTCCACGGCCTCCAGGTCAATCCTCCCAAGGGAGAGGTATCCTCTGCGCAGATGGCATGACTTGCGTAATAAGCTCCGTGGCCGGAAAGCAAACGACACCCCTTGAACACGACTAGCAGTATCGTAAATGGCCCTTTTGTTGATATAATTCCTTTCTCATCAGCCATGCTTGCAGAATATTCTGCAGCTGCCCTTCCGACAGGAATCCGCTCCACATCGTATGTCTCGAGCAAGGAATTGTTGGCATGTCCTTGGAGGACTGCAGAGAGCTTCCAGGCGAGGTTGTGGACGTCTGCGATGCCCGAGTTTGCACCCTGGCCTCCCCACGGCGGCATCTGGTGTGCTGCGTCCCCCGCAAGGAAGATACGACCGTGTTGCAGTTGCTCTGCAATCCGCACTGACGGCTTCCATGGGAGGATACTCTTGATTTCTATCTCAATATCCGGGATACCCAGCGCCAAGCGTAACAGCTCTTTGCATTTTTCGGGTGGGAAGTCTGAAGGTTGCTCGCCCTTCGATGGATCATATAAAAGATGGAAGACCCAGCGGTCGCTGTTGTTGATTGATGTGAAGAGGCCGCTGACTTCGGGGCGTTCAACCTTACAGAGAGAAAACTCGCGTTCTTGGACAAGCGATTTGAGGTCGGCGTGGAAGAGGATATTGAGCAGATGGCCCATAGTTCCCTGCCCGGTCGTTGGAACCTTGAGTCGTGTGCGGATTGGGCTCTCTGCACCGTCAGCAGCGATGAGATAGCGTCCTCGAACGGTCGAATTGACCCCGGTATTCCGATCCTTCAAGACGGCGGTAACGCTATTGTCATCTTGCTCAAGACCGATACATTCCGTATTGAACCTTACATCCACTCCCCGCTCCTTTGCAACATCCAAGAGAACTGGTTCGATCATATCTTGAGTGACAAATGTCCCGGTGACCGGGCTCAGTGGTGCAAGGATCCCACCCAACGGGAAATTTCTGATAACTCCGGAGCGTGGTTTGGGTTCAATGACCTCCCTGAGGGAAGCACCACTATAGATACCCTTGCTCGGTGACAATGACGCACCAGCTTCATGGACAAGTCCCTCGATTCCAAGCCGACGGTAGAGCTCCATAGTTCGTGCATTGACACTTCGCGCACGCGGATGGATCGATGCCCCTTTATGACGCTCAACCACCATGGAATGTATGCCGTGGTGAGCGAGAAAATTGGAGGCAGAGAGGCCTACAATGCCGCCGCCAATGATTATGACGGGGACATCTGTTTCAGAGGACATTCTGCTAGGTGTTCAGGTGTAGGGGTTATCAATCTTGTACCATTTCTCCGTATGGCGAGGATGCCATTGGCATTGATGGAGCGAACAGCTCGAGGGAATAACACATCCTTATAGGGAAGCGACGCAAAGGGTAGGAACGAGGTTTGCTCGATCATGGAGTCCTTTGGACAAGTCCATCAGGCTCCAGTGATCGAGTGACGACAAGACTGTCATTCAACCCAATGACGGACGTTTTGACTTGGGCACTCTGATAGGACCCGAGCTTTAGCACGCTCGGGCCCGAAATCAGCTCCGCTCGCCACAGCTGCTACCTTGCCTGTTCCTGCTTTTAGTTTCACATCGCCTTGCCAGAATTCACTTACTGACCTTATAACCCCGCTTTGGGTATATTCTAGACGCTCTTCTAGACGCCGAGTCTTCAGAATGGCATTGTGCTCGAGTCTCTAGTGGCAGGGCTAAATGAGTGTCAATGTGCGGAGAAGCCGAACACAGTTGCGCCGCTGACAAGGCTGTGAAAAAGGGGGAGTTCGGTAGCTGCGAGGAACCGAGTCGACAACCAGTAATCTTAGTCCGGCTTCGCTGTGTCAAACAATTGATTTGGTCGTCTATCGGTATCTAGTGAATATATGGACATCCGAGCCGAGTCGAGCGACTGAGCCGCGACAAGGTCATGCCCTTGCGATGAGATTTCCTGGGGTCATCCGCGGTGGAATGAACGCCGAGCGATAAGTCGCCTGAAGGACATCATTGAGAGTGTATCTACCGGCTCTTTCGACATCAGAGAGCATCGTTGCCAGAGGAGTCCGCAGATGACTCGGGTTGTATATACAACCCGAGTAGATAGTGAAGTGAAACAAGGGTGGGGTGCTTGATAGGCTTCTCAAGGTTGATGTGCCTGACAGAGTCTTTACAACTGCCTCAGATATGTGAGTGGTGCTTGTTGGTGAGACGAGGCCGATCCGATCTTTGACTTGCATACAGCTTGCTGGCTGCTGCTGGTCTCGTCGTGAACCAGAGGTGGGCATCGGGTCGACCTCCACGGGAGCTGGACTGGAGAGTGCGGGTATGGATCCTTTGCTCTACCGTTCTGCCCCACCGTACTGGACCTTTCCACAATGGGCAATTCATCCACCTCGCTGTGTGGAGTAAATTTTGCTGTCGAGGATCGTCTCCAAAAAAATTTGGAACAGCGAATTCGAACGTCCCTCCCAGTCGCTCAATTTCCACACCGCAGCCTTCATAAGTCTGCGATTTCACCCGGTATGGCGAAGAAGAGCAAGCTACTGGCTGCCCTAGATGCCCACAAAGGGCGAGATTATCAGGCAGAAAAGAGGAAGGCGCAAGTGAAGGCTGCAGACAAGCGGAAAAGACAGAAGCTGGAGACCGCGAAGCAAGACGACGATGGAGAGGAGCTGACGAACGGGAAAGAGAAAAATGGAAGCGAACAGCCGCGTCTAGATGACGATTTTGCCGCATTTGCAGAGGAGGACAACAGCGGAGACAAAACAGCAGATGCAGATGATCAAAACGAGACCGCCGTCAATGCAATCAACGGTGGTGCCGCTCCCACGATATCACAGCCAGCCCAGCCCGTCGACGCCTCGGCTTCAGAAGCAGAAAATGAATCCGACGTGCCCGTCTCTGATCTCGAGGACTCGGACCTAGAAGACACGATCCCATACCAAAAGATGACCATCAACAACGGTCCCGCCCTGCTCGCCGCTCGCAACCGTATCTCCATCATTAAAACCCCCCGATCCACGCCCTTTCACTATCACAACTCCCTGATATCAGATCTCCCGCCCACCTCACAATCAGTCCCGGACCCGAACGACGACCTCACGCGTGAACTAGAATTCTATCGCATCGCCCGAACAGCCGTCGTGACGGCGCGGGACCTGCTACTCTCCGAGAAGATCCCCTTCTCCCGTCCCGCAGATTACTTTGCGGAAATGGTCAAGAGCGATGAACACATGGGCCGCGTGAAGCAGAAGATGTATGACGAGGCGGCGAACAAGAAAGCTGCAGAGGAGGCGCGCAAATTGAGGGACGCCAAGAAATTCGGAAAAGCGGTCCAGGTCGCCAAAGAGCAGGAGAGGGCGAAGGAGAAGAGAGACACGCTTGAGAAGATCAAGGAGTTGAAGAGGAGTAAGTCGGATGTCCCACGCCACTAGACACTTTTGTTGTTTGCATGATGCTAACATACTTCCTCTCCCCGTAGAACGCAAGGGCGCCGACACCGGCAAAGTGACCGAGGGCAACCTAGACGATGACCTCTTCCAAAACATCGACGTGGAGAATCCGGCCGTGAAGGATCGGTCAGGCCGTGACCGGGGTCCCGGCGGTGGCCCCAATCCAAAGAGGCAGAAGCGCGATCAGAAATATGGCTTTGGTGGTAAGAAACGGCACGCAAAAAGCGGTGATGCTATCAGCAGTGGCGATCTGCGCGGATTTTCTGCAGCCAGGATGAAAGCCAAGGGCGGAAAGGTAAAAGCAAAGAGGCCCGGGAAGAGCAAGAGGGCGGCTGCTCGGTGATACTTGAAAACATGACACGACTTGCGGGAAGAACCATGAAAGCGGAAAAGAACCGTTAACGCGGTTGATTCTCTACGGAGATACAATGCTATATAAGAGCACATGGGGTATCACAATCACACGGACAAAGACAATGCGAAGACTCCCCAACCCAGCACAGCCATCGGATCCAGAACGCCTTCCCTAAATGCTTGTGGTAAAGGTCCCAGGTTGCGCGCGTCAAACAACCCACTGCCCCAGGAATGCTTGCAGATGGCCCGTCTGATGCTGCCGACCAACACGCTTAGCCTCTTGAGCAACCAAGTCGAGCATTTCTTGTGCCTCCGGTCCAGGTGGTAGTTCAGGCAACGCGTCCGGATCCGGATGGCCATTGAGCTGTCGACTGGGACTATCTTCGCGACCGGGTCCCGAGTCTGCCATAGCTTCTCTCATCCTGCTGGGTGGCAGAAGGCCAACTTGCCGTCGAGCTACTGGTGATGAAATGGGAACGTCACTCATCACTTCGTCGTCGTCCTCTTCCACGACGCCTCTTGCGCGCTTGTGCGATTTGCTAGCCCCACTGGGACGAAGCACCGACTTCATTCGGTGCCGCTGCGGTTTCCCACCGCCTGGTTTGCGAGGTGTCTTCATCGTCTCATCCGCTACCACGTCGGCAAGTGTGGCTTCCAACTCATCGTATATTCTCCGGGTGGACCAATTGAATTTCTTTCGGAGCTTTGCTTCATTCATTAGTTTCAGTAAAGGTTCTGCTGAGCGCTCAAAAGCGGCCACTGCCTCTTCGTGCGAACCATCGAACGCGGGAAGCTTTTGTAGCTCCGTGGCGGCCTCGTCAATCCCACAGTGTCTCATATTGAAGTTGGCTGACTTTCGGAGGATGTTCAGCATATCCCATATAGGCTTGGTCCAATCAATGGGCTCCGGCTTGGTTTCGGTCACACTGCTAGAGGCTGCCTCGGAACTAGATTCGGTTTCGTCATCATCGGATCCTTCTGAAGTGCCCTCTCTTTCCTGATGTGATCCTTCCTCTACTGCTTCATCATCATCGGCATCTTTCTCCTCCTCCTCGTCCTCCTCGTCCTCCTTCGCCTCCTCTTCTTCCTCCTCTTCCTCTTCTTCTTCCTCTTCTTCTGATGTATCGGAAACCTCTGGCAGGCTATTATGATTCGCTCTTGCCAAGGTCACCTTCAACTCCTCCAGCTCGTCGGGGTAAGTCTCAGCCAAATGTTTCCACAGATATGTCTGAGACCAATCGATCCCTTCTCTCTCTTCAAGCATCTGCCTCAGAAGGAAGCGGTGATGTTTATGAATCGTCTCCATGGCTTCGTCATCGTCATTAATCCTGTAACCCGTGTGCTTCTGGTATGCGGTGAGAAACGGGTCGATCATGAACCCCACCGTCTGGCGTTTCCGTGCAAGCTTCTGGTGCTGATCGACCATGAAGTAAAACAAATCAATGGCCTCTAACGTGTCGTTGTAATGACTCAGATAGCGATCTGAGGGTGAAATCTCATACCAGCCTGCCTTGCCTGCAGCCCAAATGACAGGCTTCGCATTGTCATCTTGACCAAAGCTGTAATTCGTAACGTTGTCGATCTTTATTCGTGCATATAACGGCTCCTCTATCAAGGCTAGGAGGTCTCATCAGCACCCCTAAAGGTACAAAAGGCAGAATATTCCATACCGAGATGTTCCTGCTCGTCGTCCAAAGGCATCAATTCCCCCACGACACAGAGTGGTGTCTCCTCCGAAGCCTGCAACAGGTCTGCATATCGGCCTTTTCCTTGGTAGAAGATTTTTGTTTCTCGCAATGCGAAATCCGGCCAGTCATTGACATCATCGGGGACGGGATCGAGGGGTTTTAGAACTCGTTCTTCAGGTAGGGTGGACATGTCCAAACGAAGATGCGAGGTTCATGCTGTGTGTGTGAGGAACTGCGCTATAGAGCAGGTAAGGCTCGGGATCTAATCGTCATCTCGCAGACGACTGTCACTAAGAATGATCAGGAAGTGTCGTTGGTGCAGTTGAGCCGTGGTTCGGAGGGGGTGGCAGAAATGAGCGACGCGCATCCATGTTGGGTGAGCAAAGAGCTGGAGGCTGGAGGCTGGTGGTGGGAGTCAGAGCCACGGCTAGAGAGGAACCCAAGGGCTCTGATTGGCAGCGCTAAGATTTAGCATCTGGGGCTCACGTGGGGCTCCACTAACTTTTCCGTGTCCCCATTCCAAAGCCTTTCTCGAAGGCTGCGCTTCGTTTGATTTCTTGAATGGAAAACGTCAACCCATTGTGTTGGCAGCAGTACTCCGTAATGTGCGGTGCTTCGATTTGAAATTTTCTCTATTGCATGAGGCCATCTTTCATTCTCAAGATGGCCCAGCCATCAGGAAAGGTCCTCGAGGGTGTCTTTGGTGAGGCCAATTCCTCTCCTCAGATCCTCCCCATTGTTTCACCGTCCGTGCCCTAACTGGTGACCGTATTCTGTTAGCAATCAGCAAGCCACCCAGCATCTCTTCCGCTCAAGTCCTTCGAGATCTGCAGCACAAATTTGCAGAGTCTAAAACCTTTGCCCCCCTGCTCGACAAGACAAGAAAAACACTAGAAGAACAAGAGCGACACCAGCCAAAGCGCCGGAGAAAGAGTAATGACCAGATATTCAAGATGGGCCATGGTGGCACCCTGGACCCTCTGGCAACTGGTGTCTTAATTGTTGGACTCGGCAGAGGGTCCAAATCTCTTTCCGACTTCCTCGGTTGCAAGAAGACATACGAGACGGTTGTTTTATTCGGGAAGAGCACCGACACCTACGACATTATGGGGAAAATAGTGGCAGAGTCTCCAACTGAAAGCATCACTAAACAGGTAGTCGAAGACAGACTGACAGGATTTCGGGGCAAAATGAAACAGATACCGCCGATTTACAGCGCAATTAAGATTGATGGCATGAAGCTGTACGAGTATGCTCGAAGCGGCAGGGAATTACCCAGAGAGTTAGAAAGCCGGGATATCGAGGTCTCCGACTGCACACTGCTTGATTTTTACGGCCCCGGAGAGCATGACTTCAGGTGGCCGGCAGAGGAAGCGAGCGACGAGGAAAAAGCTGTGGCCCGGAAGCTTATGGCCGGAGCCGAAGCGACAAAGAAGTCCATGCAGCAAGAAGCAGCGCCTACCAGCCCCAGAAGCCCTTCTAATGGGAGGTACCGAGAACAACGCGAAAGCAACAACCTATCCCCCGACAAGAAAGCTGAGCTGCATACTCACCATCTTCCGACACAGGAAGCTCGACCTGCCAATGCCCCAGCGGCTCGCATCCGCCTGACCGTGAGCAGTGGCTTCTACGTGCGTTCATTTGCACATGATCTCGGTGTGGCTTGTGGCTCCTATGGGACAATGGCGGCACTGGTCCGAAGTAAGCAAGGCGACTACACCACCATCGACCCTCCTCCAGACGGCTTCGTGCCTGCCCTCACATACAACGATCTGGAAGCCGGCGAGGATGTGTGGGGCCCAAAAATTGTCGAAGTACTGGAGAAATGGATGGAGAAGCATCCTGCTTCTTCCAACGACAATAGGCCCGACAACCGCGATCGATCAAATAGAGATTATCACCCCAAGAGGTTCAATGGTGGCGGGCGGGAGGACAACCGGGCTAAGAGGAGTTGGACCGGTCAGAGACGTTGGGAAGGGCCAAGTAGATCGAGACGGCGCAACAGCTCGTCACCAGAGCTATGAGCTCCTGGCTATGTAGGGAGGACAAGGCAATTGGCACCAATGCACATCTATCTGCAAATACCAAACATGGAATCCTCCCGCCCTCACCAAAAGACCCCAATGACGTATGCCAAGGCACCCCATGCATTTGCCGATCTGTTCCCTTTCCGCCTGGCCAGGCTGAGGCGGCGAGGCGGAAAAACTCATGCAGGTACGAAGTGCGCCTCAGCTCGCATTCTTTTCAGGTTTGCTTCTCGCTCACTCAGTCGTGTGCCTGCGATCTTCTCCCTTCCATTACTTTTTGTGGCGTCGCACACTCGCCCTGCATTTATTATGTTTGCCTGATCTCATCCACACTCTTTTTTTTGGGCACTGATTCCTGCACATTCGTCTCTGCCCGCTGTTGTCGCTCAATATGGGGTCCTTGCCTGCGGAGTCTCGACCCTTGTCGTTCGCTGCCTTGAAGGCCAAAAAGGCCCCTCTCAGGATTGCCACCAAAGTTGTCACTGTAAACTCAGCCGCGAAGCCTATCGCCAAATCTGTACCGTCTATCTCATCCTCCAGACCTACTGCCTCTCAGAAAACTCTCAGCAACGGACATTCCCGTTCTGCGAGTACGCCTCGGAAGTCAAGCACTCCAGTCTCCGTGCGTTCAAGACAAGGCAGTGGAGAGCCGATCGAACGGTTGAAGAAGGAAAGACAAAACCGGACGAAAAGAGCATCTCCTGCCGTGTCGACGCCGAGATTGACCAGTTCCGATGACGAGAGCGAAGAGGACGATGACAAGCCTAGAAAGCGGATCCGTCTCGATCGCAAAGAGAGCATAGACGAGAAACGCAAGGTTAGGGATCTCAAAGCATTCTCCCAGGAAGATGGCATTGGCTTTCACATGGTGCACGCCTTCGATATTGCGAACAGCGGTCTCATCGAGCATGGTCGAGACAAGTACGAGGCGTTCTTCACAGCCTTGGAAGGGGATGAGGATGAATGTCCCACGATCGAGCTTCAGTATCCGACTTCTCTGCAGACCGAGAAATACCAGTTGGTCAAACCTACGGACACTTCTGATTTTAAACCCCTTGATGAAATTGAGGCAACCATGAAAATCGTCGCGGAATACTATCTCGACAGCGAGTCCGCGGAAAAAGTCACTAGCGACGATGGCTCGGGCCTTGTACAACAGCTGCACCGGCAAGCCTTGCTTGGGATGAGAGGGCGTGTTGGAGCCCAGTCGAAATACGTCAACGTGGTGGAGAAATTCAACGCACTGGTGGCTGACAAGCGCAAGGACGGTACGATCGCAGAGAAACTGGATCAGATGCGCCGCGTCGATCTCAGGTTGGTGGAGCACATCATCAAAAACCAAATCTATGCTCGGACAGTGTCGCCTCAAGTCAATCTGGTCAGACATTATGAAAGCTTCTCCGACAATGTCTATGGAGAACTCTTACCCAAATTTCTCAGTCGCATATTCAAAGAGACGAACCTCAGGTCCGATCAGGTATTTATCGATCTCGGATCTGGCGTTGGAAATTGTGTACTTCAAGCTGCGCTGGAGACGGGAGCAGACTCATGGGGCTGCGAAGTCATGGACAATCCCAACACTTTGGCCCAGCTTCAGGCCGACGAGTTCCCTGCCCGATGCCGGCTGTGGGGCATCAAACCTGGTGAAGTCCACCTCATCCACGGCAATTTCCTGACCAACGAACAAGTCCGGCAAGTTCTTAAACGAGCAGACGTTGTCCTAGTCAACAATCAAGCCTTCACTGCCGAATTGAACGACAAGCTGAAGTACGTCTTCCTCGACTTGAAAGAAGGATGCCATATCGTCAGCCTGAAACCCTTCCGGTCCCCAGCACACAAGATCAAGGATTCAAACGTGAATGATCCCGTCAATGTGCTGACGGTCGTGGAGAAGGAGAGATGGAGCTCGATGGTCAGCTGGACAGATGATCCGGGGAAATGGTATCACCACCGCAAAGATTCTAGGGAGCTGAACGCGTTTGTGAAGAGTATGGGCGGGCTCGAGAACTGTTAGAAGCGAACAATACCTCGGAGATCCAGAGCTATTGTCAGGTAGAGGGCATGATTTTGGCATCGGGAAGGTCTTTGGTTTACTTGAGTTTGAAATGATCTGATGACAACTGCATAGCGCCGGAGTATTGAGAGCACCATGCTTCGGCCCCCTTAGGACGAAACGACAAACGGCTGAAATGTGATTCACTAATGGCCTGGTGCCATTGGATAGTCTTGGAATTAATTCAACACTCGTTCAAATAGTCCACACTGTGTCATCCACGTATCAGTAACTCAGATGCAACCCAGTAAGACGCGAAAGGGGGATTGCCTCGGTATGACTTACGATTCAGTGGGTTCTTCAAAGGTATCCTCACACCGCCGGGGTCAAAGATGGGTCCGGCCTTTTATCCAATCCGTAGCTCCAATATCAGCATTCTGATATCTGAATTACGGCGGTCGAGGCTGGTGTAAGAGGCAATCGGAAGCTCTCTCAATGCCGCGCGCACCCTTCAGGACCCCGCAGGCGAGGCATTGCTTCTTTTCCGCCTCTTCGAGATTTAATGGCAATGCTCCCGCTGAGGATAAGAGTAGAAGCAGAAGGTAATTTGAGAAACCAGATCTTGACATCAGCCAAACTTGCCCTCTTCATTCATCTGTTCGGCTTCCTTCCCCTTGATCGCCATCAGTCGATCGACGAGCTCCTGGTTGTCCTTCTGAAATTTCTGTGCTTTCTCTTCCGCCATGTGGAGCTCTAAATTCAGCGTGACGTTCTCATCCTGGACATCCTCTATCAGTTTGGCCTTGCCACGTAGTTCTTCGTCGCGGTCTCTCAGCTTAACGGTCAACTGCGAGACGGAGGTGTTAAGTTGTGCGATGCGCTTGCTGTCCGCTCTGGTTTTTCCTTTCAACGTCTCGAGCTCGCGGAGTGCGGTGTCAAGACGGGATTGTAAGTCGGCACGCTCAATCTGGGCTTTGGCCAGGTCTTGCCTCAACTGGGCAAGGGTGGTGGCCGTCGCTGAAGGAGAGTCTGGACGGGTCGCCTGACTCGATGGGGAGGTGACTCTCCTTATGCCCCATCCGGGAGATGTGACAGGCTCCGGTACAGGTGTGTTTTCCGATGGTGACGACCTCTCTGTAAGCCTGGCCTTTTTCTGCAACTCGGCCCTCTCATCTGCTAGCTTGGTACAGTACTCGTAAAGTGCAAGGTTGGCCTTCTCGACACGATCTCGAGCCTGCAAGGCTGCCAGATATTGCTCTTTCCATGTTGCCATGATTGACCCGGTCATCTAACGTAAGGCATTCTGAACTCGTTCCATTCAAAGCATGAGGTTAGGCAAAACGAGTGAAGGTAGTTGGAAGGAGACGAGAAATCTACAAGTGAGAAACGTATTCAACATTCAGCACGCGGTTCAGACAAACGAATGACAAAAGAACATGGCGGCAGGTGGACCTGAGACGGGCACGACGGGGTATTTGATCCCCGGCTGACCTTCCCGATGGCGAGACGTTGGTGGGAAGCGGTGGAAGCGCATGGTCAGTCGGTGTCTGAGGCTGGAGATGGAGAAGTGGCAGTCGGTGGCTGCTATGACGGCGACTCGACGGCTGCTGGAACCACTAGAAAGAACCATCGATCCCTCGATCGACTTGTCGCTGCCCTTCCACACCCTCTGATCCTCCAATCCTCCATCCCGACTTCTCAAGCTCCAAACTCCCACCTCCCAACAACCGCCTTCCGGTTGCCTTACAAGGTCATACGACTGAAAGCGCAGGCATCAGCCACATCCTCCTTAACTACAAGTACGACCTCGGGAACGACAATCGCCCTATCGCGTGACTCTCTAGCGGAGAACTACCTCTCAGATCAACACTATAAGTCCAACTGAGCCACCCCAGCAGCTTCTGTGACACCAGCACAAGGCTCGTCCTGTTCTTGCGCATAAGCCACAAACACATCAAGGGCAGTCATGGCGTCGAGGAAGAAGGTGTTATTGAAGGTAACTATTGCCCGCGCAGCTCGTTTATCGCATGTCAATTACGCAACTGACCATGGGCTTGCGCAGGTCATTATCCTAGGTGACAGCGGTGTGGGCAAGACCAGTTTGATGAATCAATATGTACGGTCCTCTCTGTTTGCCCTCACTCCCGGACTGGCGCCTTCTGACCTGTGTACAGGTGAACAAGAAATTCTCCACCTCCTACAAAGCCACGATTGGCGCCGACTTCCTTACCAAGGAAGTCACCGTCGATGATCGGATCGTGACGCTCCAAATCTGGGATACCGCCGGCCAGGAACGGTTTCAGTCACTGGGTGTTGCTTTCTACAGGGGAGCCGACTGCTGCGTACTTGTCTACGACGTCAATTCTGCAAAATCGTTCGAGACCCTCGATTCCTGGCGCGACGAATTCCTCATCCAAGCTTCTCCTCGCGACCCCGAGTCTTTCCCTTTTGTGGTATTGGGAAACAAGATCGACCTGGGCGAAGATAGAAGAATGGTGTCCCAAAAGAGAGCGCATGCCTACTGCCAGAGTCGTGGACAAATGCCATATTTTGAGACCAGCGCAAAGGAGAGTATCAATGTCGAACAGGCGTTTGAAGTTATTGCCAGAAACGCGCTGACGCAGGAGGAGAGTGAGGAATATGGTGGTGATTTTTCGGATCCGATCAACATCAACCTTGATCAGGAGAGGGACGGCTGTGCGTGTTAGAGGACGATTCGGGAGGGCACAGATCTGACGAGCTTCCGGATGGACGGCTTGGATGGAGTTGATGTCGGATTGGATGCGGCTATCCACAGGTACCGAATCGTGGATTCGGAAAGCTCTTTGCTAGAGATCTTCCTGCCTATTGGAAAGGGTACTCAAAGAGAGATCTGGGCATAAAGAAAGGGAGGGATGTCAGAATCTCTCGAGTCCCCGTTCGCTCGAATGCCATGCACGGCATCGGGTGCACTGGGGTCCATTGCAGGGACAATTCTATACGGCGTACTTGTTCTATGGTTTGCAGAGCCTTTGATTCTCGTGATAGGTTTGAGGTCTCTGGAGCAAGCGGATCGGCATGGCGTGTACAGATATACAACTACAGCAGCAATTGCATGTTGAACTCCCATCCGTTTCATCCCCCGCAGTCAGTGTAAACCCACTTCAGTCAGTCCATGTAATTCCCGAGCGCAGAAACTTCTTCCGACGCTGGGGAGGTGGAAGGAGAGGGCGGCAAATCGATCTGCCCTTCGCGAAGACAGCCAGCGGGCGCATTCGCCCGGCTTTACAATTCCAGAGTCCAGAAACGGGCCGTGGGAACGTGACGGGCGCGGGGACTTGCCGCCGAGTGCGCCATGGGAGAAGAAAAGAGGACAGGAGTTTGATAGCAAGACACTGAAGATGGAATTCGGGAAAGGCCCCGCCATTAGCAAAAGCGCAAACAAGACTGATAAGACGGACAGACAGACTCCTCCTGCCTTTCCCTTCCCTTCTCCCTTCCGTTGCAAGTTGAACAAACCCTGGCACTCGCTGTGATCGATTCGCATTCGCAAAAACATTGGACTCGAGAACTTTTTTTATGGTCGCGTGCTCGCCATTGCTGAATCCCTTTCAGCATCTATAACATCTCCCCCTGATACTTGTGCCTCGCTTCCACTCTTTCCACGTAACTCATTTCGGTCTTCCCCCTCTCATCTTGGGAAGACACCGCGCGCAGAAGAACGATGGAATGAGATGGCCGATATCCGGGTTTCACATTTTGGGGGTTTCCCTTTTTTTTGCACTGCAGTTCGCTCGCCAGATCTGCAAGCAAGGCTGACTTTCTGCTGTAGAGTGGCAAACAAGAGGAGCTTGAAAATTGTGTTTGTCAAGATTAGACACGAAACAGGAGAACAGTAATGAACTCCACTCGCACCAATGTCCGGTCATAAGAGTCGTGGATTGGAAACAACGTGCGCGGTGTGTCTTGCCAATGTCTTGGAGGACAACATAAGCAAATCAGCGATCCCTCCTCCAGTTCCTTCGAAATGCCCACACACGAGAAAAGCCTATCCAGTAAAAGATTTTTAAGGGGTTGGTGAGAAAGCAAATGAGCCCTCGGGTTCGCGCGACAGTCAAGTTGCGGACGAGAAAAAGGAAATCGTCAGAAGCTGTCGATAGGATCGTTGACAAAAAGGCGATTTTGTTGATGGTTCCCGCCCCTTCGAATGACATTGGAGTCAAATTGCCGCTGTTGGAACAAAGTATATCCTTCTCCCAAAGCCATTTCTACCATGCCCAGATTTTGAGCTACAAAACATGCGTCAGCCGAAGTTCTCCAAATTGGATCAGCAAAGATCAATGGGGACTTACAAGAGAATCCCATGAGCCAGTACATAAACTGATCCCATCGTTGCTGACTCCAAGGCAACTGACTCGGTTTTCATGACCGTTCAATGAACCGACCTTATCACCACGCAAGGTATCCCAGACCTAGATTTTTCGTCAGCTGTGAAAGCAATAGCGGTAAATCAGATTCTACAAACCTTGCATTCAAAGTCATCGTATCCTGCGAAGAGTAATCGGCCAGAAACCGAGAAAGCGACAGAAGTGATGCCGCAGAGAACTTGCTCATTCTGTCCAAGATGTCAGCCAGGGCATGGTAACAAGGACACCGACGGGGATCCCAAAATTTACCTGGTAAGACATTAGTTCTCGATCTGCCCGGATGTCGAACAGCCTGCACGAGGCATCGTCCGAGCCAGTTCCGAAGGCATTCCCATCCGGGAAAAATTGGATGGCGTTAATGTCAGATTCATGCCCGGCAAATGTTTGAACAGCTTTTCCAGTTCGAACGTCCCATAACTTGGCAAAGGCGTCGCAGGCGCCGCTCACGAAAATGTTGGCATTTGTTGGATTTATGCTGATGCTCATCACGTCGCCCAAATGGTCCGCAAACTCGGTGACTTTGGAGCCTGTCTCAATGTCCCACATCATGCAGGTCATATCACCCGACGAGGTGATGATTTTTCGGTCATTGACAAAACGACAGCAGGACAGGTATCCAGAATGACCGGATAGTTCGCGAGCCACACGCGTCGGGCCTTCCCTCGTGGAGAGGTTGTAAATTGAGCAAATGTTGTCAAGACCACCGCAGGCGACATAATTGCCGCTAGGGGCATAGGCACAGGTCATGACCCAAGAGGAACGGAGGGGGATAGCGTGGACCTTGTTGGTGGTATAGGCATCCCAGATAATGAGCTTGCCATCCTGAGACGCCGATACCAGATGCCTGCGATCCGTTGACCAGTGCATGGCGTAGATCTTTGCGAGATGGCCCTTGAGATTCCTTCGAGGCTTCATTCCTATCCGAGGCAAGGCTTCTGTGTTGTTGAGGGCGACTTGTCGCACTGCAGAGACCCGATTGATTAGCAATCAGCAAAGTGGTGGGCTCTCAGCCTGCGCATAAGGTCAACTCAAGAAAACGGCGTCAATCAACTCACAGCTCGTATCGGCCAAATCATCCTTCTTGCGCTTAATTCTATCTTTGAGGCCCTCTGCTTCTCTCCTGGCAGCTGTGATTTTGGCCTGCATCTGCTCTCCCGTCAAGTCGGTCGACATCGTGCCGCTCGGGGCCCTCGTCGGACCAGAGTACAGGGGGAGTTCGCAAGGAAGTCAGAGGTCAAAAGTCCAGCCTCGCTAGAGCGACGCGCACAGTCAAATGAATGTCTGTTCAGTGTCGAGACACGGTGGGCGATGAACGAGCGCAGGAGCTCCAACGAGCGAGGTATCAGGGATGAGGTGGATAAAATACTGGGGTGCCACAAGAGCTGCGATTGGGGGGGTTCGGGATCGCGGCAGAGTGCAGAGAGGATCGACGGCGAGAGGGAGGCAAGGTCGGGCAGGGATATCTTAGAGGAGACGAAGCAATTGACTGCCTGCAGAGCGGCGAAAAGTCGTCGACGAGTAGGTGGGTAGAAATTGAGGGCTTGGTGGTGGTGGTGGTGGTGAGGTCGGGTCACAGACTTGAAAAGGGCAGTCCTTGGGGGAAGGCGTGCAAAAGGAATGGAGGCCACAGTTGGAAGGTCCGGGTCTGGCTTCTTGGGGCTCGGGGCACCAGGGGGGTCCTTTGACTCTTGATTCTTGGTGTCTGGTTCGTTAAACTCCAAGTGGGGATTGTGTCGGTTCGGGGGGTTGGACTCCCCTGTTCTTTTCCCACTACGGCCGGTCTCAATTGGCGAGCGCAGGGCAGGGATTGCACTGTCCCGGAAGACGAGTCTGAGGGTCTTTGCTACCAGTACGAGGAGTGACAAAGGGACACACAATCCAACGATCTTCAAACGTCAACCAACCCATCACCACAATCCCATCACCCAACTTCGGGTCAGGTGTCCATCTTTTTCGGCTCTACAGGTTACAGATCGCCGCTGTCACCACCTTTCCAATCCCTTTGATCGAAACCTCTCCCCGCCCGGGTTAGCCTCGATGGTCAACAACTTGAATGCAGCACATAGGGGGTCTGCAGGCCAATCCACGGATGCGGCACACACAGACAAAAAAGAGCCTGAGAAAACATGTCAAATTCTCCTAGACGAGATCCTAGCGAACGATACCTCCCTCCCTCGGCTGGCCCTCATTGCTACTGGCTCTTACGGGGGCCCCGATTGCTGCGTTAGTTCAACATCGAGCTGGCCCGGGGGAAGACTGCCGGGTGGCCCTCAAGCTCCGAAGCGGCGCACCGGCCTCAGCCAGGCAAGCCAGGGATATGAATTGCCAATCCAACATGCAGAAACCCGCCTGAGAATTGGGGACAAAATTGGGAAGCGAGAACAACTCAGGCAAAAGAGAAATTGCCCGGCCGCGTCTAATGTGGGCTAGAGATAAGTTGGTGCAACGCCCGATCCCCCCGTTTTTACGACGGTATCCGCTCTTGCAGCAAGGAGGCAGAGATGAGGTGCGCCTTCGAATCCGCTTGCAGCCCTCCCATTCAGCCTGGTGCTCTGTTCTCCATGCCAGAGGCACTTGGACGCTGATCCTCCCACCCACTATCGGTCCACTAACTGCGCTAGGTTTGGACATCATCCCCACGGGCTTATCGTTGTGTCCACTGCCTGCGTGCTGTTCCTGTCAACTCTCATGGCTGTCCACCTCCGATGCCAGCCTTTTTCTCTGCACCGTGCACACGTTGTCGGAATAATAGCTTTCATGACGAACTCCGTTGAAGGTCCCTTTTTCAACAACGGAGGTACCCCAAGCACCTAGTTAGGAGGATCTACACGTTGCTGATCTCTCCGTCTCTACCACGAACCACACGTGGCTTTCGCTAATCTATCAGTGATGAATTTCACAACAGTCGGGAATGGGTTCCTCATAGCAATCGTGAAAATGTTGGGAGAGAAGACTCGAAAAAAGGGAGCATTTGACTGGATAACAACTTCCATTCGCAGGGCCAAGCTGGCGCTCACAAACCCTTCATCGTGGGAGTCGTTGACGCTCTCACACCCATGACAGGTCTTCTAGCTGCAGTTGCAGGGACCTTCTTGAGCGAGTTCTAGCCACGCAAACCAAATGCTAACACGACCTATTCCCATAGAGGAGCCAGCAAACTCATTCCTCAATCGCGATTCTTGTTTGTATGAGACGGCGAATTTTAATCTCGCCGAAACAGCGGCCTTGTCTCTCCCTGATCCCAGCTTGCCTTGGGTTCTGGAAATGCAAATGCTGCAAACTCAGCAAACGTGGCAAACGGATATGAGTGACCTGCTATCCACTCTGCTTCTGCTCGCTGGCAACCACTCCTTAATTACGGTTCTCTGTCATCTTCTTCCGGGTATTGTTTATTTTTCTTCCGAAGCAGCTCTCTCTTCCTTATTTGCTTAATTTGTCACTCTCCACAATGTTCTGGACCATCGGCTGCATTTACGGGGCATCCTCCGTGATGCTTGGTGCGTTTGGAGCCCACGGGTTGAAAAAGCACATCAGTGACCCAGCAAGGCTCGCAAACTGGTCGACCGCTGCTCAATATCAGGTAACCCATTGAGCATTGGATCGAAATGACATGGACACTTTCTGACATTGTTCCTTCTGGACAGTTGATTCACAGCGGCGTACTTCTTCTCGCAGCAGCTGCTGCCCCAAAGAACAAGGTTTGTGTTTTCATGCCTCAGGCGAGGTCTTGATTCTAAGCAGTCTGACAGGTTGCTGCTGTACTCTTCACTGCTGGGATGACGATGTTTAGTGGTAGCATCTATCTGCTCGTTCTAGACCCCCAGCGTTTCAAGGCTTTGGGACCTGTAACTCCGCTGGGAGGCATGTGTTTGATTGCCGGATGGGCAGCTCTCGCGTTTGGCAGCCGAGGTCGATTTGTTCAGTGAAGCAGTATGAATATAAAGGGAGTTTTGGGTTGGGTTCTTTATGTATCAAGTCTTACCGGAATACTCATCTCTGCACTACTACTGCTACCACTACCACCGTCGATTTCACAACATTCTCGCTAGATCTCCATCATCCCCTTCTCATGCCTTTGCACTCAGTGCTTTTTCCACCTCCAGCAAATTCCTCGCAGTATCCGCGACAGTCGTTTCAAAGGATCGATACGTCACCCCCAGCACCTCCCGCGACGACGAGTTGTCGATCTTGAAGGACCCCGCAGGTAAGGCGTGCTGGCCTGGGTGGCCAAGCGGGATCTGCCCGTCGAGCTCCGGAAACTCCTTTCGCAGAATGTCGCAAGTTTCCTGGTTGCTATTGCTGCCGGGAGTGATGAGAAACCGACGGCCCCCGACTCCGGGAGCAAAAGCAGCCTGGTAGTGCGCGAATGACAAGTCCTGCAGGAATAGACAAGTTAGCCCGCGCGAAGCTGTCAGAGGAGTTCCGTCGTGGCTTACCCGAACATCGACAAAGACGTGCAGAGTGTCCTCTGGGACCGAAGCCCCTTTCTCAGAGGTCATGAAGTTCCAAAGAACCGTGTTCGATGTGTTTAGATCGCTCATGGAATCGATGCTGTGCTTGAGGGGACCGTACACGATGGGCGGGTTGAGGACGACGAGTTCAAAGCTCGGTTTCTCCGTCTTCATGAACTCCCAGGCTGCAAGCGAATATGTCAGTCTTTTGACAAGTGACGCAGGGGCTCGTTTGTTTGAAATGGTTCTTTGACTCACCTGCCTCCTCTGCAAGCTTCTTGCTTGCCCAATACGCCAGTCTCAAATCGCCTGAGTATCCCTGCTCCTTGGTCACCGGGTTCCACACCTCGGACGAATACACTCTGCCGTTCCCTTGGAGATCCAACGGGTTCCCGATTGCCGCAAAGCTGCTGGTGATGACAAGTCGTTTGAGGCCTGGGGCATACTTGGCGGCGGATTTCAGGATTTCCGTGGTGCCGTGAATGGCTGGGTCGATGAAATCCGCGGTTGTCTTGGCTTCAGTGTAGTTGAAGGGGGAAGCGGCATGGATAATCACGTCGAGGGGTTGGGCGTCCTTGATGCACTGGTCGAAAGCCCCCGGCGCCGTGATGTCTGGCACGATGGAGAAGTCGAGCCTGGATCTGTCAAAGCCGGGGAAGTCCTTCATGACTCTCTTTGCTTTGGCGTCGGTTCGAACCACGGCCTGCACGAAGCATGACTTTTCCAGGAAGAGGGACAGGAGATGACTTCCAATAAACCCGTTGGCGCCGGTCAACAAAACCCGGGGTGTCGCCATCTTGAGCTTCGGTATTGTTGGATTGACTTCGTGTTGGAGATTTGGTATTCGAGAGTCCGAGGGTCGAGCTGCTGCGGCTTGCTTGGACTTGGGATGCTCCTCGAAGACATTGCTCGTCGACTTTATACCTAGACGACCAGCCTTGAAGCCGAAGAGCATTCATGCAAGATCAAGGAGATACGAACTCCTCCCCGTGCCATGCTTGAAGCAATGACAAAGGCACATGAATAATCAGGCAGGCACAGACTTTGCAATAGAGCATTCTTCTAAACACCACACCCGTATATGACGTGGTTTGTGTCGCTGAAACAGGAAAGCAACTCGATCTCGGCGGCTTCCCGTCGACGGTTGACTCCATTTCCATTGCAGAAACGACCATATATGGACGCCGATCACGAAACCAAACGTCACTCTCCTCACCTGATACTCAGTGCTAGACTAGAAACATTGGTGGGAGCCGGCAGCAAACGGTGCTTGCCAGAACCGCTGGTGTTGTGTGCGGTGCGCGCTGCCCGCAGCCTTGCGGAGGTTCCTTTATATCCGCCAATTCCGGGTCAGCGAAGGCGGCGATGCGCGGGCACGCGGCCGCTCGAATCGGCCTAACTATACGACCGAGTCAGAAGGACTACATAAAGAGCGCAGTCGGTGCCGCATGGAAGACGGGGTGATGGTACTCCTGGTCAACACCTTTTTGTCAAGCAACGCATGGCGGAAGGGGGAAAAGGATCAGATGCAGTTGTTGGGTGACCGAGCGCTTCTCAACCGGACCCTGGTTCGTAGGATATTTGGCTTCAGTCAATTGTCCCTGAGGGTATGTCGACTTGCACCGGTGGACATGCAGCCTCAATGAGAGTATCAGGTCGATGGCATGGCTCTGCACATGTCGGATGGCACGATGGACAGAACGATACGTCGACGAAGCGCTCTTGGATCGACCTGCATCCCTTGGGCGTGCATGATCAGAGCATTGCCTTACATGAACACGAGAAATGGCACAGGAAATAGCGCAGTTCAATACAATTTTTCTCTGTCGGCAGCAAACATCCGGACATGGCTATCAACATGAGCCATCAGGTAACTAACAACTATATGGAAGAAGATCTACATCGAGACCATCAGCATCCAGAGAGGGTATTGGCGATTGGCCAAATAGCCGCTTCGAAACAGCAACCAGCCCCCATTCTCGTACCCAGCGATCGGGCCAAAAATAGGCCTTCGAGCGAGTCTCGAGGTATCCAACCTATGATGATCAAAGGTGCATTCCTGTTGGACCACGTCATATGCAAAAGTTTGGAGAAGTGTTTCCTCTGCATAGTTTCCAGGGAGCTCATCAAAAAAAATATCTCAATGCGCAGGGGTAAAAGGAACCAAACATAGGAGGTGAAGAACAGACTGACCAATGCCCAGTCCGCGGGATCAAAGTCCACAGGGATGAGGGGGCGAGAACCTGAAGATCAGGTCCAGACCTCGGGCAACAATGGGCTTAGACCTTTGGCAGACCTCTGGCACTGACTCTTGTACAGCACTGGCCACAAAGTGACCTCTCATACCACGAGCAGCAAAGCAGACAAAACATTTATCGCGAGAATAACGGACAAAGCAAAGGACATCCGTCAGGAGGCTGGCCAACGCAGAACATACCAGTGACATAGCCACCCCCGGGCTCCGTCTTGATTGGCGATGGGTACCATTGCCACAATAGCATTCCAGGCTCGGCAGAGATTTATTCAGTCTGACTAATTGCTCGCCGCTTGGTGGTCTTTCGGGAGAAGGTCGAGAAGCATACGTCAAGCACATGGCGAGCCAGATTGTTTTGGCTCTTATTTATCCAAGTGTCTTTCAGGTTGAACGAAATATCTGACTACCGTGGACAATCAATTTCGGGGCTGTCGAAATCGATGTGGCTGTCGCCCAGTGCATGGATGGATTCTACCAGATGAAAAGGAAAAAGTAAAAGTGCTGACTTGGTCGGAGACCCCTGCTGAAGAATGGGCCAGGGCAGTTGGGCTTCGGGAACGGCCCAGTGGTGTAGTAGTCGATCGTAAAGGCGCGGCTCCAATTACACAGCAGGGTGAGGGCTGCCCACAAGATTGCGCTGGTGGAGACGACCAAAATCAGCGACAAAGAGCTGTTTGTTTCTGCACAGAGACCCAGACGGGTGCTTGTCATTTGGCAGACGGGCCTCGCCGCTAATTAATGCTTGAGCATGGACACCAGGGGGAGGGAGGACGAGTTCTCGTAGACTGAGGAAGAGGAGGGATGAGGAGCGCAGGCTGGAGCACCAATGTTAGCCAAAATGATGCCCAGGCGGTATTGCACGTACTTGTAGCAACTAGGTTTGTATACGGGGCCCAGGAGAGTGGTTGAAGGGATCTTAGGGTGAAGGTTGCTGAGGGTCAAGGAACGAAGTGAACCAAAAGGCGACGGTGCCAATCGAGGGTGAAGCTGGTGAATCTGAGACGCTCTCTCCAACAAGGTGAACAAGCCACTCCAGGTCCAAACTCCAAACTGCACCCTCGCCGTGGCCCTCTCGCACCTCGCACCTTGCACCTTGGGCCTCGCAGCTCGCGCCTTTGCAACCTTGCAACCCTCACGCTAAGTCGACACGGACTACCTCGTACCCTACCACCATTACTCAAACTCCAACCTCACCACCACCACCACTACCTCCTCCATCATCCATCCTCACCATCATCGCCGAACCCCCTTCCATCTCCCCTGTTCCTCTGCTGCGTCGCCTGGATCCCGCTTCTTCCTCACCGCAGGCTGCTTTTAGCTATTCCAACCGGGAGCTGGGCAAAGTCCTCCAAGCGGCGGATCGCTCGAGTCCTGCCCTGCCTCGCCTCGCCTGACCTCCGCCTCCCGAATTGCGAACTCCGCGTCTTCGAATCCAGCCGCCACACTCTTTACTAATTGTCCCTATACTCGCTTTTCGATTCTCTTCTACTGAGACGTTGATCATCAAGACTATTCAACAACCCACACTCTGCATTTGTTGGCAGCCGACACCCAGCCCCGACTCGTACCTCTCGATCTTTCACGCCCTCCGCCCGGTCATCGCCCCCCAGTAGACACCAAAACTCCGTCGATCTGTGTCCTTCACTTGATGGCTGCTGGTCCTTGGATATTCTGTGGATAGCTAAATAAGGTCTCGTCTGGCGACGGAATTGCCCCTCGACGACGACGTCGCGGCCCAAGTACCGGTGAACCTCACGGCAGTTGCCACAGTTCACACGCCCATTGCGCGGTCAGAAATCCAAGAACAAAAGATATTTATCCCACCCTGATATCAAGCTACGGACATTGAGATATTTCATGGTGAACACCACAGGACAACATGAGAGAAGTCAACTTCAGCATCCCCAATGTCAACAAGGCCTCCGTCCACATTACCACCACCCTCTATGACCGCCGAGCCCTGGATTGCACCTCGACCCTCCCCCTGATTAACTCCCTCAATCACTTAGCATACCTGACAACTTCTTCTGCACGTATTCGAGATATCCTTACCGTCGATGGCGGCGTTGAGCGCCTTGTCTGCATATTGAAGGAGGGTCGGAGCAAAGATGAAATGCACATGTGGAAATGGAATCTCGCTTTTCAATGCATCGTAAATATTGGTGTTCGAGGCTCAGAAAATGTGCGGACACGTGTGGTGGAGGCAGACATGGTCCCGGTGATTGCGACAATCCTGTGGGACTATATCTTGGTCATCGAAATGGAAAAGGCAAAGGCCGATGCTGAGCAGGAAAAACGCAACGGTTCCAAGCATTCAGGAAGTTCGAAAGCCTCCAAATTGTCTCGAGAACTGACACAAGATCCCGCAACAAGGACCTCCTTCTTTGAACACCTGCACGCGGCTACCGACCACCGTTCCAATCGTCGCCAAGCTCCGCCACCGTCATTGGATTTACCACAGTCCTTTTCGCAGAGCTTTGGCACCACAGAAACAGGGCCAGCAGAGGGAGGAAGCATTATGCCTCCAAGCGTTTTTACCTCGCCTCCCGAACGAACAATGTTCCCCCGACGTGATCTGCACCATCACAACCGTGGGCACGAGAGCAGAAATTCTTTCCACAGATCCCTCAATTTGCAACCCCCAGCTACAGCAGTGCCCTCAATGGATGCTTCCGACGGATTTTCACTGCGGCCGGTTCGGGAGGTGGATAGACTACCTTCTATGCTACCACCCCTCAATACAGGCGTGACCTCTCATCCCGACTCGCCAACTACCCCTTCTGCGCCACTCCATCGCGGAGTACTCTCCCCTGTTGGTCGCCGCATGAGAAGGCCCTCCATCCGTCACCAAAATTCTACTGGCGACAACGACGACATGGGCATGGATGACGTGGCTGGCCCCGACGACGAACTCATGGATCCCGAGGCCCCAGCTGAAGGTCGGAGCAGGGACCAAACCCGGGATCCCAGTCCTCACGATCTTCACGACATGGATGGCCGACAACCGTTGACCCTCACTATCCCCCCACAGCAGGCTCGAGAAATCGATAACAACGTGGATATTGCCCAGCAGACGCCAATCACCGCAGGTATGGGCAACCCATTGGGCCCTGGGGGGCTCGAGGCAATGGGTGTCTCGCCCATCCCTCCTCCGCCTGCCACTGCTGCTTCTCCTGCAATCCCGCTTAACGCATATCCGAATTTCTTCTTGAGAAACGCGACTGCCACTGCCACTACCGCCTTGATGCCCCGCGATGAGGATGTTCTAATGGGCTTGCAATTACTTGCTTATATTTCCAAATACTGCTACCTGCGGCATTACTTCCAAGCGACGCATTTAGTTCCCCGACTTAGGATCGATCGAGAGGTTGAGAAGATCTATGGTCCGATGCGAGGCTGTGCCCCTCTCCCAGAACCCACTGAAGACGAAGATGAAGAGTTTCTGCAACCCGACGACTACAATATCTTCCCACTGGTGGAGAAGTTTACCGTCCGTCACCACTCAAAAGATATGCAATACTGGGCATGCGTGGTCATGCGCAATTTGTGCCGAAAGGATGACGCCCGAGGAGGAATACGCCAATGTGCCAACTACAAATGTGGAAAGTGGGAGGAGTACACCCGTCAGTTTGCCAAATGCAGGCGCTGCCGTCGCACAAAATACTGCAGCAAAGTACGTCATTTGATCCCCGGATAGTCGTGATGTTGATGCTAACTGCCTTGACCAGGAATGCCAGCGTGAGTCGTGGAGCATGCACAGGCACTGGTGTCACCTGGAAAATGCATATCTCAATCGCAGGACCAACGCATGAATTGCCTTTTTGAAGTTGCATAGCCGTGGAGTATTTGGACCGAGCGTCGTTGGCGTTGGCGCCGTGGAGTTTGTCGACTTTCTCGAGGCATGGGATTTCAGCATCGTTTCCGCATTCAGCCTTTGGCAAAACACCCAGCACGATTGATGTACAGCGAATCGATATTGTTGAACGAGGTATGCAAAGACTTTGAGAGTATATATCATCAACGAAATGTAGCCGAAGACGAGGCGTTGACGCGAAAAAGGCACGGGTCGACGACGAAGATGAGCCGCAGAGGTGTTTTTGGATTGCTGAACCTTTGAGCTGATCTTGTCGAGTCGTCGAGGGCACAGGCTGCTGGTCTGGAGGAGATTGTTACTGACACACCAAATGTGTAATATGACGAGCCGAGTAGTGCACAAAATGATGAATACTGAGATATCCGCATCTGCATCCGCATCGAATTGTTTCTCGTTTCTACCAACAGGTCCCCCGTGAGTGCCCCAGAAATCGACCTAGACTGCACGGGTGCCAGCACTCCGATCGAGTTTGGAGGGTACTGGCGCTGAGTCTTGCTGTGATGGTCCGAGTGATTGAATCCCGAGCAGGCCCAAGTACGACCCGAGTTGAGAGTTTGTCGGAGCTCGCCGCTTGACGGTGCCAGCCAGATCCAGAAATATCAAGGTTTGTATGAGGATCCATCGACATTTCTTCTCCTGCCCGTGTGGCACATTATCTTCAAATACTAAGCAGGCTCCAGGTCGTCCTTCCTATTCCTTAGCCGCGAGCACGAAGGCTCGGACCTCATTTCTGATCTTGTATCAAACCTCTCTCCTTGCCGTCTACAGTCAGCCTTTGCGTGAAGGCACAGGTGACCGAGCAAACATGGGGTCGATTGAGGGAGTCAACAGTGCCATACAGCTGCCTGTCATCGACATCTCGGAATTTACAATTGAGGTTGGAAAGCGAGTATTGGACGCCGCGACCAAATTCGGCTTCCTCTACGTCGACACCAATGGCACAGGCTTCACGGAGAGTATGGTGGATCGCGAATTCGAATTCTCGCGGCAGTTTTTCGCCCTGCCTGAAGAAGAGAAAGAGCCTTGTCGCATCGACAGTACGAATCGGGGCTGGACAGGAATGCACGACGAGATCCTTGATCCTAGGACACAGCGCAAAGGCGACTTCAAGCAAGCATTCAATATGGGGGAGTTCCTGAATGGAAAGCCGCAACAACCCATGCCCAAACTCCTCAAGAGCCATCTTGATGAGCTGGCCGAGTTCGAGAGGACGTGCAAGCAGGTCTGCGACCGAGTGCTTGATCTTCTCGGGCTGGGACTCGAAGTTGAAGAGCCCAACTTTTTTTCATCACGGCACACCCAACCCAGCGGGTGCATTGTCCGCCTCCTGCACTATCCTGCCATCCCTGCCGACGTGGACTATCAACCAGATGTCGATGTCAGAGCTGGCGCCCACTCCGACTACGGAAGCATCACCTTGCTGTTTCAGCGACCCTCACAGCCTGGCCTCCAGATCCGAACCCCGGAGGACACGTGGGCTCCTGTTCCGGTTATCCCTGACGGATATCACTCAACCACATTCCCGCCTATCCTCGTCAACATTGCTGATTTGCTGTCTTATTGGACCAATGGAATCTTGAAAAGCACAGTACACCGAGTCATCTTCCCCAAGGAAGCACGAAGAGGAGGGGAGGACCGGTACTCAATAGCGTATTTCTCACATCCAGGGAACGACGTCGAGTTAACACCGGTGCCGAGTAAAATGGTAGCGCAGCACAAGCTGGACGAAAACCAGAAGGTGGGATATGGAGGAGGAGCTACGAGCAAGCGAGCCATGACCGCGAAGGACCATCTCTTGTCTAGGCTGGACGCGACGTATGGTTTCAGAGGCGCACAGACCAAGGAGGTTGACAGCACTGCTTAGGGTGGAAAATTCGTCTCTTTCTCTTTCCATGGCCGGGCAATTATCGCTTGTTGGTGGGTGGATGTAGTCAAGTACTTGAAAGCATGGACCAGGCCACAGCCAACTTTGATACAGCCTCACGCCTCCGCGGCTACGGCTATCCACCTCCCTTTACCATAGGGGCAAGTAGGCGGAGAAATGGCGACAGCGGGCACCAGTCGGGTTCTCTCCCCAGTTAAACAGGGCCTTATTTGTACCGAGTTACGGAGGGACAGAAGAAGCGGTTGGATTGTTAGCGCGCAGTTTACTTCCCCAAAAGTTACAACGTCGACATTTCCCAAGTTTCACGGCCGCAATAGCACAAACGTCTACCTGTTGTTACTTCATCGACTTGCTTCAGACGCGCGCGACCTTGTTGGCTGCTTTTTCGTCTCCTTCTTCGCTTTAATTCATTCACACGTACACTCCTTTCTTGCGTTCCACTTTTGTGTTTTGGTCCTGCCGATCCTCGTCTGCGTTCGACTGATTTTCCTTTTCCCTCTCTTCAAGTGGCCCGGCATGTCAGGTACGGCCCCTTCTTGACCTCTGGCCATTCCCCCTTCTCACATTGCAAATAGTCCAGAAGTTCGACCAGTGGGCGAGCAGACATGTCGAACTCTGCCAGCTGCAGACGCTGAGAGATGCCGTCATCGGTGTCGACGCCTCGTACTACCTGAACCTGCGCCTCAACGGGAACAACGAAGAGCCCCTCAAGCATGCCCTCGGAGGCCAGCCATTCGTCTTCAAGAAAGCCTTGGAAGATGACATTTCCTCCCTGCGGCAAAATGGCATCACCTTGGTGTTCGTCTTCAACGGCCTCGACTACGTGAACAAAAGCCTTCCCGACTCACAGCTGGCGGATAGCCGAAGGGTACAAGATGAAGCGTGGCATCACTATATGAATGGCGACAGCAAGCGCACGGTAACAGACTTTGGAAAGGCCAAATACCCCGTCGACATTATGACCCGAACCCTCCAGAAACTGCTGTTTGATAACGATGTTCAATACATGGTTGCTCCATACAGTGCCACCGCGCAGGTGAGTCCGCCCTCTGGGAACCCGTTGGATTGGTGGAAGCTGAACCGGGTAATAGTTGTCCTATCTTTTGAAATTGGAGGACCAATACATTGATGCCGTTATGGGCAGCACCGAGTGCTTTCTCTTTGGGGTGGATAGAGTGGTGACAGATTTCAATCTCAACGACTCAACCTTGAGCATGGTTAGCCGTGCGGTGTGCGAGGATGTGCTGAAAGTCCACAAAGACGTGCTTCGAGACGCCCAACTCCTGCTTGGAACCTCTTTCACCCCGACCTTCCCGATCCTTGAAAGCATGGCGGCGGCGAAATCGACGGGCATTGTAGACGCCATCACCCTCCTTAATGGGGCTGGCAAGAGTGTCATGCAGCTTTGCAACTACCACCGAGACAACCCCCAAGTCCAGAGCATGAAGTACGCCGACCGATACAAGAAGGCAATCATGACCATTAGACACCATGTGATAATGGAAAAGAACGGTGTTGTTGCTCCGCTCAACTTTGACGAGGCTCCTGGCGATGTCCACGAATTTGTGGGACAAAGACTGCCCGAGGAACTGTTCTTCTACGTCTCCAAGGGCATGCTCGGCCCGCAGGTCCCGAATTGGCTCACATCTGGCGAAATCGCGCTTTCGCTTCCCGGAGGAGTCTTCGATTCAGAACCTTACCGAAGATTGGTGATAGAACTCCTCAACCCCTTCCGAACCGAAGCCCTCAAGATCCTGGCAGAGTCACTCAACTACTATTATCAGTCCCGGGTCATCAAAGTCAGTCCATGGATTTCTCAGGATACCAGTAACTTGACAATCGAGATCCGAAATACTCCGCCTATGAAACCGAAGCTGATCCAGTGGAGAGTCCGAGGAGCCAATATTGAATCCGTCATTGGCAAAGGCGAGGTAGGTGTCAAGAGCCTTAAGCTGTACATCCTCTGACATTAAACAGAATGCTGGTTTGTTTTTGCCTTGTTTACGGTCCCTCAAAGACGCAGCATTTTCGAAGAAGACCATCACGTTGGGCAAGTTGGAATACCCAGCTCTTCGCACTGCTGACGAGGTAGCCGTCAATACGGTCTACCGATATCTGCAAGTTCGCGGATACGTTGACGATCAACACAACGTGACTACGTGGGGAAAGGCTCTGGAGACAGCGTTGACGATCGCCGACGAGGAATGTACCATCATTGGCGTGGAAATGCTGAGATTGGGACTCTTCACTGGGAATTTCGCATCAGGAGACCCCGTAGCAAAGACTGGTAGGTTCGACCATTGCTTCCCCCCGACGTTGCTAATTCTCCTGCAGACAAGGATCACGACCGAAAGGTCAACACCAACCTCATTTCCAAAGTTGCGTGCTTGGGTAGAATCCGGCACAAGCCTATGGGATTTGTTGGACCCCTCGATCGGCAACTGTTAACATATGCATGGAAGATCTCAGCAGTCCGCACAACCCTCAGAGATCTCTTGGAAACAATCATGACGAGCATGTTCCTGAACGGTGACGTCGATCGGGACCGAGAAGATTGGATTGCTCTCGCCCAAAGGTGCGTGTAGTCGACAGCCCGGTCCCCATGATGTAGCCGACTGATCCCCTTGTACAGGCTGCCTTTCTCCAGCGACAATGGCTCAGGACTTGGAATCGCCGTCAAGACGTATCTGGACGCCGTCAGCGAAGAAGCTGAGCCAAGCGACGCACTTAAAACCAGTATCAAGCAGCAGGAAGGGAAGTACAACTGGTTCGCACAGCTTCGAGGCAGCGGTTACTTGACTAAGAGTCTCGATCAAGCCTGGAAGATATGGGATGCTGTAAGTCCAGCTGAGGTTGCTGGCTAGAATCACTAAAGCTAACCGTTGGTAGATTTATGCTGCAAGTCAAGTGCCAGGCACCGAGGTCAAGGAGGCTAAGCTCTTCTCTGAGGCGAATGAATGGCTGACTCCCCGACGATGAGCGGTTCTGTCAGGTAATGGAGCAGAAACGTGAGATCTACTCCGTGAAGCATCGTATCACAAGCTCTGGCACGAAGGACATGCCATCTCCTCGAGCGAGAACTCAGCGCGCCGTGACGACAACCCCGGGCGGGACCGTGCCCTGGCCCTATCAGCTGGGAGCAGCCTCTGGGCTTCGAGTCCCGTTCCAAGTCTGCGCGAATCCGGGTCTCCTCTCACGAGAGGTCCGGTGAAAGGAATGGTGGTGTTTCAGAGTCTTGTCTCTCGACGCGGCTCGTGGCAAAGAACACAGCTTCATTAGCAGGCGACGGCGGAGACGAGAAAGGTTGAGCATTCCGTGAGCTGGGGGAAGAAATAGACTGTAGCACCATGGGTGTAGATGCGCCGGCAGAGTTCGTTGAGGTGCTGCCTCTCGTCCGTCGTGAGCGAATGGGCTGCTTTTACTTTTGGAACCAGATCCATGGGTGGCGCACACACTTGGAAGTCCTTTGTATCACACGACATGGCTCAAACTGCGTTTCAAGCCCTGCTGCGCTGAAACGGAAATGGCCGCCTACGTACGAGGCATTCCCTTCCGCGCTTCCTGCGCAATGACATACTCCGACCAGCTTTGCCTCTTCCCTATCTACCCTTTGACTTTCAGCCCTCAGCCACTTATCGTTCAGAAGTTTGGGAAAGAAAACAAAAAAATCCAACCATCCTATCATTACCACGGCACTCTCGTTCACGCCCCCCACGAGCCGGGACATCAGGGCCGCGTGCGGGCGCCCTTACCTAAGTGAAATTTCCTTCTCATAAGCAATGTCGGGCGTATGAGGGGCCTACAGCATGCCTGTTCGTCTCCCTCCATCTCAAGCCTCAGAAGAAGAAGAGGAGCAGCACATTGAGATGGAGGACCATGGCATGTCGAGGAACTCCTCGAGGCAGAGACTCCTCCAACCTCGAGCACGCGGTGCCCGCGGACGGCTCGCTGGTCTGGCCTCTCATACCCTGGGCTTGATCCTCCTCCTTTGCGTCGTCTTCCTATGGACCATGTCCAATTTTCTCGGTAGTGTATGCACGAGATCGTGGTCCTCTCGATTTTGACGGAGAAGAGTGCTAACCTCAGACAAAACGTCCAGAGCATATTTGCTGACAACACATATGCCAAACCCTTCTTCTTGACTTATCTCAATACGTCCACCTTCATGCTGGCCATGATCCCTACCCTCGTCCGAACCGCATATAAACGACACCGAGAGCGTGGGGATTTGTACGATACGATCCGAGCGAACGTGTTGCGGACAATCAAGCGGAAGGGGTATAGTCGAGTGTCTTCAACCGTTGACGACGGACAAGATCCTGAAGAAGGGCAAGACTCAGACTTGGAGACATTCATTCAGAAACCAGGTCGGAACGGTTCCAACGCGGGCGTCCCCCGTCGTCCTGGGCGTCACAGTGTCGAGGAAGGGGGCAAGCATCTGGGAATCATCCCGACGGCCAGGCTGGCCTTGGCCTTTTGCATTCTCTGGTTCAGCGCCAATTACTTTGCCATGGCGTGCCTGAAGTACACCACGGTGGCGTCCACCACGATCCTGACCTCGACCTCAAGCTTCTGGACGCTCTTCATCGGCGCGTTTACGGGCACGGAGAAATTCACGTGGCGGAAGCTGTGCGGTGTTCTGGCGTCCTTCGCGGGCATCCTGTTGATCTCGAGCGTGGACTTTTCGGCGAAGACGGACGGCGGCGCCCCCGACTCGCAGCAATCGTTGGGCGCGAGGTCGATATTGTCCAAGCGGGTGGACACGTTCCCGGACAAATCGCCGTCCGAGCTCGCCTTGGGCGATGCCTTTGCGTTGTTTTCCGCCATCATCTACGGCATCTACACCATCACCCTGAAGAAGACGACCGTGAAGGCTCTGCCGCGGTCCCTCAACATGCCCCTCTTCTTCGGGCTGGTCGGCACCTGCAACCTCATCCTCCTCTTCCCGCTCTTTCCCATTTTGCATTTCTCGGGCCTCGAGCCCTTCTCGCTCCCGCCGTCCCGGAGGATCTGGACGATCCTGCTCATCAACAGCTGCGCGAGCTTCTGCTCGGACCTCTGCTGGGCGTACGCCATGGTGTTGACCTCCCCGCTATTGGTCACGGTGGGGCTGAGCCTGACGATTCCTCTTTCTTTGGTCGGCGAGATGGTCCTCCAGGGCCATTATGAGGGCTGGGTCTACTGGGTCGGGGCGGGGATTGTGGTCGGCAGCTTTCTCTTCATTGATCAGCAGGAGAAGAACGAGGAGGTCTCTCATGACGGCCACGGCCGTGGTGTCGAGGCCCAGAACGAAGACGACGACGACGAGGAGGAGGTTACTGGCGAGGCATTCTCCTCCGCAGCAGGCAACGACTACGGCGTTGATGGGCACGGGCACGGGCACGGATCTGCGCGTAGACATGCATCCTAACCACGTAGACTTTTGGGCGGCTGAGATTGCGGTTTTTGCTTGACCATCTAGATACTCCTGTTCAAGTACCATGTATTCCATCCACGTAACCCTCGGGCTTGGATAGAAATAGAAATAGGAATGAAATGATATGATCATCATCCCCACATCGAGTCTCCTACCGACGACAACCCGGAACAGGACGAGCATTAGATGGGGTTGTGCCGGTGTACGTGTTTAGAATAAGTATTGTACCTCTCTCTCTTTGTCTCCCTCTTCGTCTCCCTCTTCCTCACCGATCTTGATTATACCCAGCCATTCTCATAGTGAGGACCTCAGCAGAATCTCAGAAACAAGCTGGTTGATGCGCACAGGATGGCCAGCACATATACATACCCCCTACAGGGGCATCACCGCCACCCCCATTCTTCAATGGTAGAAAGATTGGATCGCACACGCTGACTTCATGATACCAACATAATTGCTCCAGAAAGCCCAGATGGGATCAGGGACTCACCCACCAAAAAAGGCAGAGGAGAAATATGGTGGCTCAAATGAACTCCAGATACGTCTTGTAGCAATAGCCAGACTCCTCGTCGTAAGCATAGCCAGTCTCCTGGAGCGCCGTGTGCCATATTTCCCAGATCCCGGCATTTCTCCTTGCATAGTCGCTCGGCGTGAGACCGTAGTGGTCGCGCATATTGGGGTCGCATTGTGCGTTGAGCAAGACCAAGAGAGTCGGTTCGAGTCGAGAGACATCCATCTGAAAATTTTCACTGATATATAATGCGTAATGTCTGTCGTGGGCTTGTGGCAGCGAGGGACAGGTGCATTGATGGAACGTGTCGCATGGAAATTCAGATATATCACAGCTATTGGGCAAAACAATAAAGCTGTGAGGGTACAATGCCGAATGAAGGGCGCCTCGACCGTATTCATCGGTGGCCTGGGTGTTCGCGCCGTTTGCAATCAAGACCCTTAGCGCAAAGCTGTTTGTCAGTAAGGAGGTAAAAAGGAGTTGTGTTTGTCCACAGTCAATTCGGTATTCCAGGTCGAAGGCATTTTTCAAGCACCCCACGATGTCTGTGAGTACCCGGGCATCTTCTGTCGTCTTGATAACACCCCACATGGAAATGCAGAGCATGGCACGTTCTATCGATGGCAAAATATTATTGTACCTGGCGCAAGCAAGCTTTATCATACTCACTATAGCTTCTCTTCGCCTGGTGCCGATACGGTGGTAAATTCCCAGGAACACTGCCAGGGTTGAGAAGATATCGTGGCATCTGCGGGATTGCTTAGCTTATGTGCAGAGCATCGGCTCGGAAACACTTATACTGGAAGACATTCTCAATGCTAGCACCAACGTCCAAGAGGAGACGAAAAATCTCGAGGTGCTGGCATCCCATGGCATACTAAATGCAGTCAATTCCTGCCTCGTAATTTCTGCAATATATGAAACTCACCCAAAGCAGTGAGCTACCGTCAGGGCACACATCAAAAAGCGAGGCTCGTCCAAGACTGAGTAGTTGCTGTAATCCTGCGAGGTTGTTTTGTTTTATACACACCACTACGTCGGAATCTTCGGAGATAACATTGAATGTTCTGAGGCCTGTACACAGTCCAGAGTGATGACGGCTATCGAAGGAGCTTTGCAGGGTTAGTGAGATACCCAAAGCACGGGTGCGTGTGCGCGGAAGATGTGTGATCCGTATTCTGTGGGCTGAAGCGTTGTCTCCCGCCTTTCGAGGACAAATAGGGAGAACTTCACGCTGGAAGATAATTGTGTCGCTCTCCTCGCTTTCGCGAGCTGCTATGCCAGACCATCTTATCCATTTGTGGGACTCTCTGTTCAGTTCATTCAACCCATTGGCGCGTGATTCCGGTGCTTGCAGGATACTGCAAGGAGCAAAGCACGTGCTCTCGATATCTTGAGTCATGGTTACAGCATTGTTCTGCCGCATCAAATGAGCAGATGCGTGGAGATAATGGTGAAGAAGCTGATTCATCGCAACTTGGTACCATCCGCTGGTCAGCATATGACACAGCATCGCCAATTGCGACGACTGGAAGTTGGAATAGCTCCGTGGAAGTTGCCACTGGTTTCTGTGGTCCAGAAATTCTGTACACACTGAATTTAGGTTGAGAATGAGTCGGACAATGCCTACGGGATTCACTTCGGCAGAATATCCATGGCTCAACGCAGAGCTTCTATTAACAGTACTGTTCGCCGGTTGCCAAGGTCGTTGAGAACGCTGTGAAATCATTGGCCAGCTTGACGTGGCGCCCTCAATGTACAGTGAGGATGAAGGTCCTCTGTAAGAGCACGGCCTCCCGCCTAAGACCCTTCCCTTCCCCAGCGAATTGGCAGGAAGGTCCGGGCGGGAGGCAGAGCAGCTTACAGAGTGCAGCGGAGATTGAATGCTGGTGGCATCTGAAGGGATCGGGGCTCCCATCGCACCTGCATGCGATGTGAAAGCCGTGGAATACGATACTTGGGAGCGACTATCGGAGGTAGTTGAATTGGTCAAAGTCCGGGGCTCGGTGTCGAGTACTTGTGTTCCGAACATTTGAGATGACAATCCCTGTGATTTGTTGGCAGTACCCAAACAAGAATAGTCTCCAAGCATGGTCTGGCTGTTATCGATTGTTTGCGCGATAGTAATCCCATGGGCACAAATGTCTTTGTGGTTGTAGGACACATGTTGCCATTGATTATCCAGCACCGGTACTAAATAGCTCGTTCATCAAAACACGGTGTTCAACAGCTGGGGTCCGTGTGAGCCTACCATTGAAACCAGGAGGAGGTGCATGGATCTTTGGTCGTTGCAATGCGGATTCATTTGTCCCTGTAGTGGGCTCGAAGGAGTGATAGCTGGCGGGCTCTATAAGAACCTCCATGTTTTGGTGTCTGCTTTGTCTCTGGATATCGTCCCTCTTCGAAGACTTGATGTTTTTCCTGACGCCCCATTTCTGGAGTATATGCTTCAGTTGTTTGGGGCTTTGCATATCAGCTAGATTCATGCTCGTTGTAATGCAGACAGAGGGAGGCCGTGCTTAGTATGCGAGATCAGGTCTTACCTTAAAAGGAACTCGTCTTGATCTGCAAGGATGTAGATGATTTCTTCTCGGGACATTCTCTCCTCTAAATACAGTCGCTGAATCTTTTCACGATACTGACCGTATTCGTCATCAGAGATGCGTCTGGATCGGCCGCGAGGCTGTCGAGTCGTCTTAGCCTTGCCGTTTTGCAGCGACATGTCGACGAACGCACTTTCTCGCTGGGGGAACGATTGAATGATGAATGGGTAGCTGTGCGTACTGAAACACCAGGTATGGAACCCAGCGACAAAAGACTTGCATAACCCAGTCGAGAGAAATAGAAGTTGGTCCAGTTGTTGTAGACACATCCGTAGTGCCGCCTTGTGGGCATCGAGTGACCCAAGTCTAACCTCATATGTCCTAGTGGGGAAAAGGTCCATAGGCTGACTTACCACATCGCTCAAATGGTCCATACGGTTGTGGTTGTCGATCCTGTCCACAAGACCGCCAGGGCAGTTTAAGGCTCACAGGAGTAAATGGGACATATGGATGTCGTGGACACGGAGAAACGGTCCATAACAATGAGCCTCCTGTCGCACTTAAAAAATGCTGTTGCATTAGGGACCGTTCGCTCTTTCATATCCAAAACTGCACCATATCGACTACCACACTTGATCCTCATCGTAGACTGGAAATTCAACAATGGGTGATACACAAGTCAGTTTTGAAAAGTATGTGGCTGCCTGAGAGTGCTGAGGAATTCACTTACCGTTACCAGGTCCATAGCAGCCTCGCTGAGCCCGGCGAACATAGAACGTTCTCAGCGTCTCGATGCATACCTTCAAGACAAGAACAAGTTCGCCCTATTTGCTTCAAGTGGGCAGAAAGACCTCAAAGCTCGGCCAATCTTAAGCCCAATTGCCCAGAGAGTGAAGGAAAGGGAAGCTGAAAGAGAGCTCGAAAGCTTCATGGATTCCATTTCTGACCGTGAGGTGATTGAGGACGCCAGACAGGCATGGCAAGACAAGAAATAGTGGCCGAAGAGGTGGTAGGAGTCGGCACTGAAGCCGCAGGATGGCAGATGAAGAAGCAAAGATCAGGACGGACGGACAGGAGAGCTGATGATGCCAGAGAACAGCAGCTGCCTTCCAGGATACACGCGGAAGTGGCACTGAGCTTGATAGAAAAGGTTCACCATCTGAAAGAGGTCGCTGCAGTCAACAGGAAACTGTAGCCAAAGTGGCATTTCTGGAATCGGGTAGGATTCGGTGGCTGTCCATCCCTGCTGTAGGATAATAGAAGAATAGATTTGGCGGGACAAAGAGGAGCGAAAGCGGCATCCATTTGTCTTTGCTCCATTTGCAGTCGTTCAGTTAGGGATATTTCGATTCTTTAAATTTGGCCTTGACAGGTCTTGAGTCCGTGTTTGCGCGTCCAATCTCCTGTGAATACACACCGCCTGAGCCGTCCCTTTGGTCATGAATATCGTTGCAATCCTCCTGGATTCATCTGCTCATATCTTGCCGAAGGCGCTTTCATAGAATTTGAGTAATCGTCGTTCAGCTTTGATCTGCATGCGATCCCATCATTCAAGGCCCAGTTCCTGCATAGTCGGCCTTCCGTCTCTCCAAGGCCTCAGCTCGCCTTCGCCTGGCATTTCGAACCCGTTGGGTAACTGCACTTTGGGAAACCCATCTCTCTTCCATACATACACCTCGTCGAGCTCCAGGCTCTCAAATGCGCCTGGCATTAAGCGCGTCTTGTCTTCGTCGCTCTCTTGCCTCTGTAAAACCCATTTGCTACGCACCTCGTGGGCTTTATCCTCGTCAACGAGCACCAAAGCCCCGCTGTGCCAGCCTGCAGCCGCAATAGCAATCGGGAAGTAGGATCCAAGGTTTGCATAGTCTCCTGCAGTTTGGTTCTCTGATGTTTTGGCATGTGACTCCGTGGTTACGTTACTCGTAGGTCCTTCTTCCCAATGCTTCCCTTCCTGCTCAACCCACTCACTGAATGCAGCTTGTTTGACCGCATCAGTGTCCCAGATATGGCGGGCTGGCTGACCATCGACAGTAAGATGTGGTTGGATCAGCTGGTCTTCCATCCACTGCAGCCAATCCTTCCGTTCAGGTTCAAACCAAATTTGGCGACCGCGGATATTGGCGATAGGAAGTAGTTGAGCATCGCTCCGGAGACCAGGTCTTTCTCGACGCAGTCCACGGAAACGGCCGCCATGCTCCGGGCCGGAAAGGCCCAGGGATCCGCAGCTTTGAGAATCTGTACCATATGAAGTGATTTTGCCGTCCGCGTGCAGGGCGTGGTAGTGGTAGTCACCATATGCCAGTGCTATAACGCCAGTGTGCTGCATGGCAGGCACATCCTGGGGTCTAGAGGCAAGCAAGCTGGTCATGGTAGACCAGTCGCTGGATGATACGAGATCGGGCTGATTTCGCACGGCTTCCGCACAGCGTCTGATGTAGCCCATGTCACCGGCAAGGACTTCGCCCGTCGCCGTGAACACACCAAATCTGTGAAACTGACCTTGAATGTCCTTCAATTCACGACCGGGGGCGTCGAAGCCCGGAAGTTCGAACGGAGGGTGAGTTGGACCTAGCTGATCGGAGTCGTCGACGTGAAGGGCACATGCGTAGACCTTGGACTCGTTCGTAATCCAAACAACATAATCTTCGAGAACGACATGCTTGAGGACTTCCACGTCTCCAGCCTCGGTTCTTCGTTTGGCAGTTCCTGGAACAACCTTCTCTTTGACCTCCTTCCCATCCAGCATTTCGTCCAATTGGTCATTTTGAAGTGGACTCCAATAGACGATGCCTATATTTGGCACATAGGCAGAGCTCTCTGCCCAGCCTGCAGCAACTCTAGTCGGCCTTCCGCCGAGATCTGTCCCATCTCTCGAAAACACCATGAGACCTTTCGCATTGATTCTGTCCCAGGAGAGGATCTTGCCTCCATCAGTCAGTGCCAGGATATGACGACGACCTGAAGAAAATTGTCGGATGGCAGAAGTGCTCTGAGTGAGATACTCGAGTTGGCGGAAATGGTCGGATGATTCGCCCACCACCCTGCCGTCCATAGAATCTATTGAGCCGGTGGTGTACAGCTTGCCATCGGAAGATAGGATGGTACTCGACCAGCCTCCGCATTGGAGGTCAGCAATGACTCCGACCTCGTCGAGGATGTGGGCTTCTGTCGGCCAGCTGGAGGATGTTCGCTGGAAGACTAGACGGGGAGGCCGTGAAGGGATCATGGTTGGGTGAGGACGGGTCGGGACACGAGGGAGGACCCTTTGGGGAAGACTAGGCGGAAGAAGAGTCGGCGGTCGACGAGGAACCGAGAGAGCTCTTCCAGGTCCCAAGCTCCCTCTTAGCCCTTGGCCCCAGGTGTAGAGTCGAGTTTGGGTCTTGAGCCGTTTGTATAGCCAGTACCAGCGTGGACCATCGGCCGCGAGAAGAGGGCTAATTGGGAGGCGGAAGGTATTCGAGGTCTCATGTCTCCAGTAGAAGGGATCTTGTCGATATTTCGAGTATACGGCTTTCGAGGCGCAGCAAAACGCGAGGTAGTCCTTTGGATCCAGATAGGCCAGGACGATTGGGAGAATATCGTCTGGTAGTTCGAGGAGTGGCATCTCTATTGGAGTTGTGCATCGCCTTACCTGCAGGACTGTAAGGGAGGCGCTGATGGGAACAAGGGTACTGACAGCGTATATTGGCCTGGGTGGTGTTGCTACAGGACCTCGTTGATGAGCAGGCAAACATGATTCAACATCACACCAGCCGCCCGCGGTGCCACGGCAGACCTGACGAGCGCTGGTTGGAGGATGATGTCATTAAGGGGGGTGTCTTGGCGCCGGGTGCTGCAGGGGCCCAAGTTTCTGGCATGTTTAATCATGGGTTGTTCTGTAGGAGTTTGATATTTTAGTGTGGGGTGCCAACAAACACCTGCAATCGCCTCCATCTACAGACGTCTACCCTTCAAATCGCGTCGGCTCTTTTCGAGTATTCCCAACTCTACAGCCACATCTCGCCGTCCGCATACCTCGCAAATATGGCCGACTCCGGTGATGCCAAACCGACTCCCTCGGCGGATCAAACTGCCTCGTCCGACTTGAGACCTGCCGAACAAGAGACTAATCTCGTGACGAATCCTCTGGGTAATCCTGCGTCTGAAGGTCCTGCAAGTGATGATACCAAATCTACCACCTACACCGAAACTGCTGCCAAAGCCGCCAGTAGCGCCGCGAGTACTGCCAGCGCAGCCGCAACAGGTGTCAAGGACTCCGTCTTTTCCATGTTTGGTGGCGGTGCCAAAAAAGAGCGCAAAGTTGAAGAAGATGACAATGCAAAGGACGAACCCAGCGGCAGTTCCAAAGCCCAGAAGAAGGAGGATGAAGACGAGGTGAGATCTTTGCCACCGCCAGAAGGAACCTTCCGATCTGACCGTGTTGATGTAACAGGACAAGGCCGAAGAGGAGGAAGCAGACGTCGAGTTTGAACCCGTAGTCCGACTGACCGAGAAAGTCGAGACAAAAACCAATGAGGAGATGGAGGAACAGGTCTTCAAGATGCGGGCCAAACTCTTCAAGTTCGACCGGGACTCGAGGGAGTGGAAGGAAAGAGGCACTGGCGATGTTCGACTACTCAAGCATAAGGAAAATGGCAAGACGCGATTGGTTATGCGCCGAGACAAGACTCTCAAGGTTTGCGCAAATCACTATGGTAAGTCATCGCCTATTTGGGATGCTCGCCGCCGCATGGATTCAGGCTGATCTACAAATCTAGTCACCCCTGACATGAAACTTTCACCAAACGTGGGTAGCGATCGTAGCTGGGTCTGGAATGTTGCAGCAGATGTCAGCGAAGGCGAGCCAGAGGCCCAGACCCTGGCGATTCGGTTCGGAAACAGCGAGAGTATGGCATGTCCCTGCATAATCCATTGGCCGCGTGCTGACCCGTTGCAGATGCGAACCTCTTCAAGGAAGCGTTCATTAAGGCCCAGCAAGACAACGAATCCCTGTTCCAGAAATCATGATGCATTAAAGAACAGCAAAGCGTGGGGTATGTGAAGATTGATCCAGCATGGAGTCTGCAACCACCAACAGGCAAGGCAATACAGAGCAACGCAGATGAAAGAATGACGCAACTCGTGGTTTGACCTGGACTATGATACCATCGTACCGCCTGAGATTAGATAGAGACGAAGCCAGTCCAACGGCCGGCCTTGACAAGAATGAATGGAGATGCGAGGATTCCACAAAGACTTGGTCGTTGTGCCTCTCATGAATTAATCGGTAACTGACAATCCCAACCCAATGTGGTGCTATTTTCGGCTAAGTTGCCAATTCTGACCTCCTATATAGACACAACCCACCTGCTCCCTGGGTTGATCCACTCAACAACCTTTGTGAACGGCAAAGCATCTTTCCACGAAGTGCGACAACCCAAGGTGCGCCCCCTGTTCTCCTTTCTCTGGTCAACATCTGGTGTCCTACTGAGTGCGCCGCTGTTGATCTCCCACATCCCTTGGACTGATCGTTCTCCCCTAGTCATTCACCAAGTCCCAGAAGTCGCTCTCCTCAGACGACGTCCTCATCAGTTGCGACGCAGCCGATCTCGAAACCCCACCACCACGCTGTTACTTTAAGTTCAACTAAATACAGCAGCACATCATGCCGGACGTAAGTCTCAGAGTCGCGCTCCTTGCTTATAGCGACGCGACTGACAGTCTTCGCAGGTCAAACGAAGCGTCAAGATCGTCACGGAACAGAAGATAATGTACGTCCATCTTGACACCTGACTTGCGCTCACCCCTGCGTCATCTTCATATGTCTACACTTATTCACCCTGCCACGACCGACCCCTCGGCCCTTGCCAATACTTGCCACTTTTCACAAGTCCGTCTTCTGACACAGTGTTTACAGTCCTGGAGCCGACAGCGGAGTCACGGGTTTTCCTTTGAGACACTGGTCGATGAAGATCTTCCTGCTCCATGCCGATACAAAGCAGGAGATCGATGCGGACATCTTTGAGTCGGTAACATATTATCTCCATGAATCATTCGGTGACAAGGCAACACAAAGTACGTCTCGCGTGACACTTCTCTCTGTCGCAATGGGTGTCAAGGTACTGACAAGTCGCAATTTGGACAGCCTTCAAGAAGCCACCATTTCGCGTTGCTGAGGATGGATGGGGTGAATTCGAACTACGGGTCGAGATGAAAGATCTCAGTGGCAAGGTCCACAGCATCCTCCACGACCTCAACTTCGCCAACGCGCGTTATGAGACCAAGCAGATCATCACTTTCAAGAACCCGAAAGGTGCCCTTCTCGAGACGCTTCGTAATTCCGGCCCGATCCCAGGAGAATCCGCTTCCAACGGAACCGAGACCGCCGGGAAGAAACGTACGAGCGAGATTGGGGGAACGCAAAAGAAAAAGAAGGGGGACAGCAAGGCCATTGACATGGACAAGCTAGCTGAGGGTCTTCAAAAGCTTGGTGAAGATGATCTGCTCCAGGTTGTGCAAATGGTGCACGACAATAAGAGCGAAGATTCATGGATGCGCAACGATGCTGAGCGTACGTGTGAACCTACCCTTTTGTGTCTACATGATTGGCAAAGGCGTCATTACTAATGCTTGCTTGTTCAACAGAGGGTGAATTCCACGTCGATCTCTACACTCTTCCTGAGAATCTCATCAAGATGCTTTGGGACTTCACCACCGAGAAGAACGCCATTTCGGCATCGGCATAGCGAGGCTGTCGACCACCGCAGCTTCTGCCAATGGGTAGAGCTGGAATGGTCCCCCATTCTCTGGCCATCCCATGTCTTTATCTGACTCTTTTCTGGATCTTGAGCTTCGATAGCATGGCGTCTTTTCGTGGCAAGAGAGCAGGGAAACAAACGGGTTGGATCTCTGTACCATCACATCTATGAACGACTCGGGCATGATATGACCTGGGTTCTCCTTATGCGAAACCTTTGTTGCTTCTGATGACCGTATTGCTTACCGGCGCACACATCTAAGCATCTGGGAACGAGCCTGAACCAAATGTTTCTTCAACCCTTTCAACATTTCCAGGAGGGAAGGAGTGGGAACTTTGATGGAAAAAGTTGGCGGTCATGATCCTGATTCTCTTCTTTTCTTTTGTTGTCCCTTTCACACGGCATCTCTGTGAGGCTGGCTGGCAGGCTGGCAGGCATGCATGACATGGAATGACAGCAACTTGCGACGCACTGGGAGTTGGGAGGCGGGTGACGGATGTACTCTTACGGCGGCGAGGATTCCCACCCATCCTCACATCTCATGTTCTCTCATGTGCCGCTCCACCACCAACTGACATGGCTAGTTGGCCGGACGATGATGCAACGACAATAATGCCTGCAAGTTGCCGGAAGGGGAAAGCCTCCAAGAGGAAAGACAAAGCAAATCCAACCAATAAAAAAAAACCAAGCGGTCTGCAGATTCGCTCAGCTAAAAGCAAGGTCTCTCCCCACGTAGGTAGCAGGGACGGCACAATATGAAGCTGCGTTCTAAGCCCGGGACACAATAATGAAATGACAAGAGCAATGATACGAAAATCTTTTGACGACGAACAGTGTGTTTTTGATATTGTTTTTTTTTGTCATTTGGATTGTAATAATAGTAGATTTCCCGCCCATGTGCAGAACGCGAGTTCTTCCCTGTTAGATAGGTATCCAATAAGTCTATGTGTTGTGGCGTCAATATCAAAAATTCCGCCCAGAGATCCTCATGTCCCGACGGCATCTACGTAGATCGTAAGTTGGTGGATTCGGAACCCAAGCTTCTGAGCTTGGCTTTCCAAATCTCCTTTTTTTGGGGGGGTTTTTGTATTTTTGGCTGGGAGCGATGTGTCCCTCGTCGAGAGTGCTGTGGTCATGGCTGGTGCCGTGCCGTGCTTTGCTTGGCCGATTGTATGTACAAGGAAACAAAGCCCGGCAGGGCGGAGTGAGACGTCCGATTTGTGTCGTTGGTATCATATGGGAGATGAGTGGCTGCTAGAGAGTGCGGAGGAGGCGCCCCGGGTCCGGGCCAAGGGCCAGAGACCAAGTCCGTATGCTGAACGAGTCTAACTCGGGAGAGGTGGTCGGAGAATATTCGACCAGATCTGCATCGTCCATTTTTCGTTGCCGAGCAACTTGGTGGGCAGGATCTGAGTTTAAATCGGCATAGCGACCTATTAATACATGGTATGGAACAGGAGAGGATGCAATTCACAAGCTCGGTGTTGGAATATCTCATTGGAGCACACGGTTTCTGTGGGAGTGAAGATTAGCTCATGTCATTTCCTCACAAAGAGGGTGGATGTTACTCACTGTTGCAGCACACCTTCCAGACCCTCTGCCCTTGCGCCGGATATCGTAGCAAAAACATCACCAGCCTTATAGGCCAGGATAGCAGGGATCTCGACCGACTCCATCTCCGCAATCTCATGGTGTAACTTGATAAAGCGGGTGGTATTATGCTTGTAGGCGAGCATGCTCAGCTCATCTTCCACCTCGGCGCTGGCACTGGACGAAGGATCGTATATCATGACGACGACGACGGTCTCGCTGGAGACCTTTTCGATTGCATCCAAATAGCCATTTGCATCCACGTCCATGAACATGCCCCAGGTGCGCTGGCTAGGGTAGTTTTTTCGGTGAGAGCCGTAGGTGGGCTGGGACTGGGACGAGAGCTCCTGCAGGCGGTTGGCTCGCCAGGTTTTCATGAACTCTGAATCGGCCTCATCGTCGGAGAGGGTAATGTTCGTGTCGGAGTTCGAGGATGTGGTTGACTTGGGGGATCCAGAAATAATGGTTCTGCGCTTGTCACGCTTTTCTGTGACGGTCGGGATTGCTGCTGCCTTGCCATTCGAGGTCAAGTTGTTGGCGAAGCTGGTCAGTCGTTGCCGGAAGCTTGATGATTGTTTGGCACGCGCAAACGACTGGGCATCCGCAATGACTCCTTTGGGCCCAGTGTTGGCATAGTGGACTTGTGAGGGCAGATGGTAGGTGGTCTTTGTGGTGGTCATAGTCGCCATGTTGCCGGCGGTATCGTCGTCTGTACCAGGGTCTGAGAGATTGTCAAATGCAGGTTCAGGCTCAACGTCGGCGTCAGAATCGTCGTCGTCGCGATCCTCTGGATGAGAAGTCAGGTGGTCACGGTGGGAGAAGTAGCGATCGGCCTCCTCACGGGCGAGGTCGGCCATGTTTGTATATGAGGCGCCTTTCCCCTCCTTTGCTCAATAGCCTGTTCTTTGTAGGGCGGCAGGGGTGGGCGGGTGGAGGGGACTCAAATGTTGGATCAAGTCAGAAGGACAGCTGTTGGCGGGCCCAGCTGGTGTGAACTCTGTGACATAGGTAGGAAGGGGGCTTCCAAAAGAATCCGTCTCAAAGTTTGTTAGGCCCTGCTGGTGCTGGTGAGACGGTGAGCTGGGATTGATCAGCTCAAGAGAGAACAAATGCGGTAGTGCGACTTGATGACAATGTTGGCAGTTTGAAGAAGAGCGACGGGGTGGAGATTGGGTGGAAGGATGGCAAACTTGTCGCGAGACCAGAATGGACGAGGCAAAGCCTGAAACACAAGCCTAACAAACCCTAGCAGCGAACCCTGGCAGAACGGTGGGTCTAGACCAGGCTGAAAGCTCTCGGGCTTGTAATCGTATGCACTGCGGACCGGTAGGGCGTGTTCATGGACTGGCGCAGAGAGAGACCTGATGTGGTAAGTTGAGGGCAAGGTAAGCATGGATGAAATGGGCGGTTCCATCAAACACCCACCAAGGAGGAGGAGTTGGCCACCACAAAGCCACTTGTACCTGTAGATCAGTCGAGGAGGCGACGGCGGTTCCTCTGGAGAGCATGAAACTTGGGCTCTTGTCACAATGACCAGCGAGTGGCACTGGCAGCAACTTGTCACATTTGCCTTCTGACGGCGGCTGCGGTGACTGTGGTGACTGCGGGCGCAGGCGGAGGCGGAGCGGGCAGATGAGATCATGGGCTTCTAGCAACTGCACCCACAACTCCGGGTACTGCTGTGCGAGGAATCCCTAACTGCTAGCTCTCTACTCGGTACTGTAGCTGCCTAGGGGCTACCAAGAGGGCCTAGCGAGCAGCAGCCACTAGTAACACCATAGTTAGAACTTTGTCCCGGGTATCTTTGCCGAGGCCTCCCGTGCGAGGGTATCGGCTTCAAACTCCCCCCGGCTGGATCTGCCAGAATCATTGTCCACTCCACACACTGAATGCCACTTGTCGCTCTACCAGGGCCCAAAATGGGTGTTACACCAGTCAGACATCTTGTGGCCTGTCGATCTCGGACTTCAACTACCCTATACCTACCTGGGTAGGTCGGCGTTCAAGTATGACAGCCTCAGTCTCTGGCCTCGACAAGTAAGTTTCAGCTACACTCACTCCAAGTCCAACCCATCGCAGATGCGATGCGTAGCCCAGGAGCGCAACATTCACTGAACGCATTCCACAGAGTCGAGCACAATCCACACAATTCCACACCGTCCCTCACGAGTCCTCGCTGAGCTGTCCAGAACAGAAAATCCTTCCCTCTTTGGCCCCCCGAGATTCATCGACGCACGGTCGATCAGTGGAGCAACAAGTCAGCTTGGGAGGCCACTCTCCATTCATGTTATACTACTATCTGTGACTTGCCGCCATTGGGCTCCCTGAAACTTCATTGTCCTGTCGATCATCCTGTTAGCCGTCTACCTGCAATGGTTCCAGCTCTACGGTCTCCCGGTTCGAATTGCAAGAATGGCGCCCCGAAGTTGGATGGACAAATGAAATCACGTCAAGACTTTTTGATTGTTCAATAACGGCCAAATACCGACCGCACACATTTCTGCACAAGACCAGAAAGGTAAACAAGGAGCAGCATTGAGCATTCAAAAGTCCTTGATTCCTTGACCCGGAGGACTTCGTTGCTTATGCCTAGTCCGTTTTCCAGCACCCCATCCGGCATTGACACTTGCAAGTAAATCATCGTCTCGAATCTTCCGGTTCGCGGATTTCAGTCGCCTCGCAGGTGGAGCTTCCTCATCTTCTTCGTTTGCCCTGTCCTTTCCCGATCCCTTTTTTCTCGATGCAGCCAGTTTCTCCCGCAACAAGATTGCCTCTTCGGGGTCTTCATAACCTAGCTGCGTCATGGGTGGTGCCGCATCCTGCTCTGTTGGGAAACCGACATTTCTGGGCATGTCCGGATCGTCCATCTCCAATGGAGCTGATTTGAGTGCAGCCAGAGCCCGCTTTGCCCGGCCAGTGAAGTTGAAGGTGCCTTTCTCAGCTGTAGATGTGCTCTCACCGCTCTGCGTCTCGACTGACTGCATGGTAACAATCTCGCTACCAATCCCGTCCGTGTTGATACTGTCAACAGAACTGGCTCTTGAGCACCTCACATTCGAAGCCGTTGACGAATTGGACAGGTTGCTCAGCGCTCGCCCGAACAACCTGTTCTTCTTTTTCAGTGGATCAGTTTGATTGGTGCCAGCAGATTTCTTTCGGGAGTGCTCGTTCAGGATGTCTCGAATGGCACCATTGATTGCTTCAATATCTGTGGTTTTGCTTTGGACTTCAGCCCGCGCACCAGTTTTGATGGGCGCCGGAGCGTTCTCTTTTGATGTCGAATCATCCATTGTCAAGGTACTGTCCAGTGTTTGGATCAAGGGTCGGTTGTTCACCAAACGTGTGTTTCTGCCATTCGGAGACAATACCCGGAGTGGACAGTTCCCGTTGTCATATGAGCGTTCTTTGTTCTCACTTCGTCCCGAGGCACCACTCGCGCTACTAGAAGCAAATGGTCCTTCTTTAGCTTGTCCATGTATCTCCTCTGCCGGTTCCTGCTGGACGTTTGGATCAGGATGTGACTTTTCCACCGGAATCTCAGGCGCGACACCATCATGTGTTCCATTGCCAACTGGTTTAGACGGGTGGTTCGCTCTGTGGTCGCCGGCGTTTCGTGGGAGAGGAATCGTGCTCACTTCGACATAGTCTTTCAAGACGCTCCTTTTGTCCGCCGGCCTCTCACTGTTCGCTATACGCGGACGAGCTTGCCTCAGAAGGTAGCTTTCCACACTTGCTCTGGTCTGATTCTTGATCGATGACCACAACCATTCCTCATTAACCACGGGAATGCCCAGGTGCTGTGCCAGATCAAGCTTGTCCTTTTTGGCATTGCCAGCCTTGCAGACCAGTATGGACACCCCTTCAGTAAACATCTGCGAGTAATTCCCCCCCAGCAATGTGGCGATCTTGGAGATATGCACGGCTTCCAGACCATCGAAGCCGGTCGCGTTGATGGTCAGATCTTTCAAACATGCCAGGGGTCCAGTCAGTATCTGCCCAAGCGGGTAACTTCCTGGGTCGATGAAAGCCTTTGCAAGCATGCATTTTTCAAGCCAGAACTCTGACACCGCCTGGAAGCCATCGCCAACAAGTCCGGTTGATGCTGAGCCATTCTTGCTTATATCATGAGGTTGAATGACCAATATACTGTCAGGTTTGTTCTCACCGGGATCATCTCCCTCGCTCAAGATTGTCGCACCGTACTCGACCAACACATTTTGGAGGTGTTTTCTCTAGAATTTTGTGAGCAGGTGGCAGGAATGGCAGGACCAGGGTATCCAGCGGCCTACCTTCTTCTCTTCGAAATATTTTACTACGAACCGGCGACCAGTCAGAAACCGCAAACTCCCAGACTTTGTGATGGGATCAGGAGCCCCATTGGTGAGCTCGGCTCGGTGATTGCTAGTGGCAATGGATGGTCTAGCAACGTCTCGCAGGGCAGGCATAGAGATCGAAGGCTTCAGCTCTGGACGCTCAGCCCTTTTGGGCTCAAATCCTGCACCGCCCACGATATCGGACCACATATCTTGAGTTTGGCTTCCAAATTTGGCACTTGCCGTTCTCCGGAGCTTTCGAGACGGTTCTGGACCCATATTGTCTTCCCTCGTGCGTTTGCCAAGTTGAGGAGAAGGCCGGGCTTTTCGATTCCAAGCCCCAAGACCTTGTTCAGGGACAGGAACGGTAGGATGATAGAGTCGCTCGTCCAATTGCATGCCTCTTTCCAACGTGTCCTTGTACCATTTGAGGCTGACAACCTTTTTCTGCCATTGCATACCATATTCGTACTTTTTGCCTTCGGGCTTCGCAGCGATGAGGTGTGTTACATCCTTGGTCAGATCTCCTGTATATTCTCCGCCATTTTCCTTGACATTCTTCTGTAGCTGGGCACGAAAAGCAAGGTCATCAAAACCTGTAATGCATATCTTCAAGCCGGCCAAGGTCGGCACCCGATATTGCAGGGTGAGGGCGTCGAGGTCCAAAGGCAAGTCTTTGATCCAGTGGTCTCGAACAGCCTCGATCCATTCCGGGCGCAGAACTTTGATATCTTCTCTTTCTCGAGCGACATATTGATATTTCAGGGTATCCGTACTACCGACAATGAGGTGCGTCGTGTCGGAAGTCAAGTCGAGCTTGTGCTCGGCTCCCATCTGCATCGCAATGTCGGCATATCGACTCTTCGGCCCCCGTCAGCATAGAATCCGAAGCCACTGGGTTCCGGCTTGCTCACCCTGTCCTCCGGGCCGATTGAAGTGAAGCACATCATTACACCTTGGAGCGGTTGCTCGGCGGATCCTGAGGAACACAAGTTATTAGCACATACCAGCAGCAAATCTCTGAGGGAGATGCGTACCCCGAGGTTCTATTCTTGCCATTCTGCATGGTCAGCATGGACCACACAAAGTCATACAATCCTCCTTTTCAAGGGGAGTCGTCGCAAGGCATACGGCTACGGAAGTCTCCGTTCGCTTTCTGCACCACCGTGAATAGGGACGCGTCGAGGCGCGTCGAGCTGGCACAGCAACTTAGCCGACGCGGGGTCCCGTTCTAGAAGGGTTTTGCTGGGGCTTGGCAAAGGTGGGGGTGTGCCTCCGTCGTGCCCCTGATTGCACTGGCGGTGCCCTCGCTTGGCATGACGTCGTGGTGCATGGTGGAACCGAGGGTGGACTGGAGGGCATCTCGTTGCGTCGACCGTGATTCTCAATCTCACATCGATATTGAGGCTAACAGAAAGCAGATCAGATCTCCTCGAGTCTGTAGCTAGCCGGTCCATCTGATTTTGCATGCATTGCTCCTATCATGGAGCCGCGAGCGGAAAAGATTCTTGTTTTTGCTGACACAACTTTCCCGTATCTCACCCACACTTCATGATTCCCAGTTTAGGGTCTTTGCATGCTGCAGGGAACACTATAACATAATCGCCTACTATTCTGTGGATTTCGGCTATAGTAATCACGTGCAAACGAGTCTCACGAGTCTTGAGCAACTCATAACACGAACGGAAAGACGGAAAACTATCCAATACCCACCATCCAAGAGTCCCTCTCCCACGTAGAACTGTGGCGAGGCGGGAGAAAATATCGCATGATATGTCACGCTCTCTGCACCACATGGCATGGTGACCGGGCCGTCTTTTGCATAATCCACGACAGTCAGATCTGATACAGGGTAAGCGAGCCGAAGAAGCCGCTGACTTCCCTCATCGTCTCCCCAGGGCAGGCTGAACCTTGAAACCCACGCGGAGAGCGGCCTTCCCTCCCATCTGACCAGGACCCTTAGGGGTCCATATGCTCGTCATGAAAATGTGCGCACAACAAGGGGGGGGGGTCCAATGCGGCGGGACGGGTAGGAAATAGAAATCATCAGTTGGTCCAGCAGTCAGATCCAGACTCATCCAGAAGCTGACCCCCGCTACAAGGCAAACCCTTCTGAGCACCGAGCACGAGCCCGAACTTGCTCAGCCCCAGCCAGACGCGTAACTGCAGAGCATGTGTTTGCAGTCTGGAGACATGGACAGTCGTGGGTTGGGCCAATCTCGAGGAGGTAGTTTATGCAGGGTCAACATACCAAGAATGGCAGTGTCCACAGGCACAAGGATAAGCCATATAGATTGTAGCAGCGACCGCATTACAAAGAATGCAGACTCGGTGACTCAGGGTGCACTAGGGCGTCTCGTCTTCAGATCCGGTTGTCGTTGTCATCTATGCTACTCGTAGGTGCCCAATCCGTTAGCGTGAGATAGATCTGCTCGTCCATTTTTAGAGGCAGCGATGCGCAAGGCACGGTCGCTTCGGCAGACTGTGCATGGACCCAGGGCTTGTCTTTTCCGCTGTAGGAAATGTTCGGTAGGGTAGGTTGTCGCTGCTGTCGATGGATCTGGCTTAAGTTGCAGCTGTGACCTTTTCTTAAACCTCTGGTTGTAGAAAGAAGCAAGTACAAGCGACGAACGGGCAGGAAAGAAAAGGTATAGCCCCGCGAGCAACGGAAGTATCTAGTGACAAGCACGTACTTTTATGTAGCATTGTGGAGATAGTGTCCTTAAAAGCACGGCCTGTTGCGAGGTTAGACCCAGCGTCATAAGATGGACGGGACATGGTTGGACGGCGAGGTTGGTGCCTTGAACTTTCTGCCCAGGTGGGACGACACGGGGGATAGAGAGGCCGCAAACCTAGACATTGGGGGCATTTTGAAGATCACAAAATCCTGGGATAAAATGGGACAGCGTCACAATTCGAATATCGGCATGTCATTCCTAGTATCCCACCTCTAAAGCTGGAATCATATGCCCAGGCCGCCCAATCGATGGCCGATACAGAGGTGGAATATTGACGGGGAGTCAGGGAGGCGACGTGGCTAGCACGGGATGCGGGAGACTCGGCTTTTGTTTTCCCTCTTTGTGCCTTTTCCTTTCTTTTTTGTTGTCAGTTGCTGAGGGGCGATGGCTAGTTGTCCCACGACATCCGAGAGGATCGGCGGGCTGGAGGGGGCTTAGGAGGAATGATTTGAATTTTGCAGAGCCTGTGGCGACCAGCAAAGTGAATGATGGCAGCCGAATACGCTTTGTCTATGGTCCTGGTGACCCGCTGTGAATCATATGGTTCGATAATATCAAGGTGTCGTGGTAGAGAGAGTGGTCAGACACCAACTGGCTCTGCTCACCTGTAAGGCTGGGCATAATGCACCGCGGCCCGCCAAATGTCTGTTCAGGCACACGACATGAGTAAGATGTAAAGTTATTAAGTCAAGGAGCCACAGGGCCACGCCTCTTTCTCTCTTTCTCTCTCCACTTTGTTGCGGGAGCCAGATTGCTGATCAGCTGCTATACTGGATCAATATCCGCCGAGCCGAAACGAAGGCAACCCGGTTGCTTGTTGAATCGAGGGTGGGAGACAGGGAAAGCAAGGCTCGGCCGAGGGGAGAGAGTCTGTCGATGCGTCCAAACGATCCCCACAGAAAACCGGCTTCTGGAAATTGGGTAACGGGAGAAGATCTTTGACGCTTTATATCATCGCCATCATCAACTGACGGGCTGACGAGGGACTGACGAAACAAACAAACAAAAGAAGCACCAGAGGCACCAGAGGCCACCCCCCGCCTGGCGAATCCACCCACGACGTAGTAAAAGGAAGCGCCTGGCGAGCCTGGGACTTTGTTACCCACCGAGCCTAAGGCCCTAAGCTGCTTCGGAAGCACCTGAGGCCTTTTACCTTGGTTCTCCGGGCCGGGCGTGCCACTCACTGCTGGCTGTCCGCGTGTCATTTATCCCAATCATCTCATCCTCAATCATCATCATCCATCGTCCCGGTCTCCCCCAGCATCCTAGGGCCACAATATCTCACTGGATCACTGCCCTGAAAAACCCCCCGGCTGTCTCACTCTGGTCAGTGAGCAACACCTCCCATCAGCTCGGTTGGGCTCCCTTCATCTCGACTCTTCTCTGCTATATCACACACACACACACACACAACAAAAGCAATGCGCCAATGACACCCAAGAGGGTCATTCCGGTAGACGGCACACCCTGAACCCCGACTAGTCCAATACGCTGCAATTCTCCATTCAGCTGAATGGTTGCTGCTGCCACATTAGGTGCGTTCTCTCCACGCCTCCAAAGCCAAGCGCAAAAGCAGGTCAGAGTTCAAAGCTCGTTCCCAATTCAATCAGAGTTGCGGGTTTGGGGAATCAAACTTGAAGTTGGCACTACAGACTTGCTCACTCCCCCTCCCACGGTTAATCCTGCTGCTTGCCACGGATTGCCCTACTACCATCGATTACATCTTCCGTCCCTCCTTCTGTGCTGCTCTACCAACGAATCTGACAACGATCAATTACAGTTGCCTCGAGTCACCCAAGCCGCCGCATTCGTCTTGCTCATCCTCCCTGACAAGTTCTATATCTTCTGTTCCGCTTGTCACCACCACATACTCAAATCATCCTATTGCCTCTAGTCGCTCGCGAAGCTGGCTTTCTCACGCGAACACGCAAAACGATTCTTCAGACTCAACCTCCCTACGGTCGCTCCACAGCCGGTTCCTCTTCATCCGGTAGTGTCTGATCGAGTGTACCGACGAAGAAGCTCAGCGGGAACGGAGGACATGGTGTTCGCCGACGTTGGCAGGCGTTCACCCGAACGACGGGGGAGGAGTCCCAGCGTGGTCAGCGGTATAAGCCATCGATCGAGACACAACAGCAGTGCCCGGACTGCTCCTGCTCAACCGCCCTCCCCCGAGACACACCCTGCCGCGAACATCACCCTACTCGCAGATGAGAAGCCCGTTGCAAGTGGCAATGGCGTCTCCGTTTCCATCGCTCTGGCGGAGCCAGTCTTGTTTCTGCAGGGCTTCGATCCTAACGACCCATCTACTCATAGCACCACTATGCTCCGTGGGAGTCTTCTCTTGAGAGTACAAAAGCAGGCAAAACTGAAATCAATATCTCTGAATTTCCGGGGCAAGTCAGAGACGGAATGGCCGGAAGGAATACCTCCAAAGCGTGTCGAATTCCGAGACACCACCACAATCATGAACCATACGTGGTCCTTCTTCAACGCTCAGATTCCCCAAGCCGAATACAGCTATGGTGCAGATATTGTCCAGCTCTCCAAGGGCGCCTCGGTGGAGTCGAAAGAAGTTGGCGTTACAGCATCGTCATTTGACCTCTTTCAGCGTAGTGCCTCACCCGCCAAAGGGCACCCGACTACCCGCGATTTGAAGCGGCTGTCCCTCCAGGCAAATCATTCGAGGAGTTTCGGTAAAGGGGACACAATCAATGGAGGACCGACCGTCGCCCAAAGGGGATTTAAAGTGTTCCATCCCGGTGATTATGTCTACAATTTCGAACTTCCACTCGACTCGAGGTTACCAGAATCAATCAGTGTCGATCTCGGCCACGTCAAGTATGAGCTGGAGGCCCTTGTCGAGCGTTCCGGAGCCTTCCGTGCTAATTTGGTGGGCACGAAGGAGTTGACATTGATCCGAGCACCCGCCGAGGGGTCCCTGGAACAGGTCGAACCCATTGCCATTTCTCGGAATTGGGAGGACCAGTTACACTATGATATTGTGATTTCTGGGAAATCGTTCCCACTCGGCTCGACGGTGCCCATTGCTTTCAAATTGACTCCCCTCGCCAAGGTCCAATGCCATAGGATCAAAGTTTTCGTGACGGAGAACATACAATATTTTACAAATAACAAAAAGGTACACAGGCTGGAACCGACGAGAAAGGTGCAACTTTTTGAAAAACGAGCCGACGGACATAGTGTGACCTCCTACCCGGGAAGTTCAATGCGGATTCTCGCGGGCGGTGGCGTCCCCTATGACTATCGCCAACAGGCAGCTGCCGGTGATGAAGATATCCCTAGAGACCAAACAAACTTGCTCGGCAACCTGGATAATGACGCCGGAAGTATTGGTCCCACTGAGATGGAGTTCAACGTGCAACTGCCGAGCTGTCATCAGATGAAGGACAAACTACGAAGCGAGCGATTACATTTTGACACCACATACTCTAATATTCAGGTGAACCATTGGATCAAGGTATGTCTCTCCAGTTGTTGTGATGTTCTCAATCACTAACAACCGCTTCAAGATTGTGATGCGACTCTCTCGACCTGATGAGAACGATTCCACCAAACGGCGTCATTTTGAGATCTCCATTGATTCTCCCTTCAACATTCTTTCTTGTCGCGCAACACAGGCAAATATCTCACTTCCTGCCTATAGTGCCGGTGGAGGTATTCCCACCTCTACTGACGAGTTCGAGTGCGGATGCCCAGGCGCTGCAATCAGAAGACGAAATACGCCGCCTATATCCCAAAGTCGGATTCAATCTGTTAATAATTCAACAGATTTCGGTGCTCCAGCACCCGGGGTGAGCCGAAGTTGGACGAACGACACAGGTGGCTTAACGATGCCTACGCAAGCACACGTACACAACGACCCCAATGCTGGACAATCAAGACCCATACATTTACTGAGGAGTCCCTCATTCAACCCGCCGGCTTTTGACGAGGACGAGCCACCCCCACCTTTGGTCACTCCGCCTCCCTTGTACGATAACATTGTTCCTGGGGACTCGACAAGCGCATTAGCGGATTATTTTGCTCGTCTTGCAGATGAGACTTCTGACGAAGACGATCGCTTGGATCGATCACGTGTAGATTATCCCCTTACTCCTGGCGGCCGAGTGAACAGGAGTATGGATATTCCGAGGAACTGGATGCCACTGGGCGCAGGAGCCAACGCCGAGTCGACTCCATCAGGACTGGCGTCCTCGACGTCAGTAGCAAATTGAGGGATTCACTTCTTACTGTGGTGACCACCCAAAATGGTATGATTAATGAAAACGGAGGAATTTATCACGATTTTTGCGAATTGCATCTACGCCAGCGGGACCTCGATGTTTGGACCAAAGTCAGGTTGGAACTGTAAGCAGAAAGGTGTTAACGAGATTGGATGAACTCATGAGGGCAATAGGCAGAATTTCTTCTCGGGGTGTTGGCAGGAAAAGATTCTCTTACGATCTGTCCGTGGCAGTCGAGTAGCAAACTTTTGCATTTATTGTGTTTAGTGCCCAAATTGGACCTCAATTGATGCCTTTGGTTTTATCACCACAATCTCCAAATGATTCAATAACCTGTTCCATTGAATTTAAGAAAGGCCTTGAAAACTTGAGTGCCAACGGAATGGGGAACGAGGCTGGGCAAGGCTGTGACTTCTGCCCACAAACACGCCAAGAGCAGACGTTCCGCTGTGGCCAGCGCGCAGCTGCTCCAGCGGAATTTTTGGAGCTGCGAGTTTTGCGTAGCAACAGACACTTTACTTTCTTGTCCGCGCCGTGAACTTACCATGGCAAATGCTAGATGCATTGTGTGATATCAGACATGACTTGTTGATTGACTTACCTGATTACGGCGGCAATCCGGCGATTGACTCTCTGCAGTTTTCACAATGGCGGCCATCACTGCCAACTCAATGGTTCATCAGATACCTCCAATGTCCATTCCCGCCATGCCCCGTATACGGCCTCCTCGGATGTTAAAGGGAGAACCTCATCCAAACCAAGTCCTCCAACCTACGGTCGTGCCAAAAAATGCCAACATAAAATGGGTTCAGGGCAAATGGCGAGCGGGAGGATCTAATGCGGTCAAGAATAAAGCAGCCACGCAAGACATTCAGGTCGCAAAGGCTCTTCGACATCAGACGCATGGCCTTGACATCTACGCCTATCGTCATATTCGAACGAACCAAGTTGTGTACAGCTTGACGAGGACTCTGCAGGTAATGACATCCCATCCTGCCGCGCTGGCGGGCTGCTAACAAGCGTCTTGTACCAGGAAACAAAAATCCTCAAGCAACTGCTTTACCATGGCAAGAAGACTGTGCCTGCGTCGGTACGCCCGGACATGTGGACGCCGTACTTTTCCATACACTTTCCACCTACAGCTGCGGGAGCATTGGAAGGGCTTTTTGCATTCCAGAAACTCCGCGAACTTTCGATGCAAAGACAACTATCCCCCCCTGAGGACTTGATCAAAGCGACCCAAGAGGACATTGACATTGTGAAATCGAAGCTTGGGTCACCCGTGACGCTTCAGGAAATGGCTGTTCGTGATGGGCTGGTTGGGAAGATTCCCAAGCTTGACGAAATCCTACCGAAGAAGCTACGGGCACGAAAGTTGATGGATCAAAAAGCCACCAGTGTTGCTGATACGGCTTTTGTGCTTGACTGGATATCTTCGGGGCCCAGTCCTTGGGAAAAGGTGACGATGGTCGAAACCAATCGCCTGATAAACGCCTCGGAAATGACAAACCGAGCACGACGGCGCATCAACAAGATACGGAAGGAACTGGAGAGAAAGGCGGCAGAGATTCGACAACGGGCGGCGTTGGCTCTTCAGGATCTCCCTGCACACGAACGGGCGCTCCTGCCTCTCACACGCAGCGCGATTCACCAGCTCAGCATGGAGCACCATGGAACGGTCAGCGGACGGAAACTTGACGTTGTGGATGGCGAACACGAAAATAATCTGAAGGGGCCGAAAGACTATGATTCCGTCCAATTACGAGAAGAACTGAAACAGCAGAATTTGGGTGTTTTCAGGGAACGCCAGCAGATCGCGAAAGCAGCGGAGCAGGAAGCTATGAAGGAATGGTTCGATCACAACAAGGTTCCGATTACGGAGAGCGGCTCGGTATGGGAACAAGTTTCCGCAGCTCGAGAGTCAGCTCTCCAGGCCTTCGACGCTCAAGAAAGATCAAACGGAAAAGGTTCGGAGACACAGACTGCAACATCCCCGATGCCTAAGGAGACTGGTGCGAGGACGAGCTCGCACAGTACCGTCTCAAAACCTGATTGGGCCGACAAACCCCGTGAGATTAAGATGTACTGGGCGGACTTGAATGACGGACTCTTCGCGGCTTCTTGGCCACGAAACGTCGTACATGGCGCTCTGGCACCTTTCGGGTTAGCAAAAGCCTGGAAGACGAAACTTGGACTTGATGACGAGGGTGAATTCCCGAAAGGTGAGCCACAGCAGCAGTACCAAGCCGTTGTGTCCAAGAGCGTACACGTCATCGGCGGTGGAATAAACGATGGGTGGATGCCAAAGGAGATGGCAAACGGGCATACGCAGCCGCCATTGTGGGAACAACCGCCGTTGGCAGAGATTGAAGAAGAGACGGGGGAGTATTTGACTGAGCAGGCAGAGATGCAGGAGGCTGGGTCTGTCTCGCAAGAAGAGAGAGTTGCATATAGGTCACCGACGGACGAGTATGAGGATGTGGTAGTGGAGACCCGGCCCAGAGGTTTGTGGGGACGGGTCAGAGGGCTTTTTGGTCGGTGAACATCGATGCATCGTTGGCGAAAAAGCGTCCTCGAAGGACGAGGGATACGATCAATCCACTCAGAAGAGAAGGTCAAAGCATGGCATCCTCGTGGGAAGGCTGGGGAACCTGAACAACGCCTTGGACATGTCCGAGGAAAGCGATATTCCTCTGAACCCCTAAGCGCCAGGCTTCTACCGGATCCAGGCGACAGGGCTCGTCAACTGTACCTTCTTTGCCTCTCTCCTGGATTGTGGGTGGTGTACCAAAGGCCGGCGGGCTCTCTCGAGTACTCTTCACGGGCGAGCTCGACGGAGTATTATATATGTATAGATGTGTACAACAACAACAATAACACCACCACCACCTCTATCGATCTCTCTGCATCATGTCTGCCACAATATTCGTTGTTTTGTACTTCCAGACTCGGGACTTTTTGAAGTACAACGCCGAGTCTCTGTTCTGGATGTATAATCTGTGTACGGAGCAGACATGTATGAGCTGATAGACGGGGAGAGAGACAAACCGCATTCCGACCCGACTGACCTTCGGCTCATTGAGTAGTGCGGCATGGACAATTTCCCACCCTTGAAGCAATCCAACGAGGGAATGGTGGAGGGTGGCACGCCGTGCTGTGTGCGGATTCAGAGCTTCATCACGAGCGACGCGGTGGTTCTCGTCGGGATTATGTGCAATTTCGCAATTCTATTTGCGCTTTTGATTCAGCTATCCAGTGCATGCCGTGCATAAAAGGCGCAAAAGGGGGTATACAACGCTTCCCAAGAAGTTTGGTCGTCCAAAGTCATCAATGCATAAACAGCGTGTTCCTCGTACTTCTCTTTGCACGAGGCATTCCTCCGTGTCCTTGCTGTACTTATCATTCAGCCTGCCAAATGGTCGTCCCCATTCACCACTTCATCAGATTGTATATGCAACAGTCCGCAATGTGCATCGTAAGCAAAGTCGAGGTCGTACAGGTCGTGACGGGGGTATAAACAACTTCGCCCCGTGTATCCAATGCTGTTGTCCGAATGGGAGGAATCAAACCGCCTGCTGACGCAGGAGCAATGTAGCAGCACCTTCGAAACTAGCCTTGCCTTTCCCTTTCTCCCTCTCTTTGTCCCTGGACTTTGCAGCTAGCACCTTTTCTACTTCGTTGCGCTTGCTCAGCACACTTTTTAATGCCCCCAGCCATTTATCCAAATCTTCCTCGTCCGGAGCACAAAATCTGTACGTCTTATCATCTGTGATGATTTGGAAGCAGAAATTTTTGGACTTGCTCACGGGGTCGATCTCAGCAGCGTTGACAATCGAATGCATCGGTAAGATCTTCACGGCCGCGTATTCTGCTTCGTTCTTGTAGAACGACAGGCTGCGCGAACGTAGCACGACCCAGATCCATTTCCACCCTTTAACCCCGGTTTTGTGTGATTTCAGGATTTGTAGATGGCCTTGCCGGACAACGCGCTCTGGGTCGGTGACAGGTTCGGAGGGTAATGGTGGTTGGGGTAATTGTGCATTTCCTTTGGCTTCGACTTTGCTACTGAGTTGCTGTGATGAAGCAATCGGTGACAAGGCCGGTTGTTGTTTACCGAGCGACGACGAGGAATTTTTCGGCAATGAACTCCCCAAGGCATCAGAGAAGTCGGAGTGTGACGTTGTGAACTGTTCGTTTCCGGAATACTCCTGAAGGTTGGAAGGGCGTCTGTGGCTGTTTGCTAGCAGTGACCCGTTCCTGGGTCTGTTCTGCGTCGCTTTCGACAGTCCTTCAGGGGAACCCGGAGCACGATGCATTTCATCCGCTGATATATCGGTAGACTCATAAGTGTTTGACAGGTCACCGGCCTTGCTCGAGAGGTGCGGAGCGGTAAGATCCAAATCATTATCTTCGTCGGTCCTTGCTTCCAAACGGATATGCATGATCCAGTCCTCCGTGTCTGTCTCGGACATGCCTCGAAAATGATAGTTCTTCGAAGGGGAGAAAACGCCGAATACGTGCTCGGTGTGGGCTTTTCGGACGCGAGCAACAGCCGTGACTTCAGACAAGGTAATGGAAGCCTTGAGATCGGTCTCGTCGGGATTTTGGTAGACGGACAAGAGGTTGGGCCGGAGGACGAGGTAGGCCGGCTTCCATGACGGTTTCCAGGCTCCTTTGTTTTTCACCCGTCGGTGTACTTTCCCGCTCTTGATCACACGGTCAAAGCAAAAGCTCCCATTCTGATCAACCGGTGAGAATACGTCAAGACCTAAATGACCCGATTTGTAGGATTGAGAGGCGAAGGCGGTAGGCATTCGATTCGGAGAAAGATGGGGGGTGTTGAATACAGGTCGAGCAGGAGTCGACGGGCGTAGAGGAGAAGTTGCGGTCATGATCACTAGGAAGAATGATGGATGCTAGGAGAGATTTGGGCAACCATGAGAGCGCGCGCAAACTCGGCGTCACTATTATATCATTCCATGCGGTGAAGATCAATGGCTCGTGATGCAGAACATAGGCCGCCGCGTGCGGTGGGTTGGTGGTGGGTTGCGGCTGCAGGAACGCGGGGAAAAGGGTCTTTCGAGGCCTAGTGAGCCTGACAACCGCTGGGCAGGCTCAAACAAGGTGTTTCAAAACAACATGATTGAACTTTGATCGATTGGGATGAATTCAAAGCAGGTCGGCAGGCCACCATGAAGGTGAAGTCTTGAAACCGAGTCGCAAGATGAAGTGGTTGCAGGGTTGGGGTGGTTGGTCGCCACTTGTTTATGCGGGAGGTAATTCGGTGTCAACGTCAACAACTCCTCGCTTGCTCTGTGGCGAATTGAGGCTGGGTGGGAAGATCGAGGTGGACGAGCAGTTGGCAGCCGGGGAGGATCGGCCTTGTGAAACTGGCGAGCCTAGCGACTGATACTGGCGCCGCAAGAGGTACGAGTAACTCTTAGGCTGCGCCCACCGAGCCTTGGCCCCTGGCAATGATCCGCTTAGGTGTCGGCCTGCTGTTGGGGGCAACCTAAAAGCCTCCTTTTCCCTCTCGGCAGGGGGGGCAACTCTGAGTCGACCGCCCAACCCTGCCTATTGGTGAGTATATTTGGGCGCAACATTTGGCCACGCTGGAGTCTCAGGAGCATTTGACAAAAAAAATAATGGAAAAGGAGAGGCACCGCGGGTGGTAATATTGTCTATTCTCAGTCATCAGGGTGTCTTGTGACTGCCGGTCGCATATATCTTGGATGGTGCATCTTTGCGAGGGATTCTTCCGGTTGAGACACGGTATCGACGTGATACTCTCACATAGTGATTCCAAGTGATGTGTGGCCTGTAGTGCTGATGGGAAATGAGTTGACTATATCGCTGCCACTGCAGCTATCACCAGCTGCTATACGGAGTGGTCGGTAGCAGGTGTCTTGGCAGCTACGCAACCTCAGTGGCTCCTCAGTGGCCCATCTGCCTCCGGTAGTGGTTTCTGGTCCCTGGAGGCCGTCGTGCTGTGTGGATCACCAGCGTCTGCACCTTCGAGCCAAAAGTCCTTTTCTCCTCTCCCAACGTCCATGGAAGAGCCATATCTGTCCTCATACTTTGTTGAATCAACCCAGTGAGCCCATTATGTTGCTTTGGTATCGCTCAAGATAATCCTATTGCGCCAATCCGTCCAGTCCTGAGCTTCTCCTGGTCCCCTGCGCGCTCATCCCTATCTGCTCCGTGTCCGACCCTACACGTCCCAAACCTTCGCCGCCTGCGAAACGAGGCAACTGGAAATCGATCCAGCACCAAATACACGAACCCGATTGACGTCCCTAAGTCGCCCTTCGATGACGATTGTATGTCCGCGAGATAAAAGTTTGGAAGCAGCGCGGAAAGCCCTCCTCCGTCCGGGGTAGAAGTCCTTAATAATGGGGTTTGCACAGCGCCTGTATAAACGCCTACCTGCACTTTACACGTCGCCTGCAGTAGACGACTACAAGCATGAAAAGCCAAAGACACTCTCGAGATTATCCTTCTTTCGCAGGCGAATCAGGCTAAAAGGCAACTCGTCCATATCCATCCCATTGGGCTTCCTGCTCCTTTTTCCGAGCTTGGTGGTCTTAATCATCCTCATTCTTGTCATAAAACATCCTAGCTCTCCGGGACGAATATTGGTTCCGGCTGGCACTCCTCCCTCAATACGGTATGCTGCATTAATCCTCATCATGTCCTCCTGTATCTTCGTTCTAACGCCTCGGCAGAAAAATAAGTGAAAAGCACGATCGAGTATTTGCGACGGGATGCCTGAACCCGGAAGACGCTGCGAAGCAGCCACGTGCCAACGCGGCTTTTGTTGTCCTTGCCCGGAATAAGGAGCTGGAAGGAGTCATTCAATCAATCAAGAGCATCGAAAGACATTTCAATCGATGGTTTCACTATCCTTATGTTTTTCTCAATGACGGAGAATTTGAGCAGGATTTCAAAGACACCGTCACCAACTACACAAGTTCCCCCGTGGAATTTGGCAAGATTGATCCTTCGATGTGGGGATATCCGGACTGGGTTGATCATGAAGTCGCAAAAGAGGGAATTCGCAAGCAAGGGGACGCCGCAATCATGTATGGCGGCATGGAGAGCTACCATCACATGTGTCGATTCTACTCGGGATTCTTCTACAAACACGAGCTGTTGGACAAGTACGAATGGTACTGGCGCCTGGAACCCGAAATCAAATACTTCTGCGACATCACCTACGATCCTTTCATCGAAATGGCAAGGGCCAACAAAACCTATGGTTTCACCATCGCTGTCAAGGAATTGAAGGAAACAGTGCCAAACATCTTTCGTTATGCCTCAGCTTACAAGCGTAAGCACAATATCCAGTCTCAAGGTCTCTGGGAGATGTTCATCGAGCCTCAACCTGAAAAGGAAGCTACCGCAGACGACAGACGAGCCAAAACATTGCCGAACGAGATTCTCCAGACTGAGCCCGGCCATCAAAACATCGAGGACATCGACGGCGAAGCGATGGAGGGGGAGAAATACAACATGTGCCATTTCTGGAGCAATTTCGAGATCGCGCGCTTGGACTGGTTCAGAAGCAAAGAGTACAATGACTTCTTCGAGATGATGGACCGAAGTGGAGGATTCTGGATGGAAAGGGTAAGTTTGTTCATAACTACCTCGTCAACTATAGATGAACTAACTCTGTCTCAGTGGGGAGATGCCCCGATCCACTCCCTTGCGGCGGGAGCGCTCCTGGCGCCTCGCGACATCCACTACTTTCGCGATTTTGGCTATCGCCATACGACCATCCAGCACTGTCCTGCGAATGCTCCAGCTCGACAGTTGCCGAGGATTCCCTGGCTGGAGAAAACCACCGAGGATGAGAAGGAACGACAGGAAGAAGACGAGTACTGGGCTACCCCGGATCCACCTAAAGAAAACGGTGTTGGATGTCGGTGCCGATGTGACACTGACATCCGAGACGTGGAAGGAAAAGAAGGCAGCTGTCTCGCTGAATGGGTAGAAGTAGCCGGTGGTTGGGCTTCTCCTTGACCGGGAAAGCTGGGGGACGTCACGCAGACGGAACTGGTAGAGCAAGATGTTTGATTATTGCATGTCAGCCTGGCGTTGGTGTCCTTTGGAGCAATTTGAGACGCACCATTTTGGCGTCGGGACAGCACGGACTGTGCCGTGCAAGGAATATCAGAAAGAGGCTTGGATTCAGAGGCACACTGTCTGGGTTTGTTCTCAAGAATACAGAACATATTACCTCCCGCATCTGAAGAAGCGGAGTGATGCAACAAGGAAGGAAGAGCTGAAGAAATGAGGGAGACGGGGCGATCCAAGGGGGAAAGCCGGCTCTCGAAGAGGTACTGGCTAACGAGGCTGTTGGCACTGAGGGATCGATGGCATGCCGGTGCTGATGCTGACGGCACAGCGGGTGTCACGAGTTGCATTGGGGCCTGGGGCCATTCTATAATTGGTTTAGGTTGGGCAAAGGGGAAGAACCCATCCATATACCCCATGGGATTGAAGTGTATGGTTGGGCTTGTGTGAATACAAAATATACCACTTGAGCATGTCTTCCCACGAGGGACGATCCAAATAGACACGGCGAGGCTGGAGCCTAGCCTTGCTTATCAAAGGTGGAGCCCGCAGAAAGGCACCAGAGGCATCTACGGACGGGCAAAACGGGCAAAGCATGGCGTGGTGGAGGGGCAGGAACCAAGGAGCCCGGCATGCATGGGCGCGCGTCTGCGGGGTTCCTGCTTTGGGTCTTGCCCATTGCCTTGCATCAACCATCAACCTTTGCTGAACTGTTTGGTGCCTAACTGCCTCTCGACCTTCCTCAACTCTGTCTCTTCGTCGCTCGTCCAGTCCTTCAGACTTATTCTATCTTCTTGCAATCCTGGACTCTCTCTGCAACGCTCTCATGTGCCCAGGCTGATGACCGTACACTGCCTGGACCGGACTCGTCTCATTGCCCACGCAGAACCACTTGGTTTCGGATCTCATTTGTTGAACCACAGAACTGCACGACCCAAACCACCGGAAGTCGCAACACTGTTGAGACCACCAGGAAGGTGTCTAGTGCCATTTCCATATCTAATAGTAGGTTCACTTTCAAGCATCGTTCCGTTCTCCATCGCCTACATCGGGGAGTGATATCCCTGTCGTCACCTGTGGGCTCGCTCAGCACAATATGACTGACACGTTTGAGCACAACCACAGCAAGACTGGTCGAGACGAAGTGGAAACCCTTCCTAGCCCTGAAGGCACCGGTTCACGCCACTTCGACCTTAGATATCCAGAAATCCCCCTGCATCTCTCACTTGACTCTCTGCTCGCGCATTCCTCGTCGTCCTCCTCTTCCAATTCCTCATCTACCAACTGCACCATGCAGCCGTCTGAGCCTGACCAAAGCTCGCTAGATGATAGCTGGGCCTCGCTCGCGGACGTTGAATCCTCCAACGAAGACGACCTGCAATCCGAAAATACCGACGTGGGATCTCTCCTCGACGTCCATAGCTCCGATGATATTCAAAGTGTCTCTGACGGAGTCCATATCCATGATGTTGCATCATCAGACGAGGAGGGCCTTGAGGACACTCTGACGGAAGAACTAGACCACAGACCAGCTATAAATCCTATGGCCGAGCGAGAATTCATCTACCCCCTTCCGCACCCTCCGCTTCCCGAAACAGCCTACGCGGAACAAGAATTCGCAGAAGACGGACACAGCCCCATCGTCACCTATACAACCAGCCGACCTCTCTCAGAGGAAGAGGCCCGAAGACTACCTCGTCATGGTCTTGGCGAAAGCGACGTCTCGAGATGCTTCAGTGTTATTCGAATGCCTGTATCAGAAAGTGGTCTAGACTTGGACGTCCACAACTATTTTAAGGTTCTTTTACTGGGGCAACATGTTGAACAGTTCAGGCCAGAACTCCAACGAAAGCTCGGCGACGTCTTAGTATCACGGCCAGTGACTTCTCGCAATGTCAGTCCAACATCTGTTTCGAGGTACCATCTGGTACCAAACACATTCGGGCCTGGAGCAGAACCAGATTTTGCAGACCTTGTTGCAATCGACAAATTGATTGACTTTGATTGCTATGATCTGGTCCGGTCATCTAGTGGTCCCGGTCAACAGGAAAAATTGGTCCTTCGAAACAGTCAAACACGCACAGAAATAGTTTCAAAGCGGAGTGGCTTCAGATTTGTTGTCGGCAACCCTCGTTGGAGTCTTCCGGATCTCGCGATCATCTGCGTTCACCTCGATGACGAGGGCAACATGAACAGTGACAGTTGCCAGATGATTTCCTTTGCGGAAAGACAGGGCATACCTAAGATTCTGATCCGGATGGATCGGGCCTGGGACGGCGACTATCGAGGCAGGGTGACCTCTGATTCTCTACACGAATGCATTGAAACACAACGTCTGCTGCCACCACAGCTGCGGCAGCACAAGCTCTCGCCAAAGCTACCTCTGGATATGGCGGCTTTCTTGAACTTGGATGCGACTGTCCTCAACCAGCACATTGCGTATGCTGTCTTGAGCGCTGAGCGCGCGCGTACTAGCGAGGTCGATGGCTTGGATTTCTTGTCGAAAGAGACTAGCGAGAAGCCCTCGCGCAAGTCCAGCCTTCTCCCCCCAGTTAATACTTCACTCATTAAGAATCTCTTCCTCGTCCTTTGGATTGTCGGTGTGTATGGTTTTCTGGGACTCCGCTTATGGCCGATATTGTCGGACCGAGTCGCAGGCGCAACTTCCGGCGACATAATTGCCAACATCACCGCTCAGGAGCAAGCTCAATCAACGGCAACAGAGCCACCTACGTCGACATTTGCAACTTCTACTCACACTCCTAGAGATGAAGTCCAGGTTGCTCAACAACTGCTTGATATCAGTTCGATTAATGCTATCCCTGCTGTTGCGGATGACGCACTTCATTTTCAAGTTAGTATCGCGGCCGAAGGCCAATTGCTGGTCAGACTACCCAAGGTTGCCCTGAGTCGCAAGAAGCGGTCCCCGCTATCTGTTGAGCTGAAGCGGAAAAACCAGGCTGTTCCTGTGTCCGTACAGGAACTCTTTGAGGGGGTTTTCAGTGTCCACTTACAACCAAATGATGCTTATGGCGATATTGAAGTCAACCTGACCATGAGCAAACCTCGACTCAGTGAGAAGCTCACTGTCTCCTTTGGGGACCGATCAACTTCTGAAATCCAGCACCTCAAGGAACTCTTGAACATGCTGAGTGAACATGTTCTTGATACGGCGAGCAGTGTTTCATTTTCTTGGAAGGGAGTGCGAGAACGATTACTCATGAATGGTTTCGGTTCGTTTCCGAGGGTTGCCACGGAGGGAATATACAGTGGAAAGTCGCTCAACGCAACATGGCACCTCTTGGGCATATCGGCGCTTTCCGATCTCCACTCCAGGTTGAGAAGAGAAACACAGACTTTGCACGAGGAAATGGTTCGTATCGCCCAAGGCTACGCTGCGCCAGGAAATAAATTCGGCGACACACTCTCCAACAGACTCTCCAATGCTCGCTCGCGCCTGTTTTCTATGGCCGAGGCTGTTAATGTACTGCGATTTTCGCCCAGCTTTGATAAGACGGCGGTCCTTCATCAGCTGTCTGCTGCACAAGGGAGGGCGAAGCAGATTATGACGAAGGCAACAAGGAAAATTAGAGCACGGAAGGCACAGGCCTGAGTCCGGATTGTGGTGTGCAGTACAGACCATGACGGGTGAGGTTTGAAGAATATCCATTTTTGCATGCGTGGAACGAGCACTAGAGAGCCTCCAGGGTCAGTTTAAGGCGTTGGGTAGGCGACGAGGGGCTGGCTTCTCTGGGCGAGGATGTCACAGGTTGAGGGACGATGTGCTGTTTATGAGAAATGATGTATACCCACAGGGAATCAGCGTTGAGAATATTTGTCTTCAGCAGACACATTGAATGAGCCAGCCATTATTGAACTCACTGTTTGATGTTTGCTCTCGCCGTACTCGATATATGTCCTCGGGACACAGCCTCGTGGACAAGGCTGGCTGGTGTTACTATTTCCAGGTCATGCCAAAATGGACTGAGGTCTAACCCATATAGGAAAGGTCGTGTTTGGCCCGGTCAGAGCCTTGTTTCGGACCTTTCGTTGCCCTAGAACCACCACCACCACCACCTGCTGCTCCTCCACTCGCTGAGGTCTCATCTTCGTTTCCAAGACATCGTTACTCTTTTCTTGTCATTCTCTCATCTAACCGCGTCCCTCATTATCGTCCAGCAACTACGTCGGTCGTTTTTTTCCACCTCCGTATCCATCGCCTTTTCCTCTCGTTCCTGTCAATTAGCCCCTTGCAACGACTCGCACCCACCACGAAATCCTCACTCCGCTGATTGCTCGTGAGAAAAACACATCCGATTCCGGCCTTTGTACCTGGTATTCAGCGTCGCGTTATCTCAAAAGCCCCTTGAACTTGCCCTCTTAAGGGCAACTAGCCCAACATGGGCTTCGGTTCCTTCGACTCGATCTGCAGACAGTCTGCGCTCCCTCTTTGTTACATCTTGGGTCCTCCCGCCGAGTTCACAACAGCCAAAAATCCTGTCCTGTTGCCAGGATGCAGTGCACGATCCATCGAACTCGCCAACACGATCATCTTCCAAGCCGCCACCGACTTCGCCCACATTGCAGCCCTCTCCATGACCGCCATTATGATCCTCCATGTTCGGTCCAAATTCACAGCAGTCGGGAGGAAAGAGATCTTGACATTCTTTTACATATACAGCCTGTTGACCATCATTAGCCTGGTGCTGGACGCAGGTGTGATTCAGGCAACAAGTGGGAGTGCCTATCCGTGGTTCGTGGCGGTGCAGAATGGTCTTGCGACTGCACTCTGCACGAGTCTGTTGATCAATGGCTTTGTTGGGTTTCAGCTTTACGAGGATGGAACCACACTCTCGGTTTGGCTGCTGCGACTCAGCAGTCTAATCATGTTCTTCATCAGCTTTGCGGTCAGTCTGCTCACTTTCAAAGGCTGGGCTGGCTTGTCGCCGACTAACACGACGGGCCTCTTTGTCGTTCTGTATGTCATCAACGCCATCTTCCTTGCGGTATACTTTGTCATGCAGGTCATCCTTGTTGTCAACACTTTGCAGGACCGGTGGCCGTTAGGTGATCTCGCTTTCGGGTCATTTTTCTTCGTCATTGGCCAAGTCATTCTATATGTGTTTGGTAAGAGGATCTGCGAGGGAGTCAGCCACTATCTGGACGGCTTGTTTTTTGCCACGGTGTGCAATCTATTGGCAGTCATGATGGTGTACAAGGTAAGTCATCCGCAAACCTATGTTGGATTGCTCATATGTGCTAACGCGAACTTCAGTATTGGGACAGCATCACCAAAGAAGATCTCGAGTTCAGTGTCGGCACAAAGCAGGGCCACTGGGAGGTCAAAGAAGCACTGCTCGACCCTTCGAATGAAGATTATCGAGCTAGTTTTTATGGAGGTGGAAATGCCCCCACCGGGAGAGAGTCAGTGTACGATGCTAGCAGTATGAGCATGGACTATGCGCCACAAGTGCCGGCTCACTTCCATCAACATCCGTCGATTAGCCAGCAATATGGCAGCCAACAGTCTCACAGCCAGAGTCACCAATACTCCTCGAGCCGAGATCGGTTGTCTGCGTATGGACATCTAACTGAAGGAAGACAAAGCTATGGAGATATAAGAAGACAACTGCCGAGTTATGAGGATTACTCGGATTCACAAACGCAACCTTCAGGGTTGAGGAGTCGTGACGGTGCACGGGAGAGGGAAAGAGAGTACGCCTACTGACCGGAAGTTACAGTTAGATGGTTCGACTGGCAGTAAACGAAGCGGTTACTGCCTTGGTTCTTTCGGTTGCGGGCGCATATTTCATCAGCATTACCGTGCCACAGGAGGTCGATGGTCTGCCATGCGCAGAAGGAGTTTGACCCCCCCAAAAAACATATAATAAATGGCCGGTTTTCGCGGCATGGCTCTAATGAGGTGATCTAGACGTGGACGGCGGGCCACCGGGCATGATGGCAACATGGCGGGAATCAATGCAGGGTGGTTTTGTAGCATAAGTCACAGGGAGGCATGGCAAATAACGACTCTATATATGTAGGATTTTTGTAATCTGCACAACCCGTTCAAGCCCGAGCGAGAGGCGCTTGTCGTCTGATTCCCCCAATCTGTTACCGATAGTTGGCTGGTTTCGTCGCTGTGCCCGCTACGTATTGGGGCTACGGCTCGTTCGAGATATGGTATCGTGTCTCACGCGTTTGAAATGCGGTAATGCAATGCTTTGGTCACTGTGGAGTACTCCGTACCATAGGTACAGCTTTCCCTATATGACCACGCGCTGGGCTCTCTGTCTCGTCTCTGTCTTCCGCTCCGGTCTGTCGGTCCATTTTCAACGCCACTTCCCTTCTCTCTGCCTCGTCCTCCCTCTCAAGGCACGGCTGTGTTCGCCTCAGTCCAGCCCGGCCCATGCCATCCTCCCTCGCGCGGTGACCTCCCCTTCACCTCCCTTTCCGGCTCCCGCAGGGCACCAGGGGCGTTACTTGACGCGGAATTTGAACTCGTCGCCCCGGTCGAGGTAGACGACCTTGTCCTCGAGGCCGGCCTTGGCGATGGCGTCCTTGAAGTCCGAGAGCGGCGAGAGGAAGACGTCGTAGTCACTGTGTTTTGGTTCTCTCCGTGTCCCCTCCCGTCCCAAAAGGGAGAGGGTGGGGGGGAAGAAGAGGTTCGACGTTAGAAACCCTTTTTTTTTTTTTTTAAATTTTGTGGGTTTGGGGGACTTGGGAGGGGTTCCTTTTTTTCCGCCCTAGAGGTTGCTGATAGGATTGGGATGGAAGGAAAGGAAAATTAGGGGGCAAAGAAGGGGGTCGATGGTGGTGATGCTAGGGTGTGCAAGGCTGCAAGGAATGAGGTAAGGGAAGAAGACTGGATACAGCACCTCGGTGACGTTTCAGATAGTGCATGAGGGTGCCAGGCCATCTTCCATCCCATCTGGGACGTGGGTGATAAACAAACCGTCCGCAGCGGGCAACGAACGCAGTGGCCATCCCGCCAGGTGGCGTACGTCTCTCTTGCTTGTGCAGATGTAACAGAACCAAACAAAAATGGAAAATCGAGACTTACTCGTAATGGATCGGCGCCGTAACCTCCGGCTGGACCAGCTTCACCAACTTGACCCCTTGTTCGGCGTCCATGGTAACCATCAGCAAGGGCATATGCGGTCCCGGCACCGTTGTTCCGCCCAAATGTATCAGCATCAAATCAATCGGTTTGCCCGCGTGTGTGTAGAGCTCGGGGATCTTCTCCAGCTCCGAGACATAGAGCGTGTCGCCCGAGATGTAAATCCGATACCCGCATTCAAAATCGGTGCCTGGTGTAGCGGTCGACGAGTCGCCAGTATATCCAAGTTCTAGCATCCATCCGTTGGTGGGTGGGATTGCACCAAGAATGTCGTTCGCTTTGGCGACGAGGCCATCGCCGACGTGTTTTCCAGGCATGCCTGTCACATGAACATGAGGGCGTCTGGTGGGTGCGAGAGGAGGGGTGACATTCACGAACATACTCTCCCACGCATCGAGAGCATGCACTGCTGTGAAGGCTTCGCCATGACCTTTGTGCGCCAGGTGCTTCTGGGCATGCGGTGTGGTGATAATGGGCAGATCTCGACGTAATGAAGCTTCGACTTCCTGGTCAAAGTGGTCGGCGTGATAATGCGACAAGAGGACAAGATCAATATGCGGCAGATCATGCAGGTCCACCGCCGGGTTCGTCCTGCGCGTCCCCCTTACACCGGGGCCCAGATGAACATGGTCACCAGCATGCAAGAAGTTGGGATCTGTCATGAGGCGGAGTCCTTCCCACTCCAGAATTGTGGTTGCAGTCCCCACGAAGAATAGTGAGGCATTTGATCCAGCCGTCTCCGGTGAGGCTTGTTGAGGATATGTCTTGCTTGACTTGGCAGGAGGGAGCTGTTCCTTCAGCGTTGCACCCTGGGCAGCATTTCGGATGGGGCTTTGTTTCTTGGAAGTGTCGACGGTGATGTTGGACTCGGTGGCCATTGTATGTATAGGTGCAAGCAGAGACCGAAACTTGGGGTATGCGATACTCGGGTCGTCTGTTCTCGTCTTGAAGGTCGCAACTGTAAACAAACATCGAACTTGGGCTAAGTGATTTGACTGCTTTTAGTATGACGCCGGGATGACGACACTTGCAGAAACGCATTCCGAATTGCCCGCTTTCACCTGTAGGTAGTAGGATCGAGTAAGAGTAGACTTCCTAATGAAGCCCGAAAGACCTGCTTCTTCAGGTCTAGGGGATGTCTTGGGAGAAAAGCAGCTGGACGTATCCGTGAGAGGTGTGATGCAGCCTACCTTCGTCGACAGAACAGGCGAATGGGTTTGCGAGAGCGGATGTTTCGTAGCAGCTGGATCGCGAAGACTCGTCTGGTGCTTCTAGAAGGACTAGCATAAGACTCTTTCTCAAGGCCCCCCTTGACTTCGAAGTCACCAGAGCTGAAGGCAGCAAAACCTGGTCAACGTATTTTCCGTGCCGATTCGTCACACCTCTCCGCCAGCTGTGATGTGGAAACTTGACTCGACACTCGATTGAAGGTAGCTCAAAGGTGCGGAAGTCGTTGTCTGCAAGAAAGAAGCACACGAACGATGCAAGCTCCAACAGTGAGAACCGAACGAGGTCCGTGCGGTCAAGATCGTAAGGGCGAAGTCGTGGCAGAAGGACAAGATAGGATTGATACGAATCTACCCTGGCTATGGGCATTCTCATCAAAATGCGGAACGACAATTCAGTGTCGCATTCTCCTTGAAAGCACGCCGGCCGTGGTGTAGCACTGAGGTATAGCTGGTATCAGAAGTCTGGGTTTCAAGTAAGAATGCAGTTGGGATCTGCAAAATTGGTGAAATCCAGATCTAGCACTGAGATCTTCCTTCCACAAGTAGCATGCTGAGCGAGGTGCAATCGTTACAGGGATCTCACCATCTCTTCAGAGGCTTCGATGTCGGGTTCGGCATATCAGAGCAGGATTGATGGGATGATGGACCCTGGATTGGCCCATCCCACGGGACTTACTGCAATGACAGGAGAACTTACGCAATGAGGCAAGACAGGCTCTCACACGAACTTATCTGGCGCAATCTTTCAAATCGAAAGAATCATGTGAAGCCCTCGATGAGGCAAAAAATGTCAGTTTGGGACTGTGCCCTTTGAAGCTGTCTCCTCGATTAGATGGTCAGGGATATGGTAACGCAGGGAGCACCCAGTTGCTCAGTCAATAGAAGCGACTTGGACTGTGAAGTTAAGATTCAGGCAGACGCTGAGCCGTAGCTTAGTGTAATTCCAGGCAACCTCTTGCTCCATGGGGGCCTCTCGAAAGAGAAGCAGAAGAGGACGAACCAGTTGTTGCGGGGTCATAGCTGGCTCCAGGTCAGACCGAGAACAGAGTTGTTCTGGCGAGCCGCAGTTCAATATCGAAGGTTCCTTTGGGCCCCAGTCACGGATGATTGGGAAATGGCGTGATAGTGCGGACAACCAAAACCTTTAGTGATGAGTGCTGTTCATTCTTAGGCCCTGTAGTGTGCAGGAATATCTCCCTGAAGGAAGACGGATACCTTTGCAGATGACCGTGACACTGTAAGCCGTTCCATCGGTGCTGTAGTCACATTGGCATTGATGGCGAGCCGAGGTGTTGAAGATCTAGATCCGTTGTCCATTTCACGTTAGATCTGCCAGCGAAGCCGCCCTGGTCGAAAGAAGGGATAGGGTAGCAGTAGCCGGAGATGAAACCGAGTGTGCTCGTACTCACGGTGAAGCATTCTGCTTCGAATTATTACATCCCCTGTTAGGCGGAGGAATTGGGAATTTGGTTGGCGAATACCGACGGGGACTTGTGGAGAGCTGGTCGTCGCGTTGACTAGGGTCACAGAGGGGCTGTGACTCGAGTGCGAATTTTTGATGCCTCACTCTTTTCCGTTTCCAGGCCATGATGCACAAGCCTGATTTGGAATGAGTAGGCTGGCTTCAAGGAAACAGATTGCAGTCAAAGCGGGCTCCCCGAAACAATATGTCACACTCCACGGACGACGGCAGATCTTCCAGACTCATGTTGGAAGGAACAACGAGTGATATGGAGACAGCTGCAGGAGTTCTGCGTTATCATGACAGTGGCCCCGGGCCAAAGACAGCGGAGGATGGCCGAGTAGGTGTGGTTCACGCTTTTGGCAGTGCCATACAGATACGAGATGTTGTACCGTTACAATAATAAGTCGGGTCCAAGGTAGCGCCCAAAAGAGCAAGGCAAGTCGTCGAGCCCTGGCCCCGCGGGGGGTGTGAGTTGCTCCGTATCGTGCATGATAATGTGGTGACGGGCTTTCTTGGTGCTCGTAAGTGGCACGAGCGGAGACAACAATGTGACCTCCTTTCCTCGACAGAGCAACCTGGAATCCAACTCTTCAAAAAGTCATTATCACTGTAGCAAGCGAGCGAACACAGGAGGACCGGGGGTGCAGCTGAACAATGGGCACTAGTGAAGTCACAGAGGGAAGAGATTGTGGTGAAGCATGATGGATGAATGGCCCACCGGTGGGTATCAGGCTACCGTTTTGCTTGCAGGCCCGAAGTTCTGGAGTGCATCGACAAACAGAATGCAGCTGGTGAGTTGCAAACGCGTCGGTCGAGCCTAGGCGGGCAGGGGGGTGAGAGTGAGGCACAGGAGTGGCAAGGCAAAGTCCGGCGGGTCTGGTCGGTGGCCGTCGAAGCAAGAGAATTGGAGGATCTTGGCTGAGTGTGGGCTTGGAGCAAGCAAACCCAACCTTGAGGCTAACAAGGAAGAACAAGGGAAAGAGAAACAGATGGGCAATGAATTGGGCCGTGGTGGCAGCATTGGTGGCAGCGACGCGGCAGGCGACGGGCGCGAGGGAGACGCGAAGGCGTGTCAATTTTCACTTTCATTTCACTTTTCTCTCACTCGTCACCTCTAACCTCACTGCGTGCTTCCGAAGACAGGGGATCAATGGGCCACCAGGGCGAATTGGCGGATGACGAGGAATCGGCTGCCAAGTGGAGCAACAGCTGCAGAAAAAGAGCCCCCAAGCTCAACCCCAAATCACAATAATGAAACAATATTACGAATACAAGCACAGCAGCAGGAGAAGCGGCAGCCACCGCAGCAGGCGGGA